AATGAATGTTATATAGAAGGAAGTTTATAAAAATGAAATCCATTTCAGTTCTACAATTTTTGTTTCTTAAAGATAAAATAATTCTGAAAAATGGTAAGCAATGTTCAGTTAATAAATTGGGATTGCTCAGTAAGTTCTTGAACAAAGACCAAAGATGATATAAAATATTATTAGGATATTAACAAATAAGATATTAATTCCAGTTCGAAATATCATTGCTTATTTTTATTATTAATGATTAGAACTGATTTAAGTTTATAATAACACCAGAAATTATGATATTATATATATATCAGGTTATAATTTTGAAGAAATTAATTTTATTCTCAAAGAAAAATTAAGAAAAAATATATTATAAAAGGAAATATTGATTTTCCAGTACTAAATACTAGATTCAAATTTTGATTGAATTTAATTAATTAAGACATGACAAAAACCCATCAACATTTAGTGATTTTAGTGGAAATTTTTCTGTATAAAACTTGGATGGCCTTAGTTGTCTTTTCTAAGGAAATTAATCATTTCAATCATAAAACTAGATTTCTAACAGTACATAGAGACTTGTAACTAATTAATCAAGGAATTTTTAGGACTTAATGAATAGATTTTATCTGCAATTTGATTAAATGATTGGGGAAAAATCTCATAAGTGATAATCCCTGTATGATAAGCTATCTTTATTAATGTAATTATAAATCTCTTCTCAACAATCTTGCGGAGGAACTCCTCAAAAATCTCCAAGCAGTTTTCATGCTATTAATAATATCTTTAGATCACTAATTATTCTAGTTAAAAAATATATAAAATATTATAGATTTTGATGAATATTTTTTATTATTTTTCTTTCTAAGAATTAAAAAATATTTATCTTTTTAAGTAAGCAAGACTTTACTCTTATTTATCTCTAAAATTATTACAGATATTTCTTTTATTGTCTATTCATCCATTTAAATGGCATTTTAAGCAAATTTGTTTAGGATATCAAATATTTTTGGAAAAAGTAATTATTAAGGTGATTAAGAATCTTTTCTACATTATTTGAATATTATTACATAAAATAGCTAATATTTAACTAGGTTCTTTCAAAAATATAAGGTATATAAGTTATATGCATAATCAAATTTATATAACTTTGATCTCTTCTTGCCAATTTTAGTATACTATTTGCTTATTTTAATTTATGACAAAATTCAATCATTTGAGATGCTAAAGAAATAGCTTATAGCTGTAGCAAAATTTTTTACCTTAAAAGAGATATAAAATCAATTTAGTATTCACTTTTTATTACCAATAATTTATCATTCTGATTTAATTTAATTCCATGGTAAATTTTTATTTATGATAAGGTTTAATCAGTTGGAGTTAATTCAAATAATTATTAAATTCTATCTAAATTGGATTTGATTATTATTAGTAAATTAAATTATTTGATTATCCATAAATTATTTATTATTAAATTCCAAAACCAAAATGATTTTAATTTTTATCAAAAATATTTATAATTTTTATCTTAAGATTGAATTTCTTTTCCTGATTTTCCATCCCATAAACAAATAGAGTTATCACTACTATCAGATGTAAATCTAGTATCATGAGGAGAGAAGCATACTGATAGAATGAAACTACGATAACCATCAAATTTGGTCTTTTATAATCCTGTCTCAAGATTCCATAAACGGATAGAGTTATCACTACTACAAGATGCTAATATAGCATCGTCAGGTGAGAAGCATACTGAGTTGATTGAATTCCTATGACCATCCAATTTGTTCTTTAATTATCCTGTTTTAACATTCCATAACCGGATAGACTTATCAGCTCTACCAGATGCTAATGTAGTACCATCAGGAGAGAAGCATAATGAATAAACATAACCACTATGAATTTGGCCTTTTATTATCCTGTCTAAACATCCCATAAACAGATAGACTTATCAGTACTACCAGATGCTAAAGTAGTACCATCAGGAGAGAACCATACTGATAAGACTATTCCTCTACGACAATCCAAAACGTTCTTTAATTGTCCTGTCTTAACATCCCATAAACCAATTCTTCCATAACTACCAGATGCTAATGTAGTACCATCAGGAGAGAAGCATAGTGACTTGACTGTTCCACTACTACAATCCAATATGTTCTTTAATTGTCCTGTCTTAACATCCCATAAACGGATAGACTCATCTGTGCTACCAGATGCTAATATATTTCCATCAGGAGAGAAGCATACAAAATTTACTATATTAGTATGGCCATTTAATTCATATATCTCACCTTCTTTTTTAATGTTGGTCCACCTACAATTAAGCAGTAAAGCTCCATTTAAATTCATTCCATTTATGTCTACATTATCAAGTTATGATCCACTTAAATTGCATCTAGCAAAATTAGCTCCCAATAAAGAAGTATTCTTAATTCTGATGTTTTCAAAATTTTAACTTCTAATGTCGACTTTCATACTCACTAATAAATTTAGTGAGTTTGTTCCACATTATATTAAGTATTCATCATAGGCTGTGAGGTGAACTAAGAATTTCAGAAATCTGATGATCCCTTTTTATTCTCTTATTCTTTCTATTAGATTCTGTCTCTGTTCCAAATATCTTTAATCACAATAGTCTTATTTATTAAAATCATGATCTTTAATTTTTACAATGACATTAAGAATTAGTTTTAAGTTATTTCTCATAACATCCATCCTTTGTTCTTTTTCTTCTTGAGTTGAATCCTCTTTTTGTTAAATCTCTTTTTCTAGATGTCTTAGATTTTCATTATCTGAAAGAAATCCCATCCAATTATTATTATTCTGTTTTCCGTGCATCTAAAGTATCAAAGAGTATATTCTTTCATCCACATCTTCAACTTAAGCCAAAATTTGAGAGAGAATTTCTTTCTAATCATTGGGATCATACATTTTCTTTTTGTTAAAATAATTATTTCTATTGCTCTAACTTATATTTTTATACTACAAATTGAAAAGAATCTTATTTGTTTGAGGACCTGAATTTGTAAAATTTTGGAGTTGCTTGTGATTGATAATTTTTTGCCTGTTCAGAAATCAATAGGATGAAGACAAGGCTGGAGGAATAAAGAATATTTAATAAATATAAATATTAATATTGCAAAAATAAAATAATATTAGATGAAAAATTCTTTATGATGTAGTGTTACTCATTAATTTTTCTGTTGCTTATTGTCTTGTAATTATTAACAATAAACTTATAGATTTGACAAAATCTGCTTCAGTCCTTCATAATTTTAATAAAGTAAAAAGGATTGAAAATTAGAGCTATAATTTTTTCTTTCTTTTTTCAAATAGAAATGCAACAAAAAATCAAAGTATTGCATTTAATAATTTTGAATTGATCTTTTAGATAAATATCAAATTGGTAGAATATGCCAAAAAATTTGGGTTAAGATCAGGGCTTTGCTTTATGTAGCTGATACTATTTCATTAACCCAGTTAAAGCAAAAATATAATTTAAACTAATTCTTCTTAAAAATAGACACTAATATCTATAAAATTAGTAGTAAAATTGTTTTTGAAATGAACTTGTAAAGTATGAAAATTCCTTCAAAGTAAAAGCTTAAGAATTGCTTTATTTTGCATTCAAAAACTAAATATCATTACTTGTTATGTATCTTATGTTCTATTACAGATCAATAATTATTTTATACATTCTTTCATAAAAATATCCCCATTATCAATTTTCTTACTTTTATTTAATAACAATTAAATAAAATAATTAATATTTTTATTTAATAAGATGTTTTATATTCTTTATTCTCTAAACAACAACTAATAGAAATTGGGTCGGTTAATCAGTTTCTGGAGAACTCATTCATAATTTTCAAAAGCAGATTAATTATTAAGTGTTAGATTTCTTCTCAAACCAAAAATACATAAAGAAAATATGGAACTTTAATCAATTAAATCGATTTCTTGATCTTTCCTAAAAGAAGATAAATTTTGGTTATTAATATTATAGAAGAATAGTAAATATCAGAATCATCTTCAACAAATGAACTAATGGAACTTTAAGTAATTAGAAAAATGAAAAATTTTACAGATTGAAATTTTGAAATTAGGAATGAAGGCAAGATAATCAAATACAAAATGAAAAGATTCAATAATTTTTAAGTAAGATAAATTACAACAAGATATTGGATATAAAAGGATAAACTTTTAGGATTAGAATGTTTTCTTTTCGATATATATATTAATTTAAAAGCTGATTTAATTAAGTTATGTGTGGAAGAAAGGTGAGATTTTTTCAAAACTAATAAGAACTTTATAAATCTAAAGAAAATTGGATAGGTTATATAATCAAAGGAGATGAGGGAAGTATAAGTATATACAAGATATTTTATTTTATAATTTTCAGAAACACAATTGGAATTTTATTAAAGGGTATATCTACATTATTCATTTATAAACTAGGAAAATTGTAAAAGCTCTTCTGCAAGTCATGTCGCCAATAGAATCCATCTAATCCTTAGATCGTAGATTGTAAATAGCTTAAATTAAACTTTGAAAACTAATAAAGAGAAAAGATTTAATAATTATAACCAATAATCTAGCCTCACATTAAACGCCTTGAAAACTATAAGAAAATTATACTCATATGTATAGATGAACAATATATCTAATGTGGATCAAATACTCTGAACTTATTAGTTGAGAGAGATATCAGTTGAGTTAATTTGAATGGAACTTATTTATTCAATTACAAATTGAAGAACATCAAAATCCATGAATTGAATAGGTTGGATAGTTATAATAATACTGTTAGATCAGCTGCTTTCCTCCTAATGGTGCTGCATTCGCATCTGGTAGTAATGATAATTCAATTCGTTTATGGGATGTTAAGACAGGAAAGAAAATTTAATCTATAGATGAGATATATAAACATTTGTTAGCATAATTGCAAACTCCACTCTCACAACAGAATATTCTTTAAGGTTTTTGCTTTATTTCATATATAATTTAGCTAACATAAAAATTACAATCCTCCGTATATCTCAAGCACCATAATTTTACACATAAGGTGTGTTAATCTTAAAAGGAGAGTTTAAAAATTATTAAGGCATTGATTTAAGATCATTTTTTTAAATATTTAGGAAGTAATATTTGAATTGTCAGACTGAGAAATTTATTTATGATTATTTTTCGAAAGGGAATTTACAATTATACAATTATCTAGAATTAAAATGAATTTATAATGAAATTCTTAATTTAATACTTTTTTATGTGTACTTAGGTTTCTTTTTTTTAAAAATTTCTTTTCTTGATTATTAAGTTTAAGATATTGGTGATTGTAATTATATAAAAATTGATAAACTTGTTATTGATCTTTTCATTAATCTTCATTTTATTAATTTGTTTATGATCGACTATTTATTGATTTTTAATTTTAATTTTTTTTATTTTTATATAATTCAAATTTAAAGTTTTTATCAATAGAGGAACATCTATTTTGATAATAAGAATTTGATTTTAACTTACAGTATTGATTTTGTTTCGAGAAATGTGTCTGAATTGAAGCTAAAATTTTGATTTGATTAGTTTGAAACCTCTCTAAACTGCAAATTGATTGTATCAAAAATAAATAAACTTCAAAATTTCTTCCTCTTTCATTTTTAAATGATCAGATATTGTAGTTAGTTTAAAAAAATAACAATATTGAAAAATTCGAAAACCAATTACCAAAAGTATTATTCTTCGTCAAGACAAGTGGATTTTGAAGAGTGTATCTTTTGTTCATGGATTTAATGGAAATCTCATTAGAGACTTCCTAACCTCAAGGGACAGGAACGCTAGATGCATTACATGTAACTCTTTATATTGCCAGCCTTTGACAATATAAAGAGTTAAGTCCCGAGGTTTTTCATCCAGACCCTTTGAGGGCCTGAAATTTTTTAAGTTAATTTTATTTTTTTATAGCACTATTTATAAGTAGAATAGTTTTATAAATAGCTTAAATATAGGAAAAAATGATTGCCTTATAAATTCTTATCCTATGTTAACATCCCATATTCTGATAGACTTATCATATCAGAGAATAATTTAGTTCCATCACCCATTACTCAAATCATAAATTTTTAAGTTCTTCCATTTTCAATAGAAATACTAAACCCCTTTTAGAACGACTCCATTTATGTCTAAATTGCCGGATTCTGATTCCTTCAATTTGCATTGAACAAAATTACCTTCAAGCCAAGAAATTTTTTACCTTGATATTCCCAAAGGATTGGTTCCTAATGTCAACCTTCTACCGAATAATCAATGTGATCAACATTGAATAAATTTCACATTTATGCTTATGAGGAGAACTAAACACTTTATAAAATCTATAATCCCCTTTTTGTTCATTGTACTCTATATTAGATTTTATATTACAATTTTGTAAGTCTTTGGAGAATAGTCATCTTTATTCAATTTATGATCCTAAAATTTTCTCAAGAAAATTGTGATTTTCTTTATTTTCTTTATTTTCTTTCTTATCTCACTTGTATTCACTTTCTTATTGATTATAGATTCATAAAAGTTTTGATGTTGTATTCGAAAGGAATTCAAGTAAGTATTTTTAGAATCTTCATATAAATTGATTCATGATATCTTGGATGCAACTTAAAACTTCAAAAATGTCTTCTTTCATTTAATAAACTTCACCTCCTTCTTCTTAATAAGATAAATAGTAATATAATATAGTATTTAAGTTAAGAATATGTCTAATTCATTTCTTTCTTTTTCTTCCCATTAAATCACTTAATTTTTAGTCATACGAATTCCTTATCTTTTCCAACTTATTCAAATAAAATTTTTTTCAAGGTATTCTCATTAATGAGAGAGATATGATTTGTTTTACTGTTATTTCATATCTATATTAAATTAATGCATTGTGATAATTCTTCCCAAATTTTCTTCAATTTACTATCAGTTTGAACAGCAAGAAGTTTCATCAAGCTTAAATTCTGTTTATTTCTTCCTAACATTTCTTGAAATTTAATAGTCGAAATTTTATGATTTTGATATCCTCTCCTTGGTCAGGCAATTAACACAAAGACTTCTTAAACATTGACACTTGTGATTTATGCATATCAAAGTACAATTAATTAATTTTGATTTTTAATATTGAATTTCTATTACTCAAACTTTAAGTTGTATACTACAAATCAATAAAAGTGCCTTCTGCATTCTTATAAAATAGAAGTTGAGAATTTGTGTAGATTTGGAATTGATTATTATTGAAGTAAAATATATTATTAAGAATTAAATTCAACATTTGCACTGGTTGATTCTTTAATAAATATAATATAAAATAATGTAAATTATAAATGTGTTGATCACAACTTACATTTTTAACTATGTATAAATAGTTGTAGTGAAACTTATTATTCTTTAATTGTTTAATAAAAATTTTCTGTAATAAGTCATTATTTTCTAATTTTTTTTTTCTTTAAAAAAGAGTAATTGGATCTTCTTCGTTTAGCCCTATAATTTTTTTTGAATTATTCATTAATTTTAATGTAATTTAAAGGGGACTAAGGTGTATATTTTGATGATGCAAAAATTAAAAAGTATATCATAGAATCAATTTTAAGTTAGATATGTATATAAATAAATTTATTTGTTTAGTTTACCAGAAATTTAGGTAAGTTCTTAATATGCAAAGTCAACTGTAAATTTAAGCTACCTTAAAGATTGCTCATAGTTGCTTTTGGATGTATGGAGCAAAGGTAGAAACTTGATAACAATCAGTAATTAAAATTATTAGATTTTTAATTTTTCGTTGTAATCTAATTGATATAACTATTACTAAAGAAATAGTTATATGAGTTTTTTTTATTTGAAATGAGCAACAAAATTTTGTTTAAAATGATTGATTATAAATTTTTAAATTAAAATTTAATTATAAACTTTCAAAAACTCATTTTTTAGGTATTATTTAAAATTATAAAAATTCGATGATCTTTTCATTATCTCTGATTCTTTTAATCAAAATTTGTATTGATTTTTAATCTCCTTTGGTTGAATAGTCTTTCTTATTAAAGTGATGATTTTTTTATTTTTTAAAACATAAATAATTTGTTGTATTTTCTCACTAAAATCATGCACCATCTTTTCATTTTGGGCTTGGTTTAAATTCTTTCTTTGTTGTAAGATAGATTATTCTAAATCTTTTTGATTTCCATTATCCATAAGATATCCAATACAGTCTTAAAGTTTTTCCTTTGGAAATATTTCTAATATGACACCAAATATTTGTTTATCTACATCTTTAACTTAAGCGAAGATATCAGATAGAGCTTCCTTCTTCTAAAAAATGTACATTTTCTTGTTATATTTTTAATATAGAATTTTATTACTCAAATTAGAAGTTATACTACAAAATCGATAAAATATCTTATAATACAGGCACTTAAAAAAAAACCTTAGGGAAAAAATTAAATTTTACTTTTTGGACACGGAAAATTTGCATCCACAAAATGCAATACCCCCCATTTGTAAAAGTGAAGATATACTTTTTGGACAGGTTATTTTTGCCTCCACATATTTGTGAAAACTTGAAGAGATGTGAATCTAAGATGATCACAGTTGATCTTAGAATTGTACTTTCTACATATTCATAATTATAACAATATTTTACAAATTTCTATATAGCATTATAAATTATTAAATATAAATTTAATCAAATAACAATATTTTATCATAATAAATGGTTTAAAATGCATTCATAAGAATAATTATATTATATAAATTTCTCTAATCGTTATAAATTATTAAGAATAATAATATGTAATTCAAAATTCAAAATATTTATTTCTTAAGTGACTGTTAGAAAGTAAATTATAAATAATTTATACAAAAAATTTTGTTGAAAGATTATTTTTATGAACAAAAAATTTTTGGATTGTCGAAGATATTAATAAATTTATTCTTCATTAAGAAAATTTTAAAATCGTGTTTAAACTGCAGCTATCATTAGTATTCGAATAGGTTTAACTATTATGTTAAAGTCTATTGGATTCAATATAACAAAATGATTAAAATAAAAACGTATCAGAAAACAATACTCAGCTTTTTCAAAAATCAATTAAGAAGCAATAATAATAAAATAAATTATATTATTTGGAATGTCAAATAAAAATTGCACCAGACTTAAGATGGCTTAAAGTCGTGTCATTCCTATTAAGGTTGTTTATATATGATTCAAGAGTAAAATTTAAATATATGAACTACTAAAATCATGAAAATCTTTATCCTTTAAAAAAATATCTATAATGATTTTTTAAGAACTGAATTTTAAACACTGATAATTTTTTACTTTCACATTTTAGATCTTTAATTAAAGGATCTGGATATACTTACTAGAATACATCTAAGCTCAACTTTAAAGCAATCAAAAAATAGAATAAAAGCAAGCAATTCCTTTATGCATTATTTTTTATATCACATATTGAATCTACATAACCGATTATATAGATGAATCTGGAATTGGTAATGAGCATTATAATTTAGAGGTATGGAGCTAAAATTATTTTCATTTAAAAATTGACAGGGCTTAAGTTAAGCAGATAATAAGTATTTTCAGGGCAATCGGATCAGATCTTAAAATGTCTTAATTCTTTAAAGGCAACATTAATCGCTAAGATTACTATCCTAATGCAATAAACAGTATGGTTGAGGAATTATTTCTTTATCTTAGATAACGCATCATTGCATTAGGAATTCTCAATTTGGAAAGAATTCATATATTTACCTCCTTTTAATCCTCAATTAAATCCTATTGGGAAAGGTTAGAGATAATTGAAAAATCACCTAGCTAAATAGGATTGCAGAACAAACCTAAAACTCAACTATTAAATTAATTGCAGCATTAAAGAAATTAAGTTTAGCCATCCTTTAAGCCTTTGTGATTTTGTATATCCAAAAGTATAAAAATGTTTAGAAAAATAAGAATTATATGTTATAAAATGATATATAGGAATTATAATAACTTTTATGATAATTCAATTAATTATAAAATTAAATGAATGAAAATTTAATCAAACGTAATTAACTCATCTTATTAAAAAATTGGATTAAAGTTCAAATAGTTTGTAAGAAAAGCTAGAGAGTTTTAGTCTGTTGACATTGAAAATGTTTGAGGGAAATTAATATAAATTAGAAATAAATTTATAAAGTAAAAAAAAGAAAAACAATATTTGTATATGATTTATAAAATAATAATAATGAATTAAATAACAATTATATTTTATGAAACAGAATTGAACAAAATACTAATCTATAATTGTTTTGATGATATTTATTAAAAATTAATTGAAAATAGAAATTTTGTATAAATCTTTTTTAATATATAGATATTTCAAACACTCACTTTAAAAAAATAATAATTTCATATAATTGTTATTTTCTCTAGAAAAAAATTAGATAACCATCTAATTTAATATAAATTCTTAATTATTTTCTATATTTAGAATATAAACCATATTCAATAAAAAATATTCATAAAGAACTTTTTCATTTAGAAATTAAAAAAAAAATATTAATTAATGTTTTATTATCTGATATATTAATGAAAATATATCAAACGTAATTTTATAAATTATTATACACAATTATTTTTATTCAATATGCTATCATTCGATATGTTTTAGAATACATGAAATATTGTAGATAGTTTTATTTTTTGTAAGCAACTTTTTTTTGTCAAAAAAAATAGCAAATTTCTTTGAAATATCATTAGAATTTAAACATCCTCCATTTTATTTGAAAAACAATAAAAGTCCGTCATAAATAAATTAATGAAAATAAAAATTTCATTTTAAAAATCAAGTTCTTTGTTTATTATTCCTGCTATATTAATAAAGGAATGTTTCATCTTCTCAAATAATTTAATCTCATTTTAAAACAAAATTTCAAATCCAAAACATAAATATAAATTTTGAATAAAAATAAAAATAATAAATGCTAATTTCTGTTCAAGTGGAAAATGTTATTGGATCAATATATTCTGCATTATATGAAATTATAATAAAAGGTTATGACATGCCGACAANAATTCAATTAATTATAAAATTAAATGAATGAAAATTTAATCAAACGTAATTAACTCATCTTATTAAAAAATTGGATTAAAGTTCAAATAGTTTGTAAGAAAAGCTAGAGAGTTTTAGTCTGTTGACATTGAAAATGTTTGAGGGAAATTAATATAAATTAGAAATAAATTTATAAAGTAAAAAAAAGAAAAACAATATTTGTATATGATTTATAAAATAATAATAATGAATTAAATAACAATTATATTTTATGAAACAGAATTGAACAAAATACTAATCTATAATTGTTTTGATGATATTTATTAAAAATTAATTGAAAATAGAAATTTTGTATAAATCTTTTTTAATATATAGATATTTCAAACACTCACTTTAAAAAAATAATAATTTCATATAATTGTTATTTTCTCTAGAAAAAAATTAGATAACCATCTAATTTAATATAAATTCTTAATTATTTTCTATATTTAGAATATAAACCATATTCAATAAAAAATATTCATAAAGAACTTTTTCATTTAGAAATTAAAAAAAAAATATTAATTAATGTTTTATTATCTGATATATTAATGAAAATATATCAAACGTAATTTTATAAATTATTATACACAATTATTTTTATTCAATATGCTATCATTCGATATGTTTTAGAATACATGAAATATTGTAGATAGTTTTATTTTTTGTAAGCAACTTTTTTTTGTCAAAAAAAATAGCAAATTTCTTTGAAATATCATTAGAATTTAAACATCCTCCATTTTATTTGAAAAACAATAAAAGTCCGTCATAAATAAATTAATGAAAATAAAAATTTCATTTTAAAAATCAAGTTCTTTGTTTATTATTCCTGCTATATTAATAAAGGAATGTTTCATCTTCTCAAATAATTTAATCTCATTTTAAAACAAAATTTCAAATCCAAAACATAAATATAAATTTTGAATAAAAATAAAAATAATAAATGCTAATTTCTGTTCAAGTGGAAAATGTTATTGGATCAATATATTCTGCATTATATGAAATTATAATAAAAGGTTATGACATGCCGACAAAGAAGATCGATAATCAGAAAAGTATATCTAATTAAGGAATAGACTAATTAGGCTTTTCGTATCAAGCAATTTGAAGTTAAAATAGGTTAGTTATTTTAAATAAAGATATTAGTATTGATAAAAGATTCTCAAATTAATGTGAAAATTGGCAGTGAAAAAGCTTTTCAGGATTTTTTTAATGCTTTACTAGGCCATTTATGACTTCTTTATATGAGCAACCCTTATTAATTTAATTTTATTCATTTTGAACATGGTTTCTTTGTTTCATGTCTGAAATTGATTTCTTAAAATGAAGAAATTCAATAATTATGAATATTTTAACTTAATCAAAAACCCTTTTTTTATCAATTAAAAAATAAAAAAATGACTTTATTGTTTTTAATTTATTTTACAAATTAATTATATATTTATATAAAGTTATATAAAATAATGTTGGAAGTAATTAATTCATGTTTAGAATGAAATTTCTAATAGATAGAAGATTCAAATATTAATTGATAATTTATATTAGTCTTAAATTATTAAGAATCAATTATTTTTCTTTTTTTATGCACAATAATGACTATTTTATAGCATTTATAGTTTTCTGAATTAAACGAATTTTTTACTATCATTCCAGTTGAATATTTAAATAGAGTTAAGGATATCAACTATGTTAAATTAAATTGTCCTATCAAAAAAGTAATTTTTTAATTGAAATTATTAAAATTCATTATTTACATAATTTTAATAATGCTTTGTCAAGTGAAAAGAAAATAAGCAAATTTAGGAGAAATTCCGAAAATTCAATAATAATAAGTATTTAAGAATCTAATTTTCAGTATTTTTAAAATTCTTATTTATTCTTAAATTAATCACGATCATTTTTATTAAATAAAATTTAGCAGACTTAATGATTTTCAATGTATATGACCTATTGTTGTTAATCTTGTAATTTAAGTAAGAATATATACATTTGATATAGATAAGTACATAATCTTTGTGAATTTTCATCTTCTCGACCTATTTTAATGTTGTAAAATGACCAATATTCTTATAATTAAACCCTGCCTAACGAATTTGTTTAAGGTTAGATAAATCAAGGATTTGGAGTTTGGATGAATTATTAGCCATTTACTTACAAAGAATTGAGATGTATTTTGATGTTTTATTATTTTATAGGGGATAAGGTATTGCCAAATAATACATAATATCAATAAAATCATATAAAAGGAGGACAATTTATTTATTCAATAGAGGAAAACGTTGAGAAATCTAATTGGATAGTTGTCTCTGCTGAAATTGATTCAATATAATAAAAAATTACTCATAAAGTGTTTTACTCTTTTAAAACTTCAAAAAATACCTTATCATTTTAATTTGATAATTTTTTATACGAAGGCTAATGGATAATGTTCTTTTGTTATTTTGACAACCTTTTAAGATAAGCCCAAATTGGATTTTACAATTCTAAAGAAGCTTTATCTATTTAGGTTGTTAATGATCTACCTGAATATAAATAATAAATAAAACATATTGTGGGAAATTTTTACTTTTATAAAAATTAGGATGAAAATTTGATAATGTTAAATATATTTTAGGGACTTCTCACCAGTGATTTTTCAGCTAAACAGGATAATGTGTTCTTAGATTTAGAATCTTGTTCATAATATTTTTTTAGCAAAATTTATTGTTATGACAGTAGTGAAATGCTTATTGAATAGAATTAAGAATTCAATGGTAATGAGTATCAAAATTTTATTTCTTCAAGACTTCAAGTGCCTAGATATGTTTTTAAAGGCTGGATTATTTTAAAATAATCAAATTAAGATTTTTTAGAGTCTACTGTTTTTAGAATAACCGTGAATAGCAAATATTATAACGATTTCCAAGTAGGTGATAGAGATTTATTATTATAATATTATTAAAGTAATATCCCTGCCTAGAATGGCTTTAAGTTAACAACTTATTCATATTAGTTTCCTATATATCAGAGATACAAGACAAAAGAAGATGATGAAATAAAATAATTTGGAGACGAGTATTCGGAGTTATTAATCTAATGGCATTATTTTTAATATGAAATAGGAACATTAAATAATGATGGATAACCAATATTTTCTATCTTTTTCCCTTCTATTGATTAAATTCGCTAATTTAATTGGAATAAAAAAATATATCATTTCTCAGGAACTTTGTTTATTACATATTTTGGAGGTGATGATTTTACTTAAAATTATTTTCGAGGAAATGTAAGTAATCTTTAGTTTAAACGATTATGTAAACCAGAAATTGAAATTTTCATGCCTACATGTCATTATTCTTGCCTAACTTGTGATGGACCAACAATCAATAACTGTCTTACTTGTTACGAGTAAAGTTTTAGATCATTTTCAAAAAAAGAAAAAATATGTGCTTGTAAATAAAGTTATGTAGATCTTAATGGTGTTTAAGAATGCTAAGAAGTAACAAAAGTTTTCCCTTAAATATAAATATAAGAAATAGAACTAAACTGTTAACACCCTGGTTATAGCATTTGCAATCAGGATAATATAGAATGCCTTTTTGGCTATTTCAAATACAATAATAAGTGTGTTTAATGGTATTTATTTATTTAAAGGAAAGCCCTAATTATTTTGATACATTTTCAGGCATTTAAATAAATTGTTTAGATTGTTTGGAAAGACCAAATTTATTTGGAAAGACATTAACTTGTAAAATAAGAGCAGAAACTTGTGAATAAAATCCAGAATACATATATAAAATTACATAAAGATCAGAAAACGAGAATATTGTTTATAACATCTTAACAGGTTTAAATGAAAGTTACGAACTGAAATTGTGTCATGGATGCGCAAGTTAAGATACATGTCATAAAAGTTTCTATCGGGATGATTAATAATGTAAACCTTGTATAGAAGGATGCGAGATATGTGAAAATTCATTTAAATGTACTTCTTGTTTTGAAACTTATTATTTAAATGAGGATAAATAATGTGTACAATGCAAAGATTGCTACACTTGTTATACTTCTGATTAAGGAGAATACGTATGTTATACTTGTTAAACCAATTTAATAAGGCTTAATAATAAATGTGTAACATGTGGGCATAATTGTCAAAGTTGCTATGAAGAGAGATTATGTAATTATTGTAAAGGATCACCATCTGAATATTATTTATCATTTGATGGAATAAATTGCAATTAATGTAATATCAAAAATTGTATATACTGTTTTGATTACATTCTTAATGATGGTCTATTTCAAACAAGTTTAGATCTTAATTTTAAAAGGATAGATTAAAAGACTCAAAAAGTAAATGTAGGTTGTGCTTTGTGTAAAGAGAATTATTATTACAATTTTAACAATTAGGAGTGTGAACTAAAACAAATAGATGACGATTGTTTATTTGGTATAATCTAAGATATAGATTAAAAAAAGGTTTGTCTTATTAGTAACACTGATTAGAATGCTGTTTAAGTTTCAGATTGTTCAATTATTTCAAACTGTATTTCTTGTATACACAATTACTTAGAAAATGAATCATTTTGCATGCTTTGTGAAGATGGATATTATTCATCAATTCTTACAGGTTAATGTATATAATGTGGTAAAAAGTGCAAGACATGCATTTAATAACAAGAATAATTTAGAGATTATTGGAAATGGAATATCAAAGCTTTTTATAAATTTGTAATTAATCATAATAATGATCATCCATTTGAAAAATATGCTTCATCAGATAATGAAGATGATTTAAATTTGGTTTGTACATCATGTCACTATGGTTATATATTATCTGGTTAAAAGTGCTTTAAAGGTTGTGATTCAACTTGTAATAAATGTGAAATTATTAATGAATAAGCTACATGTATTTAATGTTTGGAAACTGTTTCTGGTTTTACAAAAAGTTATGAATTAGATGGAAGCTGTCGAAAATGTCCTTCTAATTGTAAAGCTTGTTCAGACAGAACTTATGAAGAAATTGAAGAACTTAATCCTTAGTTTTTTTTAACTGAAAACAATTATTATAAAACTCGAATATGTTATGAAAAATCAACAAATCAGTTTGGATAAGAAAAATATTACCAAGATTCATTAACATAAACTGTAGTAGTTTGTACTAAATATGATCAATGTGTTAACAAAATTATTATTCAAATAAATGCTTATTGTGATTCATACGACTATTATACTTAAAAATAATAATCAAATGATGAATTTTTTGACCACAAGAATATTCTTCTTTCATAATATGGTTTTTATGAATATTTAAGTGAATTATAAACAGTTTAACTTTTTGATTATCTTAATTATATTTCAGTTAAATATGTGTAATTTGAATATACAATAATTCAAGGAGAATATTCAAATTGTAGAATTAGAGGGGATTAAACTTTTGACACCAGATTAGCATAAAATATTTTTTCCATATAATAAATGGATATTTAATTTAAAGGAAAAATCTTAGAATCAAGCAGTCCAATTACTTTATAAACTCCACTTTAATTATTTCTATCTAATTATACTAATATAACTTTTGAAAATATTAATTTTGATTTTGGGTTTGATGACTATTCCCCAGACAATTATTTAATTATTGCTATTGATAATAAAAAGAAAACAAATTTAAATCTAATAGATTGCAATTTTATCAAGACAAGTTCTTTCAATACTCATTAATTTTTGAGAATTAATTCAAGTAATCCTTATTCCCTATACATAAAAAATCTATAAATTAGCAATCTAAATGTATAATCATCTGAAATTTTCACTTTCTTTTCTACAAAAACTCCTCTCTAAAATTAGATTCAAATTTCCAATATGACAATTAAAAATTCAATATTTACTAATTCTACTTTATTCTATTTTTAAGCAGATACTGGTCATCTTCGATATGAATCCAATTTAATAAATATTAGTATAGATGATTCTAAGTTCATTTCCTCTAAATTCTTTAGCTCTAGTAGCTAATTAAATTTTACTATAGGAACTTTAAATATCCAAAAATTTTCGTTGAACAATGTCAAGATTTTAAATCATTCAAGTATTTTTCTTGTATCAATTTTTGAATAAGCTACGATATCTTAATTAATATTCACAAATTCTTAACTCAAAGATAACTCCTACTTTTATTCAAGTAATATAATAAACTTAAAAGATTGTCTTTTTAATCATATACTTTTAGAATCTAGTTGTTTAATAAATAATAAAGTTGAATATTCTAAAAATTAAGAAGCTTTAAATTAGTCTTAAAAAGTTTTCATAATCGACTGTTAATTTTTAAACATCAATTAAAATGACAAATAATAAATAATAATCATTGTGAAATATGATGAAATAGATTAGTTGATAATATAATTAACTAACTTTATTATGTCTGATTGCACATCTAACACAAAACTATAAAATACCTAAGTATCTTTTGATTAAGTAATGATATATATTGAATGCTAACTTTGTTATTTGTAAGAAATATAAATATAGAGAAGCTATGGAATACCTGAAATTACAATTCTTAATTCTAAGAATCTGGAAATAAGAAATTTTTAGATCTCTCAAAATCAAAAACATTTTCCATAAGTCTTTCATTCTAATATAGATTGTGTATCACAATTTGCTAATATGGAACTTTACTTCTTTCTATATGTTGGTTAATATGAAAGTATTGTTTTTGATAATTTAACAGTATCAAACTGTTTAAGTTTTAATTCTCCTTTAATTATCTTACAAGGGTATGAATTAATGTAGAAATTAGTTGAGGAAACAGTTTATATCAAAGACTCTTAACTTAATTCGAACTTATTAATAATTAGTGAAACTAATAAATAAACTGCTTTAATTTTTATAGAATCTAAATAAAAAGGACTTATAACTTTTATGAATACAATTTTTTCCTAAAATCATCTAAATTAATATTATGAATCTTTGTCTTTGGTTTCTTCGACAACATTATTATTATCTTGCAAATATGAAATTGTTATAATGTAAAGTTGCTAATTTTATTAAAATATTATTACAAATTCAACTGATTCAATCTTATAAATAGATTCAGAGAAATTATATATTAAGAATTCTAATTTTAAAAATAACAATATAATGAATTACTCAATATTGAGTAAGTAAATTATATTATCAAGCACTTAAGATATAACTTCTATCAACTTTTAATTGATATTTCCAATCAAATCAAATAGTGGTAATGGCATGTTAATTGCAAATACAATACTGATTGAAAATGTAAAGGTAGACTCTTCTAATTCAATTTTTGGAGGTGGTTTCTATATAGTCGTATTTGGTTAAAGTGTAATTAATATCACTAATTCTCAATTTTCTAATACTAAATCCACATTATCATCTTTATATTTTTCAAAAGGGGGCTGCTTTTACATTGATGCTAGTTCATCTACTTTAACTCTAAAGATAAAAAATGTTACATTTGATGGATCATATAGCAGATATGATGGTGGTGCAATATATCTCAGTCCATCTGAAACTTACAATAGTATTGAATTTAATTATTTGATTGTCAAGAACTGCTTTTCAATACAAAATTAGTTTTTATCTTATACTCTTTCCAACAAAGATAATATTAAATCTCAGATTACTTTTTCAAATATTGATTTCTATTCAACATAAGAAGGATTAGAAAATTTTTATTCATAATTAGATAGTATAACTGATGATGATATTTTAAATATTATTAATTCGAATCCTTTAGTTTTTGTTTAATTTGGAAATTTTAGCATGTAAAATTGTAGTTTCTAATCTATTTATATGTAAATGTTACTAAAAATTGTACAAGTTGAACACATTTAATTATCAAATATAATAATCATTAATTGTACAGTAGCATTATCATCTCTGATCCAATTAAATTTAAGATAATGTAATAATATTATTAATATTCTTAGAATATGTTGGAATATTAGAAATATTCAATCTTTAAATAACTTAGATACAACAAATTTAAAAAACCGAAATTAGAGAGTGTTTAGCAATAAATAGAACATCATTCATTTAATTGGATTGTCCCCTAGAAATCTTACCATAAAATTTTTAAATTATATAAAAAGATTTAATTTAAGAAAATTTAAATCAATTAATTTGTAATTAAATTAAAATCTTCAGAGATCCAAAATTTACTTTTAGTTTAATTGAAATAGAATAAATCAATTCTAGACATTATTTAAGAATTGAGAAACTGAATTTTAAAAATGTTCTATGTAAAAAGTGTTAAAATGGTTTGATTAGAATTGTAGAAATTGAAAAATAAAATGAAGATAATATTAAGCTTTCTTAAATTATGATTCAAAATAGTAATTGTGGAAGGGCTGGATGTCTTTCAATATCTAAAAATAAAAATGATTTAACTAATTTAAAATCTGATATAAATTATCGAATTTTATAATAACACAATTATGAAAATCTTTTGAATAGCCTGAAATATTAAGTGATTATTAAATAGAGTTTATTTCAAAATAACACTTCATTATATGGTGGTTCGCTTTTAATAATCAAAATCAATACAATTATAAAAGGTTGTATTTTTTTAAAGAATATTGCAGATATTGGAGGTGCAATTTACTTTTCATCTGAAGATGAGGAATTATATATTTTTGATTCTAAAATAAATGAAAATACAGCTAAGATTGCAGGAGGTTTATATTTAAATTCTTAATAATTGCAATTAACCAAATAATTAGATTTAGAATTGAATTCTAATAATTCAACATTATTTGGATCTAATGTTGTCGAGAAACCAAGATCATTAACATTATCAATCGATGAAGGTAGAACATTATTGGAGAAGAAAGAATTAAAATACAATGATAATGAAATTGTTGAATAAATTATCATTATTCCTTATAATATATTAGGTTTTAATTCAAAAATGAATTAATTAATGTTGCCTTCTGGAATACAAATATCCAGTTATAGACATTTCGATAATGCTTAATTTTTGTTTATTCAATATAATCTAACATTAAGGATTATTGCTTTGGATAAGTTTTAAAAACAAATAATGGGTTTGTCTGGTTCTTATTGTACTTTGTAGCCAAAAGCTATTAATTTAAGTTCACAAAGAGAGGAATTTAATTTTGAATATAGTTTATCTTAATATGATGTTTAATTTAATGAGACTACCGGAGATTATAATTTAGATGATCTAATAATTTTCTTTAATCCTACTTATGATAAAGATATTATTCTTCGATTATAAATTTAATGTAATAGCGTTTCAGTCCCTTAATATCAGGAGAATCCACCTTATAAAATTTATAACTATATTACAAATTATAAATTATTAGTTGATATTCGAACATTTCCTTGTTAATTGGGTGAATTCTTAAATAAAACATCTGGTGGGTGTGTTCTATGTGATACCTTTAAAAATTAATATTAAGTTTCAAGGAATGCTTAAAATTGCAGTTACAAAGATGATACTAAAATAAAGTCGTTGGAATCATCTATGATAGAATTAAGGGAACACAATTGGAGAGCTTATTATTATAGTGAAACTATTGAATATTGTTATCATTTGTTGGAGAATTGCAAAGGAGGCTGGATGCCTGGAGATGAATCATGCATATTAGGACATATAGGAGCATTGTGTGAATAGTGTGATTTATATGATTCTAGAGGAGGCGGATCTTATTCTGTAAGTTCAGTCTATTCATGTGGAAGTTGTGATGATATAGCTTACAATATTATTAGTATAATTTTATTGAGTCTTTGGACAATAATAACCACATTGATAACAGTGAGCAGCACTACATAAATGATTAAGGAATTTGTAAAAGGATTAAGATTGAAGGCTTTTGGGGTGAGAGTAGCAATAAAAGAAGCTTAAGCAGCTATTTTTATCAAAGTATTTACAAATTATCTTTAAATTATATCAACCATAACTACCTTTTAATTATAAATACCAATAGGATTTTCCTCAGTTTTCAATAGTGTTGGTAATCCTGTAAATACTTTAGCATATTCATTAGATTGTTTCTTAATTAATATCACAGATATATTGATAATATACTTTCGAATTATTTGGAGCTTAATTATGACTTCTACTTACATATCAATTATTTTTAGTTTATTTGGAATTGCAATTATAATTAAAATAACAAAATTCAACTTTTCTTTTATTACTACATCATTGATATATCTATTCATATTTTTTTAGCCAAATTTGATAGGTGGAATTATTTCACTCTTCTCCTACAGAAAGATATCGGATGAATATTGGATTCAAGGAAATGTGGCTTATAGATATGATACAAATTAACATACTTAATGGTTGATCACATTTTGCTTACCCTTATTATTAATTTTTGGTACTATTCTTCCTTTCTTTTTATGGCATGGAGTCTATAAAAATAGAGACCGTCTTGATTTTTCTTAAGTTAGAAAGACATGGGGATATTTGTATAATGAATACGGAAAACATGCATATTTCTGGGAAACAATTAAGATAATATAAAAAGAGATTATAATAATTGTTTTAACTTATTATGATGATCATATTTCTATAAAAGCATCTCTAGTTTTTCTTGTGCTATTTAGTTATAGTTTAATAACAATCAAACAAAGGCCTTATATGACTGGATAATTAAATCAAATTGACACAGAATCAACAGTAGTTTGTGCAATATCTATCATTTTGGCTAGTTCAATCTTTACAGCATAATAATAAAAGTTCTATGAAATAGTATGGCCTTTCTATTTCATAATTTTCTTTCTTAATAGTTTCTATATTCTTAAGATGGTAATATAGATTATATTTGCTTATTTGAAAAAACATTATGAGAAGGTAGACGTATTAAAAGAATTAATAGTACAATAATTTCCCAAATTTGTAAATTCTAAACCATTCATTTAAAAACTCTTTGAGACTCACAAAAATTAGCAATCTAGAATAAAGTAATAGTATAAAAAATTAAGATTATATCTTTTACCTTAAGCTCGTTTAATATTGGAATTCAAAAAGTATTATTTATTTTTAATATAGATTAAAACGATTAGAATTATCTTCAAAAAAAAATGTTTAGAAATGTAATGATAAAGACAGACATGATACTGAATAATAATTTTCTTAAGACAATTTTTGTGTCAAAAGTTTTCTAAATAAAAAAATCCTAAATCATACTCATATCAAGAGAGATGAATTCTAATATAGAAATACTAAAATAGGATACCATCAATTTTTAATATTGTCTCGAGGAGATGATTTTTAAAAAAACTAAAAAACCACAGAATGACATCAGTTAATAACAACGCCATATCATATGATAACAATAAATTTAAGAGATTTTAACAATATTTTTAAATAATATTTAATTTTCTATTTTTTGATTGATTTTTGACACTTAATTTCAAAATATAAATTTTTTAAAATATCATGTAAAAATGATATACCAAAATGTATTCTAAAAATTAAAGAACTAAATTTTTATTAATTTAAAACAACCAAGAATACTGAGGACTAAAAAAATCATTTATATTCCCTAAAACAAAATCTATGCAAGAATTTTCTTAAATAGTTTTGTGAATTGACTGCTAGAAATTCAATAAAAAAATAATTTTGATGAATTACATAGCACTATGTAGTTATATATAAATAAATAGTAGAATAATAAAAATTATTTTTGTTTAACATTTCCTAAAAATATAAATGAATAGTTATTAATTATATTATGAATTCAATATAATCATATAAAGGTAAATTATATATCAAATGAAGTTATTTTAGTAGGGGATAGCAAAGTTGGGAAGACAAGCTTCTTTATTAGAATAATTAAGAATGTTGCACCAAGACAACCTTAATCAACAATTGGAGTTGAGTATGCTTCAAAGTAGATTGTTTTGAAGGACTCAATAATTAATCTGAAAATTTGGGATACAGGTATAATATTTTTGATTTAGCTGGATCTGAGAAATATAAGTCCTTGACTTCAAAGTATTAATTACACTATTTAGCCATTTTCATTAATCATAAGGAGCATTATTATTTTATGATCTAACTGATTTATATACTTATGAAAATTTACAATACTGGTTGAAAGGTAGATCTAAATGATAAATGAAGATATTTACAATAATGCTGATGATAGAATTGTGATAATAATAGTAGGAAATAAATTAGATCTAATTCATGATGGAGTAGAACTCAGATGTATTGCCTAAGAAAAGGTTCAATAATTTTGTAAGGCTAAAAACCTTTTTTATTGTGAAATATCAACAAAAACAGGAGAAGGAATCAATGAATTACTAAATTAACTTACACATAATTTATAAGCTAGGAAAGTCTCACAAGATGTATTATAATAAAGACCTAGACAAAATTGTTGTACTTGATTGAATTATAGTTATCTATTTATTAATATTGATTTTTTATTCTTTCTTATTTATTAATATTGATTATTTGTTCTTTTTTTTTCTAAAGACTTAAAAAGAAAATTAAAGCCTAATTAATACATATTATTTGATTAATGAAAAATTGTGAATTATAGAAATTTGATTAATACCGATTCTTAAATTCCTAATGATTCTATTGTTTAGAAATCATAATTAAAGGACATCACCCACCAATATAAATTTAAATATTTAAATAATTTTTTAATTTAATCAATGGACCCTCACGGTGATGATGATGAATAAGTAGGAGAAGACTATAACCCAGAATAAGAAGTGTTTGTAGGAGAAGGGTAGGCTACTCTTCCTTAACTACCTGTTTAAACTGGAGAGGAAAATGATGAAGAAGTAGCTAAATTCCGAGCTAAAATTTATAGATTTGCAGATTCTTAATGGAAGGTAATATATGCGATTTACTCTTAGGAAAGAGGTGTTGGAGACATGAAATTCCTTAAAAATAAATAAACAAATAAAATCAGATTACTTATGAGATAAGACAAGACAGGAAAATTAATTGCTAATCATTTCATCACAGCATAAGAGGGATTTTGCAAATTATCCTAATTGAAGACAGCCGACAAGTCATGGATATGGACATGTTATGACGCTTCTGATGAACAACCAAAAGTTTGGCAATTGTGTGTTAGATTTACTTCACCAGAAGAAGTCGAAAGATTTAAAACAGAATTCGAAAAAGCCTATGAAAGCAATAAGGCCTTGTAAGAGGAAGTTCCAAAGAAGGAATGAATTATAATTGTCATTATTAATAATCATACATTATTTATTTATGAATTCATTATAATTGGACTAAATATTCTAATTATGTTGGAATAAAATTAGAATAATTCGAATTAGAAACTTGCTTGTTCTTACAATCTATAATATTCATATATATAAATAAAGTGTTAGAGTAACTCTTAAATAGTGTTTTTAATTATTAATTCTATAATTGTTTTCATTATATTAACTCAATTTCTTAATATAAATTTCTAAAGAATTATCAAATTAGATTTATGTGTCTGAATGTAATCAAATCTAATCAAAAATGTCCATTACATAATTGCAGCTTATATAAATGATATTCTTCAATCAATGAATTAAGTTTATTTAAATTAAAAGATTATTAATCTTCTTATTTTAATGGATTCTGTATAATAATAATACAAAAAGAAGTTCTTCTCGGAATTTTTTGACATAAAAAAATAACCATTTAATAATTTTTCAATGCTTTTAAATATTTATTATTATAATATACTATAATATATAATTTAAATGAAGACTATTAAGTTTAATAATTATAAAACTAATATTAATAAATATGAATGATTTTGAATTAGAGTATAATAATTTGTTATAGATGATATTTTTTAATATCAGTATTGAAAATGAATAAGTATAAACTAAATTCAGGCTATTATAATTGATTTTAATTAAAAAAGACAAAAAGATTCTAATAGAATGTTAGAATATATAGATATAAACCCTCTTTAATTAAGAATAAATATTCTTAATAATTTTAATGTGATTATATATTATTAATAATAATTTAATGAGAAATTTTTTAAATAAATTGAACATTTTCTTAAATGCTAAAGAAAATCCCCATCTTACCCAATATTTAGTTTAAAATTCGTCGTTCAATAGATTTGTACACAAAACAGAATATATGAAAAAAAAATTTTGGTAAAAATTAGATGAAGCTGCTTTTCCAGAAGAATACTAAAATAAATTACTAGAATAGAATAAGAAAAATTCTAAGAAATGAATTGATTACCTATAATTACAAATTATTATTCAAATTGTTTAGTATATACACTTTACAAAATTAATTTGATATTTAGAAGACCATAATCTAAAATAAATATTGAATCTGAAAATTCATTAAGACTTTTGAGTTGTTTAAGTTAATGAATTTAATAATAAGCTCAAATGAAATGAGTATATTGTTTAAATGAAAAAGACATGAGTATTTTCAATAAAAAGTAAATTTTGTTTATTAAATAGTTCTTTTGGTTTGTAACTAAAAAATTTAAGGTTTTTAATTGTTTTAGTTTAGAATATAATCAAAGATTATGTAATTATCAAATGATATCAGAATTAATTAATATCCAATAATATATATTTAATAATATAAAATTAAAATCCTTGTTATATTAATACCAATTATAGGTAAGAATTAGATTTGATTAAAAAAAACTTATTATAATTATTCATAATAATAATGAGGATTTTTTATGTTATTTTTGAGACATCTCTGGTAATAAACATAAACTTTAAACTTTTTTTGAGGATTTTGTAAGTTAAACAGATTAGAAATTAAAGTTAAGCAATTTTGAGATATTTGAGGATGATCGACTAAATTTATCGGAAGTTTAAGATTAAAGTGTTCGATTAGATGTAAATTAATTTTTGTTGAAAAGAACTTGAACAACTTCTTTATCTGATATCTCAATACTTCCAGTTGATAACTTTTTTCTATGTAATGTATCTTTCCTGTTGAATCCTGTCATTGTAGTTTATTCAGATCTCTATTAAAGAGGTTAAGCTGGTTTAAATAACTTATCTAAAGAAATCATGCTTCTAAATTTATGTTATCTTTAGAATTTATAGGCTTAGTTTTCTGGGATTTATAAGTCAACAATATGATTTTCTACTAATTTTCTTCTTAACATGCTTTTATGTTTTTTTGAGTTTTCAATAAGTTATTTAGCAGATTCTGGAAACAATTATAGTAATACTTTATCTATTTTAAATAATTATGCATCTTTGGATAGTACTTATGCTGAATAATTAGCCATGGCACATTCTTCATTGATAAAATCCATAGGGTTGCATTCCATAATTATGTTTCTTTTAGTATAGATTTGAACTGTTCCGGTAAAAATGATAAATAAATTATCCATTTTTTCATATAATTACATAATACAAGCGAGTTCTTCATAATAGAAAAGCTAATGTATTTATGAAATACTTAAAGTGAATCAGCAATTTGACATAATAATTATTTATCATCCACATTAGTAGGTTTGAAGGTATTTAAAAAGAAATGTCTTTTCTATCTGATTAATTACTCATGTTTAAGTAATAATGATGTAATATCAGTAGGTGTTAACATAAGTAATGTACAATTTTCAACTGCGAACTAATTTAAAATATTTCATACTATTTTATTCATATTTTATCTATCTATTAAATAACCTTCTGGTAAATCTTCTTAATACTATTATTTTTTTTTCTTTATAAATTTAAACTTAGATGCAAATTCATCCAAATCTTCAAGATCTGATAAATCTTATCTCATTTTTCCTTAATAAAACATATATAAATTGTCCTATTCATTTTATGGCACTAAATTAAATGCCATCAATTCATACACTTTAATTCTTCGGATGAGCTAGAATCTATAAAAGTGAAGTTACTTCTAAATATTCAGAATGACTTTGTAAAGTAAGTACTTTAATAAATGGTTCTAATTTTAAGAATTGTTCTTTATATAGAATCTATTTTAAACACAATAAATACTTCGATTTCAGCTTAGGTTTTATCAGTCTTCCTAAACAAATCCATTAATTCAATATTTATAAATAATATCAATTAATCACAAAAATCATAAATTTAATCCAAACACAGCTCCATTACCGAATTTAAAATCTATTCTTTATCTGCTACATTATAATATTGATTTGATAATTTGAAAATGAGTTACTATACCAATTTTACTTTAAGTTTAATCCTCTTTTATTTTATCTACAAATCCTTATACTCTATTCATCACATTCCTACTATATTCTAATTAAAAGCTTGATCCTTTTTTAACAAACTCTTCAACTAAGAATCTTTCTTAATCTTCCTTATTAGGTTAACAATCACTTAAATTGTAACATTTTTGTAATAAATTGAATTACCAAAATTCAAGATTATCTGGCATCTAACTAAAATCAAATTTTATTGGATTTCCATTCTAAATATAATTTATAGAAAGGGTACATCTTTTAAAATATCTGTAAGAGTTCCCCATTTATAAATTGAATTTATCGTACTTATTTTCTCACATATGTCCGGACATAGTATAAATTAAATCTTCTCTTTCTATGGATGGTTGCAAAACAATAGTTGAGTTGTTTGTATTGCTCTATAGTTACTTTCAAATAATATGCCTTAACAATGGTGACACATAGACTTTATCAAAGTCCAATTTATTTATTTCTAACTTTAATTTATCGCATTATTTTGTCCCTAAATATTGTAAAGGAGGATCAATCAAATCATAATGATAGATATTTGAATCTTTAAATTCTGTTACTCTTTTAAAATAATTATGCCATGCCAAAGCATGCCTTACTAAAATTTCATTCTAATTCTATACTGATTATGAATTTACTATTCAAAGTATTTTAGGGAGTGAATTCTAAACTGATCTTTAATTTTTTCCATCCTTCATCTTCATCTTTCATTTTATAGATTTCAAGCTCCAACTCTTTAGCCTCTCTTATTTTCTATTCTAATATTAAATATTTGTGTCTTAACTATAATGGACATCTAATATACTAAAATTACATACATTTTAGATAATAGTTAAGTATCATAAACCTATGGCTATTTTACAAGCTAACTAAATTTAAACAACATAAATAAAATTGTTTAATTTTTAATATCAAATATTATATAAATGCATTGGCTTATAAAATTCATAAAATGCCAACAATTTAAAAAAAAAATTATACAATCCTATTAAAATACACTATAAAAGGATATATAAAAATAATAATAATAATTAAATCTAATATTATATATAATATTAGAGATTTAAATTTTAATACTACATCTTTTAAGTTAAAATCCATTTTATTAATATAAAACATCAAATAAGAATAATAATAATTGTTTATACATTAAATATATCCTATTAGAAGTTCAGTCCATATTGAATTAATGTGTAGATTAAATAGAACGAACAAATAAATATTTCTTAGGGTTTATTTTTTATTATCATTTATTTTTATGAAACAAAAATCAAATAAAATAAATAAATGAATTGATAAGGGCTATAACTATTTCTACATTCAATTTTATACTAATGTCTCTCTTTTAGAGTCTACACTTATTGTTTGACTTCCATTTTTACTATAAATACATTTTCTTTATTATAGTGAATGTATTCTAGCAGGTGTTTCATATGGCTATGATGATTTAGGTGTTTGAAGTCTCATTAATGTTCTAGACTAAAAATTTGATGATTATGTAGGTGTTTAATGAAGATTCCTTTTTAATTCATTTTGTCTTCTATCTAATAACAATATTAAATTTGTTAAATCTTTTTCTTAATTAATTGATGGAACTTAAAGTGTTTCACAAAAATCTTATATAATGTCTAAAGAATCTTTTGTTAAGTTAAAGCATTAATTTAGATATTTCCATTAATATTATAATTAAGAATTCAATCCTTTTATTTATAAGGGTAGATCAGCTGAATTTTAACTAGTTTTGGAGATACTTTAATTTATAATTATATTTACTTTTCTTTTAATTATTCAATATACTTTTATTAACGAGATATCTATTTCTAAAGAGTTTTAATTTCTTAATTAAACTATTCTTATATTGATAGTTAATTGGATTTGATCCCAACATTCTATTCAAGAATATTTTATAATTTTATAAGTAATTATTCTTATTAATTACCTTATCTTTCCTAAATCAGGCCTATTTTAAATGAGTCTTCATCAAATTTTTTGACAGCTGAATGCACTTCGAATTTTACTGCTTTTGAATTATTAACTTCAAGTTCTTAAAATAGAATTGCCAAAGTTTTAAATTTTTCTTATGTTTAATTAATATCTTCAAATCATTAACTAATATGTACCAGTTTTACAATTTTCTAATCTTTTTGATAAGGCTCCTAATTAATTAAAACATTCATCAATTTATTAAACTTCTTTAACAAGAGTTTACAAACGTTCATTAAATAATGTACTATCTTGTTATGTTTGAGTTTTCATTTCTTTTGTATTTTTAAACAAAAGTTATACATCATTTCTTAAATAACTAATACTTTAGGATACATTAGAAATACAATCACGAATTTCATTCTATTTATATATTCAAAAATATTACAAAATTATCATCCAAATTCTATTTTAAAGCATATTTATGTTTAATATAATCTATCTCTTCGTTAATTTTTTCATTGGTTTACGTTTAAAATTTTTATTATTATTTTGCATTCAAAATAGTCTAATAAGTAACATCAACATTTGTTTTAAATTAATTAATATCATCTTGAACATTTAGAATCTTATTACTGAAATCATTATCAATTTTAGTTATCTCAGTTGAAATCATTTTTTGAAATTAAGCTAATTAATCAATATATTTGCTTTACTTTAATTGAATTCAAAAAGATTTTCTATATTTGTATTTACAGATTTTTAATATTTTAGAAATCTTTCATTTATTCCAAGGAAATCAGAATTTTCATTTAGAGTAACATATATACATGTTTAATATTTTTAATTTTATTCTAAGTATTTTGTCAATAAGTTCTTTTAATCATTACAATTGTAATTATGCAATTGGAATACTTACTATATTGCATCAAATATTTCATTATATTTCAAAAGAGTTTAAATAATCAGTTGTTACATCAATTATTCTCTTAAAAATTATTATATTAAATAAATGAGTATATAAATATATTTGTATTATATTATAGATCTAAATAAAACTATAGCAAAAATTGCTAATATATTAATACAAAGAATTATTTTTATATATAAAACTATATATTAAATGTTTTATATTTGTAAATAAAATTTTCTATGATAACATGATAGTTATAATATTGCTTTAAATTATTAAAAATATCATATTGATAGCTAATAAAGAATTAATATAATTTGTTGAAGTTCATAAATATTCATTTATTTTACTTTAATAAGTTAGAATAGATTTAAAATATAAATAGTAATGTTTAAATTTTATTAATATCATGTAATTTACTGTATCATCCTAGCTATTACAATTTATTTGATAAATTATTGATAACTTAATTGTAATACATATCAATTTTTTATTTATTTTATTAAATAAAATCTAAAATATTCATAATTAGAATCATAAAAACATAGACTCAAATGTATATTTAAAATAAGATTTAATTATAATATGTTAAAGAATATTACAATCTATCTAGTTCATCAAAAAATATTGTTATACTTAATTATATTTCTTGCATTTAGGTGTAAAAACAGCCCAATTTAAATTAAAAAAAAGTTTTTTTTTAAAATATATAATATTTAATCAAGTTTATGTCTTAAAAACCCAAATTACCTTCAAGCAGAAAAGTTTATCCTGTTACCAATTCTGGAGAAGCATCCCCAGTTTAAACTTAATAGATTGAATCATCAAAATCAGTTTCAGAAGATAAATAATAAAAAAAGAATGATGACATTAAATTGATAACAGATGATTATGTATCAATTAAATTTAAGAAAAGCCTCCAATTACATAGGAAATAATGAAATTAAAAGAGAAATTACAATTAGTAGATAAAGATTCACTCTCTTTTAAGGAGATTGAGAAGGATGATGTTTATTTTTATGGAGATGTGATGTTTAATATGAAATGTGGGTTTGGTAAATAGTTCAATAAAAATACTTTATGCTATTATTAAGGTGAGTTTTTTATGGATTAATTTCATGGTAAAGGTACGTTAATTTATTAAGATGGTACAATAAAAGTAAAGAATTATATTTTAAAATTAGTAAGGTGTATTTTTTTAGGGAAGATTAGTTGATGATGTATTTCCTTTTTTATAGCTTTCATATGATTTAAAATTAGACACTTTTCAAAATTGTCCAAATGGTGCAAATTTTACTGGTTTACTTGATGAAAATGGAAAGAGAAATGGTATTGGAAAATATATTTGGCAAGATGGTTCGATTTATTTTGGTGAATTTTCTGATGATAGTTTTAATGGATATGGATAAATGAGTTTTGCAAATGGAAATGTATATTTGGGAGAATGGAAAAATGGATAGATGTAAGGTATTGGTCATTTTATATGGAAATCAAATAATTAAGAATATATTGGGGAATATAAAAGAAATAAAAAGAATGGATTTGGAATTAATAAATTTGCTGATGGAAGGAGATATATTGGTTATTTTCGAGATGGATAGTTTGATGGTTAAGCAATCCTTTAAAAAAAGAATCATTTAGATAAAATATCATATTGGTAAAATGGAAATCAAATTGTTGAACCAACTTAATATACTTGTGAAGATAATTTTTGATTAATTTTGTAATAAATGATTTATAGATAATTTTTATTATTATAATTATTTGTTTTTGTTTTCTAAAGTATTTGATTCAATATTTGAATTCATATTATGAGAAATTATAATTAATCAATAATTTATTTAATTAAATCATATTAATTACAAGTTTCTATTAATCTATAAAGTATATTTAATATATATATATATAATATAGTATTAGTTTAAATAAATAATATAGATAATATTCTTATATATTAATTAAATATATAAAATAATAATAATTACATATAGTTTCATGGATTTGTTTCTGTTTATGGTAATACCAAAAATTTAGAATACTTTTGAAAATACATTTCTAATATTTAAGTCCCTGTTTTTCCTCTACTATCAAGTATAAAAAATCCACAATAGATTGTATAAAAGAGATCTATACCTCCAAAAATATAGAATGCTCCTGAAATATTTACACCTTAAACAATATATGGAAAAGAGAAGATTAAAATGGCTTAAAATATCCATCTCAAATCCATTGTAAAAAAAGTTCCATCACTATCATTTAATTATGGAACAATTCCCTAAACTATAAAAATAATATATTACCCAACATACTGGACTTAATGTTGCTGCAAATACCATAATTAAAAGCACTAAAAAGACAAAAATAAGAAATAATATAGTATCACTTTGATAATTAGATAAAATTGCTATAGTAATATTAATGGCCCCCATCAAAATAGATCCAATAACTATTTTAAATTAGACTTTAATACTTAAAATATATTTCTAACCTAATCTAGGCAACATAGGAATTGTTGTAAATTAAGCAACAGCACTAAATAGACCAATACATATAGTATAAATTGTTTTCAATACTAAATCTCCACCTGATAATTGTTCAAAGATTTAAGCACTATAATAAAATACAGCAAAAGAACCACACCAAATTTAAACAAACATCTAAATATTTATAATATAATCTATTACTGATATAACACCAACTTGTAATCCAATTAGATTCTTTTTTTAAAATATATGTAAAAATGAATTCTATGTTTTAAACTGTTCATTTTATGCTATTTATCTATATCTATCTAATTAACCTTCTACATATTCTTCCTTATATATTTTCATAATAACCTATTTAATTTATAAGTGAATATATTACATATTTTGCTTTTTCTATATCATTTCTTTATAATGATTATTCTGGACTGTCATAATTATAAAAAAAATATATAACAGTAGATCTGATTATAAAGATAATAGCTGGAAATAAAAAAACAATCCTCCACCAATTTGATGTAACACCATGATATCTATAAATATCAAATAAATTATACTTTATATATCCAATTCCCATTAATTATCCTATTGCTAAACCTGTATTTACTCCATATCCTAAAATCATACTAATTTAGTAATAATATTTTTCAGGACATAATGATTTAACATAAACAGGCATTATTAAACTGGAGATGCCATTTGCAACTCCAAGAAAAAAACGAAATACAATTACTACATTTGTGTTAGCTATTACAGCTAATAGACTAGATAATCCAATTAAATCAGCTATATGAATACATTATTTGTTAGTAAATTTTCTTTTGAGAAAATAACCAATAATTACACCAACAACACATCCTAATGGCAAAATTCCATTTATTAAACTTAAAGAGCTTGTTTTTTCTTCTTTTGTTATGCCTCTTAATATTTAAATCAAAAAACATACAAATTATCAAAAAGAGTGTCAATAGAAAGTGTTAAATAGGAGAGAACATACCCAATATTTAAAGCTCCTAGTTAGATATTCACATTCATCAAGACTACTTAAAATACTGAGTTAACTTTAGGTGAATTTTCGCTGATATTTGTTTTCATATTATATTTAAAATTAGATATTATTAATTTTATACATACAAATTAATAAAAAAAATATCAGAATTCAGAATTTCTATAATTAACAGAAGCCTATTTATATATGAAATATTATCGATATTTATTATTATGTATTATTTATTTTGATATTTACTTATATATTTGTTTTTGTTATTTATAAAAAAGAGAATAAACAAAATAACATTAAATAAACTTGTTATGAAATAAACAATAACTAATTATTTTAAATGCATTTTATTTATATAACAAAAACAAGAAATTTTAAATGTCAATTATATAAATAATTATTATAATGTAGTATAATATTAAAAATTGTGGAATATTTTATTTTTTTTAACAATTTACACGTAATTCAGATTATTTGTTTAATAAATGAATTTTATTTATAAATTAATTAAATAACAAAAAGAATGTTTGAAACAAGATTTATACCTTGTTTGGTTGTCTTTGTGTTGGGTTATGTATTGAATGGATTAAAGAGTGCCTTAAATCCCGAATAATTCTTAGCCTTTTTGGGTTATATGGGTTTAAGCATTTTTGCATACGTGTTATCATATTGGATGATTCCTAAGATTGCTAAATTAACTGAGAAGGCAGATATCTTTGGTTATGATATAAATAAAAAAGGTATTCTATTCATTTAATTTAATAGGCACTGATGCTGGTAAAATAAAAATTCCAGAATCTTTAGGCATAGTACCTGCTACAATTTATCTCATTTTCAATATTATAGGAATACTATTTACTAGAGCATATATGCCTGATTTAATAATGTCACATATCTCAGGATTGTTAGCTATTACATTTATAGTATTTTTGGGTTTTGCTGATGATGTTTTGGATTTGGCATGGAGATATAAATTGTTATTACCACCAATTGCAAGTTTACCTGTTATTGTTGCATATACAGGAGGAACATAAATAGTTTTACCTCAATTAATTAGACCATATCTTGGATAAACAATTGATTTAGGACCAATATATTATCTTTATATGATTATGTTATCTACTTTCTAATCAAATGCAATTAACATATATGCTGGAGTCAATGGATTAGAAGTAGGATAATCTATAATTATTGCATTGTCAATAGCAATATATAATGTCATTGAAATTTCAACATAATAATAACATTTATTTAGTCTGATGATTATAGTACCATACATTTCATCAGCATTAGCATTATACAATTATAATAGATATCCATCTAAAGTATTTGTTGGAGATGTATTTTGTTATTGGTCTGGAATGACATTTGCAGTGGCTGCTGTACTTGGTCATTTTTCAAAAACCTTGATGTTATTCTGCATTCCACAACTTATTAATTTCTTGTATTCACTTCCATAACTATTTGGAATAATTCCATGTCCAAGACATAGATTACCAAGGTACAATATCATTTAATTTAAATTAATAGATATGATGAAAAGACAGGTTTGTTATATCCAATCAAAACTAATTTAACTTTAATTAATTTGATGTTGTTAATTAAGGGACCAACAAGCGAAAAGAATTTATGCAGAGTTTTATTATCATTCTAAATACTATGTACGATTATTGGATTTGCTATAAGATATTTGGGGTCATAGATGTTCTTTTGATAAATATTTTATAAGTTATAAATTATATAAATGTTAGCCTCTTTTTAATAATAACCACTTGTAAGAAAAATGGTCAAATCTCAAGTTGAATTATCTATGCCATAGACCAAAACCACTTCTGATTTGCTATTCTAAAATTAAAGATCTTCTTATTAACAATATAGAAAATAAACTTAACAATCAGATGAAATTTCAGTTTAGAAATTATTTTTCAGAACTACAGAACCATCTATATAAGAAACACCTAGTTCATTATATTTAACTAGACAAAAAGAAGAGCCTTTCATTACTACTACATCAAAATTTTAAGAATAAAAATATTAATAGAGAATTGATTTCTCAAATTCAGACCATAAGAATTCAATTATTGAATTACCAAAATTCAGAATGGTTGCAAGTATGTATGGTAGAAGTATCATGTCTACAGCTAAAATTAATAGAAGAATGGCCGAATCCTCTGATAGTGAGTTTTTTATGTAATCGCCAGGGTAAATTTATTATAAAATATCAAGAGATTAAGATAAATGATAATTTGTAATCAATTATTTATGGAAGATGAACGATTCCTTTATTAATTTATGTATATTCCAGATTTGACATAACCAAAAGAAAGATTTGATGATTTTGTCAAATGTTTAAGGAATGTACAAAAGATTAATAGCAAAAGATTATTTTTTTATTTAAAAGATGGAACTCCAGTTAATTCTCACTTAGATATACCTCCCACTCATAAAACCTTAATATATAGTCAAAATTCTGTTTATAAACCTTATGATAATCCATAATTAGATCTCTTAGAATAATAATGCAAATCATATAACTTCCTTTAAATAAAAAAAAAATAATAATATAAAAATAGTAATTCATAAGTGGAAGATATAATTAGAACTTTAAATGATGGATAAGATAATCAATATAATTCTAAAGAATTAAAAACATAATTAAGGAATCTCTCACTTAGAAAGTCAAGTTTAAAGAATTCTCTAGAAAAATTAATAAAACCAACTTAATTTAATGTAGATAATAATTTAAAATTATAAAAAACTGTCATTAATACATAAATAGATAAAACTGAAACTTAGGAATAAAATAAAATGGAATTATTTGATGATATGTTGTAACTTTATGAATAAGAATTAAAAAAAATTGATTTCAATTAAAATCAACCTGATGATATTAATTAAATTTAATTTGATAATGAAAATGATGAAATGAGATTAAAAATTAAATAAGCTGCTTGTTTGTTAGAACCATTATTAAATAAATTTTTAAATTTCACATAAAAAAAAGAAGAAATTATTGAAGAATAATTTTAATTGAATAATATGGAATAAAAAAGATAATCTAAAAGTTAATAAAATTTTGTACATAAAAATATTAAAAGGAGAATAAGTCATAAATTTAGCTTATAATAATTATTAAAAATAAATCGAGAATTATTTATTTAAAATATTCCAAAATTATTATCATCATCAAATTTCTCTCGTTATGAATTACATAATACTTATGTACTCTATTGTGCTTTATAATAAATTACATCATAAAGATATAAATATTATAATATAAATGATGGTGTTGATTATTAAACTTATAGAAGAGGAATATTTTAAATATTCTTTTAAAATGAATTTTTGGCTCAATAAATTTTTAATAGAATAGATTATAATTATAGTGGATTTCTTAATTGGGAAGAATTCTTAAGATTAATGATGAGTATTAAAGCAAAAACAGTTGTTGAAAAAATTGATCTTTTTATTTCTATTTCTGATAGTGATGGAAATGGTAGACTATCTCATGATGAAATTTTTAAATTAGCTAAATTATGTTTATCTCATTATGTATAAGATAAGGGAGAATTTTTAGATATTTTATGTGAATATTATACTAGGTTAATCTTTTAAATTGTCAATAAAGAAGTAACAGAAGAAATACCTTTTGAAGAGATCAAAAAAGCTATATTAGAAAATAAAGAAGATAGTGATCTCTTATTAATGTTTTGTGGAGCAGATGTATGAATGATGTATATAAATGTTTTAAGTTCCATCATAATAAATTCAGGTTCTTTTATATTCACTTTAAGTTGTTTTCAAATCATCTATTGTAAAGTAATAATTATTGGCACCAACTCTATTTAATTATAATGCATGAATAAAATGAGAATGTGCAAATTTTGATTCATAATCACCAACATAATTGATATTCATCTATGTTCTCTATTGAATTCTATTTATTGTAACTAATTCTGATAAACCATATCTGATAAATTGTTTAAATAACTTAAATTGTATATTTTATAATTCTGTTATAGGATTTCTTATTTTCTCTTAAACACATTATTATTGTAATTGTTAAATCTAATCAATTGTTTTAGAGACCTAATTCTTTGTTATGTTCTTAAAAATTTAAGTTTTTTTCACTTAATTTATTGATGACTTTGATATAAATGTTGCTATATTTCTAGAAATTACTCTAATTTTGTTCATGAATATAAATTATATTTTTAATCACTAATCAATTATTTCTATATTTATTTAAGGTAATTAATACTTAATTAAGCTATATTAAATATTTAAGTGATCACATATTCTTTTATAAAAAACAATAAAACAAACAAAAAAATTATTACAAAAGGTATTTTGACAGTTATAAATATCTTTTTAGATAAATAATATTAAATAATATTTTTATCATATGGGAATTTGTGCAAGTACTAAATCCATTCAAGTTCCTGCTCATGAACATGCACCTGAAACAGAATATAAACCATTTGTTTTCGACACAACTATCGTTCCTGAATAGCAACCTTAAGTTATTTAAAATAAAACACACACTGTTGCTGATCGAATCATTCCTTAGCATAATAATGCTATTTAAACCTCGACAGAATATGATTTAGCTCTACAAGAAATGTATTATTTTTAGAGAATATTTAGGCATAACAAATAATAAACAATATTTGAAGATTCAAAATTTCCACCTGCTCGAAGTAGTCTTTCATCAGATCCCAATTTTAAGAAAGGAAAAGACATTTCTTGGAAAAGACCAGACCAATTTTTATAGGCTGGTTCAATTAAATTATTTGATGTAATTATCTATATTGAATCAATAGGCCATTGATCCTATGGACATTAAACAAGGTGAACTTGGAGATTGTTATTTTTTAAGTTCCTTATCTGCTTTAGCTGAAATTCCCTAATAAATCTAGAAACTATTCAGACAATAAGAATATCAATAAAATGGTAAGAGTAATGTCTAAACATAAAGGTCTTTATGGAATTTACTTATGTAAGAATGGAATCCTATAGGAAATCATTGTAGATGATTTTATACCATGCAATCTATAAGGAGGTCCAATCTTCTCAAGAGCAAATGGAAATGAATTATGGGTGTTACTTTTAGAAAAAGCTTATGCAAAAATATTTGGATCTTATCATAAAATAGAATCAGGTCTAGCAAGTTGTGCATTAAAAGACTTAACTGGAGCTCCAAGTGAATATTTTATTAGAAAAGCGGAAACCTTAAAAGATGCTGATTTATGTTGGGAATTTATGGAGAAAAATGATAAATAAAAATATATATTGACAGCATCATCAGAGACAAATGATTAAGGTGTAGAATTAGATAATGGAGGTGGAATAGTATCATAGCATTGTTATGCAATTTTGGATGTTTAAAGAGTGACTGGAAGTGATGGATAACCAGATAGAATCATTAAGATAAGAAATGTATAAAATTAATTATATATTAAAATAGCCTTGGGGTAGAAAAGAATGGACAAAAGATTGGAGTGATAATTCTGCAAAATGGACACCTGAATTAAGATAAAGATTTTAAGTTTAATAAAAAGATGATGGAATATTTTGGATGAGTGTTAAAGATTTTATAACTGAATTTAGTTAGGTTTGTGTATGCAAATTTAAACCAGATTATTTATATACAGCCACAACACTTTAAGTTGATAAATCAGATACTGTTACAACAAAAGTGATCTTAATGAAGGTATATTAGAAATCACATGCATTTATTTCATTGACTTAATAAGATAAAAGATTTTTCTAAAAAGGTCATTAATATTCCTTAGCCAGATTAATTATTGGTGAATTAGATAAAAATACTAAAGAAGTATTACATTATTCAGGTTGTGCTTTTGATAATGAAAGAGATATTGTTGTTGAAAAAATATTTGAACCTGGATATTATGCATTATATATTGAAGTAGATTGGGCATAAAATTATGATCGATATTTAGCAATTTCTTGTTATGGATCAAATTCAGTTTAATTTTCTGAATTATAATTTTAAGCTGGTTAAGAAAAATTAGCAATCAATACAATTTTTGATGGATTCTTAAGAGCACATGAAAGAGATACAGATGAAGAAAAAGTTAAGGATATTGAACCTGGAATTAGAAGAATTTCAGGTGTTGTTGCAGGATATCTTTATTATTGGTATTAAAATTAAACAACCAAAAAAACACTTCAAGAAGTTCTTCATTTAGATAAAATATAAAATTTAGAAGTATGCCCTCCTTTTTAAAATACCGCAGATGTTCAAGTCTAATGTAAACCTCTTTCTACTGTCATGGTTAAATATAGAGTTACTAAACAAGGTGGAGGTTCTTATGGATATGCATTAAAATGTTAAACATAAATTAGTGAGGCTAAATCTGAATAGGATATCATTCAACAAGCACTTCAAAAACCAGATTAAAAAGTTTAAAGAAGCTTTTAAGGATAAGTATAATATTTTAAATAATAAAGAATATACAAGTTTTCTTTTATCTTGTTAAATTCCCTGCAGGAGTAGCTTTCTTTTATGAAAATAAAGAATCCAGAACATATTAAGAAACAATTACATTTGAAGTTACAAATCTGAAAGGAGTAGGCATAGATATCTCCAGAGATGTAGTCTTAGATATTCCACCTGGGTAATCAAAACTGATTTAATTACAATCCATCGATCCAACTAAAGGATACTCATATAAATAATCGATTATGTTTAAGTTAATGTGAGAAATAATATGGTATTCAAGCAAATAATAAATATTATTAAATTATTTTTAATTTATTTAGTTAATTTATCATAAAATAAATGTGAATCTTATTTCATAACAGATATTATTTTAAATACTATTTTTATTTAAATATTTTAGATATTAAATAAAATAATGCTTAAGAACTTTGGATTATTGATTTTTTTAGAAAATATCTAAGTGTAAATCTAGATTCATTTAAGTTTGCATGTTTATTAAATAATTCAGATTATTAATTAATCTCTTTGAGAATATTAAATTATGATAACACAGTAACATTATAAATTCTAATAGAGGAATGAGTAATTAAAATATAAAATATAGCAATGATACTAATAGATATAAATATTTAATTTAACCTGTTAAAAAGATTTTATCACTTTTTATTATATTTATAGTATATTTAATTAAAATCATAATAATATACTTGAAAATAGTAAAACTATTCTTTAAAAAATATAATATTATTAAATTATGGCTAAACCTTTAAAGGTGCTTTTGGGAACATGTTTCTTTTAATTCTGGATCTTATTTATGGGATTAGCAGGCTACATGAGCTATAGATTAATTATTTATAGAGAATCTTGGAATATAGTGCTTTTTATTGTGACTATGTTCTTGCAAATTAAATATGTGAAATCAGAAACATACAAAAAGTTTTAATTATGGTTTAATATTATGGAATGGTTTGATAAGAGAGAAATAGTGGAAATGGAGAAACCCAAGAAAAGTAATTCTATGGTATGAAATTCTAATAATTTAGTTTTGTTTTCATCCACATGGTATATACAGTATGGGAATGGTTCATAATTTGTATACAAAAAATACATTCTTTGAAAATTTAGTTGTTTTGAGTTCAAGATTTGCATTATCAATACCATTTTCTGGGCTTTTATTAACATTATTTGGATTAGAAGGAGTACATCCAGAAAATTTAACTAAATTGTTGAAAAAAGGGTCTAATGTAGGAATAATGGTAGGGGGATTTGAGGAAGCAACTTTAACAAAATATGGAGAAAATAGAGTTTATATAAAGGAAAGAAAAGGATTTATAAAGTATGCATTGAGATATGGAACTACAATCTATCCTGTTTATACGTTTGGTGAAAATAATATGTTTTATACTTATAATGGGTTTTAATCTTTGAGACTTTGGCTTAATAAATTTAAATTGATAGGAACAATATATTGGAGTAGATTTTTAACAGTGCCTGTATTTAATATTGATTATGATAAATAGGAACCTCATATTGAGATGATAACAGTTTGTGGTAAAGGAATAGAATTACCTAAGATTGAGAATCCATCTAAAGAAGATATAGATAAATATCATCAAATTTATATTCAAGGATTGAAGGATTTATATGATATTAATGCACCTAAATATGCACCAAAAGTACCTTTATAGATATTTTGAAATATATTGTTTATGTAATTGTAAATGATTTAATTTTAATTTATTATTAAAATAAAGGTTTCTTTTTGGAGAAAAATGAATAAAAAAGATTAGAATAAAAGTAGAATATAAGATACTTATATATATTTATAAAATAAATATTTAATTAATTTCTCATTTCCTATCATTTTCTAATTAATCTATTTCTTTAACTAATTATAGGTTTTTAACATCTTCAAAATCATCATTACTATCATTTCTAACTGGTTCAATGAAATAACCTTTAGTTTTACGATTAATCCATTTAAATTCAACTTCTTTATTAAAAGTAAATAGAAATTAATCAGGAAAAGTTGATTCAAGTAATTATTTTGTTTCTTCTGATACTTAAACCTTACCACGTTCTCCATTAGATTCCATTTTATTTGATATCATTACATCTGCTCCATATACATCATATCTCACAATTTCAGTACCCAAAATTCCTCCAATTACACGACCCTATAAATTATTATAAATATTATACTGTATGAATTCCAATTCTCATATCTAATCCATCGAAACCAATTATAGCTCTCACTTATCTAATAGTTTCTATCATTTGAAATCCTAATTCAACAACATTTCTGGCTTCTTATGCTGGATTTCTTTAGGTTACATCAACAATACCAAAGGCAACATAACAATCTCCAATTGTATACAATTTATAGGCATTTTAAGTTAAACATTTTTTATCAAATTCAGTGAATAGATTTCTAAGCATATTTACTACTTATTCAGGTTCAACTTTACTAGAATATTCAGTAAATCCAGCAATATCTGCAAATAATAATGTGGCATCTTCAAATTAATCAACCAACACCATTCTTTAATTAGTATTTGATAAAAACTATTTCAATATATGAGATGGAAGTAGATATTTAACTAAATTTTATGTTTACATTTTCTTAGTTTCAAGTGATCTTTTATTATTAAATGTACCTAAATCTTAAAAGAATAAATGATATTAAATTATGAAAGTCATACAACTTTAAAATACTGTATAATATGCTACAGATAAATCTTTGTATTTAATTAAAACTATCAATAATTAAGCAATAAAAAAACAAAAATTAAAACAAATTTTGAATTTTATTGAGATATTTGGTATTGAAGAGAAAAAACATATTAATAGGATTCCTTCTGCTGCTTATAATTCAACTGATTTCTTTGTTAATATAATGAATTCCAATATTATACTTATTAATAATGCAATATAAGTAGTCAAGAAATATTCATATTTATAAAATCGATGTTTTAATTTCTTATTTTGTAGTAATGCTAAAATCAATAATATAGTAGAAACTATAAATCGTATAATAAAAACAATTAACCAATTTGTTTCATTTTACATATAAAGTAAAGATACTGTCTTTGAAATATATTAAATAAAGTGCAATAATAATATTAAAACTATATTTATACCTTCTTTTTATTCCATAAATTCTTTACCAAGATCTTTTTAACTATCTTTAAAATCAAGATAAAATTTTGATTTCTCTAATTATAATGCTTCACTAACAAATTGTTCATCTTCATCAAATTAAATTTTCTCAATTTCAATTTCATAATCTGGTGCTTCATCTATCATTTCAATATATAAATCTCTTCTTAATTTTTAAGATAGATCATGAAGTAAATTTGTTTGATTCTTTTCATGAAATGATTCTTCTCTAAAATTATTGTTTGAATGAGCACTTTCTTCAGCTTAATAAACAACAATTGGAGGTAGATTTCTATTACTAGTTTATTAGATAGCATTCTAACTACCTGAATGTTATAATTACAAAGCTAAAGCAGATCTATTATCTTATTGTTTCATTATTAAAGTAGGTCCTCTTTATCCTCTTTTTCTAATAGGAATTAAATCTTTTTATGTTGAATCCTTTAATTAAATTTAACTATTCGAATTATTTTCATAAGATTATTATTTCTCAATTCTTTAACTTGAATCTCTTGTTAACAAATCAAATTATTTATTTTATTATGGTACTTTTAATTAACGATGTTCAGTTTTAGGTGTAACAGGATCTAATCTATTCATTGTTTATTAATCTTATTAACTTGGATCAAATTTAGGAATCAATCCCTTTTTCTTCCTTTCTTTTTTATCTGTATTTCTCTTAATTTATGTAATGATTTGCCATGTAATCAATTCTCCCTTACCTTTAGCATTAACCTTTCTCTAATTAAATTGTAAATCTGGCATATTCAATTCCATATAAGCTTCATTAGATATAGTTATTTCTGCATCTTATCCAGTAGAACATACTCTACTTGTTGTATTTACTGTATCACCAATTAATGAAAATTATGGTTTATGATGTCCAATAACTCCAGCTATTACTCTACCATAATGAATTCCAATTTTTATTCTAACATTACCACTCTATCCAAATTTGAATTTCTTTGAATATTCCATCATTTCTAATGATAATTATACTGCCTTTATATATATGATAATTAATTTACTCGTTTAACAGCACTCTAATTAATGAATTTAGTCCCTTAATCAACTGCTCTTAATCCTCCAGCTGCCATATAAGTCTTTCCAACAGTCTCAATCTTTTACATCCCATTTGAAACACATAATGCATCAAATCCTCTAAATAGACTATCCAATAAATTAACAATATTCTCTTTTTCAACTGCTATCAAATCATCAAATCCACATATATCACAAAATAAAATTGAAACTTCCCCTTAATTCTCTTATATTTCATACATTCCCTCTTAAAATATTAATATATTATTATACTTGCATTAATCCTATCTCTTATAAATTTAGGTAATAATATAGATAAAACATTTGTCATTTATGTAGTCTCTTAATTGAGTGTTGCAGTCAACATAAAATCTTACTTTTCCAACATATTCAATTTATGTTGTAAAGATATGAATAATATAAGAGTTATCAATACTATTAAATTACCATTAATTATTTGATAATAATCTTCTTCAACTAAGAATTTTCTAAAGAATCCTACAATAGATAAAGTAGCTATTATAAAATTAAGTAATGGAATATGCAATTTTGAAAAGATTATAATTACAATATAGGATTGACTTAATAAAATATCATAAGTTCCATCTTATGCAAAATCAGATACCATTTTAGTTAATAGTCTGATACATGCTATAATTAAATTGATTTAAAAGAAATGTTTTAAATAAATACTTGAGAATATCAATATTAGAAATATGGATTATAGACTAATACTTAGTATATATATTATAAAGTAAGTTTTAGTTTGAATATCAGTTTAATATGTTAATATATATATAATTAAAGCAAAGACTTCTAAAAATATGAGTGATAAACCTAATTTAAGTTTTTCAAATTTAATCCATCTTAATTTAGACATCCTCTTAAATTTCATTTCTGTATCTTTATTTAAAAATCTTAATGTTAATCTATTGATTTTATCAGAATTTACTTTTAATTCACAAATTACATCTTATATTGCAATATCCATTTCATCCTTATTCTTTTTAAATACTTTTCCAGCCAATTATGCAAATCTTTTAATTAAATTATGATATTTTTTAGCACCATTTTTAGGTGGTTTTCCCATATAATTTAATACTTCTTCATATTATTATTTATCAATCAATGATTAACAAAAAAGAGGTTAGATCATTTCAATTATGCTACTAAAACAATATTATGCAAATCCATATGAAAAAAGTGCTAACCAAGTTTATGGTAATGTAAATAATTCTATAAAACCATCCATATTGTCAAAATATGCAGTTAAAATTGCCATAACAAGCCAACATAGACAATATGTACTTATAAAGGCAATCCAAGCATATTTACTCTAATTAGTAGATACCATTAATTTAACTATATCACTTAATATTAACAAAATTAATAGCATTTATTTAAATGTATCAATTGGAATATCATCCAATATTCTTAAAGAAATGTAAAGTAATGCTGCATCTAACAATGCATTTCCATTAATTTTAAAAATAAAAGAAGCTACCTTCTTTTTTTTAAATATTTTAATATTATTCTTAAATTATTCTATATATGTAATAGAATCCTTATCATATTATCTTTACATTTTAGATTTTAAACTTACTAATTGTTGAATAAATAACAAGATGCTTTAATATACAGTCAACCATGTACCTGTAAAAATAGTATTATTTTAACTACAATAGGTTGCATAATAGAGAAATAATATATAAATTATAAGTAATGATCTATAAAATGAGAAAACTAATAAATCATCATAGACTTCAGCAAATATTCTACTTTCAAAAAACATTAAGGCACTTAAATTAACATAATCTTTCAAACAAACATCAGCAGTGGGTATGATCCACATTTCATTTTATAAGAATTTACGATTTAATGGATTATCCAATAATTTATTAGAAGTGATTTTTCTATTTAATTTTAATTTTGTATTGCCTCTCTAATAAGATTGATTTTAAATAGGGAAATGACAATACTATACTCCAATATTAGCTTAACAAAACATACGTATATCATTAAATGAATCACCAACAGCTAAAACTCTTTTATTGCCAATAAATTAAGTTTATATAATATTAATGATTTTAGCCTTCTAATTTTAATTAAATTTATAAGCTACCAAAGAATTACTAAAATAAAGCAAAAACATAAAATGTGATAATAAGTAACTGTCAGAAAGGATGTCATTAAAATATTCACCACTTAAAATAATACTAAATGATTTAATATCAGGATAAGTAATATATTTCTCATCTTAAGTAAAAGTCTTATGATATTTATCAAGAGTACTCATTCTCATAGGTTTAGATTATGTTTATTCATCTAATTTAAGTTATTGAGAAATTATAGTAAGATGATTTTTCATTACTACTCTTGCATTTTCATTATCTAAATATAAAAGAGTATCATAATGATTAACTATTTTTGATTTAAAAGCAATAGGTAATACCCTACTGATTTCATCTCCACTCAAAAGATATAAACTCAAATCAGCCTATTTCATTTGATTAATTAATGGTTTTGTATCTTTTCTCATCTATTCCTTAACACCAACAACCTAAATAATCTGCATATCTTTTGATATTTCATTAAAAGCATTTATACCTTCTTCACCTTAATAACGAGACATAAATAGACTTGCATCTTTCTCTTTTAAATACACTTTTGAATAAATAACAGATCTCATTCCACACATATGTAATTTCTAAAAAACTTTATCCCAATATTCTCTACTACCTTTATCAACATCAATATAAACTGGTAATGAATTGGTTTCTTCTCTCATAATAAATACATATTATAAACTTTCCATTGGATCACTTTCATTTATTAATAGAAATTTCTCTTATAATTTATCAGGATATAAAACTAATACTCCTTATTATGTAGCATTAAGATAATGGGCCATAACCTAAAATTCCATCACTTCACCAAAAAAATCAATTATATACACAACCTTACCATTGAATTCATTACAACATAAAAATTTAATGTCTAATAAACTAACAAATCTTAGTAGTTCTTGATCAAATGTAAATTATGTTGAATCATGCATAAAATGATCTTCACTTGGAGAATATCTTGAAACAATCTCTTAACATAAAAGAAGTGATAAAATGGCTTCCTAATATAATAATTTATTTAAGCCATGAATAAGATGCCTATAAAAATCATTCTCTCTTGAAAAGATTACCTCTAAATCTTCTTCAGCTACTTTATCCATTTACATAGACTTTTTAATACTTTATTATCTTTTCATATCTCTTGATGAATTTTCCAATATCTTTCTACTCATTATAGATTTATTATCAAATGATCTTTATTCATCCTTATAAGATGATTATTTAATAAGCATTTCATCTTCTTATAGTTAATGCATACCACCTTAACTAGCACTAACTTATACAGGAGCAGTAGCAATAGCTTTTTTATTAAAAAATGGCTTTGGTTTATTTGTACATAATTCAGGTGTTATTCTATAATGAGTATCATCAAAATCTTCTAATTTCATATTCTCAAATTCTCCATCTCCATCTTCCATTGGATTTGCAATACTTTTACTACTAGCTAAATCTTATCTCCCTGATTCATAACTGGGTATCTTTTTTGAAGTTCTATGTTAAATAGTCAATTTGAAAATTCCTGTATGTCTAATCTTTTTAGATTATATATCCAAATCAGATTCTTCAATTTCTTCCATTTAAAAATTTGGATCTTGCTTAATTTAATTTTGAATATTTTCTTTAAAGATATTCCATTAATTTTTATTCATTTTATTATAACTAAATTTATACATTGTATCTTCTACAATTAAAGCATGTATTCTACATTCTCCAGTAGTTATTGTACCTGTTTTATCAAAACATACATATTCAGTCATAACCATATCTCCTACAGATACTGGATTTAATTATAGATAATCAATATTTGCATTTTAAAATCCCTTATATTTTGTAAATTTAATATGTGCATTTATAACTTCAATTAAATCAATACAATTATAAAAGTATATAGGAGTAGTCTTCAAATATTAAAGTAAATAAAAAATAAGAGTGATTACATCAAAATCAGCTTGATTATATGGTAAACATGCTGCAAATGATGCTAAAAACCAACTAAAAATGGAAATTATTAAAGATATTCCAAGAGTAAGTGCAAAAAACATACTAGATTTCTTAACAAAGAATGATTTCTTTTCTTATTTTTCCATATTTAAATAACAAAAACAATTATTACCTGTCTATAACACTACTCCTATCACATATTAACATGTTTTTAATTATTCTTCTCTAAATATTATATTTCTATTCTCAAATTACTCTCCCTTAGGATCTTTTTTCAATTTAATAAATCCAAATATTTAAGCATCTTAAATGTTGTACTGAATACTACCTGTTAATAATTTCTTATAATCAAATCCTTGTAATCTATTTCTACCATTCTTTAACATAGTCAATTATGTAGGTTATCTAGTCTAATCCATAGTTTGACCTTAAAAATTTTGAGTTTAGACTTAAAGAATTTCATCTGAAACATCCAATAATAACATATCAGCTGGACATATTTCATTTCGTTTTAAATAGATTATATCACCTAATTCAACTTAATCCCAAGAACAATTCTCATAAAGAGATGTTTTAGGTTTTTTGAAGGATGATTATTATTGTTGTTATTACTGGGTGATCAATTATTTTGGTTTGTCTCTTCTAAGCCTACGAAAACGTGTGACCTTTCTGCCATTAACAATTTAATCCTCCTTTCTTTTAATATGATCAAAGTAAAGAGCCTTCGATATTTATAGCACCAAATGCATTGTTAGTGGTACTACATATACAACAAGTTCTTCATCAGTGGCTCCAAATACAGAAAAATGCAGAATCATCACAATAAAATAAATTACTACTCCTATCCGTTCAAATTATTTGAAAAACAGGTTTAATACTGAAAAATTAATATAAGTGCTCTTAACCTTATTTCCTTTATTGCTCATGATATTCATACACTCTCCCTATTCCATTTCTAGCTGTGATACAAAGACTTAGTTACATGATACTTATATTTCACTTGCTTTGTGGCTACATGCTGAAACTTGGTCTTCAAATATTCAAATATCAAAAGTGAAAGCTATTTCATTAATTATTTTTAATATGTTTTTTATTTTACTATTTTTATAAAACATATTCTCTCTATCAAAGTCAATATCATAACATCATCTAATTCTAATTGACATCAATCTACTACCTTCTAGATTAATTCCAGAATTACCGATACTTATTTTAAGTTAATTTCAATCATCTTAATATCTCCTTGTTATGCAGCTGTCTTAAACAATATATTCATTTACTCATTCCTTTTATACCTGCCTATATGTTTTATTAGTTGATAAAAGGAAAGATTTAAAAGGAAACTGTTGTATCCATAAATTAGATAATTACTGTGTAAAATAATAATAAAACAGAATCCTGAAATATTATGAGTAATAGGAAATTTATTATGAGATTATAAATTTTGATTAATTGTTTTAGATGAATACTTGATTTTGTGACAATTGGTCTTGTTGAATTATACAATTAAAGTTGATAGAAAGAATACAACAAAATTTAAGTATTGTATAGTTGCAATTGATGGATATTTGTTTTCATGTCCAATCCATCTATATAATTGTGTAATCAAGGTAATAAAAGAGGATTTATAATTTGTGATAATAAAATCAATTTTAAGAATAGAAATATTGTACATAAAAATTAGTTATTGATTCTCAAATATATGTAATGATATCATTATATACTGATATTGAAATACATTGCAAATACATTTTCTTATATATATATAGAATGTTTAGAAATTAATTAAAAATAAACAAAATTTTTAGATCAAGTCAATTTTTTATCAATTTTTGATTAATTTTATTTTTCATTATTATTCATTAAAAATGTTACTATTATTATTATACCTTTAATAATATTTCTAATTTCAAATATGATTGTACTTATCTTTTTATTTACTTATTAATATTGATCATCAAAGATAGTTATTAAAACTTATATAATAATAATTGATTATCTTAAATCCTAGATATTCATGATCAATAATAAAACTATTAGAAATTTAGTTACTTTTAATATTATTTTGTGAAATCAAAAATTAAGGAACACTTCTTTTGAATTTCTTATTAAAAAAACAACATTTAATTTTAAGTTATTATTTATATGTTTAAAATAGATGATAATTTTAATTAATATATATTTGAAATTTTATTAACTGCTATGAGTTCAGATTAGTCAATTGATAATAATTCAAATCATTGGGAATAATTTGAATAATTTAGAAAAAAAATTACTTAAGAGTGTTAGAGTGAAGAAAAACACTTTAAAACTAAAAGGGATTCATACACTTCATTAGAAAAAATTAGAAAATCTTCAATCCATGATGAAAGTGGACCTAAAGAAGTGTAATTCACTGTTGATAGCAAACCTCCAATACTTGTATAACCAAGTGAAGCTGATAGAATAATTAAATTAAGAATAGAGAATTAAGAATTAAAAGAAAAATTAGAAAAATATGAAAAAAATTAATAAGAGCATTAAACAAATTCAGAAGAATTAGAATTAATTAAATAAGCACATGCAAAATAATTAAAGTCATAAAAGGAATATTATGAAGTTGAAAATAATTAATTGAAAAATAAAATAAATTCATTTAATGAAGAATTAGAAGAATTAAAAAAAGTATATAAAGAAAAAAATATGAAGTTGTATAATCTTGTATTACAATTAGAATAAGTATAAAATAATATTTATATCCAATAGGAAAAATAATAATTGATAGATAAAAATATCTAATTATTAGAGAATAGATAATAAAGTTCATAATAAGATGTTCATCATCTTGTTGAAGAGAGAACAAGAGTATTGAGTGAATAAATATATTAATTAGAAGAAAGAAATGCTAAATTATAAGTAGAGAAAAGTAAAATTGAAGAAAAATATATGAATGTATTGAGTGGTAAATAGTAATCAATGTAAAAAACAGTAAGATCAGAAAGATCTGAAAGAAAAGAAACAAAGAATTGTGATACAGATCGTAAGTCAGTTGAAAAATTAAATCGATCTTCAATACATAAATCTGATTGCAAACCTCCTATACCTACATCAATTAGTTAAAGTTTTGAACATCTTCCACCATCTTAAAAACCAATATTAAAACCTTCTAAATTAAATATTTCTTCAAAAGAGAATTTATAAACTATGAATCACTCAAAAATACTTGATACACCTAAATCAACTAGAAAATCCTCTAGAGCATAATCTTCTGTTTCTAAAAAAGTAACAAAACCCCAAAGTTAAACTTAAAAAGTTGTCAAAAAAAAGTAAATATATTCTAAAATTAAATGAAACTAAATATATATATATATAATTATTTATATATGGAAATTTAAAATAAAAGAATCATAAATATTTAAAAAAGAAGATGTTTTATAATAAAGATATTATTCTAAATTACAATAAATATTTCTACTAAAATTAAGAGATTATTAAATTTAATTGAATTTAATTTTATTTAATCAAAATCTTTCTCCTCTAATTCTTCTAGCTAATTAAATATCTCTTGACATGATTGTGACTCTTCTTGCATGAATTGCACATAAATTGGTGTCTTCAAATAAACCTACAAGATAAGCTTCAGCAGCTTCTTAAAGTGCTAATACAGCTGAGCTTTAGAATCTAAGTTCCTTTTAGAATTCATGTGCAATTTCTCTGACCAATCTTTAAAATGGAAGTTTTCTAATCAAGAGTTCTGTTGATTTTTAATATTTTCTGATTTCTCTAAGGGCAACAGTTCCAGGTCTGAATTTGTGTGGTTTCTTTAAACCTCCTGTTGCTCCAACAGCTGGTGCTGTCTTTCTTGCAGCTTTTGTTGCCAAATGTTTTGTTGGCTTTTTATTACCAGCAGTACTCTTTCTTGCAGTTTACTTAGTTCTAGCCATTAATTATTCTTTAATTTATTTTTGAATTTATTATAAAGTTTATCAACATTATAAAAATAAGCGATTCTCTCTTATGATTGGTTGGCTTAGAATAAGTTGCATAATACTTTATATAAATTTATTTTTTAACCGAGATCTTATCCCATAAGAATGATCTTAAATTTAATACTACAAGACCTTACTTATTGATTAAATTGAAACTATTTATAAAAAGAAAAATGTAGAATATACTTTTTATATTAAGTTATTTTTTTTTAATATTCTTATTTTAATTTTAAAAATAATTTATCTTTTTAAAGTATTTTATTAGAACATTAATATTTCTATATCTATTATGCTTGATATAATACTATTGATAATAATTTGATATTTTAATATTACAGACTAAAATCAAAAAAGTATTTGAAATGTTATTAACCGTATAATCTTATTCATTAATAAATTTAACACATGATCAATAATTTATGAATCTTCTGATAATAAAAAAGCGATCAATAAATATTTGAATATTATACTTAATTGAAATATCATAAATAAAATTTAAATTCTTATTTATTTTAATTAATATACAATATTCACAAGACAAGTGTTCTACCTAATGCAGAAGCAATTAATTCAATTCCTAAAGCGACTGTTTATGTTCCTTAAATACGACCAATCTAATTTAATTATTTATAATACTTATTAAAAATCACCGAAAAATTCTTCTCTAAATTCTGGGGTCTTTTCCAATTAAGGATTCACTTCTACTAAATCCATTCCTACTAATTATTTTGATGATGCTAATTTTCTAAGTAAATAGTGAGCTTCTCTATATGTAATTCCTCCATCCACTAGAGTACCTGTTCCATGTGCGAATTCAGGATCAATAGAATCTACATCAAAACTTACATGTATTGGTTTTCCTTCGAATTATTTAAGAATTCTATTCATCACTTATCCTATACCCAATTCAATGATTTCATCCATACCATAATATACTATTTTTTAATCTCTTATAAATTCTCTTTCCATTGGATCTATATCTCTTATACCAATGTATGTTATATTTTTTGGATCCAATCTGTGTTTTAACCATTCAAAACCTTTAATTGGTTCTTAAATGGAACCATATAAATGAGCTAATGGCATCCCATGATAGTTTCTATTTGGTCCAAGTTCATAATTGCAATCAGCATGAGCATCAACCCATACAACTCTTAATTCATCTCCATAATGTTACAACAAACCATGAATAGACCCACTGGCAACACCATGATCTCCTCCTATATTAAGCATGAATTTATTTTGTTTGGCTATATCAAAGGATCTTTTGTTAATTTCCCCATTGATAACACCTAATTATTGACTATTACGAAACTAATGACTTTTGATATTGTGAAGTCTATAATTTTTTCCTTAGATATCTCCCATATCATTAATTTCCCAACCCAAATTATATAGGGCTGATATGAGACCACCTTCTCTTAGTGATCTTGGTGCCAATTCTGTACCAGTTTTTGTTTATCCTTCATGAACTGCAGAACCAAATAATCCAACTGCATTACGAACAAATTTCCACTGATTCATAAAATCCAGAAATATTTTATATATGTTAACTTATATCACTACTTATATTTTCACAATAATCCCTATTTTTTTAAATCATAATAAGTTTTTTTATTAAGCAAATTTCCATCAGTATCTTCATATTCCTCTTCATATTCTGGTCTAAATTTGCTTCTCTCTTGATCCTGTTAGATTTTTTTGTATAAACTTATAGCATCTTAAATTTTAGTGATTTCTTTAAAATGTAATGTATTTGGTATTCTCAAACATCTTTAATATAAATAAAATAGTTTACCTCATACCATAAGAATGTCTCCATCCTTGAAAATGATCTTCAAATGCCTTTCTTCCCCAATATGATGTATTACCACATATTTCACATTTATATTCAACACCCAACCCATGTAATTTATATAACCAATATGGAATAGGTCTTCCATCCCATCCTAATGGTAAATTCTTTGGATTATATATAGGACTTTCATCTTCACTACTAGCTTCTTCAGGTTAATCTATATTTTATTATTATCAATATAAACCTAATTATTAATCTTATACTTAAACTGCTTCTTCATCTTCATTTTCTTCATATCTTCTACTTTATTTCTTTCTTACTAAATTCATTGTATCATTCAATTATTATTGTAAAGTATCTTTGTATTATAAAATAGCCACTTCTAAATAAGCCATCTTCTTTTTCTTTTGTCCTTCATTATCTTCTTTTGGTTATTCTTATTGATTGATAGTTTAAATCACTTATTCTATTTGTTTTTCTTTTAATTTAGCCAATGCTTTATGTTTTTTACCATCAAAATGATTAACAAATGTATTTTCATTTTAATATTTCTTTTAACAAGCTTCACAATAATGAGGATGTCCTCTAATTTCTTCAGTTTCTTCTTTTCTATGTTCCCAACCTTTTACTTAACCATTTTCCCATTAAGTTTAAAAATCAATATCTATTTTTTATTCAATTTTGCTAACATCTTATAAAGGATTTACCTAAAATAAATTAATGATCTACTCTTTAATAAAAACTACGTAAGTATTCCAACATATTAATAAGATATCTTTTATATTTACTTCCTTCTTTTTCTTTAATATAGAGTGGAATGTCATGAAAATTTTAAAAATTTTGCAAATACCACAAATAATCCCCAATTTTTATTTTGTTACTTTCCTTTAACTTTTTAAGATTCAAGAATTCCTTATAGCTAGCATGCATATCAAGAAATCTACCATGATGTTCTTCTCCAGAGAAATAGGGCTCTTTGAATGGTGGTGCAAATGCTTATTCATAGTAAAATTCGACCTGAACATATAAATTTAAAAAAAAATTTACTTTATTTTGCATAGTTTAAACATTTGTGACTCTTTTATGATAATCTTTGATTTCCTTAAATCTTTCATAGAAGTTTTCCCAAACATCTCCAGAACCTCCAACACCTTATAGATAATTCATTTCTTCTTTCTTCCAACCATCAGCACCATCAATTAATATCAATGCATCTGCTGCTGTTTTTTGCGCCATTTAAATTAAATTGTGTATTCTGTGATCCAACAACACAGATTGATTTGGAATCACTTATTTACTCTGCATACAAAATACTATGGTCTTTTCGATGACTTCGATCTAAGAAAATGCTGATCTCACCTATTCCAAGTAAGTGCTTGACATAAATATTAATTAATTTATACAATGATATATTAATAAAAACAATCAAATTCTTTTATTGGTATTAAATATTTTGATTATGTCTCTGTATTTTAATCTATTTAATATTATTATTCAAATGAGAAGTGAACATCTGTACATGAGAAAGTGAAAAATCTAAAAGATTGTGGAAAAATGTGCAAAAGTTAAAATAAATAATTTTAATTTATGAAATACCTTAACTACGATTTTATTGCACCCTCACATTTACATTACTTGAAGAGCTATCGTTATAAGGGCACAGATCAATCCCTCTTATACAATCACATACTCTCACCTCTTGCTGATTTCTGTCTAAGATTTGTACCTATGAATGTTGCGTATTTGAATTTGATCCAACCTTTATTATTAGACCTAATGTATTAACATTGATGGGACTGGCATGTATAATCTTACCACATATACTTTATTTTTTTGTGATGGGTGACAACTTTGCGGGATTCATACCAAATTGGTTGCTTTGGCTGACAGCCTTATTGCATATGTTATATATGGTAATATATGTATTTTAAGAAGAATTTCGACAATTTGGATGGCAAGCAAGCAAGGAGAACAAGTAAAAATAAATTAAATGTTTATATAAGAAAATTCTTCACCTCTTGGAATGATTTTGGATCACAATTTTGATTCTATGATCATCTTGCTATAGGGTATTGATCTTGCTTTTATGTTCTTCAAATAGGCACAAGTATGACTACTGCAATGCAATTTGGCAATACAATTTTCTCTGTGATCCTCTACATTATTCCTTCTGTGCCATTCTATATAATTGCCCATGAAGAATATTATACACATGAGATGAATTTGCCAGTAATCAATGCAGCTTCAGAAGGCACAATCAGTGTGGCAGTAGTTTTTGCAGCAACTGCCTATTATGGTATTGATCAACACTTAATTAGGATGCGACATGTGGGTATAAAAATTGCCATGGTTCTTTAATTATCAAATCAACCAATTTGTTATGCTTATGTTCATTACTTCTCTTATTATAATTATGCCTGCAGTGTAAAATATATACTTTAAACTATTAGGTTCCTTAAGATAAAAAAGTTTACTTCCATCACTTCCTTATTAAAGTAACTAAGATATTTTTTCTTATTTAACATTGTCATTCTCTACAGCATCATATTTTCTCAAAGTAATGTGATATAAAATCATGTGAGAGCTTATATGTATACTGTTGGATTCACTATGTCAAAAGCAGTTGGTGTAGTTGCTCTTAATCATGTCAGTAATTAAAAATTACCAGAATATTAAAATTCAATTTACATCTATGTTATCATATTCCTAAATACTATTTCTGGATAAATATTAGGATAAACAATTATTAATGAAGGATTTTTAATTTAATTTGCTGCCACAGCAAGTTTTTTAATTCATATTCATTTTTTATACAATGTGGCAAGATAAATATCAGAAGCACTAAACATTAAAATTTTTTAAATCAATTCAATAAACAAATGACATTATATAAAATAAATGGTTTTATGGAAATTATTTTTATTTTTGAGTTATTTTCCTTTTGTGATTATCCTTATTATTTTTTAAATCTTTTTGAGGGGAAATATCACAAGAACATTCGATCAAAACTAATTCTTTAAGTTTAACAATCTTCTTAAGAATTTACATCAATCTACTAATAATATATAAAATCTCCCATATCAACAGAATTATCAATTATACATGAATGAAAATTCTAATCATCCATACCTGTCTATTTATTAAATTCATTAACAATAACTATCAAGCTAGCCCTCCTAGCTCAGTTGGTCAGAGCGTTGGCCTTTTAAGCCAAATGTCAAGGGTTCGACCCCCTTGGAGGGCGGTTCTTTTTTTTTTTAATTTTTTTAATTAAATTATTTCAATAATTTTATATATCCACTAGAAACATAATAAATTCAAGAAATATGTTAATTTTATAAAGAAATTAATTCAAATTCTAACTAAAATTCAATAGAATAAGAATTTTTCTAATAATTAGATATACTATTAGTTTAATGTAATGTAATATTTATATAAGAGACATAAAAGAAAAATTGATTAATTATGAAAACATTATTATTTAAAATTTTAAAAATAATTAAATATCTAATGGAAGAGCAGTTCATCTGTAAATTAAAAAACTTTAGTTTATAAGTTGCTATCTTCTATTTTTGCAATAGTAATTCATAATTATTTAATTATTTATTAATTAAATTCAAACTTAAAAGAAATCATTTTATTCTAAAGATTACTATATTTCTTAGATGGATTTCAGAATCAACTATTCAGTCGATTGCTAATTCAAATTTTATTCTAAAATCTCTAAGAATTCTTATTTGGTATGTAAATCTATTAGTTTATATATCTTTTACTTTATTAGATTTATTAATCTTCTCCATCTGTTTCAATTTCTTCTTCTATGTCTCCTAAAGTCATATTTGAAAATTCAATTATTATTTACATTTCCTTTGTTATTCCCATGTCTTTTAAAATCTTATTTCCTTTAAATGGTACTTTCTTATCATTATAACAAAGATGACCATGATTGATAAATTTTATTGAATTAAATTAGTAGTCTGTTGCAGAAAAGATTAAAGTTCTAAATTTAACAAATTCTATCCAAGGACATGCTGGTAATCTTAAAGCTATAATATGACTCTTATCATCTTTTTCAAAAATCACCAATACCAAGTAGAATGATTCATTACATATACATAATCCTTAATCTAAATTGTCAATAAAAAAGTAATTTGTCAAACCCGGAATAATTTTAGTAACAAACACAATTACATCATAATCTAAATTCATTTTTCTTCATATTGTATACCTGCATTATAATACATTTTGAGAAATTTCCAAATCTCTATTGAAACAATATCATAATCTTCACCATATTAAAGCTCAGGCTTTACCTTATAGACTCTAAGATATTTTGTGCTGTGTATTTAAGGTATTTAATAGCCATCTAAATTTGGATCAACATCAGGGGTAATATCACAGATTCCATAATTCTCAATCGATCCAATTTTAGAAAGATCAGCTCCGTGTGGATTCATGAAGAAACTCTTAAATCTTCTAAACCTGAAAATGATTATCATTTAGTACCATTATGCAGAGATTGCATGTGCATACCCTTCTTAAATTAAAGAACTTTTAGACACAAATCCTTGGTAAAATTCTTTATCAAACATTTCTTCTTTATAAAAATTATTTTATATTAAACCTTCTAAAATATAATTATATTATAAATATATTCGTATAACTAATAATATAATATAAATCAAATGAGTAGATAGTTTAATATTATTATTATTCTAATAACAGTGTATATAAATTTAATAATTAATTGTTAAAAAATAAGAGTCATTAAAAGTAGAATATAAATTATGAATTTCTAAAAAAGATTAATTTATTTAACCGAATTAATTTATATTGGAAGATCTTCTTGATATAAATGTGGAAAAAACTTTCATGATATCGTATTAAATAATAAATATTAATGCTAATGGTGAAACATTGATGATAGATGTAGAATCAAAATAATCATGGGATTCTTGTATAGCAAATTTTTAAGCATTATATATAGAAGAAATAAGCTCTAAAACTGGAAATTATAAAAAATATCCTACACTTATAAAGATGTTGTAATCTGCAATAAGAAATTAGACAGAGACTTTTTATATTGATATTCTTACATTTTAAGATCTAGAGAAAATCAAAATTAAAAGACCTAAATAAAATTAATAATAGACTCTATTACCAAAAAATAAATTTATTTGATTGAATCCGATAAAGTTCATTATCCACTACTTCTTAAATATAATAAGTTACCTAACATCTAATAAATGATGAATACAATTAAAAGATTAAGGAAAGAAAATGAGTAATAAACTAAACAATTGTAAACACTCCAAGAATCCAAAAAAATGAATATGATCTTTTGGAATTAATAAATGAATAGAATAAAGAAATATAGTTTTTAAATATCTATTACAAAAGCTGAAATAATAGAATTTTCATTTAGACTTAAATCAAATTCAAAAAAAACTGAATAAATTCCATCTAAATAGTCAAACTTATCACTTAAAACATCTGAAAAATTGAAATAATCAAATTTATTTAGAATGTAAACGGGTTCTATAATAAATGATCTAACAAATTTGATAATCCGGAAGAACAAAAACTTTTAAAACAATTAAGAAATTTAAGAGAAAAAAATAAAGAAAATACAATAATAACTTCTCCTTCTAATAGGATGGAAGCAAGTTTTGAAGATTTGCATAATATAGATGAAAGAATAAATAAATTAAATAATCTATTACAAAAAGCAAAAAATTAATGATTATTATATATTTTATATTGATATTTTATTCAATAATTCAATAATTTGAATTTATGCATATTGAATAAAATATAATTTGTAGTTGATTATCTTTAAATTAACTAAAGCTGTATTTTGATATTTAATTATAATATTCAATTAAGATTTATTTTAGGAATGAATACAATTTAATTTTCATCAATATTTGAATTACCTTTTGTATATTACATTATTATGATGAAAAGGGGTTTATAAAAAAGTGATTATACAATGATTGATAAATATAATAAATAGATTATTAACGAATGCTTGGCAGCAGAAGAGTCCGTTCTCATGATTCATCACTAACAAATTTAAATGGCTATAATCAAAATTGTCAAGTAAGAGTACACATCAACCATCATTAATTTAAAACACTTAAGTGTGAGAGTTAACATCAAATCGATTAAAAAAAGTTTTGCCCTTTTTTTCATGATGAATCTGACCGAAGACGAAATCTTAAAGAGCATACATATTAGTAAATAGGAATAACAATTTATTTTTTAATTTTTAGATGCTAATTGTGTCCATAAGCAAATAAATGCCCAAGAGGAGATTAGTGTTAATGGGCTCATAATAAAGTTGAATAAGTCTATCATCCAAATAGATATAAGACAAAATATTGTACACATTTAAAGGATTGTGAATATGGAATATATTGCTCATTTGCTCATTCAGAGTAAGAGTTAATTATCCCAGTAAAATTGGATGGAATGGTTTAAGATAAAAATTTTTGGATTTATTAATATAAAACAGTATGGTGTCCTCATACAATCAAGTATATTTATTATATATATATAAATATTATTAGTCATGATAGAGCATCTTGTGTTTATGCTCATAATGCTTAAGATTTTAGAAGAGATCCAAAAATATTATAACCAAAAGAATGTCCTCATTGGAATAAAACAAATCAAATTTTAAATTATGACAAGGGAGGATGTCCAGATTAAGAAGCTTGTAAATATTGTCATGGATGGAAGGAATATGAATATCATCCATTGATCTATAAGACTAAACCTTGTACATAGTAGAATTGCACCAAGAAATAAGGAGAATGTGCTTTCTTTCATTCTGATTAAGAGAAAAGGTAATTAAAATATTTATTATTTAGGTTGCGTAAGTAAATTGGAGAAAACTCTTGGGTTATTGAGGAACCTAACATTCATGTAGAAGCTAAAAGATAACCATATAAAAATACATCAAATTATTTAGGACCTATAATACCCAATTATATTCCTTAAGATTACTTAAATAGAGAGAAGATGGAAATAGGATAACCTTTTTGTTAATAATCAATTACTAACACTAAAACTTCTGATTCTTAATCTAGAAGAGGTTCTGATTTTTCAGATGGTTCCAAGACACAAAAGAAAAAACATAATATTTAATAATAATTCTAATCTCAAAAAAAGCCTCGCACTGCTCCTGTTACTCCAGATTAAAAATAGTTAATAGGAAGCAATTAAACAATGAAGGTATAAAATAATGTACAAAATAATTCTTATCTTACTTATTCGAAAAAACTCTATGAAGAAATTTTGAAATTACATGAAGTATTTTTTATTTAAATCAATTTTAGGGAGAGTACATCTATAAGATTCTCTAAGGTTTCAAAATATAAGAGAAGATGCTTATGTAGATGAGTGATGAGTAAATATAAGAACTCAATCTTACATAGTATCAAATAACTCAACTTATTTAAGCATTAAATGCTATAAAATAAGAATAAAGATATGATGAAACTTGTGGAGATGAAATTCTTAGTTTGATTTCAAACTAAGGCAAATTTTGAAATTTTCAATATACATAAATATGACCAAAAATAAATTTTCCCATATTAATATTTATAACTAAATGAGTTGGTAGTAAAAATTGAAAAAATAAATAGGAACATAACCTTATTCAGAAATTAAATAATTAAGATTTAATAATCTTTAACTCAATAAACTACCAGATGATTTTGTTTCTGAACTTCATAAATGTACCAATTTGGAGATTCTGAGTTTAAATTAATGTGGTATCAGATCTCTTGAAAATTTATAATAAATGTGTTCTGTCACTCAACTTGAATATTTAGATAACTTTACAACCTCAAAGACCTTATAATAGATTGCTAAGGCTTTTCCTAATCTTGAAGTATTAATAGCAGGAGGAAACTTTTTAAGAGAACTGAAAGATTTAGATGCTTTGAAACCTTTGATAAAATTAGAGGCTCTTAATATTATGAATGGCATAAATAAACCGGTATTCATTTATTCATAATTAAAAAGGATTCAGATATTAGAAAATATGCTTTTGAAATATTGCCAAAGTTGAAAATATTAGATGAAAAAGATAAATTTGGATAGATTTATGTAGAGCCTAAATAAGAGAAAAAATAACTTGAAGTTGAAACTCAAATTAATATGGAATAAGAAGAAGTGAGTTAAGAAGATGTAGAATCAGCACTTTGTTCTGATGATAGTAATGAGGAAGAAGAATCTGATAGTGATGATTAAGATGATAGTGATTTAAGCGATTTTATTGAAAAAAAAGTAAAAAATGAATGATTTTATTGTATACTTCATAAATTGTTTATTTCTTTATTATGAAATTTTAGAATAATAATATTTTAATATAAAATGATTTAAATAGAATATCAAAAGACTATTATCTAAATTGAATTCATGTTTTAGAACAATTATTATTATAATTATATATATAATTATTTTCATTTAGACATCATTTATCCAACAAATTAAGTAACTACTTTATTTGTAATGTCACCTTACAAATCTTTCATTTTCTTTTTATGATCTCCATTACATTTATAGTAACCAAACAAATTTGTCCAACATAATGATAATCCAATTATGTCTATAACAAACTAATTTAATCAATCAAATATAAATACTTTCATCAATGTAAATGAAATCATATTTGAAAAAGTAAATATTGCCCATGCTAAAGTAAATCCTAATTGAGCAGTCCAAAAGAAAGTCTTATCAACTGTATTAATTTATTTATTTGGCATAGAGTAAAACTCCCATTTTGAAGTTCCATCTTCCAAAATTATATTCTCCCATTTTAAACCAACTAACAATCTATATTTAATAAATAATTAAATACCTTCCAGTTATATTCTTAACTGTCCAAAAATCAAATGCTGAAAATATTATCACCAAAATGAATGACCAAATACTCTCACCAAATATAAGATAAAATAATAATGCAAGTCCTTTAAATAAAAATGTAAAAATGCAGGCTTTTGGATGTGATGCACGATTTAAATCATAGTTTGATGTTTAAAGAGGAATTGATTCTGAAGTTGAGGCTACAGAAAGTTTAGTTGGTTCGTCTGTTGATGTTTAAATTAATGGTTTGGTTGGAGCTGATGGCATTTCTTACATCTAAATCTTAAAATGTAAATCCTATAGAGTTAATGATTTTCATACTTCTTCCATTAGTATTAATCCGAAATTTTTTAATATAAAACAAATTAAAGCTTTTTTTACATTAAATATATCTAAACAATAATATATTCTAAAAGAAATAAAAAAATCAATATTATTATGATTTATAGATTATTTTTATTTTATCAACATATTAATTTATGAACTTGTTTTCTCTAATTATGATTACAATATATTTAATAATAATATAATATTATAATTAATATATAATTAGAGAATTTAACTTTATTCATCTAAAGTCTAATTCATTTCGACTAAATCTGGAAAGAGAAATTCCTTATAGTAATTAGATTTGAGTTCCAAATTATGGTTTCTTCTAAAATAATCCAGTTATATCATCAGTTTATGTACTTCTTTTACTTGGTCTTCTACCTTTTATAGTTTTATTAAATGGATGAATCATTTTCTTATCTTTTTTATCATCTTAAGGTGGATCCTCTCTATAATAATTTAAATATTATTATAAATTACATTAATTTAAGTTTTCTTTTTATTCTTGAAATTTTAGTAATTGCTAATGAATTAAATGTATAAAATGAAAATTAATGAAGATAAAATCTTCTTTTTTCAAGATTCTTTAATAAAATCTTCATTGTTCTTGCAACAACAACTTTAGCATTATTCCAACTAAAATAATATGTAAAATTCTTCAATATTTCAAAATCTTCCAATTCCATAGATACAGGTTATCTCTCAAAAACAGGTATTGAAATCTCTTAAGTTGGAGTTTCAGGTACTAATTTGGTTGTTTTATGAGTTTTAGCAGTTCTACTTCTATTTGTCTTAGTTTTTGTAGTCTTTCTCTTTTAATCTCTTCTATCATCTTTTCTATCTATTGAATCTTTTTTAAAATCAACAGATTGGATAGAAGGAGTGACTGGAATATCAACTAAAGGATCTTTGATTTTAGATTTTTTTGTTTAAGATTTTTCTCTTTCTTAAGAAACATCTACTTTAGTTTAAGATGAAAATGGTTTATAAGATTCTTCTCTTTTTTATTTTCTAACTAAAGTAATTCTTTTTTTAGTCATCCTTCCTGGAATATCAATAGGACTTGGTAAACATAATGAATCATTTTTAATAGTATATCTATTTTCATCTTTAATTGAAGGAGTAGCATTTCCAAAACTAGAAAGATTTTAATCTAAATCATCATTTCTAATTTTATTTTAGAAAGAATCTTGAACTCCAAAACCAGCTGTTTATAATGTTTATTTAACCTACATATTTCTTCTTTTATTTGGACTAGGACTATCTATAGAATCATCACTTTCTTATATAGGTTATAGATTTTTAGTATTATTATCATATTAAGAATAGGATCTATTTTAAGATTACTATCTAGAAACTTTGGAATAACTTTTGGAAAGAGAAGCTAAATGATAGAATGGATGATATATTACAATAATCTTATTCATTAGGTGAACCATCATTATCTTTATAAGAAACATCTAAATCCTCATCAATAACAGTAATATTATCTGCTTAATTTTCTCTTGTTTAAAAGTCTCTAACATAAGCAATGGTCTTTTTCATTTCCAAAAGAGTAGCATAATAATTTCTATCACTCCTTTTTCTCTTATATTTTATACTTCTGTCTTATTGAAAAGGATAGTTCTCCTTTTTAATCACTCTCTCTTTATCAGGTACATAATGGAGTATTGGACAATCTTTAATTAAATGATTAAATTTTTTGCAAGAATAACAACTTAATTTTGCAGGCTAATAATTTTCACCTAATAATATAGAATCTCTAACTTCACAAAAGCGTTCCTAAAATATATATTATATTATACTAAGTCAATTTAATTAGTTTATAAAACATTTAATAAGGATTATCTATGGATTTTGTAAGCTCTTGAAAATCCTATACTTTTTGCAGATGCACATCTATTGAGTCCTGTAAAAAATGAATATTCACCAAATGATTCCCCTTTCTCTAAGTATGAAAGAACTCTAGTATTTCTACCTTAAGGTTCATCTTAAAATTATACAGATACTGTTCCTTTTGTTATTATATATAGAGAACAATCATCTTAAGTACCTTGTAATAAAATTTAATCTTCAGGTGAATACCTTACTTCTTCTATTACTAAAGAAAGTTGTCTTAATGTTTTCTAAGAGAATTTGGTTAATACTTTATTTGTCTTCATTACATTGAATCTAATTTCGAAATTTAATTCTTCTTATAGAGAACTAGATAATTTTGTTGTTATTTATGAGACTTCTTCATCATTTATTTCTTGTTCTTCTTAAAAAATATAATCATAATAATTTCTAATTCTAGATTACAATTCAATTTTAATTTAATTTTTAGTCAAAAAAGAATTCAATAGATTTGTACTACGTTTATATAGAACTTATCTGGAATTTAGATTACTTAACATAAGACCAATACTATTAAATGAAAAGGCAAATACACCACATGCTAAAAACATACTCAAATTCGCACATAATCTTTCATAATTATTCTAAGGTGTTAAATCTCCATATCCAACCGTAATCATTGTTTAGACAGACCAATAAAATGCATAATTATATTTTGTAAAAATGTCTTAACCAGCAACATCATATGTTTCAAGCCATGTTTTTCTAATTCCTATTTAATAAAATGCTACTCCATGCCATAAACAAGCAAAAAGATGACCTACATAAACAACCATAAATAAGAGTTTAATTAATTCAATAAGATCCTGTACCCAACCTGAAAAATTGAAAAATCTATAAGATTAATTTAAACATTACTCTTCTAATTTATGAACTCTGGCTTGTAATTTAAATTATCTACTACAATAGTATATTGTGTAAGGAATCAATTGCCAACCAATCTTTTCATTAGAACTGTCTACATTAAATTGTTGAGCAACTAACATTGATGCGAATGAACACTTGATTATAAGATATCATTTACTAAATCGTAAATTCCTTGTGTATTAACATAATTAATAAATATTTTGCCTCTCTATTTAATAATGATTCCTTTTTCAATATATGAAGTATTAATGACAATGAATGCATCTACTACAATAGAAAATAAAAAATAGAATTCTACTTCTCTTACTGTCAATGTTCCAAATACTACTTAATCAAATGTAATTCCAAAGGATATATTAAAAGGAGTCCAAAAAAATATTATGATTATTGTCAATATGTGTAATAATTGCCATCCTATAACTAAATAACTACTTTAATCAAGTATTGGTACAAATCTAAGTTTCTTACAAATTTTGCCAATCAAATTCTTATGAATTTTATGTTTAGAATCAATATATCTTAGATCATCCAACATAGTATTTTGATATAGGTTAAAATGAGACAATTTCTTAACATAAGATTTTTAAAGCATATTCTCAACAAAACGGTTGAAATAGCTTTTTGCCAATACAAGTTTAATGAAATTATTGATGCCTTCTTTCTATTGGTTGATTACGTTGGTCTGACCAATATCTTTGAGTTATTCTTTATTTTAGGGATTCATTAAATTTTTCTCTTCAAGTATAGAAGTCTTAGGGGAAAACTAAATCATTCCTGAGTTTGGAGATTATGATGGATGGATATGATCCGTTTCTTTATGAAAACTATTCAATGATGGTGGTTTTATTGTATTATCTCCTCCTTATAGTGGATCAATTTTTGTAGCAAATTTAGCTGGACCAGTAAATTACTTTTTAATATGTTCTTCTAAAAGATTATAAAGTGATATACCAAATTAGGAATGACCACTCTCACCATAATCCACTAATAGATCAGATAAACTCATTAATTAATTTATGTCTTATACACTTTATGGATTTGCCATGTCTTCCTGTACTTAGCGTATAAGGAGCATTCTCAATTATAAAAAGATCCCATATACATAAGTTTCAGTCAACTTCCTTAAAAAAGAATAGTTGACAGAAGAATATAAAAAAATACATCCTCGTCAAATAATTCCAGCTTTAGTCACTCCAGAAGGACACACTTTAATAGAGAGTTTAACTATAGCTGAATACTTAGAAGAAACACATCCTGAAAAACCAATCTTACCTAAAAATAAGATTCAAAGGGCTCAAGTTAGGTATATATTTTTAGTAGATAATTTTACAGAGCTATTGCTGAATATATCAATTCATCTATCCAACCATTTCAACATTTAGGAATATAACAATATATTAATTCACATTCAGAAAAGTAATTGGAATGGAAAGATTAATGGACACATTGGAATATGTTGGGAATTAGCAATATAGAAAAAAGTATTTCAAGAACAAGAGGTAGATTCAGTGTTGGTGACTAATTAACATTAGCAGACATTATGATCTATTGTCAAGTTGATTCTGCACAGACTAGATTTGGCTTAGATTTTGGATAATATCATAATATTATGAATATTTACTTTAATGTCAATAATATTAAAGAAATTGAATAATCGAGAGGAATCTATTAACATGATTTCCCTAAATGATTATAAGTGATTAATCAAAAATAACAAGTATTATTTTTATATCTAATCCATGTTATTACTTATGATTCATTATAAAAATCAATTAGAATTACATCTATTTATAAATCATTTCTTACATCTATTTTTAGATAAAAAGAAATAATATTAAATTGATAATAATATAGAAAATAAGAATTTAGGAATAAATAATAATTATAATTGAAATTCTTTATGTGAGAGGATAGATAAATAGGTATAATAGAAGATTTCATCAATTTTCAAATGAGAAGCTTTGGGTAAATAAGAAAGGTATATATTTCTAATATTTAAATATCTAATGAAAAGTTCTTGTAAGCATAAAATTATAATTTATTTTATTTAAATTCTTTGATATATACTAAATAGATAATCAATTGCAAATAATTAAGATAAATATAAGAGTTTAATCAATTAATTATTAAGAGAGAATCAATGTATGAAAATTGAATAGTAATAATTGGAAAACAGTGAGACTTATTCTGATAACATTATAATTTAAGTATAATAGTTGATTAAGTATTAAAATACTGATATAATATGGTCAGTAATCAATAAGAAAAGAAATGAAATGATTTTGATTAGTAAAAAATCTAATCTATGATGGAATTAAATAAATGAGAAAATAGTTATTTAGTTACTCAAATGTAGAAGAGTCTTATTGTATAGTTTAATATAATGAAATAGGATTTATAGATAGTATAAATTAAAATTAGTGATCATAATATAAATCTATAAGAGAATTGAATTTGAAGAGAATTTGAAGAAAATTCATTCACAATTTAATTGGGGAGATTGGAAAGAGAATATTTTGATAAAAAGGATTGTGATTATTATGAAAATTTTAATTATATTAAATGAATATAGAGTAACAATGTTCATATGAGGAACAACGAATGTTGAGTTAATACTAATCACATGTTAGTACTAATCGTTATGGATCGGTTGAAGGATTAAAAGAACATTATCTTTAATTGATATCGGAAGCTTAATAAAAAATCAAGTTTTTAGTAATAGTAACTTTAAATTTGCTGCTTTTGACAACTATAACTAGTTTGAGTTGTTTGCTTGATCCAGAAATGTTAGGAATTGAATTATGTAAATGGTTTTCACATTTGCTAACTTTGATATTGTATACGGCAATTTATTTGGATTTAAAAAATGCGAACTCAGAAATTCTGAATGTCCCAAAAGAGAATTTGAAACTGTTGTGTCTTACTTATGAAAAGAGTGTATATGAATTCCTAGAGGAGTTTAAATTTTAAGAGAAATTCGATTTAATAAACGTCTTGATGTATAGTTCCTTCATTTGGAGTTTTTGGTTCAGCCAATTCATATTTATTTTGTCTACTAACAGCGAGATATATCTATTGTTAATAATATCTTATATATTGCATATGGTTCTATATTTGTTTGCTTGCATATATTCTTGCTTTCGTTAAAGTCCATAGAATTGTGAATGTTCAATCTTGAAGTCCAAAGTAGGATACTAATATATTAATTTGCCAAGTAATTCCATAAAATAATCTTAGGATTAATTGAAACTAAAAGGAATACATTTAAAATGACCATAATTGTACTGATGTATTATAAAATAAAATTAGCAGTGATTGCCAATTTTATAGGTTCATCAGAGAGTGAAACAATAATAGTGATCTATCTATATATCATTTATTGTGCAGCCATGATCTTTAAGTAATTCTATCATTTGATTCTACTCAACATGATAAGCAAAGTAAACTAACGTCATTTAAGTTGCTTTTAAAATGCATATATGTTATACTATAAGCTCTTTTTCTATGAATCAGGTTTGAATAAGACTTTAAAGGCTATTATCTATTTATCATCATTTGGTTGTGTAATTGTTTGTTTAATCTTAAATCTTAAAAACTATTTCATATATATAGAGGAATCTATTTACAAAATTGAAGTTTATTTAGTTAATGATACTATATGTTTTATTATTTCACTACTCATATACATATATTATGCTGTCAAAAAGTATTCAAATAGAGTTTAATTGGATCATCTAGAATCATATGAATCTCAATTTGATATGAGATTCTATGACTTAAATGAAATTGTACCTAATCCTTATTATAATGCTTTAAGTAGATACTTGTAAATGGAATAATAGTAATTAGAAGAGAGGAACCATCGAGAAATAATTAGGAAATTGTAATTATCTCCTGATAAACCCATTAATTTGGAAGAAAATGGAGATTGTATAATTTGCAGAGAGAAATTACTCTAAGATCATCAATTAGTAGGATTGCAATGTCATCCTTCTCATATTTTCCATAAGGAATGTCTCATAAAATGGGTGTTATTACATACTACTTGTCCAACATGTAGAACTTCAATTTAATGACACATATAAAATTTAGTATATTTTTTATAAATTTCAATACTTAGTGAATAAGAACTAAGAAATTAATTATTATATCTCAAAAATAAAAACTGGAAATGGTTTCTCACTCTTCACTGATTTAGGTACTTATTTTTCTATATTATCAAATCCACCTTATTAAAATTTTACTGGATGAACTATATTTTTAAAATTCATTTCTCCTTCCTTCTCTAATTAATCAATCATATCTGAAAATGATTCCTTAATCTAATTGATAAATTAAACATTATACAGGTTTTTTATAACGAAATAACATTCTATCCTTTAACCATTCAGCATTAGAAATATTTGTGTCATCTTTTAAAGTATACTTGTTATTTGGAGGACAAAATACCTTTCTATTAAATATACAACATTACATGAGCTTTCATATCAAAATATCTTGATATTAATACAATTTCTATATCACATAAAGTTTAAGTCCCTTCAATTATTCTATTTTTTGTTGGCTAATTTTGTGTCTTTAGTTATTCATTCAAGATAAATGAAGCAAAATGATTTTGTGTAGGCTATACATTTCTCATTACCTCATCTGGAGTAACAAATGGAGCAGAAGCCCCAAATTAAAAACTTGGTATTGATACTCCTGGACCCAAATGAGACAATTGAATACTATCATTGTTTTTTATTAACTGAGGAAAAGACTCACCTTAATTATTAACTTTGTTTTCTTACTTGAGTTCCTAACCTATAGAGGAGGAGGTTGACTCATGTAATCTTGCACTACTGGTAAATAACAATTGTAAACAAAATATGTGCTACTTGGAGCTTGATTTAATTGTGGTACAACATTTTAATCCTTTTAAACTTCCTTATTTGTTTCTGATAACATATAATAAAAGAAAATTAATTTCTTAGATTAATTAAATGTAAATTATATGATAAAATATATCATTTATTTAGTCATAGCAATTTGTGTCATTTACATGTATATTTGCAATTTTTGAATAAAAATCAGATGCATATTAAATATAAATAGTTAGAAAACTTAGAAAATTTAGAAAACAAATTATTAATATAAATAATTTAGTTAATAATTAATAAAATATATCTAAACTATATAATCTTGATTCTATAGTTTAGATATAATTCATTTTAAATCCACTTTAGTATTCATAATTTTATTAATCTTACCTATCAGTATTTCTACAATTCTTTAAATATTTTTATGATATTTTTCTTTAATATTGCTATTATTTTTACATATATAATTATGATTGTTTAAATATAATGTCTTTATTTCTATTGATATGAAAATTCTATATATTTTTTTCACTTCTTCTCAAAAAGTCATATTTTATATTCCATTCTAAATAGTAATAATAAATTTGTTATTAAAATACATAGAAACTATATGTAAAGTAAGTAAAATAATTAAAAAATATAGATATAAGTTTTCATTTATTCACCTTTTATTTTTATTGCGATTTTTTTTATTTTTTGTTCTGTTAATAACTATTTCTGAATTTTCTAAGGAACCAAAATGTGATGTTCCTAAGAATGTGTCTTCTTCTAATGCAGAGATGAGTTTGTTATGCAATAGTGTTAAGCGATGATGAATATGCAATAAATCCATTGGCACTTTTTAACAGCTAAATTATTAAAAAATTGATATAATTAATTATGATTTCAGAGTTTATTAAAGCTTACCCAAAATTCCAAACTCTACTTTATATATTAGGTATTCTTGGCTTATTAAAATGCACAAAAATACTGTGCTTTTTATGGAAATTATTAAGGCCAAGTACAAATCTAAAGAAATATGGAACTGGATCTTGGGTATTCATAACAGGAGCATCAGATGGAATAGGAAAATAATTGGCAATAAAATTTTCATAGAAAGGATTTAAAATAATCTTAGTTGCTAGAACACGTTCAAAATTAGAAGCTGTTTCATAATAATTACAAACAGAATCACATATAATTGTTGCCGATTTTACATAATCTATGGATAATAAATTATTTGATAGAATAATAGATGAAGTAGGTGAAAGAGATGTGAGTATAGTAATAAATAATGTTGGTGTAGATGCTTTTAATCGTTTTCATTTGATTTCAGATGAAGAAATCTACAAAACTATTATAGTGAATTGTATGCCAGTAACTATGTTATGTAAAAGATTCATTCCATAACTATTAAAAAGAAAATCGCATAAATCTGCTATAATTAATGTGACATCTCTTGCAGGATAGATTCCAACTCCTTATTTTAATGTATATAGTGCAAGTAAATCATATGGTGAATTTTTGACATAAACATTAAGTGTTGAATATCCTGAATTGGAAATATTTGCTTTAAGACCATCTGAAGTCTCAACAAATATGACATTTAATAGAAAACCAGATTTAATGACAATCACTTCTTCAGATTGTGCTGATGGACTCTTGAAAAGAATGGGTTAGAATACAAATGGTCATTGGAATCATGAAATCTAAGCAGAATTATATAAATTGGTTCCATCTTGGTTATATAATTGGGTATTGATAAAAGTATTATTATAATATATTCATTTAGTTTATTGCTCCTTAATGGTTGAAGGAAAGGACATCTACAACAAGTACCTAAAAGAAAAATAACTGATTAATAAATGTTATTAAAAAAATATGAGAATATCCTTATTAAAATTATTTATCAATTTAATATTTTTAGATTAAATGTTTTTACATTTCATAGAATAATTATTTAATTTTAATGCCATTAATACAAATCACATATTCCCCAAGTAATAGATCTTGCTGTAGGAACTGTTATGAGAAGATTGCTGAAAATACTATAAGGATTGGATATTATGTAAAGAAAGGAGGTAAAGAAAATTAGTTTAATTTAAGGAGGTTATACAAATATTCAATGGTACCATGAGAAATGCTTCACTAAAGCCAATTTATGGGGAGTTACTGATATTGAATTGACAGGATTAGAAGAATTAAGTGGACAAGATAGATTGAGAATTAAGGAGAAATTTGAGGCTATTTAGAGTAAGAAAAATCCTGTAAAATTTTGAATTATTATAATCCATTTTATTATGAATTAAGAAATTCATTTTTTTTATCATTACTATTTTTCATATCGAAAATAGAATAAAGATATTTACTATTTTATATTATTCCATTATTTTTATTATATATTTTGTAGACTATATCATTTTTGGAGAATTGTTATTAGGTTATAATTAATATATTAAAATATTAAGGAAGTCAGAACAATTATAATATTTGATCAATCAATTTTATTATACATTAGTATATAATAGTATTTGTAAATCAAGAGACTCATTTAATTGACATTTTGATTTATCATAAGTGGATTATTTAATTATAAATAAAATATTACATCATTTTATTCTATCACTAAAAAATTATATATACCTTTTAATTTTATCTTAGTGTTATAAATAATTTCTTTTATAAATTATAAATGGAGATTGAAAAATCTTATGCTCAATATGCTCAATATACAGTCAAATAAACCATAGGTAAAGGAGCCTAAGGAAAGTAATTAATCATTCTATTTATTAGAGTTAAATTGGGTTTAGTTGGAAACAAAGAAGTAGCATTAAAATTTGTTTAGTTTTCAAAAGAAATTGAGAAAGAAATGTAAATTCATAGGGGTTTAAATCATAATAATTTGATAAAGTTATTAAATTTTCATGCTAATGAAGAATACACTAAAAGAAGTGGTAAGAAAGAGATTAAATCTTGTTTGGTATATGATTATATGAAAGATGGAGAATTATATGAATACCTATCATAGACTGGACCATTCAAGGAAGAAACTGCTAGAACTTTCTTCCAATAACTTATTGATGTGTTATAATATTTACATGGTTAAGGTCTTGCTCATAGAGATCTAAAACCTGAAAACATTTTATTTAAAGATGGTCAATTAATGGTATCTGATCTAGGATTTGCTACATTTGTTGGAGGCAATTATGGACATGGAGTTTTAGCCTCTTTTAAGGGTACTATCAGTTATATGGCACCAGAAATATTAGTTAGATAAAAGTATGTAGGATAATGTGTTGATATATTTGCAGCTGGTATTATTTTATATCTAATGATGACTGCTCAATTGCCATTTAAATAAGCAAATGCTAAAGATTAATTGTATAATCTAATTTGTACTAATCGATTTGATTAATTTTGGGCTTACAAAGAGAAATCTGGTATCCCAAGATTTTCTAATGAATTTAAAATACTTATTAATTCTATGTTAGCCTTTGATCCATTACAAAGACCTACCCTTTCTGAAATTATAAACAGTTCTTGGTACCAAGGAATTACCATTAATAATGAAATCCTTATTAAATTACTTAATTCACGTAAATTAAAAATCCAATCATAATAAAATAAAGAAAACTTATAGAAAATGCTTGACAAATAAAAAATATAGGCAGCAGACTAAAATTAACAATGTATGTGATCCAACTCTAATCTAGTGACTGTTGGAATTGGAAATTTTAATAGAGGAGAGGAAGACATAACTATTGATGTAACATTAAAAAGAGAATTAAAAAGATTTAAATAGACAGATATAATTCTTCCATTTGAACCTAATTTTATATTTGCTAAGCTAATTGAAAATAAGAACAAATTTGCCAATAAGATTAGTTTTGTCGATAATTTAAAATATAAAGTATCTTAATTATTAATAAATTAGCTTCATTATTGGTTTTTATAAAATAATGAAGAATTTGAAATGGCTATATAGTTAGTTTAAGGACCAATTGAATCTACTATAGGGATTGATTTCTAATTAATTAATGGAAATGGATTGGAATTTTATTAAAAAAAATAATAAATAGAAGACATGCTATTATAAATCGAATGATTATCAAATTAAAAATATTATTATATGTTTTGTAAATTTATTGCAAAAGCAGCCACTCAAGTGATCAAATATTAATTTAGACCATTAATTGCAACAAGCATTATTAAAAACAATCATTTGACCTTACATAATCTAATCACATTTTAATTTGAAAGATTGCCATCATTACCTGAAGAATAAGAAATTGAAATTATTGAACTTCTTACCAAAAGCTGTCTACAAGGCCTCTGGAGGATATGAATATTTATATATTATATCTAATTTATATTATATTTGATAGTATTTAAGTATACATTTTTAGAAATCTTTCTTAAAATTTTATATATTTTAACAGAAAATTATGGAAAATATTATTTTTATATTATTCAATATTTTTTCTATCCAGATTTTCTTCTAATATGTTCATCTTTTTAATCTACATCTAAATATTTCTTTGAATCTCCTTTATTTTATACACCTTTACCTTCATCTTTTCCATTTTTTGTATTTTTTTTGCTTAATTATAATTAAAATATAGTTTATACTTATCTTTATCTTTATCTTTATCATTTTTTTTCTCAATTATTTATGGGGCTGTTTCATCATCTTCCTTCATTTTTTTTGGCCCTCTCTTATATGGTGGTAGTTCTTAATATTCCAAATCTTATTTTGAAGCAGATCGTTTAAACTTTTCTTCAATTAATTTATCAAATTATTCTTATTTCTAAGCAAATTTTCTATTGTAAAATATTTAAACATTATTTTTTACTTTTACCAAATCTCAATTTCCTTATGATATTATTCTAATTTCTATTAAAAATCATCCTCATATTTTTTTTTATGTTTAGCTGAAAGTCCATTATATTTATCTGCCAAAACTTTTGTTACTTTAGCCATATTGAAATCAGGATTCTCATTACTAAATTCCTTTCTATGCTCTGCTATATAAACTAAACAAGCAGATGCAGGTTTTCTTGGTTTTTCTGGAATTTCCATTAATGACTTATATTTCTTAATATCATGCATATCCCCTCCATAATATAATATTAAATCTTCTTTATATTTTGATTCCATTTCATGAAATTAATCCTCAAATTTCTATCTTTCATCATCATCTAATTCTCTCCACATTTCAGAGATTTTATGACCTGCATCTCCAACTTAGAATTTACCTTCTTTTCTCAATTCAGGTAATTTTGATGCATAGAATATTTGATAACCTGATATATAATTTCTTATTGGGGGTTTCTTGAGTACACCACTTCTTAATTACATTAATTAGGAGGGATTATTTAAACTTAAATTAAATAAAATGTTTAATCTATTGATTTTATGTTTGAAACACTATATATATATAAGATATATATTTATTACAATAATATTTATACACTATATATTTTTGTATTTACAATTTTTGTAATCATGACTAAAAATGTATTTATTATATTAATTTAATAATATTTATATATATAAATTTTTAATTAATGGAACATTGTGATCATTGTAGAGAAACCATAAATGAAATGTAGGCTTTAGAAAAGTAAGTTGAAAGCATCAAAAATTAGTTGGAGATTGCAGAAACCCAAGTGAAGCTTTTACGATAGGAGAATGAACTTTTAAAGAGTAACATTAAAAAGCCTAATAAGCCAAAGCATTACAATTAGAGTATGTAAAGCGAGATACAGAAATGCTATTAGGAGATTGCGAAATTGCAAGATATTATTAGACACAAAGATGAAATAATTTAAAATCAAATTCGAAATGATGACAGTGTTAGCGATAAAACAGAAATCTATTCCAAGTAAATTGATATGTGTAGAAAGAAAGTCAAATTTTGATCTTATTATTTATAGAAATGTTAATTTGTTATTCTCATCTTTCCAATAAGTATTTATCAGTTGAACATGATATTATTAAGTATAATCATATAAAATATAATACAATATTCTGGTATTTTGTTTTTAAATGAAGTGGAAAGTTGATTTAATTTTTATTAATAAAATTCATATAAAAATTAGAAATAATGTAAGAATAACATTCACTATTCTTTTGCCCTGAAAATGAAGAGAGTGAAATTATAAAAGCAAAGACATATGATGTTTAAACATAAAGAATAGCTGCTAGCTTTTATTCACAATTTTCAGATGGCACTGACTCTTTAATGGATTTACGACGGCAACATTAATGCAATTCTGCTTGCTCTTCATCTAGTTTACAATCCTCTAGAACTCTACCAGATGAATGTATGCAACATAATTATTCAAAATGTTTAGGTACAAAAAGACACTTAAATTTTAGATTTAGACATCTTATCCGAAGCTGCTAAGTAATCATTTAATTTTGTCTTCAAAACATAAGAAGATTGGTTAGAACATTTCAAATAAAAATGTCTTATATTAGATACATTTTTCAAAGATTGTGCTTTTAATTCATTGATAGAAAAAGAAATTTAAAATGAAGATTACAAAATTAAATAAGGCATAGTATTAACTGTAGATTACTTTACAAACTTATTCACCCTTTCTTTATATCTTATATGGAAATGGATTTAAAATGAAAATTAAATGGATATGACTAACTATGTTTCATGTTAGAATTCAATCCCAATATTTTTCAATCTAATCTTTTAATATCGCTTTAATGAATTAAAAAATGATAAAATCTTTATAGCATTTATAGAATAAACCATTTAAACTATTTCAAAATTGAAATTTGAAGATGAATAACAATCTAAACCATATTTAGGTGTTGGAATGAGTTAAAATTCTAAGCCTCTACCTGTACTTAAAGAAAATGAGATATTTCCTTGGTATCCAGAAGAAGTAGCCAAAATATTAAGCATCATCAATTAAACCTTTTATGCTGATCTACAAATTAAAAATGTAGTTGTTAAAGGAGGTCTTAAATATGTAAAATTATATTTTAGCATAGTATTTCAAAAGAATTAATACTTTCTCATAATATATCATATATTCAGTAGTAAAAAGTCCTTGTAAATATAAAAGATAAGAAGCTTTATCATATTGGATTGATTTAGCAGAAAAATTATAAATTCAAAATGATCTGGAGGGATTATTTATAGTTTTCAAATATGGCATATAATTATTATTGAAAGATTATATTTCAACAATGCCAATATTATTCAAGCATTAAAATCGTATTTCAAAAATTAATGCTTATTATGAACAACAAATAAAAGATAATCTAAAAAATATTAAACCTAATGTAAAAGGTTATAATATTCCTTCCTTTCAAAAATATTAAACTCATATAAAGAGATTGGAATTGTAAGCAAAACAAAATAGATAGGCTTTTGAATAAATTGCCAGCCTTTTAGCAGAATTGGTAGAGATTTCAAAATAATAATAATAAAAATAATCTATTATGAATCATTAAGTATATATAGAAAATATTATTCAGTTATCATTTTAAGAGTAACAAATAGCCAGATTTTTAACTTAAGGTATAGAAAATGAATTAGAGAACAACCTTAAAATTCCTCTAGAAAAAGAAACTTTGGTATATATTGAATTAATCAAATTGTCAAAAATAATGAATTGATTCTTTCAAAATTGACTCTATTAATGTACTTTGTTTTAATAATCACTATGATAACTATATATATATATATTTTTTATTTTAAGAAAACTTTTAGAAATTATTTTTTAATTAATTTAGATAATATGATTAAATTTTCTTATAAAAGGATATATGTTCTTTTTTTTTAATCATTATTTTTGATTCAATAGTATGCTAAATAAATATTATAATTAATCTATTCAAAATTCTTTCATTGACTAAAGATCAGTATATAATTGCAAACTTACACATAAGAAATAATGGTTTATTTTGCTTATAATTTTGAATGAAATAATATAAGTTATGTAGGAGATAAAATCATTTAATTGTCCTATCAGATTTAGGCAAAGAAAATATCATTTTTGTTGGACTAAAGATTGGTATTTATAAATTTAATGAAGTTGGAGAATCGAAGTCATCTATTTCAATATCTTTGTCTGATAGAATAATTGTTGGAGTTAGATTGATCTCTCTTTGAGATTTTCTTTAAATTGCTCTCTTCATAAATTTATTGTTCTCTATTTTAAGGGAATTCATGTCGCTTTGAAAATTTTAATTAAAATATTTATTGATATAATCAACTATTGGATACTTCTCAATATTTTATATTAGGGCTAAAAAATTAATTGATCTTATTCATTATTTTATATATAGATAAGTGTAGATTTTAGTATTTAACCTTAATAACAATAAATTAATATGTTTGCTTATAAAATTATATTATTGATTATTATTTTTATTAATTAAAAAAATAGTTAACTTTTGTAGTATTTTAATATTAAGTTAAATTTTGTTGATTGATTGATAATTTCAATAAAATAATTAGAAAAGATATTGGAAAATTATATTATATGTAATTAAATAATCTCAAATAAATAAAACAATGTTAACATTCATCTATTTTTTGATACAGAATTTTTTTATGGTCTTTAATTGATTGATGGCTAAAAATTAATGAAAATGTTACACATGAAATGTATAAGTTGGAATATTAGACTTTTTAGAATTGGGTTTTTTTAATAAATCATGTTTCTCTTTATTGGAAAGAGTATATACTAATCTCATTGCTGATTCAACAAATTCACTTTTAGTTAGTACATGTTTTCCTTCTTCCATTTCAGATATTAATGGTTAGAGTATTTGAATAACAGTTTAATTAAGATTACCTAAATTTATTCTAATTGCATCAATTTCACCATCATTATCATTATCAATTTAATCAAAAATATTAGAAAGTGAATTAATTATAGCTTATTATGTTAAAAATTCTGATTTTTAACTTGCTCTTACTTTTGATTATGTCATCATCTTTTCCTTACTAACAGATTAAATAGTTGCTCTTTTTTATGCTAATAATTATGCATCTTTATAAAGATTATCAAATAAATTTTCTGGTCTTTACTCAGGTGGTCTACCTGTTCTTGGTCTAAACATATTACTTTCATCAGCACTAGAATTTCTTTCTTTTGATTTATTTCTATATTTTTATCTTCTTTCTTCAAAACTTAGACCTTAAACTAATTATTCAGATATTTAATCAATTTTTGGATGAAATGTATGTTTTTAAGCAAAATAATTTCTATCTAATTCATTTAATTTTTGTTATTTCACATCCATATCTTAATATAATGATTCATAATGAGGTATTGCTATTTAAGATTATTTCTTTTTCTCATCAACTATTGAAGATGAACTTAAAATTTAATTGGAATATATTACACTCTATTTATTTAAGGATGAAAAGAACAACTTTATTATTCCATTTCTAACTTATAATTTTATGCATTCTCTCTTTTCTCTTATATTATTTTTGCTAATTCATTTAAATGTTCCCCAACTGGTTTAGGTGAACGTTAAGCTATTTTAGAAGAAAGAGTATTTATTTAAGGTTTATGAGTACATTCAACAAGTTAAGATTTTTGTAAGTCTTTTCTAGCACTTTCAGCCTTTTATAATTTCTCCTCTTTCTTTTAAATTCCCTTTTAATATAGAATCAAACCATAATTAACTTCTGATTCTTGAGATTTCATAATTTAACTGCTAGATTTGTTTTCTGATAATTGTAATTATCTTTTCAGTTTCTTATTATGAGCATCTTGATATAGTCTGTCATATACTGTTTAGCTTATGCTCTCTTATTTCATTGGGGATTATTGAGATTATGCAATAATTGGAGAAGACCCTTATTATTAGCTTTGTATTTCACTAGATTACTCAGTTGGTCTATGATTCTACTTCTTTTGAGATAACTAAATAAAAAGTTAGACTCCAACTGCTTACGTATTGAACCATATTCATGCGTTCTTTTTGAGCTATCTAAATTTGCTTTTGAATATTATCTATAAGTAATGGTGCCACTCTTTAATTTAAGTTATATTTAATGCAAAAATCTCTTGCCAGTATTTCAGGATCATCTCCTTCAAATACATCTATTCTTCCACTTCTTTTATCGTCTATTTATATTGTCATCACTAACAATTGTCCATTCTAAAAATACTTTAATCCTATATACCCTTTATTCCATTGAACTATGACTCATGGGATTGTTATAATTAATTTTTTTAATTAATAATTACGTTAATGGATCAATTGGCTCTCAAGAAACTCGTTAATAAACTAATTGATGAAAAGCTCAAATTAGTTTGTGAAGAATGTCGCAAGAAAACTACTTAAAAAAAACTAGGTTATCATAATTTTAACATTTCCATTCAACCTTCACCAATTAATTTTGATTTTAGTATTGACAATGAAAATAAGGAAAATTGTCTCTCTTCTAATAGAAATGCTAATAGAGTCAAAGCATCTAAAAGTTAAGCTCTTGATTTAGAACAATAGATATTTAATGCAGATATAAGGTATATATATATCTCTATATATTTATAAAGTGTAATTAGACCAATATCTTAATTTTCAAGTCCAACTGTTAAAGCTTCTCGAAAATAATCTATGCCTTTTCTCAAAAAGGAAACTTAAACAACGTATGAGAAAGTTCTCAAATCAAAAAAATGATTTAGTTATATAATTAATGTATACATTTAATTTTAATGTACTTTTAACATATTAATTTTTTTTTAATGTTATTAGTATTTAAGTATTCAAGTATTTAAGTATATTAAATATAAACTACACAATTTAAAAAATTAATTTATAATAAATAAAAGGATTTCTATAATTCTATTGGATATGTTTTATTATAGTATTTTATATAAATTATTATTTATCATATTTGTTATATACAAAATATTTATCTTGCTTTTAATGTTATTATATTATGGATTAAATATCATAAATTTTTTTTAATAATTATTGTAAATGATTTGAAAAATGTGTTAAAATTTGTATACAAAAATGAATAATTTTTATTTTTATGGGCAATTCATGCTGTTCTCAAACTTAGACCATCAAACAATCTTAAAAAGAAATTCTAAATCCTATTCCTTAGGATGACAGAATAAAATCTTTAGGGGATTCTATATAAATTGGACAAATTGGTGAACTAATCTAATAGCATTGCAAATTATATCAATATTAAGATGGAGATGATTTGATATCTCCTCCACCATTGTCTCCAAAATAATAACATGTTATTGTTTATCTTGAGCCAAAAATAGTAATTGATGAAGTAATACACTTTCAGACTGACATTATTAAAGGAATACTAAGTACACGATCTCATGAAGCCTATTCTGATTCAGCTTGCAGTTCAATTAATGGAAAAGATAATCATTAAAAAAAAGTCTAATTTATATTGTAATCAATATAATGATATAATATTCTTTTATCTTATATGTTATATTATCAGATATTAGATTCTCTAAAACCTTTTAATGTTTAAGACATATGACATTTAATTTACTACAAACAACAAAAATATTAATTTTAATTAATTTCTAAGTTTATAAACCTAATTATTGTAAACTCAATATGCATGTAAAATTTCAATGAAACATGAAATATAACTAATAGGATGAAATTAAAAATGTTCAAATTAGTTTATTCTTCATTTTATTACAATAAAATAAAAAATCATTACTAGTTTTTTTTTAATTATATTAAATTATAGCCATATAATTTCAAATCTTTTAAAACTATAATAATTTGTTAAATCCAATCCTATTTCATTTGTATATATATTATATTATACAATTATTATCTTATTTATAAAATAAAGAATATAGAAATTATATTATATATATTTATAAAAAAAAAGAATGATTCTCTAATTAAGATAATTACTCATAATATTTTAATCACACTAATTTACGGACCTTCTTTCCTTGTATCATAGCATCAAAACCTGTATAACCGTCAATTATTCCATGTTTTAATAATACATTTGGTTGTATTATTCCATTATGATAGATGTCTTTTTATCTATCATCAAATGTTGATTTATCTAATTTCCTATTAATTTCAATCATATTAATTAATTCTGCTTCCTAGTTCTTCATTTATTGTTCTACCCATTCTTTATCCTAGTTAGATAATTCATTTAATGGATTTAAAAGTTTCATATTATCATTTGTAGCAATATGTTTCTAATGAATATACCAATTTGAAGCTAATTTTCTTAAATCAAAATAAGGCTAAGCATATCCCATATTTCCAACAATAGCATAGGGATCTATAATTTTAATTTTATTAACTCACATAAGCCTTATCACCAATAGTTAACAATCCTAAAGCACTTTTAATTACAATATCTTCTCCAAAACAGTAGATTGGAATACTAAAATAAAATAATTATTACTTATGTATTTGACTATACTTTTTAATTAGAATAGCTAGATTTTAAGTTTAAATAAGAGATCCACCTAAAGAATTAATAATCAAAGCAATAAATTCAGGTTTATAAATGGTCCATTTATCTAAAGAATCAGCTACTTTCTCAACTCTTTAATAAATTTGAAATAGTTTACAATTATGGAGTTATAATTGATGAGATCTTGATTTTAAAGATGCGATTTCTAAAATTCATAAATAAATTTATAAAATTTAGTCAATTTTTTTATAAATGACAAATGGTTTTCTTTTTCTTATATTTAGTTAAATAATTGTTAAGAAAGTTTCTTGAATAGATCTTAGGCATGCTTCTAGTGTGAATTAATTTAATATTTTGATTTTCTTAAGGTTATGTTTTGATAACTCTATAAGATTTTGGAATTTGAAGTGTAATGCTTTTAATCTCTTCTGATTATGGATTTGATAAAAGATGACTTCTACAAGATTTAGGTGGTTCAAAGATACGGATTTAGGTATCCTCTATCAATTTTTCAGTACTTCTAGCAGAAGCTCTACGAAGAGTTGTAAGTAGAAGTTAAGAAGAAGAAGTAGAGGTTAGTGTATCATGTCTAGATGCTGAATATTTTCTGAATAGTTTTTCTAATTAATACTAATGCTTACTTGTATTTTATGCTGTCAACAATCGATTATTATTCATGGATGGTTATTTTCTTAAACGTGCAATCTTTTTAATGAATGGAACACTCATATTTCTGTATTCTAATGTAGTTAGATTACCACATTGATTGCAATGACAACTTTTTCTTCTCATTCTTTCAGGCAATTTTGGAAATTTTTTCACTGAAGAGAAAGAAAAGAATCTAGGTATGCTGAAACTTCGCCATAATTATGGTTTCGGAGTTTAATGAATGGGATGAGATAAATGCCGATGTTCTCTTATAGCTCTAAAACGTATACACAAACTTGAGTTTTATTAATTCATTTTTAATTCAGACTCATTTACAAAGCCTCTTAGAATTCCTAATCGTCATCATCATTATATTCTGTCAATATTTATTCTTTTTATTTTGATTACTATTTAATCTATTTCTATGGTTTTCTTTTAGTATTCTGCTTTATTTCTTATACAGATGCATCAGAACCTGATTCACTTGTTATACGTTTTAATCTATTTCTTTTAGAAGATTCTTTTTTCTCTCCTTATCCACAAATGCTTATATGTAGATTCAACTCTAAAAAATCAAGTTATATATTTACCTCTTTTTTGTATATGCTTTTTACAAATTTTACATTATTCAGTTCTAGAACCACACTTTGCTTAATGTCTTGGCATCTCACTCATATTTATCATTAAATCACAAAATCCACATTTCTCTGGCTTATTAGGACAATTATTCTTATGCATTTCTAAAAGTACTTATTCAAACATTTATAAGCAATAAGGACATTCAGTCTAATCATATATATTCATCTATACTTTCTAATGATTCTACATATGAACATCTTTTTCATTCATATCTATTCTTTGATCACAGATTTCACATTTTATAATGTTACGTTCACAATAGAGAGAATGAAGCAAATAATTACTAGCCAAAACTTCTTCCAAACTCAAATATAAGTCAATATCTTACCAGCATTAACAAACCTTTGTTTCACTCATATTTAAAATTAAACTAAATAAGAACTCATTAACTCATAAATTATCTAATTCTTAAACTCATTTTTCAAAATCTTCAGAAAATAAACAGAATATCCAATATAATAGATGTACAAACACTCTACATAGTATACATTAATCAAAATAAAGGAAATAAATAATATAATATAATGAAAATATTCATTTACTAATATTCACATAATAAACTAAATTTATTCTATTAAATTGATTTACAATAAATATTTATACGATTTATCAATATCTAATAATAATCTTATTATTATTATTATTATTATGTTTTTGTTTAAACAAAACTGAGAATGTTTTTAATTTAATAATTATGTATAAATTATAATGATTAAATTATGGCTATTCAATTTCAACATATAGAGAGCTTTTATATATTTTATATAAAATTTAAAATTATATATAAATTTAAGATTATATAAATCAATTTATATTATAATAAAAATAGGATATATTAAATCTACATTAGAAAAATTTAGATAAATATAATATAAGGATCTTGAATGATCTTTAAACTATTGACCATACTTAAATTTTATTAAATAAATAAATTTAATAATAAATAAGCAAGATTAAGTGTCTTAATATATCTCTTGATGATATACTATAGGATAGATAGATATAAAAATATGATTCTAATCGTTAAATACAACTATTATATATTATGAAATACCTATTTAATATTTTTACAGAATCAAAAACTTCTTTTTATTCAAATAAGATAACTTTTTTATGCATATTAAGAATTCTCCTAATTAGAAAATCAAGTATAAGTTGAGGTTAGTAACAACAAAATAGAATTAAGTTAAAATATTGGAAGAAATTTCATACAATAATTTTGATTCTTAAATAAAAATCTTAAAAAATATTCCATATACTCTGTGTAAAAATAATGTAGTGACATTAAATATAAAAAAATATATAAATTGAAAATTTCTTGAATAAAGGATTTTGATAAGATATTGGTTTAATGAGTATGAGAACAGAATGGAAAAGTTATTTATAAATCTCATGTATATATTGAATAAACAATTTCAATGAACTGTCCTAATCATTGTATTAAATTTAATTAGATAAGTTATAAATAGCCCAATAAACTTATAGTATTATAAAAAAATGAATAAAAATAAAAATTAAAAATTGAAAAGTTTAAATTATTTTAAAATGTTATCTTTTTATAATCATTCATATTTAAATATAAAAAGTTTAAATAATTATGGACCCATAATTGAGTTCATTTTAGTAAGTAGTTCAATAAGATACTTCTAATAAACAGATCTTAGTTATTTGATCTGAATCATTTTAGATCCTCTGAAAATTGGAAAATTATCATCAATAGTTTCATTGATAACTTAATCTTAATTTTATGTACTCCTACTTTTTTTGACATAATAATAATTAGTTAAATTTAATTATTATGCCCATTTAATTTCATAATCTATTGCTATTCTATTTATCTCTTTGATATGTTATGTATAATGAAAACTTAATCTATGAAATGAGTTTGATCTAAATTCAACAAAACTGACAGCTACAAGTTAAAAATTAACATAATATTTGATCATTTGAGATTAGGAATCACAAAACATTTTTTCGTAATTTTACTTTGAAAATTAAAAATAGTTTTCATTGAATAAATGATGTGCTTCTTCATCATATATTGCTTATTTAGTAATCACATTTAAACAACTCCTTTTTGATTTTTTTAACAAAGCTACAAAATCACTGGGCCATTTAAAATGTAAATAATTTTTTTTATCAACTCTGACATCCATATGCAACTCATTATTTAATGATTAAACGTGTTTCTTGAGTTCCATATGTTATTATTCTTTAAATCCATATTTAGTTAAAGAAGTATAATCCAAACGTTAAGCTAATGCTAGTAAAAAGTGTTAAAAAGCCTATTTTGTTTATAAGGTCTTTCGAGCAGGACGAGACATATCGACGTATTATAATAAATTGTTAAATATAGATTATTTAATTGGTTCGACATCGAAATATTCTTAAGTTAACTTACTAGAGTAATGAAAATCTATTACCTTAATGCTTTTAAACATCTTTTAGGGGAAGTGTATTGACAAATAGGGATTTTACATACAATTTGTTAGCAACAACTTTTGGGATTGGAATGGTAGAACAATTAGCCTGATTTACGCCAACTGTTTTCTTGAAGTTGAGTATAGCAAGAATCATTAAAATTCTAAATTGATAGGATAGTTCCATTAGCAGTTAGTTATTTACAACATAGACAGAAACCCTGTTATTCTATATTAACAGTATTGATATTGATGCTGGCCATCACAAATTTTGTATATTACAATTGTAGAATTTGTTTGGATAAGTTTATTTTTAGTGTATGATAATAGATCATTATACTATGTATGTGAATTAATTTTACAACAAAATTTAATTAGTATTATTTATGATGATTGTTAAGAGAGTTAATTGATCAAGTTTATAGTTGATGCAATCAGAATTGAATCTATTATATATATTATATATATATGTTTTTAATGTGTAAATTCAGGTAAGACAATTCTTAAGGAAGGAGGCACCTGAACATTGAATAATTCCAACAATAACACCAAACAAACCGAGTGCAGATCCAAAGATTTCAACAACTAGAATTTTAACAAAGGTTTCTGGAGTTTAAGCATCAGCAATGGCACATCCAGAACCTGTTACACCTACTGCAATACTAAAATTAATAGCAATATTAAAATTACCCACAGATCAGATTGGATAATCCAACAGATACACCTGTCCAAAATAAGGAATAACCACCAAACAAAGCTGTTGTATAGCATTCATCTATTTAATCATCAGGATATGACTCAATTGTTTGTACTTTACCAATCATAATAATTCCCATAATAACACCATAGATGGCTACAGCTTCACAAAAAATGACTGAAATCAAATTCTTTGATCTTATTCTTGGTGCTTTAACAGTTGAACCCAATAAAGATACACCTGTAATAAATATACCCCATGATGCTCCTATAATTGATGTTGCTAATGCTAATGCCACTCCAAAATAACTACAGATATAATAATTTATATCTACCTCCAGAAATAAGGATCAATAAACATAAATCTTTCTCCCCATGTTGCACTTTACCACTCTAATTCTGTCCAGTCATATGGATTACCCCAATTCATAATACTCATATTTTATATTATATTTAATTATTTAGTATCATTCTCCCAACCAAGGTAATTCACTTTCTATCTATTTAGCTAATTCTGGTGTCTTTATTTATTAAATAACTAATACTTGCATTAATTAGGAACAGAATTAATCTAGATCTTCATTTAGAGGTTATTTAGTTTTGCTTAAACTTCTATATATTTTTTAAAGATTTTCAATATATTCTAATCCTATATGATCTGGTTATTTATTCAATCTTTTAAACCTTCATAAAAATTATTAAGAGTACCATAATAGTTTATCAAATTTATAGATAGCATCCAAAAGAGTTGTCATAATTCCATCTATACTATTCTACAATTCTTCTAAACTTTATATTTTTTATTCAAAATTTAATTCACCCATTTCTTCAAGTAAATCTTATATAAATCTTGATAATTTGATTTCTAATTTCTCATTAATACTTTATTAAACAAAATTAAAGTTTTCATTTCTTTTTTTAAATTTAAATTAAACTTCTATATCTTATTATTATTTTTAATTGCTATTCTATTAACTTTGACCAGTTGATGCAAAATATTTTTCTTATTATTGATCTGTTGTTATTTCTGATTATGCAAATAATGGTGAATCCACTTAATATTCATCAAAATTATTAGTAGTATTTGTGAATTGTGGTTGAGGATGATATTTAATTTAATATTAGAATGGCTTTTATTTATGTGTTTAATGTTGTATTTCATAAATATGTAATGCTGCAGAAGTAAAATCACATACTGATATAGTATTACCCTTAAAATACTTTTTGAATTCCTAATACTTATCTTCACAATTATAAAGAAGTTCTGAAATTTTTTACACTTATTTTTAATTTAATTATAACTTCTCATTATCAATACATTATTTGCGAAGTGCTATTAGAAATTAAAATATAAATAATACGATGATAAAAAGATAGATTAAGTTCTTTTTAGATAACCGCTCTTGTAAATAAATAGAAGGTCAAAACTTCTTATGTTTGTTATTTTAAGAATGATTAGAAAAGACATATGTCTTTTTTTTTAAGTGAATGCAAATCGACTGATGCAAGAAAATTAATGATTTACTAAATGATAAGTAAGAGTAATACTTGATTTTTTGAATGTTTGAATTTCTGAAATAAAAAATTATAGACATAATCTGCAAATGATATGTCACAAACATTTTAGTATTTAGTAAATTAATTTGTATCATCAATGAATTTTCTTTAGTATATTTCTTCTATTATAAGTGATAGCTCATTAAAATTGAATTTGAGTGGTCTTGAAAGTAAATCTTAATTAGATATTTAATTCATGATAGTTGGATATGAGTCATTAAGATCACTAAATTTAGTACCAATTGAATGATCTGTCTTTACATGAGATTAAATATAAGTTTTAGACTCTATTTTAGAATATTCAATAACAATTTACTTATAGGAGTATATGACTTAAAATTTGCAATATCAGTATTAGCACTATATTATCTGGCTCGATGTTATTATGGCATTGTAGGTTTCTTAATTGATTGTTTTTCTATACTTATATTGCTTTCAGCTAGAAAAGTAATATATTTTTTTTTGGCATCATCAGTGAGTTCTGAGAAATTGATCATAATTTGTTTCATCGTTAATAATTAATGTAGTTTTTGCGCTAAACTCTTACAAATTCAACAATCTTATACAATCCTCAAATAATTCAAACATCAGTAGCAGTAATAGTGAACAATGACGAAATACTATTGATTAAACGTAAAGTAAATGCAAGAGATCCTCATTCAGGTTAGATTGCATTTCCTGGTGGAAAAGTTGAAAAGGATGAAAATACATTTTAGGCTGCTATAAGAGAGACTTTTGAGGAAATAGGAGTGAATTTGAATGAAAGTCATCATTTGGGAAGAATAGATAAAAATTATCAAGCATATTATATAAAGAATAAGAATTTAAAGATAGCAACTCATATATTTTAATTAGATGGATAAGTAGAATGTACTATAAATGAGAATGAAGTTGATAGAGTAATGAGATTACCATTGAATTAGATTAGTTTAGAATATATGGATATCAAAAAGTATAAAAATAAATCAGTACATGTATTTGCTCGTACTGTTGAGAGATAAAAATATTTATCTGATATTGTAATGTAGGGATTCTAATATTAATAATTTCCTTATTATAAATTAGAAAAATAAGTATTTTATGGATTAAGTTGGCTTGTATTATGTGATGTTTTATAGAAATTGAAATTACATTAAGATGTTGTTGATTATACTTTTTAGAATTACCATTATGGATTTGAAAATAATGTTAGAAAAGAATAATTCTTTGATGAATGGTTTAAAAAGAAGAGATTAAATTAGTTTATATTTAATTGAGTTAATTCATTTTTTCATTTATCCACAAACTTCACATTTCTCCTCTGTATTCTCTTCATATGTACAAAATCCACAAGTCCAAGATTATAATGTTATATACAAATTAACTTTCTTAATTATAGACAATTTCTTTTTTATCTCATTAATGTCATTTGTACAATTAACATAATAAGATTTCCCATCATCATCTATATAAGTTAATAAAGGGCTAATAATGTTCATTTGATCTCTAATAAATCGTATGATCTCATCATAAGTTGGGTTCTCTTTTTCATATAATTTCTCTAACTCTCCAGAAACTATGTTGAATAACATCAATTATTAATATTAATATATAAACTCTTTATTATTCATTTGCCATATGCTGATGTTGAAAATGATGTTTAAACTCTAGTTTAACAATATGAAGATCATCCTGTTATTCATACTATCTAATCTATAACTATTATATTACATAGATATTATGATACATACAGACTTCTATAGTTACATTTAATTATTCTTATTCTATTTAAAAATTCTTAGCCCTTTTATGGTTTTTAATTAAGAGGCGTATATATATTGATTTCAAAAAGAGCTGAAAGGAAATCACCCTCAAAAATCAAATGTTTACTCTCCTAATTGTCTGACTATTTTTATCTAAAATCTCTATAGAAACCTAATTTTAGATCTGATTGGGGAGACTCCTTTATCCTTGTTTTTTAAAGCAAAATAGTTTACAATAAAAGAATTTTTATGGCATTTTAATTTATATAGATTTTGAAGATCAGTAATCAACCGAAATAAATTGAATAATAAAACAAATAAAACAAACAGTTTTAGCATATTTTATTGGTTATCATAGGTTTAATATTCTTTTATAAAATAATTTTCAATTAACTTCAACCAATAAGAATTCTTAACCTATTTTTATAATTTTAAACAAATAAGAACTTCTCTAAATTATCAGTTTAGTACTTTATTAATTTTTGTTACACTTAATTAATTTGATCTGAAATTGTTAATAAAACAAGTTTTTATGTGATTCTGAATATATTAAGAATGAATAATCATTTTTATACTAATTTTGAAGTTTACTGTGGAATTTTTCTCTCTCTCATGATCAATAACTTTATATAAATTATTAAGAAAACTAAGAAGATATTTAAATTTTGGAAATTTATTATTTGCAATCTTAAGTTGAATTTTGGGAAGATTTCAAGCCTTTTTTTAAAATAATACTAGTAATTAATAATTATAATAATTAATTGATATTAACAAATTATAATGTGTAAAATCTATATTTTCATTAATAACTATAAATATAGATTCATAATAATATTGACTATAACATACATATTTTTTTAAATGTGTTGCTCTATTTAATTTTTTTTAATTATATTTAATATATTTTAATTTAAGTTTTTAAAAGAATTTATTATTGAGTCTGCTTATTCAAGTTCAATTTATAATTTATAAAATATATTTGAATTAATTATTCGGGTCCATTTAATGATAGTTTATTGATTAGATTACTCTTATTTGATTTAATATCAATATTAGTGTGTATAATTGATATCAATGATGAATATTAGTTCATTAAATAATTTAGTGAGCAATAATAATATTAATATATGGGATGCACTACTTCAAATGAGACAGTCACTTTGGCATTTAATTAATTTCAATAGCTTAAACTAGGAACCTAATCTATAGAATTGACTCAACTGTTCTTGGTTGCAAACAATTTAATAAATGAAGTCTAACTACTATATAAGAAAGTTGAAGGAAATAGACTCATTTTATTACGTATTACAAAAGTATATTTTGAAAAACATGTTAAAAGGTATCTCTAACAGCAAATTAGACATTAATAGATGCATTTGGATTCTGGACTAGATATGTTTCAATATGTAACCTGGGGTAGAGTAGCTAAAATGGAGTATTTTTCAAATTTGAAAATGATGGTACTATTAATAAAATAATATGATAGACAAGTAAATGAACTATAATTTGGGTTTAAATGGAGATTTAAAATTATAATGGTTTGGGGAAGTTTTGAATGATTATCTTTAAAGACTTGAACTCATTACCAAAGTGATTCCAAGCATTATTGAACAATTAAAGATGGTAATGGAAAAGGTTACTAGTATGACAGCCAATGTTAAAGAGAGGAATAATACTTCTAGACAGAATATAAGTTTATTAAAATTCAATTTAAGTTTCATAAAAATAATTAACATAAAAATAATAAAGTACAATGAAGAAGTAGAGCTACTCAAAAATTAATGTAAATAAGTAGCAAATAATGCAGATGAATAAGGAATAAAACTTTATAATAAATATGGAGTGAGAAAATTGATAAATAGTGAAAAATATTGTTTGAAAACTAAAATCAATATTATCATTGAATAATGTTTTTAAGGATAAATGAGATCAGAAATGCAATAGGAAATATAATAAAGAGAAAAAACTAAAAGAAAATTAAAGAAACCAGCATGGATATTTGGGGATGATATTGGAATTGGTATTAAGAAATTTCCATTCAGAATTAGATGGACAGGATGTGAATGTGTGGATCATTCTTTTTTTATCATCTCTAATTATTTAGAAAACCATAGTAAACATCTATTATTGTTGAGGAAATTATCAGTGATTATAAGATACTTAACTTATGCATATAAAACTGATGAGGATACATTATCAAGAGCTTGGTCAATATTTTGCTGTTATTTAAATGAAAAGGAAAAAACAATTATTTAAAATAGTATGTCTATATTAGAAGGAATTAAAAGACTTAAACTTAAAGATTAGAATGCTGAAAAATTTCGTATCTACTTCATTTAGTATGTTGAGTAATATGAAAATGAATTACTAGTAAAATTATAATAAGAATGGTAAAACTATTTAGAAGGATAATCTTAAGTATTATCTTTATGGTCAAATAATCAAATATTTTCTACTATTGAATTTTAAGAGCTTGATATACATGATAAATATTATGCATTAACAAGTATGGCTAAAAATATTTATGCTCTCTAACATTATTTTCCAGTTGCTACCAAAATTTATAATACAGGTATTGAGTATTCATTTATATTTTAGTTTATTAAAAATAATTGACCAAAGGAAAGGATTTTCTTAATTAAATGCAATCTATATATATAGCTTCAGGAATGTATTCACTTCCATTTGATTAATTATATACTATAAATAAATTAGAAGATGAAGTAATAAAAGTGAAAAATAAAGAAATTAAGTTCAAATATGCTTATGGAAAGTTTTCATAGAAGAATTGAGTAGTTAATTTGGAAAATAGCACTTGATATTTATAAGAATAATTGTTATTTTTATATATTATTTTCCATAATGGAATAGATTTTTGTTCATTTTTTATATTTAATATTTTCAAAGTAGATATTTTAATAAAGAAATAAGCTGTCATTAAGTCTATAGATATTTTTAATTACAAAACCTGTGTTGAACTCAAATGATTTTATTTATATATTGAAATTCATAATTTAAGTTACATGATCAAATATTCTCTACTGCAAAACTAGGTTAATCTCATTAAATAAAATATTCTTAAATTAAAAATAATAATATTATGATTTTCAAGAAACAATTTATTGGGTCAAATTTAATGCTTCTTTAATTATATCTTGTATTTTATCCATTCTTTAATAAAATAAACTAGAATCTTCTTTTAATTACATTCCCTCCAAATATCCAATTCTCATTTAATCTCTTAATAGTATTTCAAAAAACTCTTCAACATCTGTTTTTTATTTTTCTATAAACATATGACTTGCTAAAATCATATCCATTCCTCCTATTGCTAATTCTAAACCAATTCTTTCTTGATCTTGATAAAATAACCATTGTTCTAAATCAAATTTTCCATAATTCTTATTTTCTGAAAACTCTGAAGAATTAGCGCTTTAAGCATCAAAATCAATATCAATGTTAATGAATTCTTCTTTACTAATAAATTATAATAATCAATACCAGAAAGCAAGATCAAAATCTACTGGAGCAAGTACATTAGATCCATTCTATATTATAACAAAATTATCTAAATGTGCATTACTATGATAATAAAATTTACTATGATCTCTAAAATATCCCCAACTGATATCATTGTCAATAAATATTCTTTTTATTTTACCTACTTCATAACCAATTCTTTAATAAAGTATACTTATATTTTATAGCATTGAATTTCCTATTAAATTTTCAATAATGTTTATATTATCTTTTTCTTTTTCCCAATCAAATACTCTATTATTTTGATAATCATCCTCTTATAATATTGTACCCTCTGGTCTCTCTCTATACTGTGTATTATTAAGATCCCATGGATTTCCATTTAATGACTTTCTATTTTCTACAATCCTTGATTAAACTGTAACCAACCTTCTAATGTCATCTACACACCAATCAGCTATATTGGAATTTACAATCAATCTAAGACCTTAAAGTAAATGGGTTCCAAGTCTGAAATCACCTATTGTCTCATAAATACCACAATATTTTGGAACTAAGGGTATTTGATTTTGTAAGTTCTTCTCTAAATTTTAATTAATTGATTCAATATCTCCATATTACCAATAACCAATACTAATATTACCAGTTTCAATATTGTATTTTTTTAATATCTATTCAATCTTTCTATTCATAAAGAGTTCTCTTTTTACAGTATGATCAAAACAACATCCTCTTATTTCAAATGCATTCTCAATGTCACCTTCAAATTTTCTCAATGTAAAACCATCATTCCCATTACCACAACCCTTTAACCTATATCTTTTTCCATTTTATTAAATAATAGCACTTCTCATACCTGATTATTATCCAACAAGAGATGGATAGTCAGCTTTTGGTACTGCTTTGATATAACCTTTTCCATCAAAAAGTGTTTTATTATTTATTTTTGTATCCAATTCTTTAAGAGCATATGAAGGTGGACAAACAATGAATAATTTTTATTGGGGATGCATAAAACTTTGAGCTAATCTATAAGATAATCCTTCTCTTAATGTTGTAAGGTTTTTATCTATTGTAATTTAATCTTAAAAAAGAAATGTCTTTTCTATAGGCACTTCTACTAAACAAATTTTTCCAACTTCTTATTCCATTTATAATTAATATTATTTTACATTTAAACAAATTTATATATCGATCTTTGATCAGAAATAATTAAAATTCCTAATAGTATAATAATGATTATTATTTTATAAAAATTCTAATTAATCATTTAGATTATATAAATAAATTGAATACATAAGATATTTTATCTTATGTATTTAGGTTTAAAAGAAAGCATGAAAATAAGGAATTATAATATGATTAAATTATCAAATACATTTTTTAATTCTTACAAATTATAGATAAATTAATTATTAATAATTATTACTTGATATTTGGAATGGGAAGTGGATAAAGCAATCAAAATAATCATGAACATATGAATGAATAACCAGAATAGCAATAAATAATTAATTAAAGTGTTGCATTGAGATCTTAAGTTGTTAAAAAAAGGAACATTTCATAAGATGATGACGATGATGATGAAGATGATGAAGAAGAGGAACTAGATTCTAATGATGATAGTGAGAATGAAGAATAATAGTTTGAAGTAAGAGCCTATTTAGAGAGTAGTCTAATGAATATGAAGAATATATATAAGGTGATAAATTAGTTGATAATAAATCGATGTATTCTGGATTTCTTGTAAATAGAATTTAATTACTTGCAATAAAAAAGATAGTTTTGAATAAAAAAGAGAACTTTAAAATAATTAAGTACAATTTACAATAGCTTACCAATTTGAGACATTAAAACTTAGAATCCATTATCAGTTGGAATTTTGAAAATAGCAATAATAAGAAAAATTATTACCTTAATATTTTCTCTAATTTTTAATCGAATGGTTCATTATAATCTATACTTTTAAAATACTGTAAATTTAGTAAAGAACTTATTTTAACAATATTTCAATCAATATTAAAAGCACTTGAGTATTTACATTCATAAAATAAATTGCATAAGTACATATTTAATTCTTAATTCTTAAAGAAATCTAAAAACATCAAATATTTTAGTTGATCATGAAGGAACAATTTTGATATCTGATATATTGATTTAAAGTTAATATTCACTATCAAATTATAGTGCCCCAGAAACTTTTGTATATGCTGATTATTCTGAAGCATCTGATATTTGGAGTGCAGGATGTATTTTTTATGAACTTCTTACACAAAAGTAGCCATGGCAAATTAATGATAAAGTGCTTTCAATTCAAGAAATTAAAAAAAAGTTCTCTATCAATTGTAATATTAGAATTACTATTATTTTTAGAAACCTTCTTAAAAGAGAATTTAGATATCTAAAAAAATGCTCTGAATGTCTTATAATAGATTTTTCAGTTCTAACCTGAAAATAGACCTTCAGCATGTCAATTACTAAAACATTAAATATTTCTAGAAAATTCAACAAGCAAATTCAAATAAATGGCTAAGTAAATTTCTTAAAAGGATGTGTAAAATACACCACAAAAAAAATTTATGTCTCTAATCTAAGATTGTAAAGTCAATAACAATTCAAATAATATTCAACTTTAAACTGTGTAATATTTAAAACTTAAGAAAAAGGAAGATGATGAAATTTCATTTGACATTAAAGAATGTATTTTCTAAATTTAATCCAATATATTAAAAGAATTCACAATTACACAAAATAGCAATTCTTATTTGTTAACTAAAGTATAAATATTATTAATACTTTTTAGAATAACTTTGATAGTTTAACAATTAAATAACACAAATTTAATTGTAATCTTATTCAACAAAAATTATGCCATAATAAATAATAATATAGAATCCAAGATACATCAAATTTATCATAAATTGTATCACAAATGAAAACTGCTATTAATTTTTAAGGTAGCATTCTTTAAAGTTAAAATTCAACATCCGAAAAGAATTTTGATTAAAAAAGTTTTTAAGCTAATCATCTAATTCTTTAAACTCAATCCTTTAATTAATTAAACCAAGAAATAAAATAATTTTAATAAATTTAAGATAATCAAAATGATATAAAATAAAAAAATGAATAAATTAAAAAATAATAAGATTTTATAAAATCTTAAACTGAATCAACAATAAATTAAAATATTAATAGTTAAGAATAGATATTATTTGATGGAGATTTTGTCTTTATTTTATGAAATATAAATCTTTATTTTATGAAATATAAATCAAATATAGGATTTTGTTGTTATTATTATTATTTTAAATATAAATATTATATTACAAGATTTAATTTTACAAATTTTATATAATTCAATAAATAGATATGAAGTATCCATTTATTCTCTATTCTTAAATTATTTTCAAAGATTGGTAATCCTTAATATACTTGGTTTATTAAAAATAATAATCATTTATGAATAATAATCTGGGTATTTTGAATAACAGATTTCACAAGAAAGCTATATAAAGTCGAAAGAGACAAACTTCAGCAGATACCAATACTATCCATTAAATGTAAGGAGGAAAGAAAAAAAATGAATACTATGAAAGATGGCTAACTAATTAAAAGAATCCATAATTAAGATCAGATTCTGAATCAAATCTTGATAATCTAACACCCTTAACTCCAAAAGCTTAAATTCCAATTAAACTAGAGCCTAAATTAATAAGAGATGTCATACAGAAATTCTATTCAGATGAAAATGGTCTTTGATTTTCTTATATATATGATTAATTTTCTAAAATCCTTAGTCACTTATAATCATTTTTATTTAATTTCTTCTTATTTCGTATTTGAAAGAGTGATTCAAAAATATTTTTTTTATGCATGAACATTATTGGAAGAATGTTTTTCTTATTTGATTATATAAATCAATTAAGAAAGTATATCTGTGGATTAATTGTAAAATTACATATAGAAATCATAATATAATTTTCAATTTGACTATATTGTTATAAGCACATTTATATCATTACAATTTTGAGTTGAAATGTTTTTTAAAAGAATTAGTTAAATTCTTAATTTGAGTGAAAAGGTTTAAATAAAGTTTAAGAAATATAAAAATAAATATGTTTTGGCAATATTCTTGATATATATATGATATATAGTAAGAAATAAATAATTTAGATTTTGACTGAAAACCAAAAATATATTATAAATATGTTTGGAACTTCTATTAGTTATAAAATAACAAAATCAAGATAATTTTAACTCTATGTAAGTTTTTTTTATTGAATAATGATTAAAACATAAATATTCCATTTTCTTTTCTGTGTTTAAATTTACCCCATTTATAATAATTAATTAACAGTAAATGTTACCTAATATAAAGAGAAATAAAGAGAATAGGTCTTCACATAGATTAAAAACAGAGGGAGTATGCAGATATCCAAGAAGCAATTCATTTTTGGGATAAATATCTAGAGAGCCTATTAAATAACGAATATGCAAGAGAGATCCATTAAAAGAATTACAATCATTTGATAATGAAATAAAATTGTTGGAACAATATGAGAAAAAGTTAAATGCAGCATTTATAGAGAGATTAAGAGTGTAATTGTATCGACTACAAATGTGAGTACTTTTATATATGCTAATATTTAAAATATTTAAATTAATGAAAAGTTCATAAAACTTTCGTATCAAATCAATAAAATCTAACTAATAAAATTCGAATCAATACAGATCTTTATAAATGAGTTTGACTTGTAAATCATTGACAAATAAAGTGATTAAGGAGTTGGGCTAATTTTAAAAAAGTGTTATCTAAATTTAACCAAGACAGGTCTTACAAAAATAGAGTAGTATTAATTGTAGATAGTCACTTGTTTCTGTCACTGAAAGTTAGGTAAGTGTTGATGAAGAGTTTGAAATCTGGGATAACAACTAAGATCTTAGATTGAAGAAACTTGTGATTGAAGAAAGAAAGCCTTCTGTAGGATAATTTCTGTAATTATACAAAGCTAGATATGGGTATAATTAAATAATACATAAGAGGATTCCCAGGATTTAGATAGCCAATATAGAATGAAGAAGTCATTAAGGCTGCTATAAATCATGCATCATCAAGTAAATAATTATTCAAGAAATATTTTCCTAAAAAATAAATAGTTTTTGAAGATGACAATGATTATTCTTAGCCATATAATATTGAAGATGATCAACATTTTAAAAGTTTCAATCGTTTTTTTAGAAATAAAAAGCTTTAATCTACACTAAAGATTCCATTACAGAATTAAATCAATAAAAGTAGATGATGAAGATTCCATGTTGAAGATGTTTTAATAAATTCAACAATGATTAATTATCTTTATATTCTTTTAACTAAATCTATAATTTAAAAATGATATTTAAAGAAAAAGCTAATTATTTTTATTATTTTACTAAATAATTTCATTAATATATCATTTAAGCAAATGGTCAACTGCATTTCTTTCATCGACTAATTCCTTAATAGTCTTATCTAATAAGCCTTGATAGAATGGTGAAATAGGTAATCCTTAAACAATAGAATATTTGCCATTCTTAACTGTAACTGGGAAGGAGAAGATCAATCCTTTTGGTACTCCATAACTACCATCAGATGGAATAGCCATAGAAGTATAATCACCTTAAGAATATAAAGTATAAAAATACCTTCAGCAGTTCCATTAACCCAAGTAGTGATATGATTCATAGCAGCATTACCAGCTGAAGCAGCACTAGAGAGTTTTCTGGCTTTAATGATTTCAGCTCCTCTTTATTAAACAGATGGGATGAATGTTTATGTTACCCATTATTAATCAACAGTGGCTTTGTGATCTATGATGAAATTTATAATATACTTTTTGCAGTCATTTAATCAATATATGGAACCATTGTTGGAGAATGATTACCAAAGATTGCTATTTTTCTGATATCAGATGAATGAACACCTAATTTATCAGCTAATTAATATTATGCTCTATTGTGATCTAATCTTGTCATAGCAGTGAAATTCTCTTTTGGAATATCTTTTATTTAATTGGCTAAAATCAAACAATTAGTATTGCATGGATTACCAACTACTACAACTTTAATGTCTCTGCTTGCATGGTCCTATTATATATGATTAATTAATACATTAATGTATTTTCCTGTTTCAGTGAAGATTTTACCATTATCTTTTAACAAATCTCCTCTTTCCATACCTGGTCCTCTTGGTTTAGCACCAACTAAAAGAGCATAATTAACATCTTTGAATCCTACAGTTTAATTGTCTGTTGCTACAATTCCTTAAACCAATGGGAAAGCACAATCTTAAATTTCCATTGCGACACCATTTAATGCTGTCATGGCAAATGGTAAATCGATCAAATGAAGGATTACTGGTTAATTTGGTCCAAGCATTTCACCACTGGCAACTCTGAAAATTAGAGAATATCCAATTTAACCAGCAGCACCTGTGATGGCGACTCTAACAGGTGGCTTTAAGGATTGACCAAAATGAGCAATTGAAGCTCTTGTAAATTGATTGGTAAGGGCTTTTTGGAGATACTTTTGCATTTTAGATATTTATTTTATTTCTGGATTTGCTACATCACTACATTTATTTTCTATACATAATACGTAATATTTTTATAACTATGGATTTCAATACTAAAGTAGATGAATAACTAATCTATGAAGGTAAGTGGCTACATTACAAATTTCTACATTTTCAAGTAAATGGACACCAAAAAGTATGGGAATTTGTTGAAAGACCTCCAGGTCATAGAGGAGGAGTTGAAATCATACCTATTATCAAATATAAGGATAAACATTCATAATTGATTGTTATTGCCAATTTCAGACCTCCTATTAGAAAATTTTGTCTTGAATTCCCATCAGGATTAGTTGATCAAGTAGGTACTATAGAAGAAAATGGTCTGAGAGAAATAAAAGAGGAAACTGGATATACAGCACAGATAGGGAATTATCAATACAATGGAGTAAGAATAAGAAATGATCCTTGGAAGTCTACAGAAAATGAAGTAAGTATTATTGTTGATATTGATGGGGATTCTGAAATCAATGTGAATCCCAAGTAATAATTGGAATCAGATGAGAATATTATTGTTTATAAAATGAATATGGGAAAGACTTTGGCAGATGAGATATTATAATTAGCTAAGGAAAAGGATTATGAAATCAGTGGATTGCTATGGTTTTTTGCATTAGGGCAATAATTTAACAATTGATAAAATATAATTATTTTTAGTATTCAATTATGTTATTCTTATCCATATTGATAGGAAACTGTTTAGCTAAATTAAATCTAACAATTGGAATTGATATAAACAATAAGGAATCATTAGCTTATTTGGGTAGATTAGAATAACATTATGAATAATTTGAAAAAAAAGGATGTAATTCTGTTCTAATTCAATTAAGTAAGCTTGAACATTCTGAATCACATTTTGCCATGCTATACATGTAAACAAAGACATAATTATACTTAACCTGAATAAAATTGCTTTGGAGGTGGAAGATATTGCTGTAAGGAATTTTTTATTCAAGCTTAGAGTTTTCAACTTATGCCAATGGTCAATTATTGCTTACAGAGATTCTCAGATAAAATTGTTTATTTACATATGAGACTTAATTATTTTTAAGCTATCTCAATTTATTTTAGTAAGATTGTTTCGAAAATCCACATTATACATTTTGCTCAGAAAATATATTGAATAAATTACTTAATATAAATACAACAAAAGTTAATGAATGCATTAATGCTAGCTTTTAAGGATAGGGTGATTAAGCATTATTAGAAAATAACCTATTGGCTAAAGAAATGGATAAATAATATAATTAAAGTTAACTAAGTGTATACTTAGATAATAAAGACATATCAGATTAGACATTTCCTGAGATGATTGTCTAATTATGTTAAAAATTAAAAGATGATCCACCTGAATATTGCAATATATTTTCACTTCTTGAAAAAAACACAACTTTAAAACTAGATGATTATATATTCTTTGCTCTGTTTATAGTATTACTTATCCTCTTAATATTGATATCAATAAGGGTCTTAAGAAGAGTGAAAAATGTTATTTAGGATAAATAATCAATACCTGTTGAAGAAACGATTGGAATTATTTCAGGGGTAAATGTACAATGATTTTTGCAATTCTATTAGAGTTTTAATATAAATAATCATTTATCCAACTTTTGATTATTTTTAATGTATTTGTTCTCTCTCCTTTTATTAATAAAGCTGCTTTATTAATAGATATATTCAAATAAAACTTACTTATTGAGAATGATCAAGATAAACTAGATTTTCTTTTAAATATCATTCACTAAATTATTTATTATAACTATTTATAATTAGTTATTAATAATTGATTTGATTTCACTGTTGACATCTATGAAAGTTTTGTTGCTTTTATTTTTATTAATTAGATTTAATAATCTGTATTATACTTAATCTTTTATTTATTATGATTATGACGCTCTCTAACATTATCTCTCATGCCTCTTAAAATATCTAATTTTCAATTAAAAAATGAAAAAATAATTGTAAACTCTACAATTTTATTTCAATATAAAAGTTATATATCTTCAAAATAAATATTTTCAAAAGCATTTATCCATAAATATTTTAAATATATATGATAATCAAATTATTATCAAACTAAGAATATATGTTCCCCATTTAATACTTCTTTAATTTAATCAAATTTTTTACTAAAACTTGAAAATATTACATATGCCTACTTGTTCAAATTTGATTTTTTAAATTAAATTTAATATATATTTTTTATGAAATAAATTGTCTGTCAAATATGATCTTAATATGTTAAAGTGAGATTTTAGTGTGATTACCGAAAATGACTATTCATTTAGAGGTAGATATAAAATGTTAATATTAAGTAATACTGGACAAATTATAAATATGTAATAATTAATTATAATAAGAAGTATTATCATAAAATGAAATACCTCTTAAGTTATTAAATTCATTAGCGCTTTTTTCTGAAACCTAGACTTCTACTTTTAGAATTGTTGGGTTAAGCAGAAACATATAAGAGACTTTAATTTATTTCTGGAGATATCACTGATTTTACCCTTATTTCAGTTCTTGGGATAGGTATATCAATTTCAGCAGATGAAAATATAATGAGAGGCTATCTAGTTTTTCTAAGATTAAATTTTCTCTCTTGTAATGTGGAATAATCAATTTGGTATTTATATTTCTCTTTGACTTCTGAAAGTGTTTTAAGGGGTAAGTTCATGGTTTACAACTTTTAATCTAGAGTTAGTGGTTAATTATAATCAAGCATAGATTCCATAATAGGTTCTTCAAACATTTATAAAAATAATAATAATAATAATATTGATATTAAAAATAAAACTAATTGATTGAATTATATAATATCCCTCAACAAAGTACTTAAATTTTAATTAATAATTTTAAGTTCTAAAAATCATTGGGATATTTAATTATAAAATATTTAATATGATGGTAGTCTTAATTAATAGAGAATACAAATTATATAAGTAATATATTTCAATCCAAATTTAATTAAGTGCTCAGATCTTTTTTTTTAAGCAGATTAAAATATTTTGCAATCAACTCTCTGCTTGATTAATCAGGAAATTTTTTAATTAACTGATTACCTATTCTAATCAAAAACTCATTGAAATCTTCGATGTCAATAAGTGGTTTTAAATAGAACTTTTCAATGCATTCCAATCTTATTCAAGAATAAAAGAGAACAATATATTGGTAACTAATTTACAAGAATTAACAGATTCACTTATATTATAAGCTAAATCTTCATTTAAGATCTTATATTAATATAATGCTTTTCATCTTAAAGTACCTTTGAAACTATTTCTTCATCTGCTATAGAAAGTAATGATGTTAAATATAATCCACCTTTAAACCTTACATGAATATCAAAAATTTAATTATTTTACTTCCCATAATCTTTCTCTTTCTTATCATATGATATATTGTTTTTTTCTTCAGGTTTCAATTAGATGTATCAAAATTCATAAATTTTTTGTTGTTGAACATCTTTTATACTCTATTTAATAAAGAAGCTTTGAATTATGATTATTGTTTAGTTTAGTCTTCCAATTTTTGTCTTGAATTTTTAATTATAAAGACGGTAGAATGGCCAATTTTGAACATAAATTTATATACAATCCTCTATTAGGTTCAATTTAAGCTTTTTCTATTATTTTTTCTTTTAAAAAGTTTATGAAATCTTAATAAACGGTAATAAAAATGATATTAAATCTATTCAATAATTTCTATTATGAATTTAGAAACTTAACCTTCATCGTCAAGTGCTAATTAGTTAACCCTATACTTTAAATCTTTTTCTATAATTTTCTTTTACTCAGGAGTAGTGTCAAGTATTTCTGTCCAAGCTTATGCTTCTTATTTCAATTTATCTTTCTAAAGTTATTCTTAAATAGACATAGGATATCTTTAAGGTAGTTTTGGATTGAGTTCATTTTAATTTATTGGTGGTTTATCTCTCTTTTAAGTTTGGATTTTAGTTTCTTTTCTTTGTTCATATTTTTTAACTGTTTATAATCAAAATGTTTTCTTTCTTTGATCTTAATCCAATTATTATCATTTTCAAAACATTAAAAATCATTCATATTTTTAAACATATATTCAAGTTACTCTTTGCTATATGGTTTAGGTAGACTATTTTACTCTTGTAATTTTTTAAGCTCTATAAATTTGATAATTTCTTCTTTTCTTTTTAATTCTTCTTAACTTAATTTTTCTTCCTCAATTTTTCTTTATTCTTCCTTTTTCAATAATTCTTATTCTACCTTACTTTATTATTCAATCTTTTATGATAATCTGAAATTTAATTTTTTCTGCTAATTTTGGGTCAACTTCAAATTCATAATTAGTGTTACTGAGTTTTTTTTTATCTTTTATAATTAATTATATTTAATTAAGCTTTATAAGTTGATGATTTTGTATAGGTTATTTTTATGAATCTTCAATATTAAAAGGTTGAGAATTTATGTTCAACTTTTTTTTGATTTTACTCGTATTCATTATTTTTAATTAATATTATGTAGAAATTTGAAAAGGAGAGATATTTTCATAAGAGTCCAGAATAAGTATTTATGGTTTATTTATCAGATAAGAAGGGAGAAACTTGATATGAAGATGCAAAATGTCAAAGATGATCAATAAAATGGTGTCATTAAATATTTCATGAAACACAAGAGTTCAGATTAACTGTAGTCTCCTGTTCATAATGTTTAATACTATAGTAATAAAGACAAACCAAAAATGATACTTTATCGTACTCTTTAAAAAGTTCAAGTTGAACCTGAAGTTAAGATAGATGAAGTTAAGGAATTAAGATGGCGTGTATTATCTAAAAATTGCTAGAATTTATTAGAATTAAGTAGAGTTGCACTTGATAAATTAAGTGATTTCAAATTTGTTTCACCAACACCTTAATCTTCTATGCCAACATCAAATCCTAAAGTTAAATTTCTCTCTAAAAGACATTCAATTGAACTTCGTTTAGGAGATATCATTACTCCACCTCCTTCATAACCTAAACCTGTTCCTAAAATACTTTAAGATCCATTTTATGCTAAATTTAAGAAATTTTATGAAAAAATTGGGTTGCAAGTTAAGGAGCCTAATAAATATAATCTCAATCAAGATGATAGATAAACATTTTAAAGTTCTGAAAAATAAACACATAAGAAACATAGAAGTTTACATGTTTCTCCACAATAATCAAGTTTGAATTTCTGTTAAAAGAAACCAAAGAATGCTTATTTTCTTTAAGAACTTTTAAAAGTTTCTTCAAATGCTTATAGATTTCAAGTAAATTTAAAAAAAGATTAATCAGAAAATATTGAAGAAACAAGTCAAAAATTGAATAACATATAATCAGAATTTGATAAGTTCCATAAGTTATTAAATTAGTCTGATTCATTTTGAATATGTAAAAATGTTATATAAATATTATTATTAATGTTGATAAAATAAATTAAAGAAATTCTACAATTAAAACGAAACTTTTCAGAAGATAAAGGAGATAATAATCTAAAACTAAATAACTTTAATGGTTTCTTAGATTAACATTAAAGATGGGTTAATGGATAAAAAAGACTTGAAAATTGTTTATAAAGAATTGCAAGATTAGATGATGGTAAACAAAAGTCTGATGAATTTTTTTATACAGATTCTACAAAATAAATGTAATATGAATTTAGTTTATTACTTGCGAAATAATTACTTAAATAAATTACAAATATTATGTTAAATAATAAGTTTCAAGATTACCTAAATTATTGTAAATAAGGTGATGATTACTTATAATCCCTTTTAGATAAATTCTAATATATTCAAAATTCAGATTCAAAATATTAAGAATAAGAAATTGATACAAGAAAATATTTATTTGAGATAACAATCAAATACTTTAAATCAATAAATATTGATTATTTAAGAAAAATAGTTAATTAATAACGATCACTTGAATATTATGTTAATTAAATATAAGAAGCTATTTTAGAACTCTTTTATGAAGATTATATTCTTAAATAACAAACTGAAGATTATACTATTAAAATATAAGAATAGAAAAAAAAAATATTAAATAATAATCCAAAAGATTAAAATTCACTTATTACATAAAAACTTAAATAATAATTACCTGAACCTAATAATCATGAATTAGGATATGAAAATAAAGAAATCAATGTTTTTTGTGCACTTAGCAATGATGAATAATATGGAAAAGTTCTTGAAGAAGCACTTTTATTTGATTCATTTTATTGTGATAAATTATTAACTAATCAATCATATCATCATTAAAAGTAAAGAAAATTTAAAGTTTAATCATAAAAATATAGTAAATAAGATTTAGAACATTTTATAAGTCATTATAAAGTAAGTTAACTTAGAATGACTAAAAAACACATAGGTGAATTAAATAAAACAGATTATTCAAATAGATATTATTAAACTAGAGAATAAAGAATTAAAAGTGAAAATAATAAATCTAGAATAATTGAAGTAACAGATAAAATTAATAAAAGAAGAATTAATACTATATAATAATTTTTTAAAAATGATCCAGAAATTAAAAGATAAGAAAATAAAGAAGTTATTGATTTCTTAGTCAATTATAATTATAAAAATGTACCAAAAACATTATAAAATTTTATAATTCATTAAAATTCAAATGAAGAAAAGGATATATCATAAGAATTATTACATAAATTATTTTTTAAATACTCTAATAAATATGAAGAAGATTCAAGTTAAACATTTTAATTTATGAATGCATAAAATTTCATTTCTTTATGTAAAGATTTAAAAACATAAATAAGTAGTGATGAAGGACTTAGAATATTTCATAAATGTCTAGAAGATTAATCATTTTTTTTAGATAAAGGTTTGACTTATTCATTTTTTCTTGATGCTATTAGAAATCTGGCTTCAATTACAAATGAGATTGATACTAATAATCCAGAATTTTAAAGAGATGCCAATTAAGTGAGATTTAGATTTAGCAAAAAGGAAATTGAATAAAATTCAGATCCCCAATAAAAAATTAATAAGTATATTATATATATTTATCTGTTAGATTCTTATAAATTTATATATTTCCAAATAAAACATTTATTTATGAATCTATTGATCTACAATTATAAAATTGTTAATATTATACAGATTTTCTAGAAGCCTTTAATCCATTAATTGCAGAATTCTTTTAAAATTCAAAGAATGAATAATCATAATTTATTAATTTTGATGATGTAGTTAAGGTTTTTATGAAAATCAAATTATGTCCATCTAAAATTACTAAAGCTACTCTTAGATATTATTTTTATTATAATTAAATCGAAGATGAAGGACTTAATTTATAATAATTTCATAATTTCTTAAATTTACTAGCTTTGCAATAAAATAGAAAGATCATAAGCAGCAAAGAAACTTCAAATGTTATTTAATATTATACATATATTTTTGAATAAAAAAATGGTATTTCTAATGATACCATAGCTTTATATAAAAAAATAATGATGTTTTATATTCATAGAGATTATTTGAGATTACTCAGATTAACTAAATTAGCTGAGTTCTCAGTAGAAAGAAGAGAATCATATTAAGATTTTTGAATAATTATTATCATAATAAACTACGATAAACTAGATTTATATAATTTGCCATTTCTTATTTGACTTGTCCTTTTGCTAAATAAAGTGGAACAGATAATTTAAAATCACATTCTGACCATAATTATACTAGTGAATAACTATCAACTTTAAAAACTATTGTTGAGAACCTTAAAAACTAATGTTTAATATAACCTCTAAGAAAAATACTCCTATTTCATTACATTTTTTAGAGGTTGGATTATATATCCACTTAATTCTATATTTCCTCTCACAATTTTATTTTATATAGGACATATTGAATTATCAATAATAGATCTGCTAGCATCACACCAAATATCATTATCTTTATTAATTTATTCTGTTTTTTTAAAGTAAACAAAATCTCTTGCTGATACAATTGAAACACTTTTATAACTTAAATATATAAGTTGTTCTTGTTTTTCTGGATGCTTTTTTATACATTTAAATTAATCGATCCTATTATCAAGTTTTATTTAATCTTTAAAATCTCCCATAAATTATATAAACTTTTCACTTTTACATGGAACTATAAATTAACTAAAAGTAACATTAATTTTATTTCCATCTGGTAATTATACTTATCTTATATATAATTTTAAAAAATGAGGGCTTTTTGTATCATCTAACAATAAACTCCAATTTTTCTCATTTAATGGAAACTCCTAAATTTTTTATTAAATTTATGTTATTATCTCTTTTCCAAGTTCCTAATATTAGTTAAATTCATCTGGTTTTATTTCATCAACCTTTACAACTTCTTTTTCTTATTCTGGCTCTATAATTGATTAACGAGTGCTCTTTATATCAATTACTTAAAGTAAATCAATAATCGTTTTTTTCTCATATTCTGGATGTTTATATTATTTATAAGGTATTTCCTTTAATTTATCAAGTTGATAATCTATTTCTTATATAAACATTTAATGCTCAATCTCATTTTTTTTCTTAAAAGAACGTTTCCCTAAACAAAAATTATTTCCCATTTTTATTACAATAATATAATCAGTATATGAAAATGAGATGTATTAAATATATTCATCTGATTAAATAATTTTAATAAACACTTTAGATCATTTGAATAAGTATTTACAAAAAAGGTTTAATATAGTATTATAACACTTTAAAAAAGAAGCTATTTATAAATTCTATTACATCAATAAACTCAAAAGAATATTTTAATCAATTTAAAAACAGATGAATCTATAAATATTAAAATACATGAATAATCTGATTAAGATCATTTAAATTAAGTATATATATTAAATCTATTAAATTAAATGATTTTAATATGATGAATATTATACATTTATCAATCCCAATTACTTGGTGGAATAGTGTTTAATTTTAAACTTAATTTTTCTACATTTCCATATTTAATTTCAATATCATCTCTTGTTGCATTAGTTAATGCTGTATTTAAAATTTCTACTTCCAAATTATCTAATTTAGATAGTGATTATTCTAAAAGTTACAACAAATCTTTGATTCCTTTATCAGTCAATTAATTTTAACTAACTTTTAGTTACACAATCTAATTTTTAATTATATTAATACTTTTGGTGATTTTGCATTTTTGACTGCTCTTGCCAATTCTAATGCTCCTCTATCTGACAATGAATTGAAATTCATATTGATATGTAAATCTTCTAGATTCTTTTGATATTAAATTCCTTCAGCTATAAATGTAGCTCCAGCATCACCTATATAATTTTCTATATAATTGATCTTCAAACTTTTTAGTTTATTATGTTTATATAGTATATTTTTTAATAATTCTGCACCCTTAGCACCACATTTATTAACACCTATAATTAATTCTAGTTTATCTAATGGTGGTAACTTTTCAATGGCTAATAAAATAGCTTCAAAACCAATCCATCCAAAATTCTTTGTAGCTGCATTAATTGATAATTCTTTAAGATATTTTAATTATGTTAATGTATTTCCAACTTATATTCCACCTTCATCTTTAATATAATTGAATTCTAAACCCAAATTTAATTTAGTTAAATTATTCATTTATCCTACTACTTTCATTAAACTTTATGTTCCATTTTATGTAATATTATTGAAATACAAATCAATTCCTAATTCTCTTACTTATATTTATTATGATAAACCAACACTAAGAATATTCACTCCATCTTATTATATTTTATTAGCATATAAATTTAAATTCAGTTTCTCTAATTTAGGTAACTTTTAAAGTATTAATTACAAAGAATCCATCTCTTTCTCTTTTAATTTACTTCCAACTAGTATAAGTTCTAGAGCTTTAAGATTTTACATTTCAGCAATAGGTACAAGTGATTTAATACCATCTTATGACAAATCACAACTTATGAGAGAAATACGAAGAGTTATTAATTCTCTAATCTTAGATATCTATTAAATAATTTTGAATCTGCTTTAATTATTTAGAATAGCATCCATACCAAGATTAATATGTTTTAATTCCTTAAGTTTAGAAAAGGTCTCAACTAATTTTATTATTTAAGATTCTTAATTGATAATTGGATTATTTCCAAATGATAACTTCACTAAAGTATTTTACTTAATTTTTACATTCTTTTAATTTAGTCAAATTGCCAAGACTTTCAAAGAAATTTGTTAAATCAGAAATTTAATTGATTGATAAATCTGCTATTAATTTTGTTGCATCAATATTCTGATTTAATTAAGATGATAGATAAGCAACACCAGAATCTTTAATAAACATTCCACTATTCTCCATAATAATTTCTATTAAATTAAGAATTACTTACAATCTCCATTTATTATACAATTAACATTTTAATATTCATTAATGTATAATTTAATTCCAAATGCAACAAGAATTCCTATTAATATCCATACAATCTTTCCTAGAAATGTTGAATGCTCTGTTTATTATTATTCTTATTTTTACATCTTTTATTCTTATTTTTACATTTTTATCTAAAATTTAATCAAATCCAATAGTATTATGACATCTTAATAATTATATATATATTCTAGAAGTATTTTGTGATTGATTATTATTATTTATCTTAATAAAAACTTAATTAGTTGATGATAGTTTGAATAAATTTATATACTTTGATAAATAATAGAGGAACATTAAAAATAAATAGTTATTTATAACATTATAGTCATCAAATAGAATAATCAAGTTGGCTAATTGCATAATGGACATTTATGAACTGCATGAATCCATCTCTCTATACATTCAGTATGGAATCTATGGGTGAAATGACACTCAAGTTAAGTAATATTTTCCTTTGAATCAAGATTTTACAAACATATGGCACATTCCATTCGATCTTAAATTTATTTTTATTTCTCTAAATTATCTTATCTTTGACCAACATTCTATTCTATAAATTATTTAAGATTGTTAAAATAATCTTCATCTACCTTTTTTCCTTCTAATTGAAATTAAAATTTCTTATCTTCTATCCATTATATTAATGAAATCAATTGTCCACTTCTGGGTTTGACTTTTAATTCTAACTAAGAATTCTGAAATACTATATTATCATAGATTTCTTATAGAGCTTCCAAATCATATATTTAATAGATATTGGTTGATGTTTTTTATTTGTATATTGGATAGTCTTAATAATTTTAAACCCATTATAATCTCTATTCTTAAGGTTAAGCTAAATTAAAATCAAATATTTAAATCTATTCTTCTTCCTTATTGACACAATAACTTCGAAAAAGGAAAAAGTAAATTAATTATATGATGGTAAATAGATATATAAAATGTTCATAAGAACAAAATTACTATATTCCAAATAATGAATCTTTGGTAATTGTTTTGTATGGTTTTTCAAGAAAAAAAGCTATATAAGTACAAAAGAGGGAAAAGAAATAAAGTCCCTTTAAAACACAATTTTATGTAGTATATGATAGATATATTGATTGAAACAATGTCATATAGCATTTGAAATACTTCTTAGAATGTAATGTTATGTTAATTTTTTTGATCAAATAAAGAACATATACCATTTAAGTACAAATGATAAATGAATAAAAGAGACTTGTGAGTTATGTATATTTATAATCCTCTTACTGTATGAATAAAAATATAATATATAGAATTCCTTTAAATACATAATATGTTAGTAGTAATATCCCAAAGAGAAATGCTGTCTTCTAAACTTATATTGGAGCTAAAACTTAGAATAAAATTGATTACAAGGATAGCGCTAATAATTATATCGTTTAGGTTTTTTTGTGACTACTCTAATATTACAACAACCCAACCAACACTTTCTACAAGCATATATTAATATAGTTGCTGCAACTATATAATTAACAATAGCTAATAAGGATCCTATTACAATCTTTGAATTTATTAAGTATGCACTTAATATAAGAGATATTATTGAGAACTAAATATTTAACAGTCTAAACGGGTTATATTTTTCAGTGCTTGTGATTGCATTAATTGTATTCATGCCTGAAGCAAATGCAAAAGGATTCAATACTATGGATTCATCTTGATGTTTCTCCAACTCAGCTGATATTCTCTTTAAGTCTTTCAGAATGAGAATAAAGTAAGGAATAAATAGTATATAAGTAATAGACAATACTACTAACATCCATATATACTCTGTCTCTTTTTCTATGTTTGTGAAGATCCCTACCATGCCTATTATTGCAAATATAATCATAAATAACACTCCCATCATAACTCCACAGATGCTGCTTTTGACAACGTCTTTGGGATCTTCATCACGTATGTGTATTGATGTAGTTCTAAGTGAAAATGAACGATGCTCTCTGATATGCATCGACGCAGCAATAAGGATCATAATATATATAATATATCATTTTATCATTTTTTCTAATTCTTCTTTCATAAGGGGTTAATTTGCCTCCTTAATAGCCAATTGAATTTATATATAGGGCTACATATTTACTATTAATCTTACATCAAATAATTATTTTAACATATTCATTCCTTCTATTAACTTATCAAAAATGGTATCTTGTTTGGGATATGGACTCCAAAAATAGATCTCATAAGTAGAACTTAAAATCATTTATTAATTTTGAATTTCCTACAATTTTTTCAATAATTATCATACCTCAGATACAAACTCTAATAAATCCATATGTTCTTTTATCTTATTTCCATCTTCAAAATTAATAATAATTTCTTTTATGGCTTATTCATTATGATTCTCTATTATAGCATTTAACATAATTGAAATTTCTGCCTACCAAAACTTTGGATCATCATATTAAAAATGATTATGCACCAAATATGCTTATAACACTTATAATTCCTTTAAAATGACCTCAGATTCTTTTGGAATCATTCTACCTATTATTATTATAGGTAACAAAGTCTTTAAATTCTTAGTAAATTTAAAAAAATAATTCTACTATTCTAAAGTTTTCACTTTCTTAGTCAAATGCTATAAAACCTAAAGAACTTATATAAATTCTGCTTTCAATAAATATTCTAATACTAATGTAGCCCAAGCTCCTAAATTTACATAATTTTAATATTCTTATTCAAATTTATTTAAATCATTCTATTCATTTTAAGTCAAATTTTGTGATGGTCTTTTAAATTCATTGAATTAAGCTGTAAATTTATTTATTATTTTATTTTTAAACTAAAATATCTATAAATTAATTTATACATTCTCACTTAATTATCCACCAAATATACCTTCTTTATTTTCTTAAACTTCACGTAAAGCAGAATCTAAAATAATCCATTTTACTAAATTATCATATTATGTATTTTAATTAGATAATTATGTAGCCTTACATTTAATATAAATTGGGAAATTTAAAGTAAATAATGGTTTAAATTTAATACTTTAAGTCTTATTAACAATAGTACGAAAATGTTCATTTACAAATTCAAACCTACTTTGATATGACTCTACAATTCTATCTATTATTCTAGCCTATTTATAATCTTCAATTTCATTTTAAAATAATTAGTTTTCTCTTTTAATGCAATCAATTTAAGATTGATTAAGGAAATCTCCATAATTATCTTTTAAATAATCATTTTCTGTGCTTGTTTTATACAACCTCTATGGATATTTTAATTCTTCTTGTACAATTTGATTCTTAACATAAACAAGTAAGTAAGCATTGATACCTGGTTTCACACCAAAAGCATCTTGAAATACTTTATCTCTTGTTTCTTCTGTCACATGAATATCATTAAATTTAAACCATTTATTTAATCTAAAATCTTTTATGTAAGTGTAATAATGTCCAGAATCTAAGAGATAAAATAAAAATTATATATATACTTGCCATTCCTTCATGAATTAAAATAGATTATAAATTATATTTATTTCCTTTAAAATTATTATAAGAATCTTATATCTTTTCTTCTAGAACATTATATTATTATTATAAGACTTCTTTTCTTTTTAAGACTTGTTATGAATATTTTTAGAGTTATTCTATAGTATGTTTTTAATCGGAGTGACCAAAATTGGCAGGATTATGAGGATTATTTTTTGATTACATTTCTAAAAATTTCACTGTTGTTAATAGAACATCTTATAGGTCATATTTATCATCAAATTTTGACAATTGTTATAATTCTTATTTAATTTTTTTCTGTTTAATTTTTAATTCTCTAATTTATGTTCTGATATCTAAATATCTTTTACTATTTTCATGAAGGAAACGATCTAAATAAATTTCTTCTTCAAATTAGAATTCATCATTTTGTTTTATAAGATCATCTAAAATAAATATAAAATTATATAATACTTTTCTCTTTACTATAAGTAACTCTTTGAATTTAAAATGATAATGTTTATGGAGCACCTTAAATCCAATTATATTTGGTAGCACAAACAGTTTCACTTAAATCATTTTTAAAATCTTCAATAGAATTGATAATAAAATTATCAAAAGCATCATAAAGATTTCCATCTTTTAAATCAATAGGAATGAAATTATAAAGTTCAGTACTATCTCTACTTTAAGGTACACCAGCTTAATCGAATTACAAGTAATGATGTACTTTACAAAAGAATAATTTTGAAACAGGATCTTCATCATGGATAGTAGATGATTTCAATCTCAAAATAGATGAAGAACCTTCATGAGGTTAATCTTCTATTTTGCTAGGTTAATGTTCATTATAAGCTAAACCTTCTCCAATTCTACTTAAAAAATAATGATTGAATTCTCCAACATCCTTTTAATCACCAATAGGAAGAACATTTCCAAAATCATCACAAATACTCTTAACTACATCTGATGGATCAACATATTTTTTATCACTTCCTATCATACTTAGGAATAGATGTTAAAGATTTAACACCAATTAAATGGATTTTCCTTATTTACCTTATTCAATTTAAGGAGGTGGTTGAAATTTGATAATGATTTTAACAAAATCACTATTAAAGAAATATGTTTAGAGTAATCCATTAAAATAACAGGTGTTACCAACATTCTTAAGACCACATGGTACACCATTATTTCTTTTTCTTTATTCAGGTGATACAATTTCAAATGTACTTGTTGCTGCTTATGGATTAGTTTTGTAAGAGTCTATTAATGCTTAATTTAGTTAAATATCTTCATCTTGTTTCTAATAGATTTATTCAAATATAGAATTACTGTTGGTGTATTAGAAAGTGCATTATTTTTGTCTGACAATGTTAGTAAAGTATTGATGACTTCAGCTTCTGTGTTACTCTCTTCCCATGCCATATTAATCAATTCTTTAGAAAATCCCATACCAATATATTGTTCTAATAACTCTTATTTAATTGGTGTCTTCATTTAATTAAATTATGGATATGAAAGTTAAGATTTTTGGAGGTCTTGCAGCGACATTTGCAGCATCAGCCATATATTTATTTTTCAAAGAAAACAATAAATCTCTAAACTAGAAGATGTTTGATGAGATAAATAAAATCAAGAAATACATTGAAAATCATTTTTATGAATGCACCAAAGAAAATGTTAGATTATTCATAATTAATTATTATAGTTATCCTAAAAGTTAGAAGACAGAAAAGATTTCATAAATCTATTAAATGAAGTAGCTAGTAATTTTTTTGACATTGACAGAGTAAATGATGAAATTAGTCGACATCCTTATTTTAAATAATTTGCTGGAGTGAATTAATAAGTTCATTTATTTAATTAAGAATATACTTCATTCTATTTAAGAAAGTAACTATTATTAATTATTATTTTAGAAACTCATTAGATGCAGTTTAAAATAGTCTAAATTTTATTGTTAGTAAACATAGATTACTCAATTAAGAATAACCATAATTATCAGAGAATACTTCAAAATTTATTAATTTCTTTTATCTTGTTCTTATTAATTTGGTTAAATTAATTGAAGAAACTCTTATAGATTTAGAAGATAAACATGCTTTAATATAAATGAATTTCTTTTTAGCAGGATTATTAGATTAAATAGAATAAATATTAAAGTAATATCCATTGTTATCAAATCTATTTGGTATAGCACTTTTAGGTTAATTGTAATTAAATGATCCTTAAATTGGTTTTGGACATTAATGTGATGATAATTTCTTTAATGCTAAAATAGAAGATACAAATATTAATCAAAATTGTAAATGTTTAATTTTCGATGCACTTATACGTTATGTTTCATTAATAACTCCAACTTTATAAAAGAAATTCATAACAATATTAATTGACTATTAAATATTATCAACTAAAGATCATTTAATTAAATTGGGATCAATATTATTAAAAAATTAATTCTTTTTGAATAGTTAAATAAGTAAAGTAGAAATGTATTATGCTACTGATGTAAGTGTCTTTAATCATATGTTAATATAAGCAACTGCATATAAGGAAGTGAGATAAGAATTAATTAAACCAGATTTGTTAGATTTATATTTTCTATATACAGAAAGAGTTGTTGCATAAAACAATCCTAAATTTATAGCTAAAATATTAACTAGTCTTATAGCTTCACATGTTATGATTTATCCTATTTTTGGAGATGAAGAGATATTATCTTAACTTATTAATAATGAAAAATAATAAACATTAGTTGTTGTTCATTTTCTAGGAATGCTATTAATTTTGGAAACTAAAGATACAATAGATGTTAAAGATAATCCAAATGTTTAGATGTTGGATTGGTTAGCATTAAATATGGATTTCATGCTTGCAGTTGAAGTGTTATCATATTTATAAAAATAATTTTTATTGAAAATATTTAGAAATAAATAAAGTGATATTCCATTATTAATGAAATAATATTTATAATGTTTACGTGTAACTCATAATAAGAGAATTTAATAAAGAACAATTTAAAAGAAATAATTTGATGTTAATGCAATATTATAATAAATGATTGGATATTTAACAGCTATTTAAGTATCAGAATTACCATCAAAAGAATCTTTTACTAAATTAATTAATTTGATTCCATTTTAAGATTAGAATGAACAATCTAATATATTTTCTAATATATTACGTATTGTTTATGATCTTCCAACTATTAACTTTCATTTTCTAAAATTTGTATTAGAAAAATGTGAAAAAATATCAAAAGAATCAATATTAAGTTATAATGGTTATTACTCACATATATTAACTGCACAAACAGTTTCATTTGACTCCTATATGTTCTCTGTTTAATTATCTTTATTATTTGGAAGACCTGAAGCATTATTAAATGAAATTAGTGCTAGAATGAAGAATGATTTTACTAATTTTGAAAGATATGAAGATTTTCTTACAAGAGATGTATTATTATATTATTTATTATAATAGATTATATTATTAATAGATTTATTAGAAAATCCATATTATTGTATGAATATATTAATGTAAACTGGATCAGAATTCCCTTAAAAAAAAGAAATCATGACATAATTGTATCAATATGCTGCAATATCAATTTTGAAATTAAATGACTAAATGACATAGCTTTAATTATTGGAAACATTACAATTGTTTATTCATATTTAAGAATTACCTTAATATATTAAAGATTTAATTGAAGATGGATAGGATGGCAAAGTTAAGTTAAAGTATCAATACTCTCAAAATTGGCCATATTTGAATTTGTAAAAGGATATGGAATCAGTCAAATACTTTTTGAGTAAAGCTACAGATCCATTTGATGAAGTAATACTAAAATTTTAATAGATAGTTATTGTATGCTCCAGATTCATTTCCCTTTTTATTTGAAATCAGACAATTAGTGTATAATTGTGAATCATTTATTAAGATAATTGAGTTGGCATTACAATCAAAAGATAGAATGAAATTGTATGTTTGGATTGGTAAATTGTTATATTATGGAAAATAAATATTATTGAAAAAGGGATCAACAAAAATGGATTAATTGTTTGCTTTGGATGAATGCAAATCATTTATTCAAGAGTTGATTGAAAAAGAAGGATGCAACAAATTAGTACAATACCTTTAACAGTGATATATCGTTATTTTAATTAAAATGGAAGAACTTATATGTCCATAATGTCATAATATATTCAATGAATTTGACAATACTCCTCTAATGCTTCCAGATTGTGGCCATACTATCTGTCAACAATGTATCCAATCAATGTTATCCAATGCTGATGGCTAATAGATCTCCTGTCCAGAAGACAAGTATTATTCTTTCCTAAATTCTAGTATATTGGCTAAAGGCAAGACCAACATCTTAGAATTTCCTAAAAATTGCTAGCTTTTGAAAATGATTTTAAAATAGAGACCATCTATTGAATAACCTGAATATTAGTTAAATTTAAACAATTTTGCAAAGGAACAATTTGAATTGTGTGGTGAACATCTAGAAAAGTTAGAGATTGTGTGTTTAACAGATAAAATTAGAATTTGTACTAAATGTGCATTGTTTGGAAATCATAGACATCATGAAGTGAAATCTGTTGATGATGTAGTTAGAGAAGTCACTCTTAAGGCTGAAAATATTATGTAGACTTATTAAAAAATCTTGGATAAATAATAAGAAATGACTGAGTCTAAGTTTTATGAACATCTGTCAGATAAATTTTCAATTATGTTTTAAGATAGTTAGATGTCAGTTAAGGAGAAATTTAAAGAATTGCATCAATAATTAGAGTAAAAGGAGAATAAGTTATTGGAACAATTGAATACTCTCACTTAAACTCTTGAATAATAGACTAAAAAATAGATCAAAGATCAAATTTAATAGAGTTTATAATAAGCTGAATTATGGAAGATTGGAGCTAAAGATCGTTTATTATATTTCTCTACTAAAACAGATAATGGTGAATTACCTTTAGATTTACTTTATAACTAGGAATTTAAAGGTAATGCTATAATTGAAGAAATGGATAGAACCATAAAAATATTAGAATAGAAAATTAATAATATTAGAATCAGAAAAATTAGAGTTGATTTTAAAAAAACAGAAATAGAAAAGTGTTTTGATACAATGTGCTCATTAACATTATAGTTAAATCATACTGAAAATAATCCTGTAGAAAATAGTTTTACAAAATTTGATTAAGAAGAACCACTTCTATTAAGAGATAATTCAGTAGCAGATTGGACTGATACTGATGAAAGTTTGATTACTTCAATCACTTAAAATTAAAGTCATATTTCAACATAATCAGTTATATAAGCAAAGAGTCCTTTAAGAACTTAAAATCTAACTTAATCTCATCATTCTATCACTCCTCTCAAAAACATTAAATAAAAAAGTCCAAATAAGGAATAATCAAATAATACTCTTTAACCTCCAGGTCCAATATCAATATTACGTTAAGGTATATCTCCAACACCAAAATTGCAAGAACGTAGAAAGAAAACATTTAAAATGAATGAAAAATTTGATTCTATTTGGTAGGCTTTCAAAAATGATAATTTAGAAATTGTAGACTTTTCTAATGCTGGTATGTATTTTATTATTAAATATTATAAGAATTAGGAGATGAAGGATGTTAGATAATTGCAGATTAATTGAAAATTTGTAAAAAAGTAAAATAATTAAAATTGGCAAGAAATAAGATTAGTGATGATGGTGCTACTGTGTTATTATAAGCTTTAGCTTAAAATGGGAATGTAGTTTCATTACATTTATCTTCAAATATGATTACTGAAAGAACTTTGGATTAAATCTTATAATTAATTAAATCATCTTAACTACCTAAGAACATTTATTTATCATAAACATTAATAAATGCTACAAAATCTAAGAAAAAGGTTGAGGAACTTAAAAAGTTAGGATATATTGTTAACATTTGATGAAATTATTTGAAATTCAATTATATTTTAATATATATATATACAATCTATTTTTTAAGTGGAAGGCAAGATATATAATTTCATATGTAATTAATAACAATTATAAATTAATAAATGCGATAGAAGTAATATAAATATAAAAATTGAACATAAGAGAGAAATATAAAATTATAATAAATATAAATGATGAAGCTTCCTCCAAGTTATAGGGATCCTAAGATTTTCAACAACAAATATATTATCAAATAATAGATTTCATCAGGTTCATTCGGTATCGTGTATTTGGCATTTGACAAGCACACAAGAGAGGAAGTGGCTGTAAAAATAGAAAAAGAAGAAAATGAAGATGTTAGTTCTCTTGATAGAGAAATTTCCATCCTTAATCGTTTAAATGGAGTACCTGGAACACCTAAACTTTATTGGAGTGGATTCGAGTAAGACTACAATGTGATTGTAATCCAAATTTTGGGCAAGGATCTGAGTCAATATATAAAGCAATATAAGAAATTTAGTTTGAAGAGTGTATTACAGATTTCATATCAATTGCTATCTACATTACAGTAAGTTCATGAGAAGGGTGTAATCCATAGAGATTTCAAACCAGAAAATATATTGACAGGATATCAATAAGAGAATGGCACTATTTATTTAGTGGATTATGGTGTATCAAAAGTCTATTTAGATAATCATGGAAAGCACATGTACTGAATTTACCTAAGGCAAAGCCCACTTAAAGACAAGAAATCATTTATCGGGACAACAAGATATGCATCGATAGCAGCACATCGAGGTTACGAATTAGGAAGAAAAGATGATGTGGAATCAATGTTTTATGTTATGATATATCTCTTAAAAGGGTAGAGAGAACTTTCTTTATATTAGTAAATTGCCTTGGTAAAATTTACAAAATATTGGAGATAGAGATCGAACTGATGTTGTAGGTGAAGTTAAATAGAAGACAGAAATATCAGAATTATGTAAAGATGTTCCATCTGAATTTGCTGAAATATTTAAGTATTCTAATTAATATCAATTAGTTATTTAAAAAAGTTAGAATTCAAATCTGAACCAGATTACAAATATATGTTATCTCTTATACTTAAGGCAGCCACTAATAATCATATAATTCTAGATAAATTATTTGAATGGACAGATCGGCAAACCAAAATAAAAGATTAAATGATTTGGGCTTTGTCTGAAGAAAAATAAAAATTACCATAAATGAATAGTTCATAATAAATTATGGGTTCAAATAATCTTCTCAAACCTCCTGAAGCAATGAGAGCTACAGGAGGATCTCCAATTCGGATGGAATCTAAACATCTCACAAGTACTTCAATTTAAGGATCTTTGTCCTCAATGATGATTAAATATATACCATCTTAAGTTGAAAACACTAGCATGTGTAATCAAGATGATAAGCGATCAAAAAGCAAGAAAAGCAAACGAAGTAGAAAAAGTGCTAAATCTTCTAAACGTTAATCAGTCATTTTTCATAGTGGAGTATAAATTATTGAACCTAAAGATTAACTTAGAGTAACTAAATATTCATTTTGTAGAGACATAAAACTATAGATTCAACTTGGGGATTTTAATAATGCATGAATGAATTCAGTGGAGATGAGGATTCATAAAAACTATCCAAAAAATATCATTAATTGTAGGCTTGCAGTCTTCATCCAAAGAAAATACCCAAAAATACTTCTAAATTATGATATTATTTAAAATATTTGGTATGCTTAAATACTCAACTCACTTAAAGTTGATGATTTCTCTAAAGAATTGCATCCAAGATATCACCAATCATCTTTAATCCATCTCTGTAACTGATTTCTCTAAAGGATATCAATTAATAATTACAGAATTACCAGATATAGCATATGAATTTATGTTTAAAAATTAGTTGCCATGCATTCAATTAATTATTTAATATCTTCAGCTCCGTAACCAAGAAGTTTGTACCTTCTCTAACTTATGGGTTTTATAGAATTTAGATATCACTTATCAAATTAAGATCAATCGCGTCACATTTATTTTTATAAATTATTTATAATACTTCATATGCATTAAATAGTAAATCAACAAAGATGTTTATAATTAATAATATCCTCTGTCTTCCTCTTTTCTTCAATAAAATTAATTACTATATAAATAAATAATTTAAATTTGAATTCTTATCAATTTCATAATAATTATCATAAATTATATAAAAAACCTTCAAAGTAAATGAATAATTATCTTAATTAAATATTAAATTAGAACAAAAATCAAGAAAGAAAAGTAAAAATATGAATATAATAATCAAGGCTATTCTGAAAAATAAATTATTTCTTCAACTTCTTTAAGGGAAATTTTATATAAAATTTTAAGATTTTCAAAACTAATCAATTTTTAATGAATTTTTGTCTTTTTTTAAAATTCATCTGAATAATAAGTCTTGTTTATAATTAATTTAGAATATTTAAAGTTTAAGAAAAAGAGTCATAATCAAAATCATAACAATTTAAATTGAAACTTTATCAATTCTAATTTCTATAAAAAAATATAAAAATTAAATTCTACAATATTATGATTTAAGATTATAACTATTTTAATGAATTAACTCTACTCTTAATTTATTATTACTGAATGCTCTAAGAACAATTATTATTTAAAGTGATATAGAAATCATTATTTTTCATATATATCAGTTACCCAATCAATTAGACGACAACTATCAATCCATCTTTATTCTTTTGAATTGCAATTAAGAACTACAAGTATGTAACTGTGTTTTCTACTAATAAAATGACTTGCCAAACATGGACCAGCATCATTAGTTACTCCTGTTTTAATGCCTGTAAAACCTTGTTCTAAAAGTTTATTTGTGTTTTCCCATTTTAAGATACGTGTTTAACCTAAATTAGTAACAGTACAAGAGTATTCTTTGGTTCTAACAATTTAAGCAAATAATGGTAATTTCATAGCATAATAACATAATTTAGAAACATCATATGCAGTTGATCTATTTAATCTATTTGCAAGACCATGGGGATTAGTGAAATAAGTATTAGAAAGCCCTAATTTTTAAGCCGTTGAGTTCATTTCAGCTACAAAATACTATGCAGGATTATTCACATGTATAGTATTATTATCATTATCAATAGAATCAATTTTTTATTAGAAATATTTGGATTAAAAATAAAGATAGACTCCAAAATTTTCAGCAATAGCTTAAGCAGAGTCATTTCCTGATGGTAACATTAATCCATGCAAAAGATCTAATAAAGTAAGAGTATCTCCTTCTTATAAATTAGAAGATGTTCCACCTATTTATGTTGCATAATCTGAGACAGAAACAGTGACTTATGTTGGATCAATTTTAAGTTATTCACAAACTTTTATAGTAACATAAGCTGTCATAGTTTTGGTGATGGAAGCAATTTCTCTATTAGAATGTTCATTCTTTCCCCAAATCAATCTACCAGTCTAAGCATCTAGTATGACCCAAGTATGTGCAGAAATGGAAGGAACAGTAATTTCATCTAAATTATTTGAACTTTCTTACATCTTCTTGGTGGTGTTTCACTTCTAATAAACTATGAATTCATAATTTATACCCGAATTTTTATCGTCTAACTTCATTCCACCATTATGGCCAATCATCATATTATTGATTCATTAATTTATTATTGTAATTGATTTAGAATAACTAACTAATTGGTATGCATAAATATAAAATAATTTGATAAAAAAACTATTCTAAATATGGGCAGTTGTTAAAGTGCTCCTTGTATTGCAGATGATTTAATTACAATGGATTCAAGTGCTTGCAAATAAACAGATAATCCCATCAAGGAAGAAATCCTTCCTTAATATGATGAGAACAAAATCATTATTATACAGGCTTATTATAGAGGACACAAAGTCCGTAAATCAATTATGCCTACTATTTCATCTCCAGAACCTTCTGCTCCAACTTAACCAGACAATCCAAAACTGTGTTTTGATCCTTCCCTCATATAAGAGAATGATTAATCTATAATTATGAAAAATGGAGCTATCTATACTGGGATGTGGAAAGATGGTAAAGCTAATGGAAAGGGAAAATATTAATTCCATGATAGGTAGTTACTATTTTTTATTTTCTAGTTACATTGAAGGAACTGTAATTTTAATACAATATATTTTTTAGTGGATTGCCAATGAACTTCAAGGTGATGGAGTATATGTGAATTCCAATGAATCATATCGAGGATAATGGAGAGATAATATGTTCCATGGTTAAGGGGAATTTAGGTATTATGATGGTCGTATTTATACAGGTATCCAATTCTTACATTTAGGTTAATGGAAACAAGGAATCTAACATGGAACAGGTAAAGAGATATATAAGGATAAATCTATATTTGAGGGAAAATTTAAGAATGGAATGAAGTGTGGCTTGGGCATTTTTCAGTTGGCTGATGGCTCAGTATATTAAGGTGAATTTTAAAACGATTTATTTCATGGATACGGTTCATTTGTAAATACTATTTATTAAGTAGACTTGGCCTGATAAAGTCAAAATTTTTGAAGGTTACTGGAAAAATGGATTAAAGAATGGTAATGGTTAAATGAAATGGGGAGATGGTATTATCTTTTGTTAATCTTTAAATTTAGGTCGTATATATTGTGGTTAATATTTGGATGATATTAAACATGGATATGGAGAAATGCAATATGCAGATGGTCGGATTTATAAAGGATAATGGAAACAAGGCCTTTAGGATGGTATAGGCTAATTTTTAGACAAAGAAGGGATTGTCAAAAAGGGCTTTTGGATTAAAGGTAAATTAAAAAAGTGGCTATGATTTAAAAAACGAATTTTGATTTTCAATCTCTTCTAATAATATATTAATAAGTATTAATAAAATAAAAATAGAACAAGGAAAAATAGATCTTATTCAAATTTTCAATACTAATTTTTTAGATTTATATACCTCCTCATAAGATTAGTAGTCATCATCCATTTAATCTTCATCCAATAAATCATCAGGCAAAATCTTCTATTACTGTAATTATTATTATTCTAAAATTTCTTAATGGTTTTGTCTATATAAAATTTAATAAAATTTATATACGCAGCTTAAGCTAATAAAACATCCATCATATTTATTCTTAATTTCTCTTTGGATATCATGTAATTGTTTTTTTTCTTCATTTATGGTTAAACAAAGTTAGATGCTAAATTAAAATAACAACTTATCTCAGTTGCTTATTCTTTGCCTATATAATCAAAACTGCTTTCTTCAGAATCATTTATTCCTACATATAAATATAAGAATTAGTACTTGAATCATCTGCCAATAAAGAATCACATAAGTTTAGCTATTATTTATAATTATCCTCATATTATGACAAGATTTAAAGATGATATTTAATTTAATCTTAAGAATTAATTTTTTATTTAGGAGTTTGTAGTTTATTAAGAGAATTAGGTTAATTTTAAGTATTTATATCTATATGTAAGTTTCCTTCTGTTTCATCTTGATCTCCTTATTCTGCATTAGAGATAAATTATTAGAACATTCTATTATAATATTTTAATGATTTACTCTATTATGGAACTATCACCAACTCTTTTTAAGAATACCTTGGTTAATTGCTCTCTTTGTAGTAACTTTTATATAGCTTCAAATTATCCTTGTACTAAATTTTTCAACTCTAAAATTTCTATATGTATTAGAAATCTCTACCTGTATCATTTTAACCTATATGATTATTCTATCTGATTTAAGTTGATAATGCATTAATTTATTATTATAAATTAACAATTATTTCATCTTAAGACTTTTTAATTTCTAATAACTAATTATGCTCAGATAATAAACTCTCATGTTTCTTTTTTATTGAAATAAGTATGTTCTCAATTTTCTTCTTTTCCATTTGTTATTATAATGATTATTGTAGAATCTAAATTTATCTTTTAAAGAAATGATTAATTTATAGAGTATGATTTATATTTTAATTTGAATTTTGTTAAATATTTTACTAATCTCTAAATATAACTGCTAATAATTAATTTAGTGCTTAATTAAATTTTATCATAAATGTAGTTTCTTTTTAATCCTATTACATATAATTCTCTCTATCTTGTAAAAGAGATTTGATCTTTTCTTTTATCTTTTGAATTTGAGTCTAATCACATGAAATACTATTGCTATTCTTTATTTTAACACTTGAATTGGGTCTATGAAAAGATGAGTTTTTAGTAAGTTAAGGTGATTATTACTCTATTTACATCATGGATTAATTCTTTCTTAATTTATGAGATATCTTCACTGTATCAATTAATTCATTGTTAAATAAACTTTAATTTTTAGGTTTCGTCTGTTAGCCTGCCATTACATTTAAAATGCTACATAATTTTTATTAGGACACTTAAATTGTTGGGTTTATGAATGTTCTATTTACTTTCAATAAATTTTCATATGATTTTTATCTTCCAACAGCAGGACTATTATTATTCGAGATATTTTAGGATTGACTTTCAAATTACTGTTTTGAAGACACTTTAGTCAATTTCTTCTCTAAGATTTTTCCATGCAATTTCATCATCTATGATGCATATATAGCAATTTTTTCATTCTCACTTTATTTTTTCATTGTAATTTTGTTTGTTGAGAATAATAAATGATGAATTTATCAAATTCTTCAATATATAATCATTTATTAATAATATACATATACTTTTGAGTTTGATCTACTATGATATTATATGTTATATAAAAATGAAAAACCAAAGTCAATTAATTAATTTTCGAGAAGCAAATAATTACTTAAATTAATTCAAGTTTTCTTCCTATTTTAGTTAGATATCAATCATTTAATCTAATTTCTTGATCATCTAACTTCGCTCCTAAAATTAAGTTTGCTCCCTCTTACTTATAATTAGTGCTTTTTATCTAAATTTAATTTCTTGACACTCTTGCTCAATTAATAATGCTAATTTTCTAATTGTTCCTATTTAGTCTATAAATCTTTAATCTAATTAGCCAAACTTTCAATTTTCTTTTCAATCCCCTCACAAACAAATTCATTATTCTATTTTCGATCAGTTGGAGATTTCAGTAGATGATCTTAATGCATCATTTTCTTGGCTGTCTAAACATTAGTTTGGCATCGACTTTGAGGACTCAATGAATGGGTTTTTTTGATGTAATTCTTAAAAGATTTAAGAAAAGCAATAATCTCTTAAGGTGTCTGTACTTTTCTTTATTTCATCTTTAATAATTTTATTGTTAATTAACTAGAGTAAAACTATTTAACATTCATTATTAGAATGACTAAATAATTCAAATCATATTTTAATATATATGATAAAAATACTCAATAATTATAGAATTATGCTAAATCTAATTTTTAATACCTTTTTCTTCATTTATATAATTCTTCATAAATTAATTGCCATCAAAAATTATGATTAATTATAATAGTTGATTAATGATATATAATTGAATGTAGATATAGATGCTAAATAAGCAAATTTAGAATAAAGATATGAATAGTATTTATATTATAACATTTAAATTATATAATCATTAAATTTTCTTATCAATGATATTTCCATATTATTCTACATTTATTATTTAAAACATTTATTTGTCAATCTAGAAGATTATATTTAATATAACTTTACTATATTTTTTCTTTTTTTTATAATTTTATTATTTTGTTTTTAAGTTTTAGAATTTTTGATACCTTGTTTTCTTTTAATTTATTAATAACTATGTATTCACAATTAATATTAGTAGTTTAATTTAGTAGATTTTAATTAATTGATATATCTGTATATATAATTTTATATCCCTTTATTTAAATGTATCAAAAATAATATTATTAGTTTTTCTAATTAATTAATATATTGATTATTTTAGAAGTGAACTAATCAATAATTTTGATCCAATAAAAACATTATTAATAACATTACTTAAATATAATCTTTAATTGTCAAGTTCTTCCAATATTAAAATTTCTACAAAGTAACACTTGAATAAGTTGAATTAATAGTAAATGGATTATGATGTGTATTGAGTAATTTAAGTATTAAAAATTGTTTAATTTTATTAACTTCATTAATACTTTGAAATAGATTTTGATGTATAGAAAGTGTGCTTAAGTAAGCAAATTATTCAATTCAATTCAAATATTAAATGCAATTATGAGATAAACATAGAGTTATAATATAGTTAATAGAATTAAAATAATCTATTTCTCTTTTGTTCTAATAATTAATAATGATTTATTTTTGATACTTATAAGGTATTTATTTTTAAGACTTCAATAATTTGCATTTGAAATTTATATTAATAATTTTATAAACTGATATATGAATTTCAAGATCATTTTCTTCTTTTTTTCTTTTTATCATCCAAATAGGGATGTTCTTTTGCAAAAGAGTACATAGATTTCAAATTAAGTTATTTTTTTTCAATGTCCTTGTGATTTAGTTAACAAACTTATTGCACTTCATTGTTGTATATTATTGATTAGAGTTCCAATGAGTTATCACAATATATTAATGACATTTCATTATTTGGAATTATACTTTACTCTTTCAATTTAGCTGATTTTATAAATAGTTTTTTTAAAGATTTATTTAGATCCTGATAAAGTTATAATATAGAATTTGAATATGGATAGGGAGTCTTAGTAATATGTTCAAGTGCATCCAAACATTCTTTTATTTCTCTTTGTAATTCTGCAAGCCTGTCTTCATCATTTTAATACATTGTAAAATTTGTCAAAATTTATTATTATTATTAATTAAATTATACTCAAATAAGCCCATTTTTCGATGAGATTGCAAATTGAAGAACATTTTATCTTTGTAAAATGTGCATCCACTACATTATCCAAAAAAATCAATTATTTAATATAACTTTGTATTCTTCACATCAACTATCTAAACAAATTCTTCACCTTCAATGCATATCAATTAACCTTAATTATTATATAAAATATTATAAAAGGGTTTTGAAATTGCATCCACTTTATCATAAGGAGTTTCTTATTTTCTCAAATCCCATATTATACATTGTTTATCCTCACCAGAAGTTGCTACTTTCATTTCATTAATGGGATCAAATTAAGCAGCAAAATTATTGCATTAATGCCCTTATAAAGAAAAGATAGGTTTCTATTATCTTCTATCATGACCAAATACCAAGGGTTAATCTAAACAAGCTATAATTAAATTTTATTAAATTGCACAATGATTAACACAATGAGAACCTTTTATTATTGATATTATTTACATAATGCTAAATATTTTTCTTGGTTTAAATTATCAGCATCAAAAATACGAATTTGATTATCATTGTCACTTATTATAATCTCCTGATTATTTATGAAATCAGCTTAATTAATTATGCATTCTTAGTTAAGATTCAATTTTTATTCTTATGTTTCACCAGTTTTCAATGAAAAAAATAGTATATTTGATTACAAACCAGCCCTTACTTTATATATAATATTTACAATAATAATTTATCCTCATATTGACTTATTCCTACAATGTTAAAGTCTTAAGACATCGTATAAATCGATTATTTATAGCTACATGGATTGTAAAAACATAATCTATTATAGCTAGTATGAATAAGCAAATTTGAAAATTAATTATAAAGTAAACATTTTCTTAATTGATAATGAGTAATCTCATTTGCTTTTGTTTAATGGAATTTAGCAAATTAGTAATAATGATAATTAGCACGTCTATATTTAATTATATTTTCATTATTTCTATTAGAGAAGTAAGTGTCTCTCAACTAATCCCTATGAGTTTTAGTTTGATAGAGGATTCCTTAACTATCTTCATTATCTTAAAGCATATTACCATTTATCACATCAATATCAATTTACTACATTATATAATTTTAAATTATAATTAATATAAAAAAATTACTTAACAAATAGTTAACATTCTGAATAAAATATATACAAATAATTTTTATAAATTGATATAAAATTATACTTAAATTTAAAAGAAAACAATATGTTATAGATATTTTAAAATAAGAATAAAATGTCTTAAAATATGAAATAAAATGATTAAGAAATTATGAAAATATTATATGTATAAATATATAAGGTTTAATAAATTGATTAATTATGAAGATGTTAATGGATTATATAATTGATATTAAAGTCTCCATATCTTGATAAATCTTTTTATTTCTTGTAACGTATAAGATACACTAAGATTTATCGATTTCAACACTGAACTAATTTAGCAATTAAATAGCAAAGGTAATTGTAACAAATTTATCTAATATTTAATAAATTTAAGAATCAAAGGTTTGTTACTTTGATTATACAATTAATTATGATAGATAAATATAATGCTAGAGATAAGTTAAATATAGAGTTTGGGTTTAGAACATTAAAATTTGAATGATTATTAAATAAATGCTTCTTTTTTTACAATTATATAATGATTTAGAATAGTTGATAATTAGAGAATAGTGATTGTAATTGTTCAGATTATCTTGAAGAGGTGAATTTGATTAGAGATAATATAATGAATGAGTTTTTAATTAAAAACAAAAACGTATTAATGAGGATGTGGAAATAAATTGAAAAACGGGTATTTTTTAATGTCTTGGAGAGTGATTGTGATTTCATTTCATTAATATTAATAACATGAGAATCGTTCCTGTATTGACTCTTATCTTCGCAGTCGCAACTGCTAGAGTGGCAAAGACAGAGAGCCCTAAAGAAGTGTTGGCTTAAATTAACAAGGATTCATTTGGAAATTCAGTGTTGTCAGTCCTTTAACTTTAATTGGCAACAGGTGGACCTGTAGGTGAAATTTAAATTCTCTTAAACAATATTGCTTCCCAACTTAATGGAGATTAAAAGAAAGCTGACAAAGTTCATGAAAGTGATACAGTTGCTTTCGAAAAGGTTAGTATTATTCAATTAATTTTGTTTAGATTATTGCTGACTTAGAACAAGAAATTGCTTATCATGAAAGCTAAATTGTTGCTCTTTCAAATTTGAGAGATTCAACAACTGAAGCTTTAGAAGAAGCTGAAGTTGAAGTTAGAGTTGTTACTTCAGATATTGCCAATAACGAAAAAAGCTTTGCTGATGAATCTGCAACAAGACAATCATAACATGAAACATGGGTTAGAAAGGATGCAGAACATGTTGATTAAATGGATGCCATTGATGAAGCCTCAAAGATTGTTTAACATTTATAAGCTGGTGTTGCCTTTGCTTAACTCAAAAGTAGATTTGAAAAAGTCTAAGCCAAATTGATGGAATCTAAACATGCACTCTTCAAAGTATTCATTTTAATCTAAATTCTAGCCACTCATCAATGCTTTGACATAATTAGCTTCAAAGGTTGACAACAAGAGCATCATCAAAATATTAGAACTCTTAGCTTAAATTAGATAACAATTAGTTGCTAGTAGAGCATCCTTACTTGCAACAGAAGAAAGACAAGCTGCTAATTGGGAAGTTTAAAGCGGTCATTTATAAGAAGAACACAAGAGATTAGTAGAAAGAAAGGCTTTCTTAGAAAACTCAATTGTTTAATTCAAAGTGACCATCTAAGAAGCTGTTGAAGATTTAGAAGATCAAACTGTAAATATTAAAATTAATTTAATAGTTATTCCTTGAAGATGCTGAAGATTCATTAGCTATTTAATAAAGATGGGCTGCTGAATAAGAAGCTCAATATGAAGCTTAAACCTTCGAAAGAGAACAATAATTGGAAGTTGTTGAAAGATTATAAGAAGTTCTCACTTAAAAATTGAGCGCTGCATCAGAATTCCTCCAAATCAGAGAAGAGGTCTTTTGATTATGAAGTCCATTATATTCAATATAAAAATCTTCATAAAATCATTTAATTTAGTTATTACTAATTGCCTGTACATTTTATTATGGATTCTATTAATTTAATTCCTTAAATAGAACATTTGGGTTTGCATTTAAATCATTAGACACCTAAAGTTAATATTTTGACATACTTCACTGTGTATTTCTTATTTTAATTATCCCATCATTTATTCTATAGCTAAATTTTATCCAATATCGTTATTTTAATTCATCATTCCTGTCATAATATTTCCTTGCACTTACATTTCGTCCATAGCCTTTTCAAATTAATTCATATTCTGATAAACCTTCTCTAATGGCATATTTTAGATCTACTGTAAATATTTTTAATACTTATTCATTCATAATTGGACTAATTTTTGCAAGAGCATCAACTAATTTTGTACTATTTGTATTTGATTTAATGACACCTTATAGATAATCCATTTTGTGTGCCATTTTTTACAGATTTTCAGCTTCCCTTTGTTTATTCATAGCTGAAGTTAAAAACAGTTTCGCACCTAGAAGTAATTTAATTAAAAAATACCTTCCTCATTGTTTTTCTTTAAAGTCGCTTTTGCTTGATTCATTAATTTTTCTTTCTCTTTTTCACATTTCTTAGATTCATTTGTAAATCGTTTAGATGCCAATTTCATATCCAAAATTGCATCATCAATAGTAGGTTTAGGTGCTTATTCTTTAGGTTAATTATTTCCCATATTAATTAATAAATGTTATTTAATGGAAACATAGAAGCCTTAAAATTAATTTATTCTATAAGTATTTGTAGAATAAATTACATGATTATTCAAAAAAGCAATTATAATATTAGATGGAAGTTTTAGATCAAAGAGATTAAAAAAATCTTAATTTATTATATACTATTTCTTTTAAGTAATACAATGTTTTATTCTATTTCAAGAATCATATACCTTTATTGAATATTATTGAATAATTATATAAAAATAACTCTCCTTACATATTTATAAATTATCAAAAATTATTATATCCAAAAAAACAGGTAATTCTAAGGAATACTGAATTATCATTAATATCTGTAAATTTTTTACTCTCTGGTGTTTTACTTTTTATTTTAGCAAAACATTCCGTACAAAAATCACTATAACCTTAAGGATTATAAAGACCTCTTTCATTATTTAATACAATATATCTATCTTTTCCAAGATTAGTCGATTTTCTACAACCATTACAATTAAACTTATGATCAGTTGTAGAGTTGTCTAGAGGTTGAATATTCTTTCCAAATCTAAATATATCTATATCTTTTAATTCATTAACATCTGTTATAGGTGTATTAATAAATACAAGATTATCTTTAATTTCATAATTCAAATTTAATTTGTCTTTCTTTTCACCACATTAACCACAATAAAATACATCTTTAAAGTAATTATAATATTATATTAAATTCTTATTTAATCTTTATCCACATGAATGACATTATATACCAGGATATGGAATATCCATAGATAAAATTAAACGTTATTCAGTTGATAATTTATCTGATGGAATATGAAATAGAAGTGATTGATTAAACTATCTTAAATTATATAATTATTTTTCTCTTATGGTATACTGACAATTAGCAATAAGTTCTTGACACTAATTGGTTTATACATTTAATTCATAAATAAATTAGAGCCTAAATATTATAAATAATTAAATTACTAATTTCCAATTTCTTTTGTTATTATTTTTTGATTAGAAAGATATTCTTCCAATTAATTATAATTTATAGTTTTATTAGTTAATTAATTTTTAAAAGGATGTGTTGCAAATTCAAATGCAATTTTTTTCTCTGATTAATGAAATAAACCCTTTTATCTTATAATTCCATTTTGATCTATAATCATTTAAAAAGGAAAAAGATTGACTTCATATTTTTCTCTTGCCAAAGTAGGAATCACTTTTGAATAATAAAATTCACACTTTGGTTTAAACTTATAAATCAAATCAATATCCTCCTTATTATATTCTATTCCTAAATATACAAATCTTAGTTTTTCTCCATATTATTCTTTCAATTTCTAATAGAAATTCTCTAATTTTATAATAATAAACACACAAGGAATTAACCAAATTAAAACAAGCATTTATTAAGGTTAATGTTAAATTATAATTTCTTAAGCTTCTTTATTATAGAATCCATCTAGAGGTTAAAATTTATCTCCCAAAGTTCTAATAGATTTTAATTAATGAATTAAAGTATCTAAATATAATTTTGAATTTTTATCATCTTAAGCTTCTAAAATTGGAGCTATTCCTTAGATAATTTCTTAATATTCTTTTATTGATAAATCTCGATCAAATTTAACTCTTTATTCATACTTTGACTTACAAATAAATGCTTATTTTTAATGCTTCCATTTAATAGCATGTTTTTCCCATTAATATGGAATAATTTACACTTCAAATTATGATACAAAATCATTTAATATTTCCCTAATTACAACTTATTCTTCTGTTTCATATTTTCTAAATCCTTTTCTAATAATTATATAATTTTGTTCTCCAAATATTTCTGTTAGATAATTTTTAAATTGTTTAATCAATTCTTTTGATTAATTTTCTAAACTTTAATCAATACTAACTAATATTTTACTTCTATCTAATACTACTTTAGATCCATCTTTAAAGTAATCTTTTTTCTATAGTATTTTTAATTCTACTATATCTTTTTCTGCAAAAAAAGCATTAATCATTTCCAAAACTTCAGTTTAAATTTTTTATTTGAATATTTTATAATCATCTTTAGAATAATTTAAAGTAGGAACAATTTATTATTGTATTTCTTATATTTATTAATCTATAATCTATTTATTATCATTATTAGATTATTTTTATAATATTATTGTAATTTATTCAAGACTAGTATTTTCAACTACAATAACTTTTTATTCCTTATTCACAATGACTACATGAGGAAATTTAGTAAATTATAATGCTTTCATTTATAAATTAAAAGCAATATGACTAGGATTAAAATGATAACAATTATAGTTTTCTAATTCTAAAATATATTGTGTCCAAGCTTCTTAATCTTAATCTATATTAATAGATAATATTCTAGCATCCCTCAATTTATTCATAATTTAAGTATTCAAATCTTTCATCAATTAAACACTTTCCCAATTTGTGATAGACTAATATTTTGTTAAATCATACCCAAAAAATCATTACATTAAGAATATCAGGTGTTACTTCTAATTTTTGATTTACTTTAATTTCACCATCCTCATATAACATTAGATTAGGAAAACCTATAAAACAATCATCTTTGCCATAAAATGGATGAATGGATTCTAGAAAATAATCACAAATAAATTTATCTAAAGAAAACTTTTTTAATTTATTAGAGACTTCTTCAAATAAAAAAGCTTAATTAATTGGTATTCTTTAAGAACTTTAGTACATATACGAAACTTAAAATCTAAATTTAATAAATTTAATGTACTAATTTTTAACATTATTTATTGAATGTTACTTAATTTATGTTACTCCAATACTTTATGGTAAAAGTGTCAAAATTTCTTTAATTAAAGACTTTTCTTTTTTATCTAACATCATCTAATAGTTCAATTTATAAATATGTTAGAAATTTAGTTTGTATATTATATTTTATAAAGTTGACAGAATATATATTTATATATATTAATTTTGAAGAGTTACAAAATCATTAATAATCTTGTAGAAGATTTCAATTTCCATTTTGATTTATCATTCTAAATCTAAAAAACCTATATTCATTTTACTTATTTCTTTTTATAATATTGATCTCCTTGTTCATTTAATGTTAAATTTTTTTCAATTTAATCAAAGGTGATTATTAAATCTCTCCATCTATATCATATTATAAGATTTCAAGAGGAGATTTAGGTGAAACTTAACGATCATGTTACACAATTGGACTTTTAGACATTGTATTACTTCTCATATGCAAATTTCTACTATAATATGAGTTCTTCTTTTCATATTAATTAAAGTCCTTTATATCATCATTAGTTCTGTAAATAGATTTAGGATATTAAGAACTCAAAAGTGAGAATCGATCAAATTTTTGACAACACAACCAAGGATGCTGCAAGGCCACTAAGATGTGAATCTCTAAATATACATTAGGCAGATAATCTCTATATTGGATTAGGATTTAATAGTCTCCTTATGAAATCTTATGCTAAATGAGAAATGTGATTATCCAATTGAAATTTCCCTTTTATTATCATCTTAGTTGTGCCTAAGACACTATCTTTAAAGAATGGAAAATTTCCAGATAAGATACGATATAAACATACTCCTAAAGACCATAGATCAACTTTTTCATTATAACCACCTCCTATAAGTATTTCAGGAGCTGTATAATATATATTTCCAGTTCTAGTCCACATGTCTACATCTATAAATTCTCTGCCATTATATTTCTTAAATCTTCTACTAACACCAAAATCTATAATTTTTATATCTAATGAATTTTGATCAATTAAGATGTTATCTGGTTTAAGATCTCTGTGTGCAACTCCTCTTTCATGGATGTGTTACAATGCTAAAAGTATGTTTCTAATGAGAATCTTGATCTATTCTTCGCTAATTGACGTCAATACAAATACGTTAATTTAGTATGACGCATTACTTCTTCTAATGAGCGTAGATTTGAGTATTCCATTACTAAAAATAGAGTTTCTGATTGTTCATCAATATAACATTCATAGACTTTAATTATGTATTAATGATTAAGTATTCTTGCATTTTTATAGGCTTCAGTAAAAGTCTTAACCAACTCAGGATCTCCACTACTAGAAATCTTGACTGCTACAATCTCTCCTGTATCTTCCTTTATAGCTTATTTCACTAAGCCATGTGCACCCTATCCTATTCTCTCTCCTAATCTATATTTAGCTTAGAAGTCAATCTCCATTGATTCAATTTGAGGAAATACTTAAGGAAGTCTATTATTACCATCCTCAATTCTAATTGCCCTTATATTTTTATAAATAGACAAATACCTTTTTGGTTTTACTTTTGATTATTCAATCTTCTTCTACATCTTTGGGAACAATTCTTATTATAAAGCATTTCTCAATTATTCTTGATTTCGCTTTTATTGCATTTTTTTAATTTATATAAATTATAATTAGTTAATAAATATTGTTGTTGTTAATTTAATAGTAAAATATATATAAATAAAAATGCCACCTTATTAATAAATTTAAAATTTAAATGATAATAATTTATCTTTATAATTTTAATAATCATTTCCCTAAGTATTTTAATCTTCTTTAAACTCTTGAAATTCCCTTTTTCCTTATTAAAAGTCTAATTGCTGGACTCTCTTTATTCTAATCTTCTTTTAATAAATGATCCTCTTCTTCTAAAAAACAATAAGTGTCATCATTAGTCTTCAGAAATCCATCTAAATCTTCAAGATTTCCACTTAATTAATGTAATCTTTCAACTAAATAGGCTTTAGGAACTCCTTTATAATCAGATAAAAGACTAAGAACTTGATCCATATCTTCAATAGAGAATTTATCAAAATCATTTTTGGGGAAAGTAGGATCAGATTATTTTTTGTGTTCAACTTTAACCTTTTACAATTTATTAATATCAAGTTCTTCTTCCAATTTCTTTTTTTCCTTATCCATTATTTTAGGATCAAAATTAACAATCTTTAATAATTCTCTAGGTTAAGTATTACTAAATAATAAATATCCCACCAATCCATGTTCATTTAAATGTTAAGCAATTTAATCCATATTCTCTTAATTTAAATGTTGTAGATAATCCATATATCTATTATAAATGTATTATAAACCTATTTTTTATAGAATTGTAAGTTCTTTTTACTATTTGGCTTTCTTCAATGTCTCTAAAATTTTTAGACTGAACTATGCTGATATCTTTGAGGGCTAACATAATTTTGAGATCCTCTTAAAGAGTGTATGATTAATTCTTTTAAGGAATAAAATCTGGGGCTTAGCTGATATACTTTTCAAAAATTTCTCCAGGTCTCATTTGAAGAAATTTAATAAATAAAAATAATGCAAGGTTACTTGGTTGAGGGTAAAGAAACTAATAATGATTATTCGTATGAATGGTTAAAAGGTAATCCAGATCTAGTAGCAATTGAAAAAGGAATACCAATTATACTTTTCAATTCAGAAGTATAAAAAAGAGATTTAGAAATGGAATTCAGAGTATATTTAAGTTTCTAAGAAGTTATTACGTAGATTGACAGAAACCTAATATCATAATGAAAACTTGCATGATTTTAATCCTGACATATAGAAATTGAACAGATACAATAATATCATACCATGTAAAATAAAATTTAATCAATAGTCAAACATTCTATTGTCAAATTAAAATAAGAAGGAGAAGATGAAGAGAATCTTAAGGATACATATATTAATGCAAATTTTATTAATGTATCAATTTTATTTACATATTTTGAATAGCTTATTAATGGAAAAGAGAAAATGATTATTGCTACTCAAGGTCCTTTGAATTAAACATTTTCACATTTCTGGAGAATGATAATTTAAGAAGACATGACAATGATTGTGATGCTTTGTAATTTAAGAGAGAACTAAAGAGTAATGTCACTTATTATCATTTAGGCTTAATGTGAGTAATATTGGCCAAAGAATGTAGGAGATTCCATTTTATGTGGAAATGTTTAAGTTAATTTACTAAGTTAAGATGATTTGGGAAATAACATCATAAAAAGAGTTGTTAAAGTCATATAAGAATAAGAAGAGAAAACAGTCACTTAAATTTAATGGTGTGGATGGCCTGATTAAGGAGTTCCTTCTCCAAGTGATTTTGAAGTAATGAGAGAACTTTTGAATATGATTAATGAGAAACTGTTATCAGATTAAAAAGTAGTTTTTCATTGTAGGTAATTATATTCTTTTTTGATTTTATAGTGCTGGAGTTGGTCGTACTGGTACATTAATTGCTTTAGCTAATTTAATGATTTTATTAAAAGCTTATAAATCACATATTGGAGAGGATAAGCCAAGTATTTATTTGATTAATATTTTTTAGAACTTGAAGAGAATCCTGAACTTTACAGAATCTCAATCTTTGGAATTGTTCGTAGATTAAGAGAACAAAGATGGGGAATGGTACATACTTCAGAGTAATACATATATATATATAAATTTATTGATGAGGCTATTAGATCTATGTTTAACATATGAAATGAAAAATAATATTATGTAATTAACCAAATAGTATTAAATTTATTCATTGATTGAATAATTTGGTTCTAAATTTAGTTTCACCCACTTTATGAATTTATTCATATTTTTTATCTAATTCTACATGTTTAATGTATGAATTTGGATGAACAATTTGATCAGTTAAATAAGTATAATTTGTAGTAGTAGTAGTAATGGGAAAATTTGTATTCCTATTAGTATATTTAATTTAATTCAATTAATGTGGTTTCATAATATCATTTTTAGATAATTACATTGCTGATTAAGATTAAAATAAAGGAACTTTTACTGAAGCCTTAGTTGTATTATATTATTATATTATATCTGTAGTTTATTGTTTATTAGACTCAAATAAATATTATCTATTTTAGGAAGGCTTTGTTTAAGAAGGAGGATTCTATAAATTTTATAAATATGAATTAGATTAAGTAGTAATCTAAGGTTTAGAAATATTAGTAATTTTATTTTTAGGTGTTAGAGTCATTATTTATGAAATTGTTGAAGATATTTTCTATGCTGATTCTCCAGTTAATGCATATAGTTATTAAGACCAAATATTCAATAATCCAGCCTTCTTTCTTAAGTAAGCAATACATGATAAAGCCAAAATAGATTAATCATTTGAAAAGTAAATTGAATCATCTATATATAATATTTAAAGTATACCTCTAATTACAGTAAAAGCAATTTCTATATATTTATTTTCTACTTCTTTAACATAATTACAAATTTGAGTATCATTTAATTCTCTTAATTTTAAATGGGCTTATTATAGTTCTTTATTCTCCTTCTATTGAGAACCTTATTGTTATGCAAGACTATCATCATCATCTATTACTCCAAAAGATAGCAAAGTTTCTATACGATCTAATAATGTGACTCTTTATAATTTCCAATTTAATGATTATATAATTGTTTTCTCAGCATTTCTAAAATCTTGAGTTGTATAATTGTTTATTTCAGGATGAGATGTCATTGATGAATATCTCTTCAATTTACTTATGAAAGGAATCTTTTCATCTAATTCTTAGGCTTTGGCTGCCAACATCAAAGCAGTTGCAGCATATAAATATATTTGTTCTTCATTTATTCCTTACTAATTGAAATAGTGATCTAAGTAATTTATAGCCAAAAATTATGTAGTAGCACTTAGATTTAATCTCTCTGATGCTTATTCAATGAAATCAATAACTGGTTATCTATTTATTAAATGCTTTTAAATTATCTAAGGAGCCAATGCATTATTCAATATATTTATTGGATTGAAAAAAGCATTATATCTCATTTTGATAGTCTTGTAAACTTTTGTTTATAACTTAATACTTTAATTGTATAATTTTACATTGTTTATATATATGCCACATTGTTAACAAATCAACTTCCCTGAACATGTGATCTTTGTGTTATGTGTGCAACCAAATACATCCAGATATTAGCTATCATAATTTATTACTTATTGTTCAGTCTAACTCATATACGTTAGATTTTATTTTTTATTAATATTATTCTTATAAGAACACTTAGAAATTGTAAAATTCCATCAATAAGAATCAAATTTATATAATACCCCAAATAACTTATTTGATAACACATCTCTTACTCAAAGATTAAAGTAAAATCTATGATAATGTTATACTACTCTCAAAATCAAGTTGTGTTAATGTAGTATTTAAGTTTTCTAATATTCTTTCAACTCATAAAAAAACTGATTTTAGTAAATTGTGAATTAATTAAAATATAATTCTAAGTATTATCAAATATAATTCATCATCCTGTTGAGAAATACCTAAATAATTTATAAATTAAATCATACCTATGGTCTTATCTTCATAGTAAAATAATAATAAATATAGTCAACAATTATATTACTTTAGTACAATGGTTTATTAATTTATTTAATTTTAAGGTAAATAAATAAGTTTTGATACTTAAAATACATTGATGAATCTATGGAGTATAGTATGCCTGTTGAAAATTATTGAATTATTAATTTAAGTTTCAAAATAAATTCATTATGTTTTCTTATCTAAGTAGATGATTGAAAGTTAATATATTTATAATTTATTATCAAAATAAAAGTGATTCTTTAAAGATTGCTTCCTAAAGTTCTCATATTTCTATTTAATTTTCACTTGTTACTTATGATCATCCTACTTTGTGTAATCATAATTTTGTAGTTTTTTACATTTATTTTTATTATTGGAATTAGAAGAGATAAAAAAAATGAAAATAATATTCACAATATAGAATACAATTATCATGATTGTAATTAATTTTTATGATTATGATATATTATGAATCAACCATTGGAGATCAATTGATCAATATATCTTTAATGCTAGACTCATTCTATTATATTATATTTCAATTTCCATACTGACTGAGTTTATTATAAAATAACGTGAACAGGATGTGCTTCATTTAATATAATATTTCGAAAAATCTATTTCAAATATATCAAAAAATTAGAGATAATAATAATAATTTAATTCTTCAAATTCTTCAATTAAGATAAGAGATGAATCATGAAATTGTTGAAGAAAATCCAAAAAGGAAATATTGCTTATAAAGATATAATTGTATATAAAGTCAGAATTTAAGCAAAATATTAATAGATTATCATTTTGATTTTGAATGATAGGAAATACATTTAATATAGAAGTGTTAATATTTCTCATTATTGTATTCAACCTATTAAAGTTTGATTGTTCTCTTGATACATATAATGAATATCTAGATAGTTTAAATAAAAAGATCCCAAAAGTTTAATTGTTACGATCTATTCATTATGGATATTCCAACTATGAATGAGATCTAAACTATTTAATAATAAATATACAGTTTCAATAGGTTGTTCATCATAGTTAAAAAAGACCAAGATCTTAAGGCATTACCATATAGAAATGATGATTACTTAACCAATATAAATAGGTTAATTTAAAGCATACTTAAGATCTAAACTTTGAGTATTATATATTTTTTATGTATATTATTGATCAATTATATAGGAGATCAAGATTATTTCTCCAGTTTGATCCGGACCAAAACATTATTAATAATAAAAATATCATACTTAAATAATGGGTAACACCTAAGGAAAAGAAGTATATATGAATTAATAATTTAGTTATCTCCAAAAATGAGAGAGAGAGTCCTTAAGTTATTTGCCAAATTTGATGTAGATGGTTCAAAATCAATAGAAAAGACAGAAACAATCAAATATTGGTAAATTTATTAAACTAAACCATCAGGAAAAGCAATTTTGCAAAACTTAATACTGAGGAGTTATTCAAATCAGTTGACACCGATAATAGTGGTACTATCTCCGAAGAAGAATGGTTAAATTTTTGGACCTCAGTATTAAGAAGTGGACATACTGAAGAAGAAATATCTGATGAAGTATCTCATTTATTGAATGTTTAGTTAGAATCGATTGAAACAGGATCATCCTGGTGTAAATTTGAAAATTTGGATAAAAAAGGTTGAATCCAATAATATTTAATAATATGTTCAAAAGAATTGTTTATTTCCTTAATAATTCAAACTCTTTATTGTTTATGTATTAATCATTCAATTTATTGTTGATATGTGTAACTTTTATGATTTTTTACTTATTCTTTTGAGTTTTTATAATGCATCTTTATTTTATTTTCCTAGTATTTTTTCAGAGTATTTCATTTAAGATCGAAAGTTATGAATTATTGATTTTTTTTTACATAAATCCTTAATAATATTAACTGTTGTGATAATTTATTAAAAAGTTAGATCTAATAGTATTATATTATTAAAGTACATACCTAATAGATTTATTGTTGTTGTTCTGTTATAATTATATTATCAAAATAAGTTCTGTTAAATTGTCTCACAGATTTAAATTTAATTTAATACCATAAAGCTTATTTTTTTAAGTTTGTTTTGTTCAAATTTCATACTATACTTATCTTAATAGAGAGTTTTCAAAATTATTGTTAGGTAATCTTTATTATCTTAATATATACTTAAATATATATATATATAACTTTAATATTATTTTATTATTTCAATCATTAATTAATTGATATGAAAATCTTAATTACACTTAATTTGATATTTATAAAATGTATCACTATTTTAATTTACAATCAATAATTGCTCTACTCATTAAATTATTTATTAATAAAATTATAATTATATATGTTAAATAATAACGAAGATATTGGTATTACTAAACAGCCTGAATAATAAAAAAATATTATTTATATAGAGAATTTGGATAAAGTAATTATTTTAATTTAATTAGGTAATTACAGAGGATTTTTTATTTCACTAATTCAAGCAATTTGGAGACATTAGTATAATTAAATTGAGGAGGGATAAATATAAAAATATTTCATCTGGATAAGCCGTGATCACATTCTCAGATGCAGAATCAGCTGAAAAAGCAAGATTAACTTTAGACAATTAAAAACTAATTAATAACATTATCAAAGTTAAACCTTATATTAACTTTAATGAGGCTGAAAAAAATGCTAATATTTATATGAAGAATCTTCCTAAGTATGTTAAAGTTGAGGAACTTGAATAAGAATTTTAGAAATATGGTAATATACTATCAATTGATGTTCGCAAGGATGCAAAAGGAAATTGTTTAAAGTATAACCACTATATGTATTCTATAGTTATGGATATATTTAATTTTAAAAGAAAGATGATGCTTAATTATTTTTGGAATAAATGTAGAAGAATTCATTTAATTATTAAGGAAATTAAATACATTTTGAATTATTTAAGTCATCATCAGAGAGAATTAAAGAATTAAATGAATTATTTTTGAGAGGATTTTCACATCCTCTTCCTGACAATGCTATTTAAGATAATAAAATTATTGTTGCAATTGAATTTGGTTGGTAAATGGTTATAAAAGATTATTTTATAAATTAATAAGATAATTAAATCTAAGATTGTTTTGTAAAAATTGATAAGAATACAAGATAACCTTGGGCAATTATACAGTTTGAATTTTCTGATTAAGCCAAATTTCATTTTAATATATGCGAGAATTAAAGAAGTCATCCATGTGTATAATCAAATATTTTTTATGTAATTGAATTAATACAAAAATGTGATATTGCTTAATCTAATTTTTCTGATATGAAACTTACTATATAAGAAATAGTCTCTATCTATTAAAGTCTTGCTAATAATAAATTTGATATATTCAGTGGAGTTAGTGATAACTTTTTTTTTAATTTGAAACAAAATTAATAATAAAGTATAGATTAAAGATAACTCTATTTTTAAAATATCAATAACTATGTAAATGGTTATGATATTCAATCATTTTTATCATAATTTGGAAATGTAATATCTGTAACTATGAAATAAAGCACAAAACCATATTAATAACTTTAAGATTGTATTGTTTTATATTAAACATTTAATGATGCTAAACGTGCATTATCATAAATATATGATAGAAAATATTCTTAAAATGTAAATCATATATTTAAAAATGGAATAATTAAAATAAGTATATATTTAGGTAAGAATTTAAGATAAGAATTTAATTAAGTTAAAAAATAACGATAAAGATTAGTTTATAAGTCTATGATTAATTAATAACCTAACATACTATTATTTTAACCACAATAACCTTTAATATAAAAGGAATATAATATTAAATAACCAATAAACAATACATAAATGTTAATATCAAAATATTCAACTATTCAAATAATAAAGGCTTAGATGGATAATTTCTTAGAATTATCCGATTCTGATTAAAGAAATATACTAGGTGCCTTATTATTTTATCAAGTAGTTAAAGTGGTTAAAAACTAAAATATTGCAAGATAGATAGTAGGTATATATCTTATTTTATTAAATTAGGAATGCTTATTGAACCTTCTTAATTTCCAATTTCAGATATTATAGAACTTTTTGATAATGATGCAGACTTATAAGAGTATATTTAAGAGGGATTAGAACTGATAAAGGATAATCAAAAAAGATATAATTGAATCAAGATATTTTATTTAAATAATTCAATCATTATAATCAACATTCTGAATTATTGTTTGTTTGTATTTAAATAAATATTTATTAATTAGTTTTTTGATTTCAAAGCATTTTATAATTTATATTGTTTTTTTTTAAATATAATATTTCCTACATTATAAAGGATTTTACATTAATAGAATAATCATCAATATTATTATAAATCAAAATTATTGACTTAAAAAATATTAAATTTATTTTCCTAGTTTTTTTAAATTAATATAAATACTTTCAATAGTATTAAATTAAGGAGATATAGTTTTGAATACTTTGAATAAATAATTAATTATATTTGTAAATAACTTATTATTACAAAAAAATAATATTAATATTTAAATTATTAAATTTAAGTTTAAATATGTTTTTTGTATTCAAATTATTAAATTCAAAGGAAGATAGTAATTTTATTAAAGTTGAAATTTGTAAACTCTTTTTAATTTAGAATTTAAAGATCTTATTCTATTCTAGATGTATTTCTTACTATCATAAAAATAATTTTATTTTAAGAGATTTGAATTTGGATAACATTCATCTTTCTAACAATATTGATTTAAGAGTATATAATATAAATTATAAATTCAAATTAGATATTTTAATTTTTTAATTTGATTTAAACAAGCATTACTTTTAATGAGTCATTTATTATCTTTATGGATCCCCCTGAAAAAGTCTTTGAGAAATTAAAGACTATAAATAAATATTTAATTTTGATAATTGTGCATTAAGGATGTTTCTATATTATTTAGTGTTTTGATGAATATCATCATTACAAAGGTGAAAGTGATCATTAAATAAATATTCAACTTTCAGGATTGCCTAATACTTCAAAAGAATAATAGTGTTTAGATAATTCAATTATAAACAAAAGATGAAATTTTAAATTTAATAGAAAAATTAATTAATAAATTCACAGAAATTATATAAACAGCTAATATCAAAATCATATTGAACTTTACTTTTTCAAATATGATTTGATATATGTATAATATTATAAATTATTTTTAAATTTAATATCTATTAATAATTATTGAGAAAAACATAATTTAATAAATTAAATTAATTTGTTCTGCATAATTTTATAATCTATTAATATTGTATATTAAGCCAATTTACATAATTTGATTAGAACTTAGATACAATTAAAATTGTTAGAATAATTAGAATTAAAGTGGATTAGTATAAATTATATTATATAATAAGTTAATTTTTGAAATGGCAAGTCGTTTTATTCAAAATTCATTTCACTAATAAGAATCTCAAAGGCCAAGTAGAGCCATGTCAGAACATTAAAGAAGTAAAAGTGAAAAAGGTGGTCAAAGAGTACATCATAAGAGTCATGCATCTCATCATTATAATCCTTTGGTTATACCTTGTGATTGGGTATTGGCAGAGAATCATGCTAAAGCAAGAAGAGTGGCAAGAGAATTGGAAGTTGAGAATCAATCAACATGTCCATGTTGTGGGTATTCAATAGAAAGAACTGATTTAGAATATGATTGTGATCCATTAGAGATGAAATTCTTAGGATCTGGATTTCCATTGTTTTATATGTTTATAAAATACTGTATATTCATCTTAGTAGAATTTTGGTTATTAAAAGGAATGTTTTGTTTGGCTACAGATTTAATGGGTGATTATTGTTATAATTAAGAAAAGATTAAAATATAATAGAAAGAACATCATTCTATTCATGATCATTTGAATTAATAACATCATCATCATAAACATAAAGAAGATAATTCAATATGTGGTGGATCTTTGTGGCATTTTGTGAGTTTGGCTAATGTATATGATAGAGAGGACATTAGAAATTTATAATCTAACTTATCATTAGTTGTTGTATTTGCTAATATGGTTTCATTTTTATTTTTCAGGAAAGCTTAAAGAAGTATAGATATAGAAGTAGATGAATCATAATTGACTCCATCAGATTATACTATTTGTGTTAAGAATATACCAAAATTAAATGAGGATTATAGAGAAGTATTAAAGAATATATTTTAAAATTATGCTGCTGATGGGAGGGAATTATTTGTAACAAAGATAGTATTGGTATATAATTTAGATGAAGTAATTGAATTAGAAGAAGCATTAAAAGAAATGATAAGAGAAAAATAGGAATATTTATTTGAAAATGGGATGAATTTTACAGATTTTAAAGTTAAATAATTGGATGAAAAGTTAGAATCTTTGGAATAAAAAATACATTAAAAAGAACATGAACTTTTTATTAATAGAGAAAAATTTGCAGGAATAGCATTTATAAGTTTTTTAACTGAAGAAATGAAATAATTAGTATTGTAACATAATCCTCATACATCATGGGAGAGAATTAAGGCATTCTTTAATAATGGATTAACAGGAGATGTAAAAGAAAAGGGATTGATTTTTGAAGGACATAAATTATATGTAGAAGAAGCACCAGAACCTAATGATGTTGATTGGGAATTTATACATATCTAAACTGGATAAAAAGTAAAATCACGTATTATTGCATGGTCAATATCTATAAGTTTTATGGCAGGTTGTTTTTTTTTGATATGGTTTTTAAGTGAGTTGGCAGAGAGAATGAATGAGTAAGTGGAAGAATAAGAAAAAAAGGGTATCAAGGATTCATTGACATAGACTATAGCATTTTTAACTAGTTAATCTATTTCTTGGACTGTTGTATTTTTTAATAAGTTTGTTATTGGAAAAGTATATCATTTAATTGTTGACTTGGAGAAAATATCAAATAAAACTAAATTTAATATAAGTTTTGCTAGAAAATAATCAGTAGCTTTATTTATTAATACTGCTTTAATATCATTAGTAATAGATTTCTATATAACAGGAAATGTAATTGGTAAAGGTGGTTTTATTTATAATGAATCTAATGTATTTTTACTTAATGCATTCATTCCTCCTATAGTTTGGTTTGTGGATCCTTGGAGCATTTAAAAAGATTATCAAAGATAAAAATAATAGAAGAATATAAAGAATTGTGTATTAACTTAACAAGAGGCAAATGAGATTATGGAAATGCCTGATTATTCCTCAGCCAAAAGATATGGTGATATAATGAAGACTATGTGGTTTACATTCTTTTATGGTGATATCATACCTTTAGGCATATTGTTTAGTATAATGGGTTTAACATTGTATTATTTTGTTGATAAGTATAATGTTTTAAGGAGAAGGACAATCAAGGAATCATTATCAAAGCATTTGAGTATAGAAATGATAGAAATGTTAGAATTGATTATAATATTTACTGGGATTGGTAATACAATAGTATCGAGTATATTATTTGGAGAAGTCAAATGGTAAGACTTTATCATAATAATAATTGGAGTAGTGTATATTTTATTGCCAATGGAGGATATTTCTAGTGTTTTATTTCCACTTGAATAGAAGGATGAAGTCTAAAGTTATTATGAGGCAGAAGAATACTTTAATACTGATTATGATAGAGAGAATCCAGTAACGAGAAGAGAGATATTACATGAGATTGCAAAGAAAAAATGAATTTTATTTTATTTATTAATGATTGTAATTAAGACAGAAGAACTTAATTATCTAATTTATACCTATTTTTTAGAATAAGGTTATTCACATAGTGCTTTTGCTTTGATTAATGAAGTGAAAATAGATTAACAATTTTATCGTGATGATGTTAAACCAGGTCAACTAATTAATTTATTAGAGAAGGCTTTGTTATTTTAATAATTACAAGATCATATTTAGATCAATTAATATTATGAATGCAAAGTGCCCTAATTACTAATACAAAAGCATGTTTGTTAATTTACTGAGAAAAAGCAATTGGCTGAGAAATAAGAAAGACGAGATCGTGAAATAATGATTCAGAATGCATTAATGAGAAGTCAGGAATTTGTATCTCGTAATGGATAAACTATGGATTTGAATGTTGAATTATAATAGGACTTAATACAATTACAAGATGAAATATTATTGAGTGATTGGAATGTATAAAAAAACATTTTAGCAATATATCAACTCAATTGCATAAAATTCATCTAAAACAATTAAATAATACAAATTATGCCAACTGTTGTAGGTGAAAGCTTTTCTAGAGTCAAATTAATGAAATTTGATAGATCGAGCGGTAATAATATGTTAATTGTATATGAAAATGGCGCTGCAAAAGTGATAGATACAACAATTCAAATAATTAAAATGTTCAATATCAAAAATGCAGGTAAATTATTAGACTTTCATTGGAATCTGAATTGGCCTAATGTTGTTGCTCTCATTTTTGAAAAGGATATAGAAGTATATATTTTTAATAGATATTTTTAGATTGTAGATATATATAAATGCCAAACTTTGAAATATTTAGAAAATGTAATTCATTTTGAATGGAGACATTTTGATCATTTTATTGTAATGGATCTTAATTATTACATAAATTTAATGTAAATTGATATTGATAAACCATAATTATAATTAAAAGCAGAATTAGAAACTACTTTAATTGAATTCAATAAAAGAAAAACATTATTAGCATCATTTTCAAGCACTTTAAATATTATAAAAATATGGACTTTATAAAATGATGAATATGTGTTTGAAATTACAGATGATCAAAAAATCCTATAATTTTGTTGGTGTTCTTCATAAAATGCTAATTATTTAATAACATTAACATCTTAGACTCTAAATATATGGGATGTAGAATTTGGATAAATCAAATCTACTTATGAAATTGACTTTAATGTAACAAAAATGGTTTCTATGGATCTATTGAATGATACTCCTTAAGTTATTTTGATTGGTGAAAAAGTTGTTTTGTATGATTTGATAAACAAAAAGAGAAGAGTTTTCAATTGTGATACTCCTAATAAAGTCTTACGAATTAATGATGAAGAGATTCTGTTCATATTTAGGAGTAGTTACATTGTTTACAAAAAAAATTGATATTATACATAAATATATATATATATAATTTATTATGTTTCAAAGTCATTTGGAATATGCTGGAAAGACATCATAAATACAATAAAATGTTGTTGGAGAAGTATGTAATTTTGAAAATCAATTCAATTCAAGAGTAGTATATTCAAGAAAATTATACTAATACCTTTTAATACAAATGATCGTTATATGTACACTATTTGAATTAAAGTGTTAGCATTATTCATATATTGGGTATATGCTTCACCTTCTCTAGATTCATACTTAGAGGGTAAGCCATGGCTATTTTGGCTTTGTCTGTTTATTTCAATAGGCACTGCAACAATGGCATTAATATTCAGAAAAGATGTAGCCATATTTCCATGGAATTGGGTTGTGTTTGTCACTTTCACTCTCTCTATTTCAATAGTATGTGGTACATTAGTTGCTTTGGGAGACTCAGTTATTGGTCTTTTAGTTTTCAGCAGTCTTGCAAGTATTCAAATCTAAATTAATATATAGGCATGGTGTTTTTCTTGTTTATGTATTCATTGACAGTCAAAAGAAGACTCACTTATTAAGGATCAATACTATTTATTTCAGCTAGTATCCTCCTCATTTTTGAAATTTTCACAATCTTTACTGAAGTTTCACTATTCTGGTTATCTACTGTTTCACTCTTTGCTTTTCTTTTGGCATTTCTTCTGATTTATGACACTTACACAAATGTTAAGTATAAATTTAATATCTATTTTTAGTTCAGGAGATCAATATGATGTCAATTAAGCAGATGAAGTATCAGGAAGTGTAATTATATATTGGGATGTCATCTTGTTATTCTTAAAAATGAATGAACTTATTAAAGATTACTTAGTGAGGGAACGCAATTGAATAATATTATTAATGAAGATTATTTTATTATTGCTACCGTATCTTGCATTGAGCACAATACATCCTGAGGGTAATCTAGACTTTGTAAAGTATTGCAAATACTTTAATTACCCTGTGGAAGAACATGTTATCCAAACAGAGGATGGCTATCTTCTAACATATTTTAGAGTCTAAGCAAAAGGAACAAAAATGGTATCAGGCAAAAAAGTTGTCCTTCTTCAACATGGACTCTTAGATAGTAGTGATACATTCATTATTAATGATGAAGATAAAGCACCTGCCTTTTTAATTGCTAATAAAGGCTATGATGTTTGGCTTGGTATTTTAGATTTATTATTCATCTTTAGGTAACAATAGAGGAAATAAACATGGCAGAGCTCATGTTAAAAAGAATCCATTCTTTTGGGCATTCTGGGATTTCACATTAGAAGATTTCGCTATCTATGATCTCCCTGCCGGATTTAAATATATAGTTAATAAGACTGGTCAAAAAATTCAATATATTGGACATTCATAAGGAACAGCTTAAATGCATATTCATTTATCTCTTTTCAAACAAAGTATTGTCAGAGACAATCTGATATAATTTATTGGAATGGGACCTGTTGCTTGGGTTACAACAAAATATTCTCCATTAGTCCGTCTTCTTGATACTAATTTCTTAGAAGTTTTAGCAACATTTGGATTACATGAATTTATGCCTGGAGATACATTCCTAACATCTGAAGTAGGCAGAGTAGTTTGTGGAATTTTGGAGAACCTTTGTGGAGATTTGATTGGATCATTTGTTTCAGCAGATCCAGTTTTAGATAACTATGATCGTTATGATGTTTTAGCTGGACATTCTCCTGCTGGTACAAGTGTAAAGAATCTTAAGCATTGGTAATAATTTACAAGGACTGGAGAATTTAAGAGATATGATTATGGAGACAAAGAAAATTTAAAGAAATATGGAACAAAGAAAGCTCCCCATTATGATTTATCAAATATTGATGTCAAGTAATTATTAAAAATTATAAATTAGAATATTCTATATTGCAGGATATGATGATTTGTTAGCTGCTCCTAAAGATGTGAATCATCTTTTTTCAGCATTAGTAAATGCACCAAATAAAGAACTTAAATTCTATGATGCTGGACATTGTTCTTTTATGTGGGGAAGATAATTGCCATATCTTGAAGATTTATGGGCTCATTTAGAGTGATATATACATAATTATAATAAAACATAATTTAATTAGTAATTTATTTTAGCATTTTAATTTAAAAAAAAATAAAAAAAAATGTTATAACTTTTCATTTTAAAGTTTTAGAGAAATTTTCATAAGCTTATTTGCTCCTCATTCCTTCTTTAATTTAATTAGTTGCTCTAGTCAAATCTAATACTTTTTTTAATTTGATAACTAAAATTAATTTGATAATGGCTATCACAAAAAATAAGATTATTGCTATGACTTAAACAAGAATTTCAAATTTTGAATCATGTTCAAATTCTTCTGTTGTAGTCTAAAATATTGATATTGCTAAAATTAAAGTTTCAGTCACAATTATTCTAAAATAAATCTCATAACAATACTTACACAGATGTAGTTATTATTAATTTTTATGTCTGCATGTGGAATACTTATAACAAACTAAGTCCTTCTAAAATAATAGTAATGCCTAAAATAGAATGATAATATACATGCAAAAATCAACACTGCAATAGCATCCCAATCTTAATGACTTCTTAATATATATCCTTATATTATGCTAAATGCTAAGAGAGTAATCGAATTCAGTATAATGCTGCCCATAATGTATGTGTAATGTTGATTTCTTGTATGAATTAATGTAATTGAATCTTAAGAAATAGAGAAGTCTAATAGACGATCAGACATTTATATTTTGTAAATTGTTATTAATAAAATTGTATAATAAATTTAATTAAAATATATTATGTATTCTATATTAAACAATAAATAAGAAATTGACAGAAAATAAGGTTTCAAGAAATTTAAGAAGGTAGATTAGAATTATCATTTAATAAATAACAATTTCAAGACATAAAATTACTACCAGAGTATCTCATCATTTAGCGCTATTGGCTAGAAGAAACTTATTTGTTAATTACATATTACTTAATTTATTTTGCAAACCAGATGCCATGAGGGATATGGAATCAACTCGGCCTCGGTCGTTCTTCAATGTGGAATTCTTAACAATAAATCTAGTCACTGATTGAGATGATGACTTGTAAATATTTCGAGTTGGTGTAATACTCTGAAACTCTTGCTATTTTTTTAGCTTTCCCATCTAAATCAGCCATTAACGATATATCCAATCATCTGTCTAAACCGATTTGTCAACCATTAGAGGAGGCTCTACTTATTTCACTTAATCTAATTATCTATTTCTCTAAGGAGCTTGAATTCTATATAATGGATTCTTTGGCTTTTAGCTACTCATAGGTGGTCTTTATTCTTAATTCTTAGTAGGTGATTCCTACAATATCGAAGCTTTTTAAGAAGCTATTGTTGATTTTTAATTACCATTGGGTTATTATATTTTTTTTTTATTATTTGTTTCTTGTTATTTTGATAAATTTTTCTATTTAATTGAATATGTCTTTGGTTAAAATAATTAAACCAATTCATCATCTGATAATTCTGCCTCAGATTAACTTGAATCTGATCCTATATCCTAATCATCAGTTTGAGGCATTTTGCCTAATTCTTCCAACATTTATTACTAAATATCTGGTTAATTAGCTTAGTTAGTAAATTCTTTTGTAGTATCTTTAACTATTTAGGATAAGGCATTGCATATACTCACACCACAATTCAAATAATCCTTTATTTAATAATGCTTTTTTTATTGACCATAGAAACTACATTCATAGGTATAAACCCAATTAATTTTGAGTTCTCTCCAGAGTTGAATCCTAGCTGTTTTATCTTTTGCACTCTCAACTCTGAATGTACAAGAGGAATAATCCATAAAAGGATTTACTTTTGACATCAAAAGTGCAAATACTCTTTCAATAGTCTTAACTTAAGATGAATAAGCACAACCATATACAAATGATGATTGTCTAAAATATAAATCCTCATTACTTTCTTGAATGACCATGCAAATCAACTACCAGTAATATTTGTCTTTCCTTACTAAATCCTTTTACATATTTTTTTGCATAATAAACACTGGGATGTAAATATTTGTTTGGCTTTTTCCATCTTCTATTTAAGTCACTCCCTTCAAGACCACATCTATAATTTCCATTAACTACACCATCAGAATTCATCATTGGGAATATTTTGAAAATGCAATTCTACCTCAAATACTCTGCTTAAGGATTATTAGATGTTAGAAATTCTATTATGCCTTACATAACATAGGATCCTTGAGGTTCTCCAGGATGTTATCTAGCTAAAAACACTACTCCTTTTCGAAAAGCCCTCTTCTACAACGAATTCGAAGTGATAGTAAGGACTTCACAAGTATTTCCACCAAGAGTTGTACACAATACTTTTCGAGATAAGTATCTAAAAAATTCAATTATAATATTACTAATTTCTTTCTTGATCTTCCAATTAGGTATTCAAAAATTCCAACAGATTTGTATAAGTGTAAGGGTAAGAATGAGCAAAATAAACTTTGTCTCCTTCATGCTTAAATGTATAATGAAATCTTAATTGATAATATTTCTTCTTCAATGACAGAGGATATTCTTTCATAAATATACTTTTGAAATAGCTTATGTTAAATCCATCTCTACACCATTCAGTGCCTACTAATTAATTCTCTTTTACAGAATAGACAGCTGGTTATAAGCCTTCATTAAAAAGACTACCTGTTTTAAGCTAATAATTAATTACTGATAAAAAATACATGATTGAGGATGTTAAATTAAATTGTTTAACCAGCTTAGGCTCCTGTTACGCTAAAAAAGAACCATTATGTATTGCCTCTTGTATTAATATCATTTTGAATTACGAGATCATAAATATTTTCTGCTTTTTTGAATGCACAAAATAGATTGCCTGATTCAAAATTGGAATCAAATTATATTTACTCTGAAGAACAGGGTGTTAATTTTTAATCAAAAAGTGCTTCTCCTCTGAAGAAGACTCTTGGTTATGTTCTTCATTTAGAATCGTCCATACCTCTTAAAATTGGCTAAGAGACTTGCAAAATATGTTCGGTCATTTGAAGTCCTTTTGCCTAAATCCAACTGATCGAATCGTTTGTATACTAGATTTTGCTTATTTTCTTCGTAATAATCAAGGAGTGTCCTATTCTCATCAGATACTTAAATGTCAGGAATCAAACATTCACGTTATGAGGATTCTTCAAAAAATGTTGTGTAAGTCTTACAAAATTGGGGGAGTGGTCTTAAAAGTTCAAATAATTAATTACTTGAGAGGATATAATGATTTTACATCAATATCAATGGTTAATTTACGAGGCAATAATTCATTAGCTGGGGCTATTTTGGTGAGTGTCTCATACACTTATAGATCATCTTCACTCGAACTGTCATTGTTATAATTATTGTTGGAATTCATTAATTTATATTATTTATTGTTAATAAATTGAAAATTAGTGAAATCTATCTCATAACAATTCGATTATTATTAATTAATGAATAACAATTAATTCTAAACTAGATAATGGGAATAATAATATGCCAAACATAAAAGGTCTGTTGAACGAATTGAACATAGAAATTACAAATTCCCTGATCAGGTTGAAGAAATAATATAAAGATGTAAAAATATAACTTCCTAATCAAGAGAAGGACGCAAATAAAAAAGTTTAAAATAGTCAGAATTTCAAATAAAAGGAAGTACTTTCAAGAATCACAGCTTCCAATCTTATATTATCAAAGAAACTATAAGAAATAGAAAAGAGAAGGCAAGTCAAGTTTATGTAATATAAATTATTCAATTTAAGTGATGCTCCAATACGATTGTCTACAAAATCTCTTAGAGAAGAAAACTATAATAAAATTAAAGTTGAAAATCATAAGCAATTTGAAAGAATTACTTAAGTTAAAGGCACACTACAAACTTAATGAATTTTATATAAATAATTTTATTATTAATATATTTAATACAAAAATCTGTTATATTATAACCAGAAAGGTAAACATAATAATTTGTGTTGATAATATAAAATGATGTCGTTTGATAATGATAAATCATTAAATCTTTCATTTTATATGATAAAAAGATATAATAGGCTTATTAGTATTTTATGTTTGAGATTTGCCTTGTGGAATGTTCTGAGAATCTAATTAACGACAGGAATTAATTATTGAAAATTTGCTTTAAATTTGTTTAGGATGTAGTTCTAAATCTCTTGTGGATATACGATTGTTTACTAATGTCTTAACGTCTTTAGTTCTTCTCATTTCATTAATTTATTTCAATTAAATGGATCTTTAACTTCTAGGTGAATACATTATTGTCTTTTATACAATTTTCTTGTTTAATATCTAAAACTCTGTTGATCCATATTACAAGAATTTCGGTTAACTTTTAATTTAAAACTACTTGATCTATCTATCTTTTTTAGGAATCCATATTTCTTGATTCTTTATTTAAAATGGATTAAGTTTTCCACATTCACTACATTCACAGCTTTTTCTCTTTATTTTATTAGTATTTTCTATATAAATGCTATCAAATTTTAAGGATCCTTCTAAGCATTTAATTGAAATTGAAAATGACTTATCATTTTGCCTAATTCGTCTTCCATTTTCGCTTTCTATTTAACTAAATTCACTAGGAAAATCAGTTTGAATATCATCGCCAAAACTTAACTTTCGATTGATTCTCTTCTATTTACTAAATTATATTTCTTTTGATGTTGGTAAATTTGAATTTTGCTATTGGAATTATCCTAGATTTCCACATTATTAACAATAACAAGATTTTCTTCTTATTGGATATTCAAATAGGATTGGTTTTATAAGATCATCAAATGTTTTGTTATGATCTTTATTACACTTAACTGAAAACTTAGAACTCATTTATATTTATGATATCGTGATTTAATTAATATTGGACTGATTTATATTCATGTACATAATAATTATCATAAGATATAAAATATCACTATGTATGAAATTCAGACTTTTTAATTTCTTGATTTATAATATAAATGTTTATAAATAATTAATAAAATATCTAAGGATAATTTTGAATGATCAAAATTAAAAATTGAGAATTTAGTTTTATTAAAGTTTCAAAGATTTAAAAAATTTATCACTTATTTCTTAAAAGTAAAATAATGAAAAAAAATTTAACCACAATTTTTATCTACTTAAATGATTTTTAAATTAATTACAGGAAAAAAAGAAGGAACATAACTATTTTAATCAATATTCGAAGAAATGAAGAATATATGTACATAATTAAAATATACTAATTCTTATAATCATTATAATTAGATTAATTTATTTTTACAATTACTTATGATTCGATATATAATTTATTATAAAATAAAAAATTGAATTTTCATCTAATCCTTAAAAGGGATGGAGACTAGATGAAGAATGATATTATTTTTTAATTTTATCTTTTTTGAATAAAATAAACTTTATTAAAAATATTTAAATAATAAGTTAAAAAATGAAATAAAGATGAATCAGTAGAATCCTTGATTAAAAATATTATTATTATAATAACGCTAAATAATTAGAAATATATAGATAATAGTGCAATGCCAGATCAGATTAAGGATTGGAAAATTGACATAATTCGATCACTTACAGCTTTGGCATTTAAACCCATATCATAAGATAATTCTTTAATAATAGGACTATTTTCTTGTAATTACATCCTAGATAATGAAAAATTAATGGATACTTATTGACAGTTGGTCTTTCTGAATTTTGCAAGACCAAATATAGAGCATCACAAAGTCTTTCCAATTTTTAGGCTCCTTATCCTTAAAATTCTTCTGGTAGAAATGCATTCCAAGCATTTGATATATTAAGAAGCTCTTTAAGTTGTACATTGGGTCCTATTAGAATAAAATGAGAGCCTACCTTTTGGATCTCTACCACTTATTAGCCATGGATGTTACAATAATTATTCAGTATATATTCTTTGTCTTGGATCTATTTTAAGTGTTGAACATAAAAATTAAATAAATTCTGGACTAAATTTATCAGAAGGAAGTAATTCTAGTATTGTTATTTTGGTAGGTTCAGATACAGTCTTTTGATTTTATTCAACTAATGAAATGACTTTAGCTTCACTATGAAGAAGACAACATGTATCTTTAAGATGATCTGTATATTTTGCAATTTCTTCAATAATGATTCTTGACCCTTCATAGATTTATTATGCTTTAGGATGAAATTCAAGAGTTCCAATAGCACAATTTAAAACAAGCCAACCTAATTTCCAAATATCATTGGCTCTCTCTAAAATGAAATCCTCTTAAGCAGGGAAATGAACTTTTTCACTTGAAGCTTTGCTCCAAAGTGAAGGTGTTTCAAGAATAGTTGGATCATAAAGACTATTTAATTAAATAAAATACCTTTAAACATCTTTAGGTTTACCAAGGATATAAGAATTAAATAATTAATTTCCTTGAACTTGAACTCTGTATTGCAAACCTTGACCTAATTTAACAGTACCATCTCGTAGGAATAGTATTTATGATGGTCCAAGTGCACCATGACATTAAGCTCCTTATTAATGAATTTTTTGTAATCCTTAGAGAATAGGTGGTACAAGCTATTTGATACTTCTTTCTGGGAGGAAACCCATACTTTCAAGAAGATTCTAAGAATGAGAATTAATATTCACTTATAATGAACCACCATTCATGTATTCCATAACTATAGATACATAACCTTCTGGTGTATTCCAAAATGTAGCATATACTTAAACATGTAAATTTGAATTGGCAAATTTGTTCTGCCAAAAAGAGATCCAGTCTTTTAAGTTTTTACGAATTTCCTTGTTGTGCAATGGTTCCTAAATGTCAATGTTGAGAATTACTTCTTTTACAACATAGAGTTTCATTGTTGGAGCATGCAACATTTTCTTAACAGGACTCTGATCACCATAAGCTATTAAGATTTAATTAATATTAACATCGCAATGTGCCAGTTGTAATCATGTCTTCTATACGCATTTAACCTTGGACAAGAGTACTAATGCTAAGGCCTAATTCTTCATGTATTTTCTTTTGGTCTTTCATGAACTAACGAAATGGTGCTAATGGATTCTTGGATTGCTAATTGTGTTCGCGCTAGAGTTTGATTTATAATTAATGCCTTCAAGGGACTTAACATTTGGCTCACCTACTTGTACTCTTGTATTGCTTCTATGTTCTGTAGATTCTGTTGTACTTATTGTTTCTACTCCTTCTTCTATGCTAATGGTTCTATCTATTTCTTTTGTGGCCTGAATTACACCATTTTTTATACTTTTTATTTGCAAATGCTGGAGGCAAACGACTAATATTGATTTTTGGCTATCCCCTCTTTTAGGTTGTCTATAATGATTGTTCATCAATCACTTCTGCCTTCTTAGGCTCTTCATTCTTAATACTATTGAATGAGTGAGAACTCATTATTTTAGGTCCTTTCGAATCGTTCATTATATAATTATTTCAATAATTTAAAAATAACTCATTTTCCAATTAGTTTATACATCTATCTACTATTTCCATTTTAAGCTATTTCTTTTTTTTAACTGTTTCTCATTCTGCTTCCTTTAAATCTTAATTCCAAAAAGGACTATTATTCTATTTCAATTATTAGTTAAATCAAATATTCTCGATACGATTTATCTAAATTAGATTGTATATATTTATTTATAGTCTATAATTAAACTATTATTGTTTTTATATCTATTCTTCTAAGATTGTTTATTTTAATTATAATGTATAATCTAAAAAAACATATGCCATTACAGAATGACATAAGACTTAATTATGGTTATCAACTTCAATTTTAATTCACTATAGAATAGAAACCTAATATATTAGATGTTATTACATTGAAAAATTAATGAATGATTCTATCATTCCATCAGAATAAGAAATTTATAACCTAATTATTCAGACTTTCCTTTACTAAACTAAACAATGATTTCTATATTAAAATCTTATTTCTAATCAAAATTCATTATTGTAATTTAAGCTATATTTCGTTTTTACTTAAATTGAATGCCTAATGTGATTGAATCTATTAATTACTTTATAGTTTTAATCTTCAATCGATTCATCCAAGTAACATTAATCAAATTGATTAAAACTATGGTTTTTATAACATATAAAATGAAATATTTAAATTATAAATTCGTAATATCAAGTTTCATTTTGCAGCATTTTATTTATTATAAAAATATAATACCCTAATTACTACTAAAAATACATATATTCGCAATAATATTGTATAATATTTTTAATTTATATTCATAGCTATTTTGTATCAAAATTTTTAATTAATACTAGATATTTATATCTCCTAATTAAGACATTCTTAATATTTAACTAAATGTTTCTAATTTTGAAAATATAGTTTATAATTTCAAGATATCTTGTTTTACACCAATTACTTGGTTTATAAGTTAGATTCATTAGATTCAATTAATTAAAATTATCAAACAAAAATTAGAGTTATAATAGTACAAAATTGTTATTTTTATTCTAAATTCATCATAAATCTATTAAATAATTATCCATAAATTTAAATATAGATTAGATATAAGTAACATAATTATTTGAATATTAATAATTAAATTATAATAATCATTATTTATCTAATATGATTTCAACAATTCCATCCAATGATAAATCCTTAAAGTATTCAACATACTCTCTTGCTACTTTCTCATCACACTACAAAATTTAAATCAAGTTCTTTATTTTCAATTCAATTTCTTCTTATACTTTACAATCAGTTTATTGATTAGTATTTTCTTATTAAGTTTCTTATTATTTTTCTTATTAAGTTTCTTATTAAGTTTTTAAGTTTTCATCTACATTACATTCTTCTTAAGGTTTCTCTTATTATTATTACTATTAAGAGCTCTTATGTTTCTCAATCTCAGTCTTAACAGCACTAAAGACATCTTTAGCTATAGAACAAAAAGTTTGTTTAACATCTTTAAAAGCAGGATCTTAGAACAATTCTCGAAATTGTTTAAAAGCTTCATGTCCATGAAATCCATGACCATGTGGTCCATGTCCATGTGGTCCATGTCCATGAGGGCCTTGTCCATGAGGTCTAAATCCCCAATTTCCAAATTTACCCTAATGTTCTTTTCTGAATTATTCTAATTCTTATTCTGTACTTATCTTAAAGAACTTATGATGATTATGAAGATTTTTGAGTTGACATTCTTCACATAAATCATAATCACAACATTCAAGACATTTGAATCTTGATCCAACGATTGGATGAATTTAACATCCATCACATGTATGATGTTTATGAACCATTTTTTCTTAAGGAACTGGTTTTGGTATTTAGGAAATTACCACAAAAATTTTTATGGTTTATATTCCTTCATCAACAAGAACCTACAGATCTTCTTAACAACTTAAACTTATTTAATCATTTTCTGAGTCATTGTAAGCTAGTGTGAAGTTAGAATCAATGTTGGGATATATTTTTTAGATGTGTTCTCTTATTCCTTAGAGTGTTGGGTTTTGTAATTTCAAGAGATGGATCTCGTTATTATGAACTACTTTGATTTTCATATTAATTATTGTTATAATATCAAATTTAGATTTATTATAAATTAAATTACACCTCGGGATCTGATTGATACCGATATAGATTGAGATTGATAGCAGAATGAAATATTATATAGAATGATCTTTCTCATGGGGGTAGATATGTGTTATATAGAATAATACTTTAAATTTTCGCGGGGGTTTTTTATATATTTTTTTTGTGGTTTTTTGAACATTTTTTATTGCAAAAGAAATTATCAAGGAAAGGTTTGATAATTTGATTAATATTAATGTATAGTTAAGTAAAGGCATATCAAAACCAACATTAGAAAATTATTAACATATATTAATTTAATAATGGATAAAAAGATAATAGCAGATGTATTCCAAAGACATTTAGATTAATTGACCAGTCGTCTCAATGAAGTATGTTTTAATAAATTAGGAGATAGGACATTCCAGCACTGTGCATTCTATCAGGAAAAGAGGATGGCTCAATCAAACCAAAAACTAAAGCTTTATTTGTGTGGTTATTTGGATACGATATGATTGAGACCGTGTTCATAGCAACAAAGAAACAAATTTTCTATTTGGCAAGTGAGAAGAAGTGTAAATATGTTGTTTTTACTTTTTAATAGTGTAGATGATGGAGGAGACTAAACAACGATTGGGTGGCAGATATGAAGTACACTTCTATAAGAAAGTTGCTGATAATCGTGAAAGTTTTGAAAAAATTCGTTAGAAATTAGGGAATGTTAAGCTAGGAATGCCTACTACAGAGCAACAGGCAGGTACTTTAGCCACAGAATGGTATGACTATAAAGGATGGTCTCAAATTGTGGATGCAAGTTAATTTATAAGCGATATACTTGCAGTAAAGGATGATTAAGAATAAGCCTTTATAAATCAATCATCTTAATTGACAACTCGTCTTTTCAAGAAACTCATAAAATAGATAGAAGATTCAATAGATGTTGGAACACGCATAACTCATTAAGATTTAGCTAAGAAAGTAGAGTAATCATTGGATAATGACAAACAAAAAGTTATAAAAGATATTGGATTATAAGATGGCTTATATGATTTTGCTTATACACCAATAATTTAGAGTGGTGGTAATTATCAGCAAGTTGATAGTCCCAACAAAGAATATCTTTCTTCAGATGTCATTATCATCTCACTTGGTACTTAAGTGAATGAATATAATACTAATTGTATTAGAACATTGTTTATTAATCCTACAGAAGTTCAAAAAAAATTGTATAACACAATACTAGATGTTTAGAGCAAAATAGTAGGATTATTAACAGTAGGGAATCCATTGAATTAAGTTTATAAGGATGCATTAATAATATTAGAACAAAAAACTTTAGAATTGAGTATAGCAAATATTTAATTTCCAACTTCTTTTGGATACGGCATAGGTCTAGAATTAAAAGAGCCTTTTCTTGCAATTTCTGAAAAGAGTACACATATTGTAGCAAAGAATGAAGTATATTTTGTTTAAGTAACTTTGGAAAATCTACCTAATGGATAAAAAGGTATAAACTACACAATTTCTGTTGGTGATGTTATAGTTGTCACAAATGGAGCAGCCAATGTTACAACTAATTAAATTCCTAAAGCTTATAAATAAATATCATATTAATTACAAGAAGAGGATGAATAACCAGCTCCTAAGTAATAACCTAAGTAACCGGATGCTCCTAGAGAAGGTAGAACTAGAGGACCACGTAATTAACAGATTTAAATACAAAGGGAGAATGAAAAGTAGAGACAAATTCATTAAGAGAAGTTAGCCAAGGATAAATAAACTGAATTAGAGTAAAGGTTAGAGCAGGAATAATTTATATAGAATTCCTAAGAAACTAAAGCATTAGAGTTAGAAAAATTATAGTGTTACTAAAAACCAGAACAATATCCAAAAGAGTTGTAAAAAGGATAGATTTATATTGATAATTAGAAGTGTGCAGTTTTAGTACCATTATTAGGTACTCATGTACCATTTCATGTTTCTTGTATTAAAAATGTTAGTAAGATTGATGAAGGAAAGATGGGCTCATCTATAAGAATCAATTTCTTTACTTCTGAGACAACTGCAGGATAGATTCAATTCCCATAAATAGATGGAGAAACTATATTTATTAAAGAATTATAATATAGATCAAAGAAGAGTGATCGTCCTTAGAATTTAATATTGTAGATAAAATAATTATAGAAAAAAGTGAAGGCAGAATAATAAGTGGAAAGAGAGAAATAACATGTTGGTGAATTAGAACCTTTAGTAGTCAGCAAATCTGGAAGAAAACCAATTTTTAAAGATTTGAAAGTGAGACCTACTTTTGGATCTGGTAAAGCTGCAGGTATTTTGGAAGTACATTAAAATGGATTTAGATATGTTCATTAAAATAAAGAATAATTGGATATTGTATTTAAGAATATTAAGCATTACATTTATTAAAGTCCAGAATAAGATATTATAGCTGCCTTACATTTTCATCTTCATTCTCCTATAGTTCTAGGTAAGAGAAAGACACATGATGTGTAGTTTTATTGTGAGGTTGGAGGAGCAGTAGAACATTTAGAAGGAAGAAGAAAAAATAATAGAAATGATGATGATGAAATAGAAGAGGAAGAGAGATTGCGTGTACATAGAAAAAAGATGGCTAGAGAATTTGAAGTGTTCATTAAAACAATTGAGGAAATGGGTGCAGATTATAAAATATAATTTGAAAAACCATTTAGAGATCTTGGATTTGAAGGAAATTGGAATAGAGCTAGATTATTTTTATAACCTACTCATAATACTTTAATGAATGTTGTTGAAAGTCCATTCTTTATCTTGACATTATCTGAAGTTGAAATATGTTGTTTTGAACGTATAATTCCAGGAATTAAATCTTTTGACTTAGTTTTTGTTTTTAAAAATTATGATAAATAGGTTTTGAGAATTGAGAGTATTGATATTAAAGATTTAGAAGGTGTTAAAAATTGGTTAGATAGAGTATTATTTAATATATATATATTTATAGATGAATTTACTCTTTTTTGAAGTAGCATAGAATTTAGTTTGGAAAAATGTACTTGCCTAAATTTAAAAAGATATTCCAGGATTTGTTTAAGATGGAGGTTGGACTAATATTTTGGCTGAGAGTGAGGAAGAGGAAGGAGAAGATGATGATCCAGAAGCTGGTGATAGTGAATTTTCACCTGAATAATCAGTACATAATAAAATTAATGTTATTAGGAAGAAGATGGAGATGATGATGATGATGATTCTGATTTTACTGAAGATGATGATGATGATGATGGTGAAAGTGATGATGAAGAAGATGAGGATGATGATTTATCTGATGTTTTGGATCTCAATAATATTAGTGATTAAGATGATGATGATGATGATGAATCTGAATCTGGTAATTTACTATTTACATTCTCTAGATAAACCAAGACGTAAAAATAAATCTAAACCTTAATCAAAACCACAACCTAAACCATCATAAAAACCAACTTCTGCAAAACCCACTCAATAACAAAAAAGACCACCACCAAGAAAATGAGTATTATTTTAAATTTTATGGATTATTTCAAATACTGTCCATGGGATGGATATCGCTTCTCTGAAAATGATGTTTAATGTTTCATTTGTAGACGACCCAAGTACTAATTGACTGTAATATACATATATTTAAAATTAAGTCTTACATCTAAGAAGAATAAGAACAAAAGAAATGGGAAAAAATATTATATGAAAAATAACCTTATGATGATAATTATATTGATGAAACATTTCTATAAAGTGTATAAAAACAAGACAACACTAATAATGGGCCTGATTATAAATAATTAATCAGCAAGACATCAGATTTAATATTTGCAGTTAATTGTGTTGTATTCTATCTTTTAAGTTATTTCTTAATGCTTCATGATATGGTCAATGATTAATTATAACTATACTTTTGGCTAGTTGCAGCAATCACTTGTTTAATTATGTTTTCTGTTGTTAAAAAAATGAAGACTTTAGAAATACTAAGTAATTTTAAGAGTATTGGAATTTATATCTCTATTTTATTATTATTTGCACCTGTAATGCAAACAGTTAATCAAACTTATGCTGATAATACTATATATGTGCTTACAAGTGTAGCAATCTTAATATATATATTTTTAAAGGATTATGATTATGAAAAAGATTTTACAGAATTAGATGTCTCATAATGGGCATCATTAGTATTTTCTAGTTTATTAGCTTCAAGATTGCATAATGAACTCTAAGTATTTTTGATGATATTTGCATCAAACTTATTATTCATATTTGTTCCTATATTATAAAGAAGCATTAAATAAAAATATAACTCTGTATTTAGAGTTATCAATTTGATTTCAACTATTGGACTTGGATTATCATTACTATTTTTTTCATATTTCTTAGCTCTTTTATTTTTTGGATGGTAATTTTATTTTAATATTTAGTGTATTTTTCATTACTTTTGTTTCCCCTCTACAAATCATTTGGTTATATTAATACAAAAAGTATATGTATATTATCAAATCTCTAGTACAATTCGTGGTCCATGGGATTTACCAAATGTTAAATAATATGATTGAAATTATTAATGATTACATAAAATAAAGCCATTCTCAATTGGAAAGAGTTCTTTATGAATGAAAATCTTCTCACCGATGCTTACAAATTTCGAGACTGGAATTAATAAGACCTTGAAATTCCAGAGAAGGAAACCTTAATTAAAGATTTAACACGCACAAGAAATGATGACCCTTATTTTAAAAAGGAATCCACTTAACGATATCTTATGCTACTTGCTACATTTTATTGTTAATAAAACAGTGTGAATTATTAATAAGGAATGCTTGAAGTTGTGGCTCCATTCTTAGTCATGAAAAATAGAGACTTTCCTATATACAAATGCTATGCCTATTTTAATTCGTTTATGAATAAGTATTTTCCCAAAGTTCTTGAATGGAATGTATAAAATATATATATATTTAAGATTCTGAAGGGACAAAAGTAACTAGCTCATGTTCTATCTGCTATTCAATTTTGTGAAATATTGCTAAAGTATCATTGTGCTGATTTTTATAATCGTATTCTAAAACTTGATGATTTCAATCTATCAATGGTAGTTACACCATTAATAATGACACTTTTTGCCAAAGGTACTTCAATTCAATTAGTATTTCTAATTTTCGATGAATATATGAGAAGACATAATCCAAATTACATATTTTTCATGGTAACAGCTCTATTCATGTCACAAAAACAAGTATACAAAATAGATAATAATAGAGGAAATTTTATCAATTGAGGATTCTGAAGAACTATTTACATATCTGAATAAAAAGTTGAAACAAATATAATATGAATCTGATGTTTAGAGATTATTTGAAAGAGCAGATGAGATATATTCTCAGACTCCAGCATCTTATGAATAATTAATTGCATCTACATCATTCAATGATAAAAGCGGTACATAACCTTATTCATATGCTAGTTTTAAGTGTTGAAGATATCACAGAATTAACCAATCTAAGTCAATCATATTATTCTTAATGTTTATTTATAGAAGTTTCTGAAATGAAATCTCTTCTTGGGAAATCATAAAAATAACCTTAAAAGAATTTATAGCTATAATTGCTTGATATCAGAAAGGTAAAGAAACCTAAGTTAAGTGAATTCCTCCCTAAATAATGTATAACAAAAAAACCTGATGGGAATTAACACACTTGTTTAATTACTGATTCAAATCAAACTTTGGATGATGCAATGAAAATTGCAAATTAGCTTATTTTTGATGGTGTTAAGCATGTTTCTATTTTAAAAGGAGGCTTTTAAGTAAATTGATCTATTTCTAAGTGTAGTCATTATAGTTTTCTATTAAGTAGTAAAAAGATTGTTCGATTATGTGATGGCAATTTTATATATTTTTATTATAATACATATTTATTGTATAGCAGAGTTTGCAACAATATAATAAAGTTGATATAATACATTCTTTTTCACTAGTTTTAATGAGAGTTTTCACTTTCTTATGAATCCTTTTAGAATTGAATATTAATTAATAACGATGCTGCCTGAATCACTTCCAATTTTAAAAGAGCTTTCCCTTGAAATGGACATGCTTAACGGGTATTATCTATTTGACCTTTAGATGGATGCCTAACATACAATACCCTATAAGGTTGAAATTTGAAATGAATGACGACATGTTATGGTCAGTGCAAAGAGATTAGTTAGTGTATGTGGGACCGAGATATGTGGATTCTATGGAGATGTGCTAGAAATACTTGAATAATTGTAAGTAGTGCCATATATTGAAGACCAACCAACTAAGAATTAAACAGACATGATGGAGGCAATTCAAAAAAAATAAAGATAGCTAAGACTATTTATCAATAGACCTTAAGCACAAAAGCATTTTATATAGTTTGATTCTGACTTCGAATCAGGGAATTTAGATTTCGCATTCTAAGTTCGTCCAAATGAGTATAATTGTTATATGAGATGTGATTCCAATTCACGTAGCAGTCATAGTTGGTATCATTTCAGCTTGGTTTCTGAAAGAACATAGATAATAAAACTAAATATTTGCAATTTCAGCAAACATCGTAGTCTTTATTAAAGAGGTATGAGACCTTATATAGGAATAAATGGTATTTGGAAGTAAGGTGGTGATAACATAATTTTTGATCAGAAAAATCAAAGATAATCAAGACTTAGTTTTGATTTGACTCTTGTAAAAGGATAGAAAATATATGTTGCATATGGAGTGCCATATACATATTCTCAGATGATGCAATTTATATAACCATTGGGATATAGTATTTTTACTAGAACACCTGCTGGTATAGATATTCCAATCCTCCAATTTGGTGAGGCAAAGAAAAGAACAATAATAGTAACTGCTAGAGTTCATCCAGGAGAATCAAATAGTTCTCATTTGATGGAAGGCTTTTTGAAGTATCTCATCTCTCCAGATGGTGAATATCTATTATAGAAGTAAATAACTCTATCCATATCAAGAGTTCATAAGTTATAGCAATCCCAATGCTTAATCCTGATGGAGTAATTGCTGGAAATTTTAGAACTTGTTTATAAGGAATGGATTTAAATAGATAGTTTTCCAATCCAGATTAGAATACTACTCCTTAAATATATCAAATTAAAAGGATGATAGAAAAATTAAAGAATCCTCCATTTGTTTATATTGATATGCATGGACATTCCCTTAAAAAGAATTTATTCATTTATGGACCTGAATATCCAATTTTCAGTTTAAATTATTTAAAGTGTCGTGTTTTAGCTAAATTGATGTCTGAAGCAACAGAAATCTTTCGTTATTGGAGTGGTATTTGGAGAGTTTAACCTAATAAAAGAAATACAGCAAGAGCCATATTAAATTAAGAGTTTAAGATAGTTAATTGTTTTACAGTTGAATGTTCAAATGGATTATATTACTTAGGATCTCAATAAATTACTAAGGAATTTGGAATTCTTGATTTTCAATAATTAGGACAAGAATTAGGTAAATAAATTCAGAATTTACTTGAAAAAGAAATTAAATATATAGAATATTAAAAGGATAGACTCAAAAATCGTAAGAAGAAAAGAATAAATCCATATACTAGTTTGTTATAATAGATATAAAAGGATGAAGAAGAACATTAAATATAAGATGAAGATGAATTATTATAAAGTGAAAGCAGTGAAGAAGAGGTAAAAAAGAAAAAAATTTTTGTTCGTAAATTTCCATAACCTAGATAATCTTAATTAAGATAAGAAATTGAATGTAGAAAATCATTCGTATCTGATCGAAAACCAAGAAGTTAAGATAAATCCTTAGACAAATCTTAGATTTCATAAAGACCTTTTTCACCTTACACTCCTTTTAAGAGATCAGTTTCATCTTCTAGATATGTTAATTGTCCTACAAAACAATAGTAATTGAAATAAAGATTGAGTAATTATGGATTTAATTGATAAATAGATATTTAATTCATTATTCATGTTATTCATGATCAGTACGATTGGCTATATTGTTTATATTTTAATGTCCATTTCTTCTTAATAGTTCTTATTCATACTCCTATTATTCTTTTATTAATTGAAGTTGTTTCTTTCTTTCTTCTTCAATTAAGGCTTATTTAGAAGTATATGATGGAGGAGGTTATCTAGACCAAACTTTCTAATTTAATATTAATATTAGATACTTCAAATTTATATTTCTAATAATCTTTAAGTCTAACTTATTTTCTATCGAGATATTGAGATTATTAAAGTTTATCCATCTAAACAGGGACTGGAATCTATTCAATTTCAGCTTCCTTTTAAATCCTCATGACTTTTAGGTTTTACTTAACTTTCTACAAGTAAGATAGTTATAGCTACTTTTAAGGTATCATCCCGAATTCTTATTTCATTTTAATAATTTTATTGCATTCTCGACAATCTTGCTTCTAAAGCAGTAAGAGATGCCACTTTATCTTGAAATTCTGATTCTTCCAAAATTGATGTTTGATCTTATATTTACTAATCAATATGTTTTTTTTGGAACTTAACTTTTCTCACTTCTAATAAGCGAGTATGTTTGTCTAATTCTTGATATAATTTTTATAATTTATTGTTTATTGCAGCAGATGGTTTTTCTTAAGTTATCTTAATTGTCATTTTCTCTAGAGCTTTTTCCATATATGGTCTACTGATATTTAATTCTTTTTTCAAATCAGCAACCAATAATTCAACTGGTTTTTCTCCTTAAAGTACTTATTTTCTTGTATATGGTTTATCTTTTGATTAATTGACTTGATTATAAAATGGTAGAATTACTTTAAGGTAAATGAAAATCATCCAAATCAAATTGACCTTATGATTTAATTTCTTCTCTGAATCTCAATCCTTTATCACTAAGTACAACTATATCCTTTCTTGTTGCCAATTCTTATGGTGTAAGTTTATACAATTAATTCATTCTTTATATATATATATATAAATATATGAATTATTTTGCTTGCCCTATTCATAATGGACATTTTTTATCACTTGTCTGTACAGAAAAATCTTGCAATGAAGACCCATTAATTTGTCGTAAGAATGTTTATAATATTATAGCTCTTTGTGAACATGCAGATCACTAGTCTCACAATACCTTACCCATAAAACTTATGCTATAATAAGTAGATGATGCAGTCAATAATAATTGTGATGCTACACAATAAAGCATTATGGATGTTTCCATTTTCTTAGATAAATCATATAATGAATGTGTTCGAACAGTAAAAACAAGGTTATAAAATGATAGGTGAATCGATTCAATGAATAAATGCAAAATATATCAAAGTAGTTGGCTAAGAAAGTTGAAACATATTATCTTGATCTGAAAAATCAATTACGAAATTTTTCACTTTCTAAGACACCAATTCATTTTTTGCTTGATTCTTTAAATATTCCAGTAGAATTAATAGAATATAAAAAGAATATTGAGTAAAATTCATTTTATAATGACTAGATAAATTTTAGAGTAATATTCATTTGGAAATGGAATAGCTGTAAGATAAAGTATAAATTCAGCAATAATGATTGCTTGTAAGTCATAGATTACATAACTTAATGACTCATTACATGATATATAAATTGAATTTGATAATAAAGTTGAAACTTTAAGTAATATTTTTAAAGCTCAACCTGTTACAGCAACAGATTTAGTATAATCAATAGCTTTTTAATTTTCATAAAAATTTAAAGGAGCTAATATTGGTTTAAGTGGATAAAATATGATTGCAGAATAAAAGACTTCAGAATCAAATGGATAAAGATTTATTATTTGTGAACCTTGTTTACCAAAAAATGGTGTTTACAAATTTGGATTTAAGATAATTAAATATGCAGGATGGATTGGAGTAGGTGTTTGTCATAGAGACATAATTGCAAGTGCTAATTATAAATTTAATTATACAAATATAGGACATGGGTACATTTTAATCATTAATAATATATAGATCATATTTAATATCAAATAATGCATATTCTTGGTCTCATTTATAAAAAGACTTGAATTCAGCACATAAATCATTTGATTTTGGAGTAGGTGATATTGTTGTAATTGAAGTTGACATCCCAAAGAAGAAAATTACATGGTGGAAAAAGAAAAGCTAATTGAAATTTGTAAGAGAATACACATTCTAATTTCTAGTCTATGAACTTGGATACAAATTTAGACTTGTATCCATGTGCCAACTTATGTAGTCCAGGTGATACGGTTGAAATTGTCAATAAGGTTGAGTCTTGATTCATAATGTGATATATATAATAAAATCAGCAACTTGTAAATTTGGGATTCACAAATACTGTATTGTTATGTTTTGCATTTGAATATTCAGATATTTGAGTAGCTCTCATATTGAAATTCTTTCTCGTAACTTCCGGATTCAAAAGTGAGTTCACTTCATAATGACTAGCATTGTGTTCCTTATTATAGAATGTTGTTGTTAGGTTCCCTCTCCATTTATTCTAAAATCATTATTCATAAAATACATCAGAATATTTACTAGTATTCCAAATATCATTAGTATCAGTAACCTTGAATTACAAGTTCTATTTCTTCTATTGACTCTATGACATCTATTAAGTCTATCCAAAACTATATTATTGTCTAATTTTATCTAATTCTTCTAGAAATTCTTCACGATAAGGTTCCATTTAACTCATTTTAATATTATTTATTTTAATATATTAAATTAATTATTTTAATAAACAAATATTACATATTCAATATAATATATATATAAACAATTAAAATATACATATAATTAATAGATTTAGATATCTATATATTTAATAGCTTATATATAAATAAAGTATTGTAATAAATGATTATTATTAATTTTGAATTTTAGTTAAGAAATAGGATAATAATATATGATTAACATTTAAAAATCATCTATTAATTTATTGATAATAGTTATTTTTTATTTATTTATTATAGAGACTCAAATTCTTTAATTAATAATTTAATTCATGTAAAAATAAGGTTCATGTTCACATTTTTCAAAGTATAAGCTTGAATCTATTGGAAATTTGATCAAGACTAATTTTACATTTTGTGATAATGCTAAAAAGTTATAATGTGAAAGTGATGTTGAAAAATGGTTATGCATTGAATGTGGATTTTTTGGGTGTAGTAGAAATAGTAATAATTAATGTTCATTAAAACATAATTAATAAACTAATCATCCACTTTCTATATCTAACAATTCATTTGCTATTTGGTGTTATGTTTGTGATAATGATTTAGAGACAATTATTGAAGAAACTGATAATAAGGGATAGAAAGAGAAAATCATTAAATTTCTTGATAGTATGAAAAATCTATTGTTCAAAAAAATTAAATAAAACAAACCAACATAAACAATTTAATAATTCTAATAAGTCTAATAATAATAATAATAACCTGAAACTTTGAATCAAGATATTAAATAATCAATTACTTAACCATTAAATTATACACCTAAACAAGTTTTTGGATTGAGGAATTTAGGAAATACTTGCTTTTTTAATTCTGTTATGTAATGTTTAAATGCAACAGAGAGTTTAAATTAATTTTATTTAGACCATAAAAAATTTAACTTTTCATCTTATAACAATAATGTAGATAATGAGGATGATGATGATTGGACTACTGTTGAGACTAATAAATAAATTAAATAATAAGTGAGACCTAAAAGTTCAAAATTATCAATTAATTAGATATATCAGAATTTTTTATTAAATAGTAGGAAGAGTAAAGGATTAGTGGATCCAGCTGATTTATTCAAATCTATATAGGCAGTGTAATATTTTCATGATTATCAATAGTTAGGGTAGATTTAGATCAATGGCTTAATAAGATGCATCTGAATTACTTAGATGTTTATTAGATGCTTTATCAACAGGAGAAGAAAATACACATATAGGAAGAATCAATAAAACTAAAACAAATGGTAAACCTAAGAGAACTATAGTAGAAAATATATTTGGAAGTTATTTGTGCAATTATTGTAAGAATATTAGTTAATAATAATTAGTGGAATGTTTAGATTGTGGTTTCGTTAGTAGAACATTTGATTTCTGTCTTGATTATACTGTTTAAATAAGAAAACCAAAAGGATTAATTAATTAGAGATTTTAAGAGGAATACTCAGAAATTACAAGTGAAGAATTACAAGATGTTATTGTTCCATATTTACATAACTCTATTTTAGTTCAAAAGAATAACAATCCACCTAAGATCTAATAATAAAAATAATGTAATCTAAGTGTTATTGATTGTTTGGATGCCTTTACTGAATATGAAGAATTGAACTAAAAGAATAATTATTTTAAATGTGAGTAATGTGCAAAGTAAGGTAAAAAATCGGTAAGGGCTTTAAGAAAGTTCTTTTTCTATGATTTACCTTAAGTTGCTACAATTATTTTGAAGAGATTTTAATAAAAATCAGCAGGGAGATTTGAAAAAGTAACAGAATAAGTTGAAATACCAGAAACTATTTATTTAGAGGATTATACTATTTTAAAAGGAGAACCAAGTCAAACTATTGAAGAAATATAGGCTTAGAAATTTAAATATTAATTATATGGTGTAGTGGTTCATCAAGGTACTATGACAGGTGGACATTATGTATCTTATGTGAAGCACAAAGAAAATAATTAAGATCATTGGTTCTATTTTAGTGATAGCAATTTCAAAGAGGTCTCTCTTAAATAGGCTCTTAGTAATCAAGCTTATATTTTATTTTATGAAAGAGTCTGATAATAATTTATTGTTAAAATTATTATGTTATTTGAAAGCTCCATTAGATCAGGAGATCCTCGTCTTTCTAATCGAAATAAATCAGGTTAAGCAACTGAAGTATAAAATGCCTATGACCATTCATTCAATGGAAGGATAATTTATGCTAGAAATTTATATTCTAAGTTATTCTTGCAATTAATCATTGTTTGTATTTTTTGACAATAGACTAGGCATATATGTATGGATAGTACATGCTTTGCAAGATTTAGATCATTTTTTAGAACAAACTAAATGGATATTTTGGTTAAGTTTAGGTGTTTGTATAGGAATATCAACATTAGCCTTTATTTATAGGAATTAGATAAAAACAGTTCCAATAAATTGGTTAGTATTCTTATCATTTACTCTATCTTTGGCTTCAGTTTGTGGTTGTTTAGTAGCATTTGGTAATTCATAAATTGGATTATTGATATTTGTGAATTTTGCAAGTATCTAAAATATATTTAAGATAGGTCTAATATTCTTTTTATTTTTATATTCATCAACTATAAGAAGAAAGATTACTTATTCTGGAGCAGTCCTTTTTGTATCTGCAGGGATATTGATTGTATTTGAGATGTTTACAATCTATACAAAAATCTCATTATTTTGGATTATGGTCATCTCTTTATCCTCCTTTTTATTTGCATTTTTGTTGCTTTATCATACATATTCAAATTTGAAGTAATAATCTCTATATATTATTTATTTAATTAGTTCTGAAGATTCTTATGATATCAGTACTGCAGATGATGTGAGTGGTAGTGTAACTATATATTGGGATATTATATTATTATTTTTGAAGATGGCAGAACTCATCAAAGATAATCTATTTAACAGACATAATTGATAAATATTTTCATAACAGAATAATATATATATAATAAGTTTCAAATGGAACAAATCAAAATTTGCATTTCAAGTCTTTAAGGATTTTAGTATAATCTAAATAAAGTATTGGATAAATTCAAAAAAGAGAAGTAAAGTTATTCTCAATTTTTTAAAGTGATCTTGCTACTACTTTCATTCAATTTGCTGATGAAATATTTTAAAGCAATGAAAATTTGTTAAAGAAATATCTTCTTTTAATGGTATTATTTATTGCATATAAAATTTATAGATTATTAGGGAAGCAGTTTATACAAATCCAATTGGTTCTGTGACAAATAAATTAGCTAGCAATAATTCAATTTTGAATTATTTATAGGAGGTAGTTATGTTTCAACCAGGTTCTGATGATGAATACAAAGGCATTTATAGATTTGAATATGATAGTAATTAATATTATTATTATATTGTTAGCTCCATAAATTGCTATTAAATACTTCAATTTAATATTGGAACTTATCAAAGTTTTAGCTGAAAAATATCCTGTCACTTCAAGCAACAAATCTACAAAGTTTAAAATACTATATGACAGATTAATTCAATAAGGAATTATCTTTCCTAAATATTATAGAGAATTAACAGCTGATATTAATGAAATAGAGGATGCAGTTGAAGAAAGTTAACCTGTTAAAAGGAATCAATTATAATAAATGGAACCATATAGAGAAAATGGTATCTAATAATTGGAAGAATTATAAATTGAAATGAATGATTAAATTGATACAATTTGGGATATGCTTTATGATTAAAATTGTAATCCAGAAGGAGCAAAAGATAGTAACTAAAAATTATAATTTTAGTGTTATAATTCTATTGTGATACTTTTAAAGAGAGTGATGCAAAATTATAATAATTAGAATATGAATTATCAGACAAATTAAATTAATAATAAAAAGATTAGATTGAAATGTTGTGTAATTTTATTAAGATTTTTAATTTGAAGTTTAATCATTTTGAAAGAAACAAAACTAAAAATGGATTCTTTGAATTTCAACATGCTGTTTTAACAGAGGCTGCCAAAATTACAAAAAAACAATATACTCCATCTGATGCTTATCAAAAATCCAAAATTTAACCTCTTTCTCCATTAAGATAAATTGGATAAGATGACACTCAAGATATTACCAGATAAAATGATCTAACAAGNTATAATAAGTTTCAAATGGAACAAATCAAAATTTGCATTTCAAGTCTTTAAGGATTTTAGTATAATCTAAATAAAGTATTGGATAAATTCAAAAAAGAGAAGTAAAGTTATTCTCAATTTTTTAAAGTGATCTTGCTACTACTTTCATTCAATTTGCTGATGAAATATTTTAAAGCAATGAAAATTTGTTAAAGAAATATCTTCTTTTAATGGTATTATTTATTGCATATAAAATTTATAGATTATTAGGGAAGCAGTTTATACAAATCCAATTGGTTCTGTGACAAATAAATTAGCTAGCAATAATTCAATTTTGAATTATTTATAGGAGGTAGTTATGTTTCAACCAGGTTCTGATGATGAATACAAAGGCATTTATAGATTTGAATATGATAGTAATTAATATTATTATTATATTGTTAGCTCCATAAATTGCTATTAAATACTTCAATTTAATATTGGAACTTATCAAAGTTTTAGCTGAAAAATATCCTGTCACTTCAAGCAACAAATCTACAAAGTTTAAAATACTATATGACAGATTAATTCAATAAGGAATTATCTTTCCTAAATATTATAGAGAATTAACAGCTGATATTAATGAAATAGAGGATGCAGTTGAAGAAAGTTAACCTGTTAAAAGGAATCAATTATAATAAATGGAACCATATAGAGAAAATGGTATCTAATAATTGGAAGAATTATAAATTGAAATGAATGATTAAATTGATACAATTTGGGATATGCTTTATGATTAAAATTGTAATCCAGAAGGAGCAAAAGATAGTAACTAAAAATTATAATTTTAGTGTTATAATTCTATTGTGATACTTTTAAAGAGAGTGATGCAAAATTATAATAATTAGAATATGAATTATCAGACAAATTAAATTAATAATAAAAAGATTAGATTGAAATGTTGTGTAATTTTATTAAGATTTTTAATTTGAAGTTTAATCATTTTGAAAGAAACAAAACTAAAAATGGATTCTTTGAATTTCAACATGCTGTTTTAACAGAGGCTGCCAAAATTACAAAAAAACAATATACTCCATCTGATGCTTATCAAAAATCCAAAATTTAACCTCTTTCTCCATTAAGATAAATTGGATAAGATGACACTCAAGATATTACCAGATAAAATGATCTAACAAGTACTTAAATTCAAATGAAAGAAAAGGTTGTGTCTTAAATTAATTAATAAGTCTAATCAGAATAATAAAAATAATTTGATTAATCAAAATTATAAGATAATTCTAAATAAAATGATAAATAACAAGTAATTTCATAATCATAATATAATTAATATGATCAGTATGATCAGTATGATCAATTCAATTAATAAAATTAATTTTAATAATAACAATATAACTAATAGATATCATTAAATTAATAATAAGAATAATATTAATAGCAATAGCCCTTATAAACAACATTTACACCAGATAATAAAAATAATCCACTTTTATTAGAAACTGACTACTAACAATTTGAGTAACAAATTCCAAAATAACATTAAAATTATTTTTCATGGGATTAATATTAATAACCATATAAATAGGAAGATAATTCTAAGACATTAGAATATTAGTAAGATTAATAGGATTAGAAACTAAAGGGAATGAAATTAAGTTTTGGAAATGGAGTTGATAAAGAATAGGATTATAATAATTAGGGATCAAGTTAAGTTTAATTTAAAGAGATCAGACATACAGAATAATATACATAATAAAATTAACAAAACGATTATTCAGGTTATCTATAGAATACTGAATTTCTAGATATCTAACAAAAATTAATTAGATATGGATATACATAATAAATGATTGATGTTTGGAAGAAGACATGTTTATTGGGGTAAGGCAATTTATTTGAGAATGAATTAATTAGAGTTTATTGCACATTTGGATTGTAGTATTAAGTGTTAAATAGTAAGAATTATCTAAAAATATCTTTGTAAATTTTCAATAAGTCTGGCCTAAATTTGTCCATAAATATAAAATTTTAAGGGGATAGATGTAATTATGAATTTATTAAAATCAGCAACAAAATTTTGGATCAAATAAGAAAATAGAAACATTTTGGAACAAGAATAATAATACATATTAATAGTTGATGAATGCAAAGACCTTATTATTAGTAGGATACAGATTGAAAATTAATTCTTTAGTGTGTTATTACCAACAAATCAATATAATTTTATAGAGTTTTTAGATTTAAGGCAAGAGATATTTTAAATAAAAATAAAGGATATTCTATTTTATAAAAGTCAACCTTTTAGATTGTAAATTAGTTAGGAATTATTTAAGAAAATTGGATTTATTGAAATGAATAATTATTATGGTAATTGATTAGTATAAATTAAATTAGGAGGTGTTTATGAAAATAATAACTATATAAAAGTCATAATGATAGAGAAAAATATATGGATTATAGAGGCAACAGATTAATATCTCATTCCATAATTATTATTTTTGTTTTCTTGAGTTTAATTTCAATATTTTATTAATATATTTATGGAATTATAAATAATAAAAAAAGAAATGTTTTTTTTACTCTTATATGGTGTCATGTATTGAAATTATTTATTAAGAGCATTTTAGCCATGAGTTTATTAATGATAGGTTTGTATGAGTACAATGAGATGTTTTATCTATTTGAGTGGGTGTGGTTGTTATTTTTTGGGAAGATCTTATCTATGGTATTGTTAATAAATGAGAGATCAATTAATGAAGAGGAGAGAGAATAATTACTTGAAAAAGAGATTAGTGAACACAAATAAACATATATACCATTTACACTATATGCAATAGATGCATCAATACAAGCAGCTGACATTTTTTTAATATGTTTTGAATTATTCTATATGAACTTTGGATTGTTCATAATAGTAAATTAAAATGATTAAAATAGTGTTAAGGGATTGTGTTCGTATTTTACACTATATACACAAATAAGCATGATTAATTAAAAATAATATATGCAGGTGTAGTTTTATTGACAGGTATCTTAACTCTTGCATTGCATATTGATGGGAATCATGAATGTTATATAGGTTTGATAGCAACACTGCTTCAAATAGGAACCAACATATATGCAATAAAATTAAAGGAACAATTTATGTGTTAGTAAAAAGAATTCATAATAAAATTACAAGATATATATTTCAACATCCCAAATATATTTCATATACTGGTATAATCTAATTTTTGATATGGTCTATTGTTCTAGTGATTGTGAATTTCATTCCTTGTCCTAATATGGTATAATAATCTAATAATAATAAAAAGAATTAGAAATGTTAAAGTGGTAGTACTTTAGGCAATTTTACAGAGTACTTTGAGGAAACCTTTTCATAATAATATGATACTAATAATAATCACAAGAATATTGTAAAAATATTATTATATTGAAAAAGGCCTATCCAGTAGTAGTATTTGTGATTTTGATATTAGTGAGTTCAGCCATATGTTATATAGATAATAAAATAACTATAAAAGAGTAATCAGATAAAAAATAGATTATTTAATAATTTGTATTTTTTCCTATATGGATTTGGATAAACAAAAGTCCAACATATGTTACTTTGTATGTATTTTGTATATTGTTCTTCATTTTGTAATGGTTATTAGGATTCTATATAGTAAATGATTGATAATTAAATAGATATTTTAAGACAAGAAAGAATAGAAATATGAATAGGAAGATGAAGATTAAGATTCAGAGTTTTCATGATTAAGATTGTAAATTTTTTGTAATGAATCATACCACTCAATAATCATAATATCCCATATAAAATGGTATTCTCAACAACAACATTGAAGGATTGTAACCATAAATCTTGGTTCTCTTTACTATTTTCTCAAGTCTAGGTCCTCCAGTTCTAATTTGATCAAAGCAATCCTAACAAAAATCTACTAAAGCCTAAGAATAATAAATTAAATAAACATACTAAATCAGTAAGTTTTCCTGGTAAACAATTTAATGCAATATATCTGAAACCTTTAACATCTCCATCACATCCATTACAATCCAAAGCATGATTTTATGTATATTGTTCTCCTCTTTTAACTTTTTAGTTGTTTCCCAATCTATATACATCAATATCATTTAAAACAGATTTATCAACAAGTGGTGCATTAAAGAATATCAAATTATCTTAAACTCTAAATTTCTTATATCCAGCAGCTTTTGTATCAACAATTTCTGAACATTTAACACAATAGAATTCATCAGAGAATGGACTATAATATTATTAAGTTTAATCATTAAGTTCATTTTAACATAATTTACATGCTTTTCCAGGGAATAATAGATTCAATGTTCTTTAAACAGTTTAATTAATTTAGAAATTTGATAATGGAACAACTTTATTCAATAAAGAAAGAAATGTATCTAAATATTTTTATTTGCCTTCTCTAATTGTATATTAAATAATGGGAGCAAATCTAACTACTTTTTCTCCTTAATCAATTTCTTTGAAAATGAAACTAAGTGAGAATTATCTCTTGTTATTAAGTTATGATAATTTCTTTCTAGCATCAGAATATAAAAATTAAGTAATCTCACTATATTCATCATCATTTAATGGACCCTTTTAATTTAGACTTTCAATTGATTCTTCTATATAAGATGTTAAAATAGATTCTAAATCTTCAACTTAAGATTGAATTCTGATTGATCCAACTTTGTCAACTACAATGAAATGTGGAAATGATTTCACATTGTATTAAACTTAATCAGCTTGATTTTCTTCTCTTGGAAAATAGAATTCAATAACTTCTTCAATACCTTGATTTTTCAAGAAAAAGAGTTCATAAGTTTCTTATTTATGTTTACTTAAAGCAACAAATCTAATTTTATCTTTATATTTTTCTTCATTTACTAATAATACTTTAAGAATTTATGTAAATTATCTATTGCATTATTAATTATCATCCCAATACATCACAATTAAAACTTAATCATCTTTATGTTCAATATCAACTACTTAATCTTTACCAAAAGGATGATAATTTTATATTGTTTAAAATGGTTAACCTAAACTTAATTCTAAACCAGATTTTAAACAATCTGTTAATTCATTGACACGATCAAAAATCAATCTTTTATCTTCCTCTTATTCTTCATCATTATCAGAATCATCATCACTATCATCTATTTCTTATTAATATTTTTTAAATATTGGTAAAACTTAAGAATATATAGTCTAATATTCTTTAAATGTTAAATTCTGAATTGATTTCTTTGATATTACTTAAACATCAGGTTAAAACTCTTCTTTTTCATGAACATAATTGAAATATTCAGATCTTATTGTATATTCTTAAATAACTTTATAATTTTTCTTAAGAACATCTTAAAATCCACTAGTTATCATATCCAACATTCCTTTTGGATCCTTAACAATGGATCTCTTCACTTAAACATTATCTTTACCCAAAACAGCTGTTACATTATTTAAGAATAATTTGATTGTTTATGATGATTATACTGAAACTTCATAAGATACTTTCAAATGACTTCTCTCTACAATTTCTTTTGAACCATCTTAAGCAATCTTATAGCATTTAGTTAAAGATAGTCTAATGAAGTCACTTTTAGCAAAACTTTTATTTTAAGATAATAAATCTGAAATTTATTAAGTCAATGCTTTTTTGATAAATCTAAAAGTTTATTAATCAAGAAGTTCTCTGTATTTTCCTTCATCTTCACTTTCTGATCCTGCTTCCCAATAAGTCTTAATAATATTCTCTACTTCTCTTGCCTTACGAGTTACTTCAATTACTTGATTCTCTTTTCCTACTACTGCTATCTTTGGTAAGTAATTCAATTCCATTGCTCTTTAAAAAGCATTCGAAGAATCCCAACCTAATGAATAGCGATAATGCTAAAATTAAGTCAATTAATTTGTCTTTAAATGATTTTTAAAGTTATTGGAATCATCATCCAAAGATACAGCTATAGGGTTTATTTGTAATTTAAGATTTTAATTCTAACTTAACCAAGTGTTGAGTTCATTCAAAGTTCTTGTTGACTTCTCATTTTCAGATGACTATTCATTAATATTATCATTATTACCCAAAAAACAATTAAATCTGTTGAACCTTATTTTGTTTTGAAGTTTCCTTTCTTTGTCTCAAATGTGTTTAAATCCAAACTTTCAACTCCATTTATAGTACCAAATTAGAATCCTGCCTTAATCTTTGGTTTAATGCTCTCCTTAAAGAATTCGAATTGTTTAATCACATCCATATTGTTACCATAAGTGGCTTAATCCAAAGCATCACAGAACTCATCATACTTGGCTGTCTACTCCAATTTAAATCTATTGGATGACTTCAGCAGTATTTTTTACACTAAACTATAATATGCGGTTATTGGCAAAGCAATACCCCTTTCTTTTCAATACTTCCCATTTCTTTTATCTCTCTATCTTAAAACTTTCAGGTATCAAATGGCGAACTTTGTTTAGGATTTAAAGATCAACAGGCTATTCTTACGACATGTGTTTTAATTATTTTATTTTATGTATTCTAGATATATAAAATATCCATTAGACACTCTCTTTCCTTTCCATTAAATTCAATCTAAATTACACATTAAATACTTATTATCATCAATTAACTCATTTATTAGTGCTATTTCATCAACACTCCAGTATCATATAAAGATTTCAAATAACAAGATTCCTAAAATGAATTCAATCTTAAATTTTACTATAAAATTACTTCTATACATATTGAATCTACATCATAATCATAATATGATATTTTCATAAGATATCCCATATAATAGGGTTTATTCTTTTATGGTATCAATTTCTATTTATATAATATTTATATATAATAAAGAAATTCATGAATCACCATAATCATATATGAAAATTATTAATTAGAAAAAATCTTCCTTATTTTACATCTCTATCATATAAATATCAATTATTTGTTATTATATTATACTATATTATATTAATACCAAATTTTAAATTAACTAAAAATTTTGATGATATGTTTTATAATATATTTTTTATCATAAGTAATCAAATATCTTAATCAATATTAAGAAATTAATGTATAGTGTTCTTTGTTAAAATTAAGAATGAATATTTAGAAACTATTATCAAAATGCCTTTAAAATAATAAAATAATTTAATAAGATTTTTATATTTTTTTTTTAATATTAATGGGTATTTGCCATTGTAGCAAAAGTAATTAAGGAGAATAAAAATAAGTGAAGGTGAAGATTGGAGGAGGGGAAGATGGAACTTGCACATGGAAAGTATACAGAGGAGTTACAGAGAATAATTTAGTAACAACATCAGGATGGGAAATGAAGTTTGAACTAGCTGCAAATGGAACAATAAGTGGTGGAAATAAGAATGACAATGAAGAAGGTGCTTAGAAAAAACTATATGCTGGAACTCTAAAAAATGGGATATTAGATTGTATTGCTACTTTTGAGGATGGGGCTTAAATAAAGTATGATGGTCAAATGGATGGATCGATAATGAAAGTTACATGTAAAGTGATAAAAGGAAGTAATAAATTTCATTAGGGAGATATTGCAGATTGTGTTGGACCTGTAAAATATGATTGAATTAATGAATACACTAAATACATACCTAAAATATGTTTATGATATCCAATCATTGATTTTCTTAATTAAACTTATTTTAAATTATTTTCTATATTTGATTACTATTAAACAGTTAAAATTACTTTAAAAATAAATATATCAATATCAATTTTTAAACACTTCTACAAATTGCTTTGTTTGATCATGTAATTCTTCAATTTAATGTTTGACTGTTTCATCAGTTACATCTTCTAATATATACTTGATTATTATATTGTTTTATTACATCTCTATCTCCATCATCTGTAAAGTCTGTATATTTGATTTATCCATCATCTTCAAGAGCATATGTTATTTTTAGATGATAACCCATTCTCTTTTTTCCTCTACTTAAATATAAATGAGCTTCTCCTTCAACTGATTCTACGGCTGAAATCTTAGTTTATCCAATTTTCATCTAAAATATTATTCAATAGCATATATACTCCAATAATATTCTCTAATGATTTTTTAATATCACTCATGGGTACTTTCTTCTCTTCCCAAGTTCCTGAAACATTCCATTGTGATCCTATTGTTTAAGGTTATTAAACTTAGGATGGATCCTCTACCTTTTTAGGTTAACAATCAATTTTAGGATGATTGGGATCATGTTTAACCCAATATGTATAAGAATGTTCCTTCTTTGGATTGTCCATTTAAATTTCCAGAATATTTATAAATTAATTATTAATAAAGTAAACATTCATCATTAACAATCACTTCTTAATTGTTATACATAATTATACCTAAAAATTAGATTACTAAATACCTTCTTTAAATTTTATCCTTATCCTTAATTTATTCTAAATTATAACTAAATTTGTCACCTTTCTCATTGACGAAAAGAATATTTTCATTAGTTGAGATGACAATAACAGTTTTATCAATAAAATCAGCTTAAATCACACCATTAGAGAGTTTAAGAAGTAGAGCATTTCTTGTTTTAAGGAATTTATCAACGAAAATTGTTGAGATTTATGAATTGCAAATTGTATTATTTTCATCAATACCTAAATATTATGTAAATTTTTAGAGCAAAGTAACTTTTTTATTTAATTCTTGTGGATAATTTTCAAATTCATAATTTGAATTTTGATTAAATCTATCAAAATAATTGAATTCTTATTTATTGCATTATATAATTTTTGTGGAATCATTAAATAGAACTCCAGAATGATTATTCGATAGAACATAACCAATACCATATTTACTTTGATAATCACAACACTTTATAACATATACTACTTCATTCTCCTTACTCTAAGTTATAATAAAACACTTACTAATTCAATTTAATTATTATTCTAAGAATTCAATCCTTATTTTTTATTTTTCTATTGATTTTCACTTAAATAATTAATACCTTCTGTTAAAGCTATAATTTTAAATTAATTAATACTCTTAATGCGTTCAGCTTAAGACATTTTTATTTGAGTAGAAAATAGATTATTCATCTTAGGTATTTAGGATGTAGTTTTGACTGATATTAATTCAGGTTATAATTGCTTAGAATTAAGCATAGAAGCTTAAGAATATTGAGATAACCATGCTGCAGTTGGTGGACTAAGTAATTGAGAAATATGAGTAGTTTTAGGAATTGGATTTGATGTCATAAAAGGATGACTTAGAATTTCATCCAAAGTTAATCTTTTTGAAGGATCAAGTACAAGTATTCTAGAAATCAAATTCTTAGCATTTTCAGATATCTGAATATGATCTGGAAAATTGAATTAACATTAAGATATTTTATTATAAGTAGTCTTAACATCTGATGTCTCAAAAGGTGGTTTACCTATTAACAGTGTATAAATAATAACACCAACTGACCATATATCTGCTTAATATGAATGTCCCATTCTATCATCTAATATTTCAGGTGCTATATAATTTGGTGTCCCACATATAGTAATTCGTCTTTATCCATCATAATCTAATTTTGTAGCTAAACCAAAATCTCCTAATTTCAATTCCATCTTATCATTTATAAATAGATTTCCTAACTTCAAATCTCTATGAAGAACTCTATGAGAATGAATATATTTTAATGCTCCTATCAATTATTTTAAGTAACATTGCACTTCTATTTGTGTTATTCTTCTCCTTCTCTTTAATAACTCATTCAATGTCTAAAATAATTTGAATAAATTTATTTACTTGATTTTAACATAGTTCTAAAAGAATGTATACATTATCATTATCCTCAAACACATCTTCAAATTAAACTATATTTTAATGATGAAGTGATTTATGAAGCTTTATTTCAGTAATTAACTACTATTAATCTACATTTATACCTTTGCTTTTGTTCTACCTTTCTTTAAAGTACTTTTAGCAATAATCTTTGCAGCCAATACTTTCTTGCTTTCTATACATGTTACTTCATAGCATTTTGCAAAGCCACCCTTCCCTAACACCTTTCCTTTTTAGTATCTACGATATGCAATCTCTCCATCAGGTTTCTTGTATCTTTCTTCTATTATGGTATTTTCAATTTGCTGTTATTCTTCCATTTAAATTAATTATTAAAAAAAACCAAAAAATGTTAATCTAATTTAATTTCAAATAAGTAATCTAATCTATTTAGATTCTTCTTTCTTATGTCTTTTTTAATTCAAAAAATCAATTAGAATTCATAATTATCATTAATGTTTCATATAATAATATTTTCATCAAAATCTATATTAAATCTATATATAAATCTTGTTTAATACCTTATAATTATTATATTAAATTATAAGTTCTCTTATTTTCTCATTAATAATGTAAAAAATTGATAGTTTAGAACCCACTTAAGCTATAGCCACTCATTTTCTTGATATTTCAAATATTGAATAATTGGTTTAGTACTTAGAAAAATTGCACTAATAACCTAAAGTAGAAAAACATCATACAGCCTTATTATTAAATTGCTACATTAAATAAAAACAATTTGACAATTTTATTTAGAAAATAGAAAAGTATGGGTTTGAAAGTGATCTATTTGATATTGAAACAGCAATAAGAGAATGTAGATCATTCAATTACCTCGATATTGCTTTAAAAATGGCAACTAAGAAAAATATATATACTGCCTGTCTTTAGATATATATATTTGATAAAGGAGAATGTGGAGCTGCCCTAGAATATATTAGGGATGTAATAATATTAGAGGAGAAAGTAAATGAGATATTTTCATATAGTGTAGGCTAATTATTTAAAAGAATTCGGTCTTGAATTAATGAGGAGTGAACCTTAATTTACTTTAGAAGTAATTTAAAATTTAATTTTGTTAATAAATATTGTATAAAACTTAAAAAAATAATTTGAATCAAGAAAAGGTATTGATTCATTAGATCGTTTAACTTAAGAATAATAGAAAGTTTGGAAATACTTTAATTTAGATAATGATCAATTATCAAATATTTATTCAATAACATTTTGTAAACCTGATGAATTTTTACATATTTTTGGAGGATATAATAATTATTTAGAAAGATATTTAAGATTTCTTATAGAAGAATGCAAAAATTTACCTAATGAAATGGCTATATATCATAGATATTTTAGTTATCATTTAGAGAGATTCGAAAGAAAAGAAGAAATAAAAGAAAGTGAAAAAAGAATTATGAGTTTATTAATGGATAATAAGAATGAGTCAAAATATGATAAAAATCATTTATTGGTTTAATTCAAAATTTATAATTTTACAGAAGGAATCATATGTTTATTAAAGAAATTATAAATGAGAGAAGAACTATTAAATTTTTATATTACAAAGAAAGATAATGAAGAAATATTAAATTTATGTACAGAGTATGGAGAATAAGAATAAAACTTATGGGTATTAGCATTGAAATATTTTGCAAAGCCTGAAAATAAGGCTACACATTATATTCCTAATATACTGAAAGAATTAAATAAATTAGAATCAATATCTTCATTTTTGATTTTAGATATTATGAAAGAAAATAGTAATGTAAAATTTGGTTAGATGAGAGATTTCTTAAAGTAATAATTATAAAGAGATTATACAGAAATTAAAGATAATTTGAATGTTATAAAAGAAAATATGTAATAAACAACTGAAACAAGAACAGAATTTTAATAGTTAAAGACTCAAGCATAAATATTTTCATTTGGAAAATGTACAGCATGTGATAATGCATTAGTTAATCCTTCATTTCATTTTATATGTGGACATCAATATCATTAAAATTGCATTTAAATGTATATATGACTATATAGTATAAGTGAAGACAAAAAAAGAATATGTATAAGATGTAATTTAGAGATTTAAATGATTCAAAATAAATAAAAAGAAGTAGATGAGGCTAATCAATAAATGGTATAACTTAGGTAGAAAATGCTAGAAACTAGTTCTAAATATGATATTATTTCTAAATATAAATGAATAACATATATAAATGTTAATAATATAAGTTGATATATTTTAATGTTAAACTAAATAGATATTTTATAATTAATTTTAGTAAATTTATTATAATTTTAATTATGTTATTACAAATTTTAATTGTAGAAACTAATAAATTAAAAATAACTATCCAAAATATTTATTTAATGAGTCAAAGAATAGAGTATAAATAGCTGAAAAAATAGATTATATATTTAACAAATTAATATTGTAAAGACAACATCTGATAGAATAGATTGTGAAGTAAGAAAGAGAAAGTATTTAAGTAACCTTATTATAATTACCTTATTAATTTCTTTATCATAAAATATTTAGTATAAAAAATATAGTAATAATTTATAGAGATACCAAAGTACAATAAATAATGATTAATTTTATAAAACTGTAAACAATTATTATTTATGAATTGTTTTGAACACAATTCACCCTACACACTTCTTTGTTGGGTCAAAGGATGCAATAAGAAATTTCTATGCCATCAATGTATGTAAAAACATGATCCTCAACATTTCTCAATGATTCAATCTCTAAATGACTTTGATACTTAAATTAGCTAAATACCCAAATCCATTTAATAAAATCTAATTCTCCTTAGCTCTCAATTAAATTCTGCTTAAACATAGATCACATTGAATAAAGATTCACTAAAAAAATAGATCATCAAACTCTCAGATTTACTTAAAGCTAGACTTGATGTTGAAATAAATAATTTCTGTTCATCAGCAATAGATTATACTACTATTTATTATAAATAGTTTGAAAATGATATTGCTGCTATATTCAATACAATATCTGAACATTCTCAAATATTCACTCCTTAAACGGGTAGACCAATTAATGAGTTTTAATTCACATAATTGATCCAATAATAAGATAAAATGTTTGATATTATTCTACCAAAATTAAGCTAATAAGTTTAAATGTTTGTTTAGTAAATATCAAATAATTAACTAATCATGAAAACTGAAAACTTTCATTCAATATTAAACAATAACATTTCTAAAACTTTTTAATTGAACAATTTACTTTATACCAATGAAACTATTCAAACTTAAACATCAAAGTCACTTATTTAAAAAAATAGAATTATGTCACCTTTAATACCAAAAATTGATCTAAAAAAAAATGCATCACAGTTATTTTCTTAAAAATAACAATCAGATAGAATAAATGATTAATCAGCATTTTATAATGATAATATAGTTGAATTAAGTGGATCTAGATTTCTTTAATAAAAATCTATCAATACAGTACTTACTGGTCATACTGATATTATATTATGTGTTTGTGCTTTTTCTAATACTTCTATTTTATCAGGTAGTGCAGGAGGAACTATAAGAATCTTTTATATTGATAATGCTATAACTCAAACAAAATTGAATGATCACAAAGGTGATGTGTTGGCAATTATCAAAATTAATGATACAAATTTCAGTAGTGCAAGTTCTGATTAAACTGTTCGGGTATGGAATTATTAAAGAAAAGTATGTGAATATATACTTGTTGGACATGAATAACCAATCAAAGCTCTAATTCTTTTATAAGACACCGATTAATTGGCCTCAGGTAGTTTGGATCAGACTATAAAAATATGGTCTCTCAAAAGGCCTAAAATCAAATTAAACATTAAAGATCATTAAAAAATTTTTGCTTTATGCTACGTATAATCTAAAGCATTAATTGTGAGTGGAGGGGAGGGTATATTAAGTGTGTTTAATATTATAAATGGATATTGTAGAGATAAATTAGAAGGACATACAGGAAATGTGCTTTGTCTGAAGTACTTAAAAGAAATTGTCAATGGAGAGTTTGTTTCATTGATCTCATCTGGAGGATCAGATAAAAAAATTATCTTATGGAATCTGGATCGAGCCCAGAAATTATATATATTAATTGGTCATTAAGATTACGTTACATGTTTAACCTTTGATAACGAAAATAATCAACTTTGGTCTGGTGGAGCTGATTAGACTATACGATGTTGGGATATTGATAAGGGACGTTAAGTTTTTATATTTAAAAGACATACTGATTAAATTAGTTGTATTGAATATATTGCAAGTAGAGAATTGATAATAAGTGGAAGTTGGGATAAAAAAATAAGAGTTACATCAAAATCTATCTTAGTAAATTGATATTATGTAATTCTAAATTTATTTATATTTTATATTTTATTAATAGATATATATTTAGTAAGTATATATCAATTTTTAATTTAGTTTATAAAGCATTTTTAGGAAATCTAATTATTAGAAACAAATAATTTTACTAAGTAATTTAATATAATTTAACTTATTTGAAATAATCATAAGATTTTTATATAAAACAATAATATACTCATTTCTGAACTTATATGAATTTATTAAAACAAGTATTAATCATAATTAAAAAAAAGAATTTAAATAAATTTTAATGTATTTTCTCATATATTTAAATAATCCATTTGTTTTATGCTCAAACATATCAATATATTATATTATTAATCAATATAAGCTCAAATGTTATTTAATATTTTCTATATTCAGTAAACACTCTGGATCACGATTATAAATTTTCAAATATTATGCTAATTTAATTAAATCTTTTGCCTCTTGACTTCTACAACACCCAAAGTAATCTCTCAAATGTTGATCCCAAGGGGTAGCTCTACATGCAAGAAGTAATTTAGCAATTGCTAAATTATTGGTTACAAGAGCAAAATATAAGGGTTTTTAAAGAAAGAAATCATTAGAATTAACATCTGCCCCATAGCATAGTAATAACTTAACCATATCGATTGATTAAATCATTACAGCTAGATGTATAGCATATTGGCCTAATTCATCAAATGAACCAATCAATTTTTTCTCTTGATCAAGCATTTATTTAGCAGCATGGATATTGTTGTATTTAACAAATCTTAAAAAAGCTACAGAACCTGGAGATTAATATGGAATTAATTGTTATTATTATTCCAATAACTAAAATAATAAGTTATAATACTTAATAAACAAACATCTATTTAATAACTGCAATCTTAGCCAAGACTTTTAATTTTCTAATAATTCTTCTCCTTTTTACTTTTTTATCATAATAAATAGGATAAAATTCTATTAATTCTTCGTCATCTTTTCTTTTTTCAATATCAAAAACAGTTTAAGAATAAGATTTCACTAATCCTTAGGTTTCTTTCTTTATTTATTTATTTTTTGCTGATAATGGTGTATGTCGATGGGGTTTGAAATGTTAAAGAGGTAATTCATTATTAAATTATTATCTGACTTCTTGTTTTTATTTAAGTTTCTAAACATTCAATAATTTTTAAGGGGATTCAGTATATGATTTAAGATAATCATTAAATTAATCATCTTTTCTCATAGATTTCTATTCAATAACAAATTATAACCATTTATTACTAAGAAAACGATCCAATCCTACTCTTGGATCAGAACTTTTAGCAAAATTCATTTTAGTGAAATTATCAATAGTAGGACTTGGTTGATTGAGTTATCTGATAGACCCATAAGATTTCATTTTTAATTAGGCACGCATAGCTAAAGTATTAATATTTTTGGTTTATGTAATAAAGCATTTAAGTGAATCTGATTGTTTAATATTGAAGTTTGGTTCTTGATCAAATTAATTGTCAAATTCTTTTAGTATTTTTTAGGAAACGACAGTTTATTATTTTCTAAGCTTTCTGAAATTAGGTTTATTGGCAGTTTTACTACTTTAACCAACTAACTCTTATACTTTTTTGATATCCTTTGTTCTAACACTGTTGTAGCTGTTGCTTTCATTTTTTAGAGTACTTGCGACAATTTATCTCATTTACATGGAGGCAGTAGATCTGGCAGGTCCATGAGGAGAGAATAAATGTGAGATTTAGCTAAAGGATTTAGGATTGGACTTTGTTTTTTTAGGAGTAGATAATGTAAGTGGAATAGTCTGTTGCATTTAAGTAAATTTTGGATCATCTGTAACTTAAGTTTCCATTTCAAGAAATTATTTCTTAGGGATGTTTAAATCAGTGACAGTATTAAGTGTAAATATTTTATCTATAGATTGTTATCGACGTTGTTCAAAGAATTCCTTTAACTTTCTATTTATAAAATCCCAATTCATATAAAATAATAAATTGCATAATATTTGGATTTATAATCTAATTGTAGAATATATATAATTAAACCTTAACTAGATTTTTATTAATATACTCAATAGCGTGTAGATGTTCCAAACATAATCTGATCAGCATAAGCTTTATATTGATTGACAAGCACAGAATGAAGGGAACATTGTATATTTTAAGCGGAATTGAAAAAAAACTTGAGTGGATATTGTTGAGTTGAAGAATCAAAGGTAAGCAATTTAGAAAAAGCTACTGTGAATGCAAGCTAAATGTTGACAAAGATGATATTACTTTGATCTTAGCAACATTATAAGATGGACGTCCAACATTATTTTATGGATTGAGTGGATCAATAATAACCAAGCTTTATTATTGACAATAAGCAAAATTATGAGGATCAAAAATAATCGTAGTTTCTTATTCAAATACTTCAGGTTGATCAGGACAGATTGTTTTTCCTGCATAATCTAATTCACAACCATATACATTCAAAAATTCAATTAGTAATGTACCTATAGTTGGCCAATTCTTATCTTAATTTTAATAACTCTGTAGAAATGAAACAATCATAAGTATTAATCCATATGAACTTAAACCACCACTATAAGTATCTGAGAGATCACTTTTATGAAGAAATTGTTTCATAATAAGAGTCAATGGTTTAAGAGGTTCATAATTTTTAATATACTTACGAATCAACTAAACACATTACAAACCATTATGTTTAGTCTCTTAAATTGAAATATCTAGTCTCTTATTCATATACTGTTTATTACATTTAGCTCTAAGAACAGGAGTGGTTGATTATGTTACACATTTAGTTTCTTCTATAAATTTGCATTTCTTTAATTCTACTTCAATTCTTTACAAAATATCAGTCACAAACTTTTCATGTTGATTAGATATTTTAATTACTAGATCTATATCTGAATGTGGTAGACATAATTCTGTTGCATAAGAACCATATACATCAATTTAGGCACCTGCATAAGTGGCACTTACAATAGCAGATATCTCATCAATAAGTTTTTAAAATGCATTTCTATTTTTCTTATTATATTAATCAATTTCAGCAACAAACAATTTGATATCTTAAGTCAATTATTCAACTGTATCATAAGTAGGTAAATATTGAGTACATTGACCCATTTCTAATTAGTATTCATAGAATTTCATCTCTTTGCTTTGATCCTTTTATTGATTCTTATTCTTTTTACTACTCAAAGGTATTAATCCATCAACCTATTCTGTTTAAGTTGCTGTTGTATTTTTAGGATATTCCATTTTAATTCCTAATTATTGCAAATATTGTTTATTATTTCTATATAATTTATCCACTTAATCTCGATCCTAAATATTCAAAGTCAGAGAACATAATTTTTATCCCTTTTATACTTATGGTATTTTTGGAGTCTAAGCAGTTTTCTTTGATTATAATTCTTATTGCTCTTCTACAAATAATTGATATGGTCTCTATGCACTAAAGTTTTGGATCAAAATGTCATTTACTCTCTTACTTTGTTCTGACAATTCTGATACTTCAGAGTAAATCTTGTTCTTATCTAATATTTAACTCCAATATTACTCAAAAATTGACTATTTTTATTTGCTAGAAGAGCTTAGTAATAAAATTTAGATTCAACCAAATTCAATATTATCTCATCATGCACTATAATAATAAAAAATTTATCAGTACATTCTTTCGAAATCTAAATCTCCTCTTTCTCCCATAAAGACAATGCAAATTTAGTTACATCTTCCATATGGCCCACAATTTCCCTGACTCTCTTCAATATATAAACTAATGTAATCAATAAGTTCTAGTCTTTCTATTAAGACAGAATATTTCGAAACACTATATTATCAATCATAGGGAAATGTTATCGAATCTGCTTCAAAACATCTTAATTCATCCAACAAAAACGTATATTTAATAAATAATTATAATTTATATAAAATATTTATACAATTGATCATCTGATCTTTAACCAATAACTTTATTTAGTATTATCTTAATTCAATATAAGTACTATTTAAATATAAGATAGACAATAATTCAAATAAAATTTTATTAATAATTAACAAATACTAGATTAGTTCATTTTGGGAATTTCAATTCATATTATAATAGTTGCATGTTATTATTATGATATTTCAAAATGACTATAGGAATATATAGAGTTTATAAAGTGTGTTAAATTATTATTCATATCAGATTGATGATATTTTTAATAGCTAAAATTTATGTTTAATAGAAATTAAAGTCTTATTGATTTTGAGTTTATAAAATATTAGTGAATCAATATATTCAGATTAAAAATAAATCATTTGATATTTATAATTTGATATTAATATAGATATAAATGTAATATGAGCTTAATATTTAATCTTTCAGTTACAAAGATATTGTATATAATATTTTTAATAACATGAATAAATTATCACTAGAAATACTAAAATAGTTTGAATTTAATCCCTGTTCTTTTAATACAACATCCAAATAGTCTAATATAATCTAAAATGAATATTCTATATAGAAAAGAAGAAAGTCAAGGAGCTAATTGCACACTTATATTATGCATCAAAAAACGATTAAATAGTATTTGAGAAGAAAAAGTTGCTGCTGTAACGAATGTGGATAATTGGGAACTTTTGAATATAAATGTATGAACATAAAAGGACCTAAACCTTTTAGGAGATCAATATTAACAAGAAGAGCTTCAAATCAGCAAGTGTATTTTTTTTGTTTTAATTGATAGATAATCTGCATAGCCTAAATCATTTTAAAGGAATAGATAGTAACTTAAGAAAATGAAAACATATGATGAAAGTAAATTAAATTCACTTGCAGAATCTAATAAAATTCCTTTAACTATGAGAATGATCTAAGGATCAATGACAAAATTACATTCGTATTTCCATACACAATAGCAATAATAAATAAAAGTTTATTAACTAAATCAATTTACTCCTAGTTGTTCCCCAAAACATTTAAAATCTCAAAAAAGTTTGCCATAAATATAATCATATTTGAGTTATAGAAAACTTGATTCATAATTATTAAAACCATTAAAATTAAATTAATAACCAAAACAAAGATCATAATTATTAATACTTCAAAGCACAAAATAACACAAAACCTTATAAACAGTAGTTCAATTCTGAAACTATTAAATTCTTTTTTTGATAAAATAGTTAGTATAATCATTAACAATAATTTGAATTCAGTATGTTGTAGTTTTTGACATTAAAGTAATAATTAAATTAAATATTATAATGCTAATATCAAATACAACTCAATCTAAATCTCGGAATTCTGTAACTCATACTATTCTTACTGGATCTAATTCAATTATCTATTCTCTTCATAAATACAAAAGAAGCAGTCTAAAAAATAAAAATTGTAATAAAAATGAAGATGATTTTGTATAAACAAAATTAACTTAGTTAAGAAGAAAGAGTTGCTGTTGTAATGAATGTGGCTAATTAAGTAATTTTCAATTTAAATAATTAAATAACAATGCATCAATTAGATAAAACAATATTTATATGAATACTACCTCTATTTGCTAATCGGTGAAATTAATGTAATTTTCAATTATATATTTTTAAAGTAACTCATCTCATAGATAATCTGTATTATTTTAAAGACATCATTCAAGAATGAATACCTATGGAGAAACTCAGCTCTCCCAAGTTTATAATTTGTCTCCAACAAGGCTGAGTCCTATAAAACCTAAATAGGATTCTTAAAACAAATTAAGATACTATCTCTAAAATAAGACAATATAACAAACTAAGAGAAATAGATAGTTTTAACTTAATTTAATTACTGTTCATTAATGTCATAAAGATTAAGAATAATAATTAATAAATAAAGTAGTTGTTAAAAGTCCTCTTACATAAAGGAAATCTAAACCTGATGTAAGACCATACTTAAGTCATTTAAAATTAAAACCAATTTGCACTAAAAATTAAGTTACTCACTTTGAAATCTGAAATTCAATTATAAAAATATATATTCATTTACTTTAATTACCAACTATTTTTAGTATGGAATCTTGAATTTCTTAATATTATTCAGGATGTGAATCCTTTATATTTTATTTTAGAGTCTACCAATAGACATTAGTATTCATATTTAAATCTTAATTATTATTCAATGTGAATAGTAATCCAAATAATGAAGATATCAATGGTTTATATTCTAATAATAATTATTAATCAAATACAATTATCATTCTCTAGAAATTAAAATTTTGAATTTATTAATTGATTTAATTGTGAATTGATTTTTTCCTAAAAAGTAACAAAATTTCATACATCCTACTATTTATGTATAATTTATTTAATCTCTTAATTTTTCTTCTCTTCTTCAACTCTACTATTATTTTGATCTAATTCTCTCTCCATATAGGCTAATGGCATACTTAAAACCTTATCAAGATTATTATTCACTTATTTAAGAGCTAATATTTTAATTATTGAAATATAGATACAATATCCATTTAAACCTCTCATTCTAAATTTTGTCATAACATGTTTAGAGGCTGAATCAAAATTTCTTATTTATTAAAAAGTCCATCCATATTAAGCCTTAAAGTCTACATCATTTTTTAGAGTAGGATCCTATTCCAATCTTTAATTAAGTTATTTTAAATAACCCACTAGAGCATATTTCCTTATAAATGATGATTTTTTAATACCTTTACAAAATCCTAATCATAAAAGAAGCAGCAAAGTAATCAAATTCTTATACAATACTAGAAATCAAAGTATTTTTATTTTCATTTGAAAGATTTAAACTCATTTATTATTACATATCAAATCGATCATCACTCATCTATTTATTTAGAAACTTCTCCTCCCTATTATTATATTATACTTTATATATTTACAATTAAATATTCTAATCAAATATTTTATGAACTCCCAATTCAGTTTATAAGAATTTTATTGTAATACTTGGTAAATTAGTAGATAAAATTTATCCTGGATGTACATGTTTACATTCTGGATGTATAGCATATACAACTTATCCAATACTAAATGGAGCAAGTCTAACTATATCTCTTATTAAATCTAAATTTTTAATATCCCTATGAACTGGATAGTTTTAATCAAATAAGTAATTTCGTATTACTGATCGATATTTTGCCAATTTACTCATCTCCTATTATAAAAAATAAAATGAAAATCTTCTTGGTTATCCAATTGCCTATATTGTTTTATATAAATTTAATACCATTTTTATCTATCTCCATTCTGAAATTGATTTCTTACCCAATTACACATTAGCCTTGTTTAACATCTATTGAAATTCATTTAAACTAAAATATGTATAATCTAAATGAGAATAGAAATATTCATGTTGAATCCATTTACAGAACTTGATAAAATTAAAATTAATACGTTCTAACTAATTTCTTAGCCTTTACTCATACATCTATTAGTATTACATTAAGTTGCTGTAAAATAATAAGTCAAATCAATTTCATTTTCAATCACTTCAAATTTTTAAGGAATTGACTTACGACCTTATATTTAGATTTAAATATAATACAATTCTAATTTTTCTTGATTTTCTTTATTAAGGCTTTGTCATAATTGATTGTCTCATTTTATTCATAATGATCTTATAAAATCAAATACAAATCATGAGCTGTACAATTTTGATTTGATTCTAAAAAGTTTTTATTCTATTCTTCATAGATATCTATACTTTTTTATAAATTGACAATAAATTTATGATTGTTCTTTGATATCCAAGTTGTTTTAATATTTCCTACATTCTTCCAACTCCTGCTAATTGTTACTATCTAAAGACTGTATTTTATTAATGAATAGATATCTACTTTTTAGAAAGACCTCCAATTCAGTTTCGTTCCATTACTCACCTAAATCGATTCTTAATTTTGAAATATCTATTTAATCAGGGAATTCGTTCATATTAAAATTAATACATATCATAAAATCAATTAAAATAAAAATTCTTTTCTTTATAATTTTAAACAATCTATAACAAAATTTCATTTAATAACATTCTATCCAAATAACATATATGTTCTAAAATTATCTGGCATTTCTAAAATAAAAGATTAACACTCTTTAGATTTCAATAAAGTATCACATTCTTTATTGATATTTTTAAATTTATTAGCATAAAATAATATCTTTCCTATCCAAGTCTTTATTTCTAATCTATGAACACATAAAAGTAATTAATAAATTATTTGAATAAAATTAGAACTATTAAACATGGTCTCTTGGATTCTAGTTAAGAATTCAAAACTATCTGACTCTTACAACAACTAATAATTTATGCAAATAATATACTTCATTGAATAAAACTTCATCTCCAACTAAATTCAAATAAATTTCAACTGAAGAACAATCCCTTTATAAACAAAGAAATGGCCATAATAATTATTATTGTTCTTTTAATTTAATTGTACCATCCTAATTTACAATAAATAAGTCTTTAATAAATTGTGGTAAAATTTCTACCATTATAAATAAAGACATTTGTTATTGCAATTATGAAAAGGTGATTTTGGGATCCAATTGCCAAATAGATATTGCTACTTTTGTTAATAATTATTTATAAATATCTTGAGGACATTTTCTATTATGAATGAGAACATTAGCAAAATAATATGGATTTTCCATCAAATCAATTATTAGAATCAACTAAAGAATAATAAATGATATATATACATCTCTTTGTAAAAAGTCTTTATATTAATCAAATTATTAGAGATCTCTCAAAAATCCTTATCCAATCTAAGCAAAAAAAGAGTCTACTTTTCCATAGATAATCCCTAATTACATAGAAATCATATATTAATCAAATGAAAGAGTAGTTGGATTCAAAACATTTGTGTAAAATCCACTAAAGGAATGATAAGTTTCTTAAGATAGTTATCTACATTTTGAAGAGACATATTTAAGATAATTCAAATTCATTGATGGAATTTCAAATTGAATCTTTAGAATATTTAAGAATATATTTGATCTTTCATCATCATCTACAAAACCTAGATTATTTATAATTAAATCCATATTTTTGTTACTGAAATCATTCTTTAATAATGAAATTACAATCAAACTAATTAATTTAGTTATGAAAGAATTAATATCAACATTTTTCTTTTTTTATTATCTATCTTTAATTCTTGTATTTTAAGAAACTCTTAAACAATACATGTACGTAAATAAAATTTCCCTTTCAATTTCTTTTAGTTTAAGTAATTAATGGATAAATTCTACAGATATATTTCCCAGTAATTACTAAGTGAATATAGTTCCCATATTCAAAGCAAACCAATCTAAAATACTAATTTCTTTTTCTAATTTCATATATTTGTAATACATTTATTAGAATCATACGTATCTCTACTCTCTAAGTTCAATAAAGACCCGAAAAATGTACTTAATATTTATTTAATTTTTTCTTCATCTTTTACAATTTACTTTAATGCACTTTCATTATAAAACAAAGGATATATAATTGAATAAACATCAATCAAACTAGCTAGTAATCTATTCAAAAATGGATTTTCATGATTATTTATTACTTTTTCAAGATATTAAATAACAATTCCAAATTCTTCAGATTATAATAAACCTTCCTATACACTCTTATTAGATGTTGCTTCTATTAATAGACTATGTATAGGTGAAAAAGTATCAATAAAATGAAGTGATTCTTCACTTAATTATCCACCTAAATAAAATGTATTTTTGAATAATATTGTTCCTAATTATAGTAAATGTTCTTAAGTTTAAAATAATTGATTAAATTTAATGAATTCAAGAAACTTTTATTATACAGGGGACTAAAATATTGATATGTATCTGCATAGTAAATCAAATATACAACAATCACAACTCTTTAGTCTTTAACATGTTTTAACAGTATTTACATAATAATTGTCAGTGCAATCATGATAAAAATCGAAACAAAGTTAATTTGATCCTATTTTTTCTAACATTACAATTGCTACTAAATTTTTTAAATTTGGATATTAAGCAAATATATTATTAAAATAATCTAAAATGCACATGAAATAATAATTAACAGCAACTATTCTTTGGGGACTTCTTAAATCCTATAATAGTTATTCTAATTCATTTATTAATTAAAGAAAAGAACATTAAACATATTTTTAAAAATTAAATATTGATTCTCCAAATTATGTATTGTATTGCATTATAGTAACTCTCTATGATGCTAATTTTTCAATTATTTATTCTTAAACTTATCTTAATGAATTTCTATAATATATATATATTACTTACTTTTAGATGTATTAAACAACTAATCTTATTTCTAATAATTAATTTATTTATTAATTTATGGTTGATAATTATCGAATAAAATCAATTTTAGATATTTCCTCATCTATTTTTTTTAAATCAAAGAAATCCCCTGCTTCTTTTTATATCATTTCAACAAATTCATCATTATTTGTAACTAATTTTATCATCTTAAATATTGAAATAGAATTACTTCTTCAGCAGATTTCCCTTAGAAGTAAGAATCAAGTTTCCTTTATAATCCTATAAATTTTTAAGCCATCTTTTATCTTATAGGCCTGTTCCTCTCTCTTTGAATATAGAAAAAACTCGTCAATCCTACAAGTGCTGTCAATCCTAATAACTTATATTTAGTCTTTTTATCCATAATAAAATAATATAAATAATAAAATTTATATGTAAATAGCACCAAGCAATATTGTAAATAATAAATAATATAAGTGTTTGTGCTATGATTTAAACAAAATTTAAGTTCATTTCTACAATTTTTGTTAAAAAACAATCGATATATTTTAGATAATAAATATATTTTTTTGATTATGTCAAATAAATTGTCTTATTTTAATCACTATATACGTCTTTACATATATATCAATAAATCTATTTTGGATCAATAAATAATATAAATTTCTTGAATGAAAAAGAAATCAACAGTATTAATTAATTAGATAAAATTATTTTATTCCTTTTGAATCCCCAAATGTATATATAATTAATCAAATAATAATTAATTGAATTGAGATCATTCTAATAAGATGGAAAAATATCTTAATAAGAATTTAATTATAGAGTTGGTAATTTCAAATATAATTAATCAAATATTATTTTTAAGACATCATAAGTTCTGGCTATATATAAAATAAATCTAAAAGATATAAGTAAATTTTATGGATTAAATAATAGAAAAAGAAACTTAGTTTGAAAATTCTTATCTTTATATCTTCTTACTATTTTATAAATAAATTATAAGTTTTCAATACTCATGAATCTATCAACAAAAATAATAGTGTTAATTAAATTAAAGAAAAATAAAATAAAATAATTTTTGAATTTGATCTAATAATAAAATCACTAATTGGTATTAAAATATAATGAAATTTAATCATATTTATCCAAGAATTTTTTATAACTTATCAATAGATTGTTATAATTTAGCTACATCTTATCTCATTAATCCAATTTAGAAAATAATTTTGTACTATGGTTCCTGTCTTAACATTACAACTGTTCTGATATATTTAAATATATAGTATGCAAATACTGAAGATGAATAAATAAATCTTTCTTCCATAGTAGTAATTTGTTGAAGAAGCTTTAATTTATCATCAGTAATTGATAGTGTATCAAAATTTAGAAGCTAATTAAAAAATTCAAAACCTATCACAAGTTTCAAACTTTGACGCCATTTATCTTATTATTCAACATAATTCTAGGTTAATAAAATTGTTAATAAGTTTAAAACTCTTTCAATTATTGGTGGAGGACGACTATAGCTGCATAATTCACAAATATCTTGCCTTCTTATTTTCTTTAAATCATCTAAAGATAGTTGATATTAAAGTAATAAAGATTCTGTTTATTCTCCTAATTCTGGATGGTTTTCTATAATTTCATTTAATTCAAGTTATTTAATATTTTATTATTGCTGTATTTTATTTAATTTTAAAGATAGTAGATATAATATTAAATTATTTGTATTCTAGCTAACTAATCTAAATTACAAAAAAGAAGAGTAGTCTAAAAAAGCAAAGATAAAATTAATTATCTCTGGCCTTAATTTGATAATTAAATTTGGATTTGGTAAGATTGGATGATTAATTCTAATTTATCTTAAATAAATTTCTTCAACTGAAAAAAACAAGTTGTTTATACAAGATTGTGTTTTTTGTTATTTTTCGTTTAACTAATCTAATTCTTTTTGAAGTTTACTTAACATATTTTTTAAGTATTTATTTTTATTTAAAGATTAAAAATATAAATTAATTTTTTGGGTATATTAAGTGTTAAAAGTAATGACTGGTTTCATTAGAAAAGTATTTATCAAAGAATAATATATTGATAAAATCTTAACATTATATAAGATTATGCTGAGTCATTTAAATTAATAAATCTAATGATATATTAATAATTATTAGAAAGAAATTGAATTTCTAAAATTATTTTAATTTTTATATTAACTTATCTGATTAAATGAAGTTCCATTTTTAATTAGAAATATTATCAATGCTATTTATTCAAAAATTCTAATGATTATGATAATAACGCATGAAAAATAAATGTAAAAATTATCAATGATTTAAAATGTAAATTTTAATATCTATGATCATTAAAAGAAATTTTACACAAATTCTATACATTTATTTGGAACATTGTAAATTGGATTCTAAAAATTGCTATCTGTTAAAGAATATCCACTTAATCCATAGCATGTATGATAAGCATCTGGGGATTTACTTGGTTTATCAAATATTCCTCCTGATATATTTTGACATATATGTATATATTTCTTTAATTCTTACACATCCATTAATTATTCATTGACATAACCAGATAACATTAACAATTTGAAAATAGCTCCTTACCAAAATGAATAACATGCATCAACTACTTTATTGGTCCGACCATTAAAACCTCCTTCATTTTCTATTTATCTATTTACTAACCAATTCAATAGTTTCTCTTAATCAATATAATGTGCTTTTTTCATACAAACCAAAGCAGCATATCCACAAAAAGTATATCCTCCATGAGATTCAGAATATCGAACTCCTCCAATACCTCCTTCATATGTTTGACATGAAGCAATATACTCAGCACAACCATCCAATAATTTAGGACTAACTCTATAACAGAACTTAAATACTCTAATTTAAGTATGATCACCATTATCACAACAATATATACAGCCCTCATATCTGCTTCACCATTAACATGCATTAAATAAGATCCTTTTATATTTGGATCTTGAACTGACCAAAAAAACTTTTCCAATCCCTATCTATCAATCAATCCTAAAGAAGTTGGAGTGGCTAGAATGAATAATGCTAAAAATATTATTATTTTTATACAAAGTAAAGATGAATATGTAGGTGCTAAATGTTCAAATTAATAAGGTCCTCCTCCAAAGCTTCCAATTTTGCATTATTCTAAATATTAAATAATTTGATGTTCATATTTAGATACATCATCCTATAAAATACTTAAAGCATTGAGTGGCCAATATATACACCATGGTTATCCAACATCTAAATAGAAAATGGAATAGCCAATATTCAATAATTTCTTTGTACAATATTTGATATGTTGATCTGTCAATAATTCAAGTTTATTAAGTGGTTCATATTCTTTATAATATTTATTTTCCAATAAATCTTAAGGGACTTCTTCAGATTCTACATATTGATATTCTTTTCTAATTTAGGAAATTGCAGAATGTACAAGATTTTATTCATTTAAAGTGCGATTCAGCTACTTCATTTAATATAGAAATTTCTTAATTATTAAAATACACGTAATTTAATATGCTTTTCCTTACATTCTTGATTAGTGTTTCTATGGCTTCTCAGGATTTACTTAAGAAATGCTATTTAGAACAATTCACCATTGGAGATCCTGAAGGTATTATACATTTTAGAATTGTTTAGTTAAAATTTAGATCTACTTTGAGGATCATATAGTGAAAAATCATAAAATTGAATATGAATGTTTGGAATTTATTATTTCAAGAGGATATTATAAAGTTGCTTTGAGTCTTTATGAGAATTATTTCCTTTTGAATCACATTGATATTACTGATAGAATTGTGTATTGTTCTTTAATTTATTTAGTTAATTCTTAAAGAATGATAAGTATCTTAATTAGAGAGAAATGTAAACACTATTCAAATTAGCAATGGCTAAAAGCAATCAAGTTTAAATTGTATAACCAGTTGTTTAATGGGCTTAATCAAAAAACGCTACATTTATAAATATCAAGTTCTCTCATAGATAAGATGCTCCTGCATGTTTAAATGCAAAGTTGGAAGTAGTTGAAATAAAGAATGATTCTCTTTTGATTGAAGCATTTGGAATAGTTTCTCATATTCCATTCAAATATAGATATGCCATTAAATTATATAAACCAATTGATCCAACTTCTAGTTATGAGAAAGTAGAATCTGTAGGAACTATGTATGTGAATCTAACAAAGATAGAACCAGGTAATTTCATATTAATATATTTATAAGTATTATGGTTAAGATTGACTGAAGAAGATTATAAAACTCCAATATGGTGGGATTTGAAAGATAATTTTAGAAAAGATATGGAAGAATTTGCTTAAATGCTTGAAAAGGAAAGTGAGAGAAAAGAGAGAAATGCAGATAAATAAGCAAAGAAAAATTAAAAAAAGAGAGATTAAGAAAAATAAAAATAAACTTCTCAAAAAGCATAAGAAGCAAAAAGATAATTAGAATATGAACATAATTAATGCTATAAACCAGGAAAATGTGAAATTGGATGGTATTAAAGATAATGATTGTTTATAATTGATTAATATTCAATTCCCTGATCATTATTTGACATTTCCTACTGCTCCTTTTGGAACATTTAATTATTTCTTAATTTTATCTTCCTTATCCAATTGATTATCAAATTTCACTAAACTCTTCAAATAAGTAAATATAGCTCCAAAAATTATCAAATTGAATAAAGTCAAATATATATTTCTTTAAGAATAAAACATCTTCATTCTTGTTTAATTTACAGTCTTTTCCATTTCATATTAAGAGACTCCTTCAGTATATGAATCTCTTTAAGCTTTTTATCCAATAAGCTCCTTACCCAAATCATAATTCTCTGTGACTGCACTCACAAATAAAAATAATGACCAACTTAATATTAAATATAAAATTTTGGAGATGATTGAATTTGTTAATAATTTCTCCAATCCTCTTACTAAAGGTTTTCGTATTATTCTTGGTAAAGGAAAGAATACAATAAAAGCTAAACCAACTCCTACATGCATGGTTTAAAACATCAATTCGAATTGAAATGTCATATATATATTTAATATAAAATAATTATTTAATTTATCTCAAAATATTTTACAATTTCTCTCCTTTAATTCCTACTTTTCTTATAGATTTCTGATTTTTTAATGTAATTATCCTTTAATTAATGATTTTTACTCTTATTAAATACATTATATAATTGATTGGTCTATTGCTTGAAAAATACTGGTTTCAAAATTACACTCTGTCATTTCATCTAAATTTCTAAAATCTTTATTTTCATTAATAAGGATAAATTTAAGTTTAGATTAACAAGTATATATTGTATCTAATTATGGTATTTAATCAGGTTTATCAAATAATTGAAATGCAATATCAAAATTAATGTTTTAATTTTGAGAATTTTTCCAAATTTAACATTTTACATCTTGTAATAGATTAGGAACATATATAAAAAAGTCATTTGAATTATCAGAGAGTATCTTATTTAGTTTATCATTTTAATCATAAAGGATATTGATTCTAATTAGATAAGAGTAATCCATAGAGTTTATAATCATTAAAAATAACAAATTTATAAATAGTAAAAAAATATTTAAGATGTATTTGTTCAAATTAATGACAAGATGTTTCCTAAAATCTTTTTATCTAATGTCCATTCTCTTCTATTTCTAGGTTATCCCTTTTTAACTCTTCTATTTAAATATTAATTCAATAATGATGTATCTTCTTTTTATTTAGGTATGGCTGGTAATACACAACTACTATCAATAGCATGTTAAATTCCATAATCAAAACTTTAACTTATAGGCACTTGAGAGTTAGAAACACTTATATTAGTACTTTTATTGGTTGTAGTCTAAATAGAATTAAAATGTTTTTTATTTTTTACTGGTGTCTTAGGGTTTTCGATATTATTTTGACTTTAAACTTTTAGTTTGATTTTTGGAAGTTCTAATGTTTTTTTGAATTCAAATTTTTATAAATTGAATGATTATTATTATAGTTATTAAGATTCTTCTTTTAAAGATTATTTCTTTTTAGGAATTGCTAAATCAATGATTTGTATTTAATTATATTCATGTGTATCTAATTCTGTTATTTCATGTTCTGGAATAGGTAAATGACATAAACCTCCATTTAAACTAGTAATAAGATCATCTTATATATAATAGATGTAATCTATTTATACATGAAAATTGATAGTATATATGCAAAATCCATTATTTGTCCATATTTTGACTTATTATAAAGAATTTGTAACAACATAAGTTTAATTACTAGTGATTTATTGTATATCATTTTCATGTCCTGCATTAGTTTCATATGCAATTAGATTTGAATTAAATAAATATAATTCATTTGATTGTGCAATTGCCAATTATTTGGCTTAAGTCAAATGTATAGGACCTAATTTAATAATTTTAATTGATTTAATTAAAGATGCTTTATTAGATTAAATTTGAACAAAATTGATGACATTATCAATACTTTTGATAATTAATTGATCATTAAAGTGAATAATACTTGATATAGCATTTTTATTATAATTTACACGTGTATAAATTATTGTATAGAGTTCTAAAGGAACACATATTACAGCTCCTTTAGAACAACCCATAACAAAATATAAAGATTAATCTGCATTTTAAAGCATCTTAGATATTTTGTTTTAATCTTTTGAATCAATTGTTATTTCAACATCATATAAAGGAGGAGAAAGAGCAATAATTTGAATAAATGTTATGTCTTAATTGATTTTTTCTCCATTTATAGTTCTGATTTTATCAAAATTAAGTACTTCTACTTATTAATGATTGACCCATTTGGCTAAAGTTTGATTTTATAAATGTAAATAATAAGTGTTTGGTTAATTGGGACTATCTATAATTTAGAGTACTTAATAAACTGAATTAGGAGCAAATATGACTTTACGGGTTTGATTAGAGTAATAAACATGATTCTTAAAGGCTATACATTAGTCAGACATTGCAGAAACAGATGAATTATGTAAATAATAGGCTTACAATATATGATATAAATCACAGATATATAATTAATCTGCAGATTATATGAAGTATTTAGAGTAATTTATGAATTTGAAATATTAGATCTACTATTAATAAATGGGATAAGATTGACAAAAGATTAAATTATTCAATTTCCAAACTTTAATAAAGAGATCATTTGCTACTGTGAATAATTCTTCTTTATAAACTATCATATTAACTATTTAACCATCATGAGCATGTTCATGAAAATATTAAAGAATTCCATTGAGATCATAACACCAAAGAGTTCCATATACATCTCCCAAATATAATAGATCATTTATATAATATACATCTGAAATAGTCAAACCTAATTAAACAGATCCTTAATGTTTGAGTGTTCTTAAATCATAGATTGTAATATTTTAAGAATTGTATAGAATGTAGAAATAATCTAATAATTTACATTATCTATTCCATTCTAGAGATCCATTAAGTTCTTAATATTTAATTATACTAAATTTATCTTTCATTTGAATTTCAAATGCACTAACAGAATTGAATTAAACCATTAAAAAAGTATTTAAATGATCTAAAAATAATAGATTAGTAAATTATTTGCATTCTAATTGAACTTTATTAACAATCTAAAATTCGAAATTCAAAAAGTATATAAACCAATCTTAGCACAATAAAAAATATAATCGTTATTTTTTTGACATTGTAATATCAAATATTCTAAATGATTTTTTTTTNACAACCCATAACAAAATATAAAGATTAATCTGCATTTTAAAGCATCTTAGATATTTTGTTTTAATCTTTTGAATCAATTGTTATTTCAACATCATATAAAGGAGGAGAAAGAGCAATAATTTGAATAAATGTTATGTCTTAATTGATTTTTTCTCCATTTATAGTTCTGATTTTATCAAAATTAAGTACTTCTACTTATTAATGATTGACCCATTTGGCTAAAGTTTGATTTTATAAATGTAAATAATAAGTGTTTGGTTAATTGGGACTATCTATAATTTAGAGTACTTAATAAACTGAATTAGGAGCAAATATGACTTTACGGGTTTGATTAGAGTAATAAACATGATTCTTAAAGGCTATACATTAGTCAGACATTGCAGAAACAGATGAATTATGTAAATAATAGGCTTACAATATATGATATAAATCACAGATATATAATTAATCTGCAGATTATATGAAGTATTTAGAGTAATTTATGAATTTGAAATATTAGATCTACTATTAATAAATGGGATAAGATTGACAAAAGATTAAATTATTCAATTTCCAAACTTTAATAAAGAGATCATTTGCTACTGTGAATAATTCTTCTTTATAAACTATCATATTAACTATTTAACCATCATGAGCATGTTCATGAAAATATTAAAGAATTCCATTGAGATCATAACACCAAAGAGTTCCATATACATCTCCCAAATATAATAGATCATTTATATAATATACATCTGAAATAGTCAAACCTAATTAAACAGATCCTTAATGTTTGAGTGTTCTTAAATCATAGATTGTAATATTTTAAGAATTGTATAGAATGTAGAAATAATCTAATAATTTACATTATCTATTCCATTCTAGAGATCCATTAAGTTCTTAATATTTAATTATACTAAATTTATCTTTCATTTGAATTTCAAATGCACTAACAGAATTGAATTAAACCATTAAAAAAGTATTTAAATGATCTAAAAATAATAGATTAGTAAATTATTTGCATTCTAATTGAACTTTATTAACAATCTAAAATTCGAAATTCAAAAAGTATATAAACCAATCTTAGCACAATAAAAAATATAATCGTTATTTTTTTGACATTGTAATATCAAATATTCTAAATGATTTTTTTTTACACCACAATATTTATTTGACTATCCTCTATTCTAAATAATGATATTTAATAAGCATTTTTTTTTTGTGATATATTAAACAACAATGATCCCAAGTGTTCATACAAAATATCTATACTGCATATGTATCCATTAATTTATTTGAAACACAACCTAAAGTCATAACTTAATTCATTAAATAATATAAACATTTTACATATTATTTATAAAACAAAAGATTTCTTTATATATAAATTATAAATCTAAATATATTATATACTCTATAATTATTATTATAATTAACCTATAAATACTCATTATTCATCCCAATAACTTGGAGGTATTGTATCTACAATAAAATTTAAATTTTTCAGATTTTTATAATTTTGAATAAGATCATCTCTTGTTGAATTTGTTAAAGCTGTTCCTAAAAGTTCTAATTCTATGTAATCTACAACTTTTGTTATATCAGAAACATAACGAAGAATTTCTTTTGATGCTATGTCTGAGATTTTGTTTTAACTTAATCTTAAATCTATATATTTTGGTTAATGTTTAATAGAATGAATTGATTTAACAACATCTACAGCTCCCCTATCAGATATTGAATTAAAATTCAAATTCAATTTTAAATATTCTAATTTCTTTTAAGACATTAAACCTTCTCCAACAAAAGAAGCACCTGCATCTCCTATATAATTTTCAGTATAATCCAAAACTAATGTCTTCAATTTATCCTACTTAAATAATACTTGTTTTAATAAGTCAGCACCTCTAGGACCACATTTATTCACTCCAATAATTAATTATAATGAGTTTAAAGTAGGCAATTTTTCAATTGCTTATAATATAGCATTATAGCCTAAATATCCAAAATTTTTAGAAGCTACATTAATTGATAAATCATCAAGATGTTATAGATTTCCTAAAGCTGTAGCAATATATTGAGCCCCTTTATCTTCAATGTAATTAAATTCTAAACCAATATGTAATTTAGTAAGATTAATCATTTATCCAGTAACACCCATTAATGTTTCTGTTCCATTTGAAGTAATGTTATTGAAATACAATTCTATTTCTAAACTTTTTACTTATCTTTAATGATATAGACCTGCACTTAAATCATCAATACCATCAACCATAATCCTATTACCATAAAGATTTAAAACTAAATTTTCTAATTTTGGTAATTTATATAATAATGTCTACAAAGATTTAGTTGATGATGCAGTTATATTGCAGCCCATAAGTATTAATTCTAATGATTTTAATTATCTCATTTCAATTAATGGAAGTAACATATCAATCTTATTTCCACCTAAATCTGTATTAATAAGTGAGATCTGGAGTGTATGAACTTTCTTCATTTCAGAAATACTCTTCAAAATTTATGATCTTCCTTGATGTGTAAATAGGTTATCCAATCCTAAAGAGAGAGATTCTAAATTTTATAATTATATTAAAAGAGCTTAAATATTTGAAGCAGTTGAATTATCAATTGGATTATTTCCAATATGCAAATTCACTAAGATCATAATAAATAAAGAAATATACATTCTTTTAATTTTTTGAATCGACTTATAGTTAACAAAAGAGTCTAAACATTTGTCAATCCATTCAAATTAAAATTAGCTTCCAATCTTGTCACATTAACATAATCTTAGAATTATTTACAAGCAACTTCCAATCCACTATTCCCAATAGATTTTCCTTACAAATTGATTGTAATTGCATTTCCTTCTATTTTCATATCATATTAAACTTTGGAGTCCATATACAATTTGACATTGTATGCTAATAGGATTCCAAAAAATGACCAAATGATGTGTGATAATTACATAATTTATAAAATTAATGATATCAGCGATTAGCGAAGGACTTTTAATTTCTGTTTATAGCTTAATATATCAAATGAAATATGAAATAAGCTCTAATATCTTTACAAAAACATAATCAATGTGTATTTGACAAGGAAGTATTAATGAATTTACTAGATGCAGGATGTTTTGAAAAAAAAGAGATAAGGGTAGAATGGTTTAAATGAAATCATGAATTACTATATAAAGAGTCTTATTTGTTAGAGTCTTTTGATTTAAACTAATATATTCAATTTTTGTAATCCATGTCTTATATTTAATTTCATCAATAAATATCATAGAGATAATCTATTTTTTTTCGATTAATAGAAATAATCTGATAGCTTTAAAAGTAAAATAAATGATTTTAATTGATCATTCATTGATTTAAAAACACATTTCCATATTTACAGAAATAATATATTAAAAATTATAACATAATACAAATATAGATTCTAATGATTGAAATTAATTTATAATTTATATGATTTCTTTTATATTTAAAACAAATTCTACATTTCTTATGAATTGCACTTCAAAATATATAAAATGAATTTAAATAAGTATGATAAATTCATTAACACAATATTTCAGAATATATTCAATTTAATAAATACTTTTATCTAATATTAATCCTCTACCCATTATAAAGTTATTAAGAAAATATAACCTAATAAAATACAATCAATTTTTTTGAAACTCATTAATTTATATAATTACATTCAATCCAATAAAATGAATTGAACAATATATTACTATATTTAATAATAATAATTTTATAAATTATATTATTCTAACATTTTATCAAAATAAGTATATATTAATCAATAATTCATTAGTTGGTATGCTATATTTAAATCATTATTTTAAGATGGAAAATTATTGTTCATTTATTATTAATAAGGAAATTATTATTATCCACCTTATTAGAGTTAATTATATGATGAATTTTAATAGTTATTACTTTAAAAAGGTTGAAATGATTATTATGGTTATTATTATGGCTATAATGGTTATTGTGGTTATTATGGTAATAATGGTTATAATGGTTGTTATGGTTGTTATGGTTATTATGGTTATTATGGTTGTTATGGTTGATATTATGTACCAAAAAAAGGGGCATAACTTGAATTTTGTAATGGAAACTATGGAAAACTCATATTTGGTTTAATTGGCTTCATATAAATTATAAATATACTCTTTGAACTGTAATTGCAAGAATCTCTTTAAATTCTTCAAATTTAATGAAATTATCATCATTCAAATCAAAAACTTTAAATGCTATTCTTAATTCTTCATTAGTAAATTGCTGGTTAATTTACTTGGCCATCAAAAAAAATTCTTAAAAACTAATAAATCCATCTCTATTTTAATCAAACCTACAAAAGAAATCAAATATATTTATTCTAAATTAATTTAATCCATCCTTTAATAATAATATGGTTTATTCTGGAGAACGCTGTTTGCAAATATCTTCAAAAGGGTTAGTATCTAAATCATTTAATGAATTCATAGGATTATTAATTTAATTTTCATAACCCAATGGAGTTTAAATGTTTACTAAACTTTATGGAGTTTATTTAACATTCTAACCTAAAGGTGTATTCGAAGGTTAGACTCCAGGAGATGCAGCATTTTTCATTGTAGATTGACGATGAAATTTTCTAGTTAATAATGTCATTTTTGTATTATTATCAGTCAACCATTTTGCAAATTCATCAAATGATATAGTCTTATCACCATCTAAATCTAATTGCTTAAATATGATTTTGCAATCTGTATTTGATAAAGTTTTATCTATTTTTCTGAGTAATACAACTAATTCTTTATATTCTAAAGTATGATCTCCATTAACATCAAGTTCATTAAATAACTTAATGACATCAATATTCTATTTAATAATCTTCTACCTGACTTCGTTCATTAAAAATTTGATTTAATCTTACTTTATTTGGGATCTGTAATTCTTGAAATGTTCACACACTAATTTATGTTTAAAGACTGCATCCCAATCAAATCTTTCCTCTAAAATATTAATTTCTATAACCTTCTTCTATTGCCAAACAACCTTCAATGAAAGATTTCATTTCATTACTAATTTACTTTTTGTCTTCTGAAAATTAAAGTAATGTATGCCACAATTAATGTTAATATTCATCCAATTTTGCACCAAACCATGGAGTATATCCAAAGAGTACTTAATACAATATAATACCCAATGACCAAATATCACATTTATTTGTATACTTTTGACCTTATAAAATTTATGGTGATAAATATTAATATTAAGAAAGTTATTGTTGTTCTTTTCTAAATGACTCTAAACATTTAGATAACCCACAATCTATATATTTTTAATAGAATTACCTGCTAATTTAAAGACTCCTTCATTTACCATAATATTTGATAATTTTAATCCTCTATGAATCACTCCATGTTTATTTAACTCAGTGAACCCTTCAAGTAAATCATTTAACATCTTAATAGCTTCCTATTCACTCATACACATCTTCTCTTTATCCTTCTTTAAATATCTAACATAACATATAAAATTTAACTGTTATAAATTGAGTTGACTATATTCCATCACCATATAATAAGTTCCTTCATGTTAAAATACATCTAATAAATCTACTATCTTTGGATTCTTTATTTTTTGAAATAATTTTATTTCATCTAACAATGCCAACTGAATAGCCTCATCATCCTTTAAAATACTCTTAGGAATTGCTTTAAGAACAACATCAATATTTTTCTCTGAATCCTTTGCTTTATCAACCTATATTAGATTTTTTAAATTGTACTCTCCCCAATGATCCACTTCCTAAATAACCTGAAGTTGATGTTATATATTTTCCTATAGACTTTTACATTTAATTTAATTAATATGTAAGAAACACCTTTAAAATATATGATGGCAGACTAATATTATCTAGATCATTCAGAAGAATACTCTTCAATTCAAATCTAAGAAAATCAATTCTTGGTCAATCTTAATCAAAATGATGCCCCAATATTTCAATCTAAATTAATCAAGAATCCCACTGCCAGTCTTATTGGAAATTATTGTTTAACCAGTATTATAATATTCATATTACTTTTGATTCATCTATCATAGTAATCCACTAAATTGATCCTTTATTTGCTACCATCAGAGTTTTTAAGGATAAATTCCTTAATATTTTACATGAATTCATCAAATATGAAGAAATGTTTGACCGCCAAAACCCTTTTTAAGAATATTTATGCTAAAATCAATATATAAGAACACATATTGATAATCTAAGCGATATTAAATATATAGATGATTGTATTTACATCTCTTATCCATCCTAGAATTATATATATAATTAAATAAAAACAGATTATTTGAATACTTAGATCAAAAATATGATAGTTTAGTGAAATATATGCATTCAGATGGAGTGTTCTAATTGCAATCATGTCATTCTAAAGAAATTGAAGGTATCACTATCAGATTATTAAGATTATGAACTGTAAAACTGTAAATTATTTTATGAATATATTGGTAAAGATTTATTTTTAGAATATTATGAATACAAGTAGACTTAATTGTGTGAAAAAGTAACAACAATGACTTTCTCAACTCAATTCTGTACTCAACTAACCAGAACTTTAACTTTGAGTAATCATTCATTTAAAGAATAAATTGTATTGAAAGACTAAGGAGATGTCACATAGATATGAATATTCAATTACACTTGTAAATAGTATAAAAAATTAATAATTCTTATTTTAACTATTTATTAATCTATAGTACATAAAATTCATCAATATTTATATTTAAATATTTTTATTAATCAGAATATATCTACTATTATAATATTTTGAATTATAATATTTCTGATAAAAATAAACCTATAACATTCTTTGATTTGATTTGTTACTAAACCGAATTTCTAATCTTATAAATTATAAATTGAAAAATTTGTTAGATATAAGATCTTTATAATATAGTATTTTAGATTTAATTGATATTATATTTTTCTTATTTTTAATTAATTTTTGTTTCTAACTTATTTTTATTTATTGAATAAAATAATTAATTATATGTTTTTCATATTACCTTATTAGAAGTTTATAGATATTAACATAATTTATTCTAGGTTTAATAACTTATATTAAGAATGAGATAATTAATTTTGAATCAATTAAATATTGTAACAATAACGCAAGAAATACAACTTTAATGTTTGTAAACTGTTAATAACTATCTTTATTAATTTGAGAATATATAAAATTTTAATTCTAAGTCTTATTTTGCATAAATATAATATTTTATTATATAATATAATGTAAACAATTCAGCTCATTTTAATAGCATTTAATTACTCTTTTAATGCAGCTAATTGTAATTATAATTGTAATAACTCTGGACTTGTTCTCATAGAAACTTTAGGTGTATAAACTGGAGCTGGCATATTATTTCCATACATCATTTTTTATGCTTAAGATACCTAATATATATTATAATTATATTACATTTTAAATTCCTGTTTCATTCCAATCATTAATCATTTTTTATCTTTCAATAGAGTTTCTTCTGCTTGATTCTCTACTACTGCTACTCTTCTTCTTTTTAGATTTCTTTTCCTTCTTTTTATGTTTTTTTGGACTTTTTCTAATAAATAGTAATTTAAATGATAATACTCATTAATTTCTTTTTCTTTTTTTTCTTTGTAATCAGGATGTTCTTCAAACATTTAATTGAATAAACTTTTCTTGAATTTTGTTGATATTTTCTTAAGATGTAAGTAATTACAAGCTCCACCTCTAAATAAATATGTAATTTTATACCTTTGACATGTACCATCAATGTATTGTTTACATTTAGCACTGCTGAAATCAAGTACAGGTGAATATTCCATTGATAATGGTCTGTTTTCATACGATAGATTTTGTAAAGCATTAAAACAACCTTCGGCATAATATTCAGATGTATATTTCACATACACATTGCCAACTAAATGATCACCTATGTTTTCACATACTATTAGATCTTCAATCTCTCCAAATTCAGCCAACTGTTATACATATATAAATCTATACCATACCTTTAAAAATACATCTTCATAAAAGTTTTCGAATTTTTCTAATGCTTCCTCTATACCTGCCTAAGACACTGCATTTCCAGATGCTATTGCAACTTCTATAGGAGAATTTTGGTACATATGCTTTAAATTTCATGTATGAATTATTACTTTAAATAATATTGTTTAAGAAATGGGAGGTATGCTGTGGATTCTTTAGCATTTATTTTCATATCTACAGGCACCAATTTTGATATAGAATGAACAATTAACCTATATTATAAGATGTATTGATAACCTTGTCTTCTTCGGTTCCATATACTCTTTCTAATCCTCCTGCCATATTTTATCAAAATATATTATTGGAAAAATTAATACCATCTAAAACTTGTTTAAGAAATTTACAAATATTAATTAATTACTAAACATGATACATTAAGTAATATAATAATTCTTGTCTAAACTACTGAAAAAAGAAATTATTTAAAACATCTACAAATAATCTATTAGAACACTGAGCTTAATATTTAATAAAGTTAAATTAAAATCATTATTAATCTTTTTTTTTAATGAAAAATGAAAATAAAGAAATCATTGTACACAACTTTGCCTGTTTTAAAAATTTGAGACTTAAGAATTAATTACTCATACTTATAAGTTTCTTGATTATTTTGATTGTTACTATTCTTGTATGTAGTAATTATATTCATACAACCTTTGTCCAATTCTATTTTACATAATCCTCTGTAGAAATTTACACTAAGTTTTCTAGTGCATTTATCTAAACTCAACTCTCTAGCTATTAAAGGTATTTCACTTCTTTACTAGATACGAGTAATTTATTAATATCTAATAATAGATGGTTAAACCCTAATCTCATTATTTTAGTTATATGATTATCTAAGGAAAAAGAACAAGAATCAAATATCACCTTTAAATCCTTAATTCAATATGAATTATGGTGGTAAACATGTAGATATTCCTAAAACTATATTCTAATCAACTAAAATATCAAATTACAATTCCACCTTATCCTTTATTTGTTACACTAATAAAACGAAGTTTCACAATCCCTATACAGAAGAAGAAATATTGAATATAAAAACTTAGGAGTAATTATAAGCATTTGGTCCTATTCTTTACAAAGGTAATACAACCTTTTAATCATTACTCTCTGCTTATGTAAAAAGAGATAATATATTAATGACATATCCTTGTTTACAAAGATATGATATTGATAATTATATTCCTGAAAACAGGAGTTGGTACAAAGAACTTTATCAAAATTATAAGAGTCATAGTCCTTACAATCAATACAATTTTTCATTAACTTATCCATATTTATGTATATTAATTATTTCGTCCGTTAGTATTCAAATCAGTTAACATTGGATTATCTTTGACTATGCCATTTGTCGATGAGTAATTAGAATTAATTGGAGGAGCATCTTTTGATTTGATTCCTGCCAGACTTTTTGCAAATCTAATTTAATAATTTGGCTAAGATTTCACATCTATATATCTGGTTTCTTTAGATGGAATATTGATTATGCATCCTTACAATATAACATCTGAATAATTACCTTTATATTTTTATAATACTACTATTACTGGATTTACAGTAGAAGATTGGGAAAGTTTAAATAGTGTTAACATCAGTTCTAAATGTAAAAACTCTACTACTTAAAAAGAATTAAATTGCTTATTTAATTCATTCTATAATTAAGATATGTTTGTTAGCATGTAAACTATTAAATCATATAATATTTCAATTGTTGTGTAAAATCTTTATTTTAAATTAAAGTTTAATTAGTAGTTAAGAATTTAACAAATTCTAAGAAGAATATAATGATAATCTATTAATGTAACTAATTAGAAAATTCTATCTAACTTTGATTGAATTAATAGGTGTATTTTTATTTTTGTGTCTTTTAATATATTTTACAACAAATTATTTGTTTCGACCTATAGAGACAATAATAGATTATGCAATTAGTAAGATCTAAAAGAGAAGGTAATTATATTGATTATTTTAGTTATTAACCAAAGATGATATCGAGTTTACTTTAATAATTTTTAAGTGTTCAAATAGTTTAACTATATTAATCATGTTATTAATTTCACAAATTATTGGAAAGTTTATCTTTTACTAAATCAAAGTAATGTGAAGAAATTGAAAATTTGTAATATCCAATTATGAAAGATATATATTCATTAGGAGACTATATTAATTTTAGAAAGATTAAGTATTTTTAGGATTAAATATATATTTAGATGTTATTCAAAGAAAAAATGTGAATAAAGTTTGGAACACTTTTTGATGATTAAGAATATTATTCGATCAACTCTTAAAATAACAATAAATAATGAATGATATATTACTTTTTGTATTTGATAATAAAAATAAGATTGTAAACAAAATTAAATGAAAGATCATTAATAATAATATTTTTATGCATTTCTTGGTGATTTTGGACTTTGTTCTCGAACACTTTTGAGATTTGGTAATCTTGAACTTGAATAATTTAATGTGGAAGTATTATTTGAGTTGTTATTATTATTATTAGAATTTCTTTTATATTAAGATAAAATATTCAGTAAGGTTTATTATTATGGAATAGTTTTCAGAGAGTTTTATTATTGATTTTTATTAACAGGTGAATTAGATCTGGCAGATTTATTATAAGCATAAGCAATTGGTTTAGCTATTACTTTTCTATGAGATGGACTACCAGGTTATTGAATTTAACTCTGTGGTTATTATATTGTTTATTATCTCTTAGGAAATTCTACTTTTTCTATATTTTCTAAAGCAACTCTTACTGGACTTTATTCTTTTTATGCTTATCTATTAAATGAATATCCTTAAAAATGATCTTTTTTAACTCTTCTACTAGAATTCCAATTCCAAGGTTCTTCTTCTTCAAATTATTCAAAATTTTAAGTATCTATTTCATGATTTACTTAAGGTTAATAAGGAGTAATTTTATCTCTTATTTTTTTCCAATCTACACCTTAAAAAAATGGATGAATTTTAATTTCACTTACTCCATTTATACCTAATCTTTCAGTATGATCAGCCACTAATCTACGAATCAAATCAATGCATTAAGGTGATAAACTAATATCTTATGGAATTTGAAATGTTGATTGCCAATGTAAAATATTTTAACAAGTTGTTTAAGGATCATCCGAAAAGAATGGAGGATATCCAACAACCATTTCATACAACATAACTCCCACACTCCACCAATCAACTGTTTCAGTATATCCTTTTTATGTAAATACTTCTGGAGCAATATAATCAGGAGTACCAACTGTTGATAAAGCTAATTGTCTTCTCTTTTACATTTTACTAAGTGTTGGAACAGTAGGAGCTGGATTTTAATTTTAAATTTTCCTGCCTAATTCAAGTTTTGGTTTAATTTCTGAATATCTTAGATAAATTAAATATTATAGAATACTTGCATAAACCAAAGTCAGATAATTTTAGATGTCCTTTTCGATCAATCAAAATATTATCTGGTTTGAGATCTCTATGAATATAATTAATTTTATGGATTGAATCAACGGCTAAAACTAATTCTGCAATATAAAACTTGGCTTCATCTTCAGTTAATATATCTTTTTTCATTAATAATGTCATTAGATCTCCACCTGCCATATATTCCATCACTAAATACAGATATTTGTCATCCTCAATATTATAAAAATTCTATACTTAAAAACTGCATTTTAAATCTACAACCCAAGGGTTCTCTTAACTTAAAATGTCTCTTTCTGCTCTAATGTGTGCTAATTGATTTTTAGCTAACATTTCACATTTCTTCATTTTTTTCACTGCAACAATCTCTTTAGTCTTTTTAATTCTACAAACTCTAACTTCTCCAAAAGCTCCTCTTCCTATTATTGCTATTGGCTCAAAATCATCTGTACAAAACTTCTATCTTCTAATGATTAGATATTCAAAATTATTATTTACTTTTTTCTCATCAATTCAGCTTCCTTCTTTAAAACCAACTATTTATAATATTCTTAATCCTAAACTAAAATTAAATTTATCTATATATATAAATTACCCTTCAATTACATATCTTTCATTTTAACCCACAATTTGGCCCAATCCTCCCTTCTCTCCATCTCTGCTTACAATAAATCTGTATATTTTCTTTCTATATATCTTTTGCATGCCTCTACCTTATCTTTGGTTGAATTTGATATTGCTAATTATTTTCTTGGAAATTGATGATCCATTTATTTTATTTAATTATAATGGCATAACTTATATAACAAATTATATGAAAAATCAAATAACTCAAATAATGCGGTTTTTTTAATTATTATTTATTCATTAATATATATATATATCAATACATTCAGATCTATTAAGATAGCAAATTAATCATATATTATTATTAGAATAAGTAATATTGCATTAATTATTCTTACAATAATAAATTTTAAATCTAAATAAATTAATCTAAATACATACATTAACAGGTAACATTTAATTTCCATTTTCTAACTCCTCTTCTTATTTCACTTTCTTCAAAATATTATCCTCATTATGAAATTCACAAAAGTTTTTTGTTGGTAATTTATCAAAGTCTTTATTGAATTTTCTAAAAGCTGACTTTCTTTCTCCATTTGATTGCTATCTGTTGAATTAACCCTATGGATAGATTTATTATTGATTCTATTCTTCTATTTGAATTTATATTTAAGTTTCTGAATTTGCTATGTTCATCATTTCAACTAATTTATTATATGATGCATAATATGATTTGATATCATAATCTAATTTTTTATAGATTGATTCATCAACATATTTTCTTTCCATTACTTTTACACTACTTTATATAAATAATTAGGTTAAAGATTCTTCAATCTAATATAATATATATATAAATACTTTTTTACGAATTCGATTGTTATTTGATTAAAAAGCTATGATATATTCAGATTATCCTTATTTTTATTTTAATTATTTTTGAAATTCTATCAGATGATTGTCTGTTATCATAGTTTTCATATGATAGATCGTCATACATTTTGAAAATTTTAAGGCCAAAAATAATGGATGTTTAATCTATATATGATAATTCTAAAAACGATACTTTATTACGTATGTTTGGAGCAGTTAAATAATTATGTAATCCATTTTCATTATTTTCTATGGGAGCTTAGACAACATCATTAAAATGCTTCTCTTTCTTACAAAAATTTCTTTCCAAATATTTTGGTTCAAATGGTTGTATAAACTATGTTTATCTGTGTTCATCTCTTGCACTTTTTCTGCTATCAACAAAGACTGGAGGAGACTCAAGTGCAGTTATAATGTTATTTCCACTTTTTAATAAAAAAATCAAGTAAAACTTATGTCCCTAATGATTGTAAGTAGTACTGTTAAATTTAACACCCTAAATAAAAATCGATTAATGAAAATACAGAAAAAAATGCTTTGCCATCAACTAGGTCTTGTTATGTAACACCTTCCAAACCTACTTCTTCATAGACTCCATCTTGATTTAGTTTTACAGCCATCAATTAAGCCTAATATAAATATTGATAACTACTTAACAATCTATCCATTAAGGTGTATCTTCGTCTTCAAGTTGTAATTTAATAGATAGATTTGGTATATTCCAACTTTTATGCCAATTCCAACCTAAATCATTTGAGAATTATAATTCTCTTTCAGTATCAATTTTCAAATGCATAGGACCTTATTTGGCTGTGACAGAAGGTTAAAGATTGATGAGACAAGTCTTAGTTAACACTTGGGAAACTGTTGGTGACCAAGTAAAAGAATTCTTGTGATATGCCATTTAATGCAAATGGAATTTAAAATAATTTTTAAGATATTGATTCTCATTATTTTTATTTATTCATTAAATTATCGAAAATAATTATAAATTTATAAATACATTAGTATCTCATTTGACTTCTTCAAGTCTTTAAACACAAATAAAATTTTGAATAAATACACTAAGTACTTCAACATATTTTTCACTCTATACAAATATTTAATTTATTATAAAAGTGTTTTAATTATTTTTTGTTATTATATTATTTAAAAACATTGAATTTCAGTCCATTTTGGATCCATATATTGTATTATATTTCAGTGTCATCATCATTTTATTACTTACACTAAAAATTAGGATATATTATTAAATGAATTGAATAAATTTCATTAAGTACAGTTAAATCCATAATATTCATTAAATACAGATTATTAATAATTGAAATGATTACATATATTCAAAATTAAGTTATGAACAATTTATTGATATCCTCCATCATTCAATTCATATTAATCAAAATCTTAATCATAAATAATCTTCGTTTGTTCTGCTGAAAATGATATCATTTAGAATCAATTTATTATCTCTTAATATATAAAATTAATTTTAAATGTTATTTCATGTAAATAGATCCATATAATTATTCCTAATCCTATTAATATATCATGAAAAGATCAATAAAAATTGATTAACTTTTATTAGAATTGTAAAATTAGAAATATAAGATATATTATATTTATTCCATAAATCTAAGAAGAATGCTTTATCAATTATAATATGAGTGTTATTCTTAAATTAAAATTAAAAACAAGAGAGTAATTAGATACAATTTTGATATTAATAAAGTCATATTATAAAATATCACAATTTATCTGTAATTTCTATAGTGTCAAACACAAATGTATGGACTTTATAAATACAGACAGGAGTTAGAATGAAACTAAATAAAAATCCTAAGCTTTCCATAATTGAGAGGAATACTAATCCTCCTTCACCTTGATCTCCAAAATATGCTGCTCTTACAAATCCATTCCAACCTAAAGCGTCTATGATACTCACAATTAACCATAAAATACCAGCTACCAACTTAATTTATTTTAATAGATTACATGTAAAATCTTGTACCATTTTAGCAAGGATTAATCAGCACATAGTCCCTTGTATCCTCTATAAAATATGTACATTTGGATTCCGTTAAATATGAAGATGTTAAGGAATCCATATAATATTCTGATTTTAGGATATCCTACTCCAGCTTAAATAAAGCTATCCAATAAATTTAAACAAGTTGTGCCAAATATTAATAGATAGGAAATATAAAGAAGACGTACTAATGACTTATACGGATCTTGTAATTCACTTAAATCGAAATGAAAGATCTTAATAATAGGAGGCCAGTTAAAGTCTGTCCAATTGATGTCAGGTTGGTTGGACTTTTTGCCTATAATTGCTGCCTAATATTTTTACATTTGATAATAATTAGTTTTATATTAATACTTTATTATTATGTGATAGTTGCATCCTACACTAATTATATTATAATTTTTCTATAAATGTAATAATAAAAAGTAATCTTTGAATAGCCATGTCCAAAATAAGTTATTGAGTAAATATATACTTTTCAAATAGTGTGTCAATTTATGAAAGTGATAGTAAAAGCTACTGGAGGAAAATAAGAAATGTTTGTCATTCAATACGATTATTCTAAATGCCTCTTATCAAATCTATTTAATCACCTGTATATATTTAAATCAAAATAAAAGGATGAAGTGACTTTTAATTAGAAACAAACTAAATTCCGTTCATGTACTAATATAGGTTCTTTAAACAAGGAGGAACATATTGCTAAAAAAAGAGCAAATGATGATTTAAGTGATGCATTGAAAGCTATAAAGAGAGAAAGAGAACTATTTTACTATATAGAGAAAGGTACATCAATTGAATTAATTGAAAAAATTCTAATGAATGATCCAAATAGGTATTTTATAATTTTATAATGATAGATTCCTTTATGAATAAAAAAGCCCTATGAGAATTGTAAACAAAAAGAATTCTTAAGGATTCACTCCATTATATATAGCAGCAAAGAATGGATTTGAAGATGTTTGTAACATTTTAATTTAATATGGTGCTGATTAAAATATTTCAGTATAAGTAAATTATAATTAAAACTATATTTAGATAAATTAAATTGATGATTACCCATTGGTAGTTGCACTTCGATGGAGACATTTTGAAGTTATCGAACTTCTATTGGCCAATAATCCAAATGAAAAAGTGAGAATATTATTTTAATAATCAATCGACAAGAGTCTAAGACAAAAATATTCTTAATATATTTGAAAATGTATTCATATGGTTACTTATTTTCTATATGTATGTATTATTTAAATTAATATAATTATACTCTTCTCATTCATTTAATTAAAAAAACTAATGAAATCCATTTTAATTGTATTTATCACATTTACTATCATAAATTCAACACCATTAACATGCACAGAAGCTTTGACTATTACAGAGTGTAAAGATATAATTAATGGAATGTAATATTCATATATTTATATTAGTTATGAATGTATATGGTATGAGAATACATGTTAATTGAAAACCTGTTAAAATTCTTAAATTCCTTGTGATGGATAAGTTTATAATGGTGAACTCTGTACTACTAATAGATAAGGATGTTAATCAGTAAAAAATTGCTCAGATATTGACAATTAATAATCATGCTCTTCACTTAAACCATATGGAATAGAATGTTATTGGTAAGATTCATGTATAGTTAAGAATTGTTCTCACAATTCTAAATCAAATTGCAAATTAACTAATGGAGAATAATGCATTTATTAAAATCAAAATTGTTCATCAATTAATAAATGCACTGATATTATTGAAAAATCAAGTTGTTTGGCTTCTTAAATTCTCAAATTAAATTGTATATGGATAGATGATCAATGTCTTACAGATTCTTGCAAAGCCATCTAATCTAAAGTATTTATTAAATATTATAAAATTAGGAAAATTGTTTTAAAAGTATTAGAAATTCAGAAAAATGTTTTTTCACTCAAAATAGAGATGAAGATAATTATTGTTTGAGTTGTTCATAATTGAATGAATAATGCAAATGTAATCAATATAGTATTTTTGGTTGTCAATGGTAAAATAATTCATGTCAAGAACTTTCATTAAAACTTTCATGTAATGCTTATTAGAATGAAATATAATGTGTGGATGATAAATAATGTGTTTGGTATAAACCAATGAATAAGTGTTTAACTAATTAAGAAGCATCAGAAAATGATAGAGCATGCGATATTTATATATATGGTTCCATTTTACATATTTGGACACTAATTATTCTAATAATTTTTTGGTGAATTTATCATATATTATTTATATTAAAAATTATTTTATTTATATGCTTGTTTTCAGGAGTATTTTCAAATATAAATAATAAATATACGAAGCCCCTAAAAGATTTAGTAAACATGAAATACAAATTAATGCTCAAAAACAAAAAGCTAGATTGATGTCAGAAAAACTATTATAATAAACCTCTAATATTGAAAGTAATACTCCCAGAATTGTTTCAATTTTATTTGGGGTCATGACTGTACCTACATTTTATTATTTTTACAATGCTCTCAGTATTAAATTCGAAGACATTTCCTATTTTTACAATGTTAGATTATGTATCGATTGGTTAAATTTGAAATATGGCTTATTATGTGGCTCTTTAATTGGTTTAAACATGATGAGATTTGATGATTTTAAAGCTAAAAATAAATTAAGATCAAAAGTACCAATCAATTATACATATTATTCTCTCCCAATCCTTTTGGGTTTGTGTTCATATTCATGTATTGAAACTCTATCATAATGGTGGGTAGTACCTACTTTCATAAATATCATTTCAACAATGATAGCATATTCACACTCAACTAATATGGGAACTGCTCCTTTTTGGACATTTGCTATAGTATATTAAATATTAGTTTTGGATTTAATATCTACAGGAAGTCTATTTTGGTCATAAAGGAATTTAAATTAGCATAGGGAAAAAAGAAAAGAGTTGTATTCTAAATATTGAAAGAACAAAATATAAATATAATAATTAACATGAATCATTCTTTTTAAATTGTCCCTTCAGATACTTTTTTGAATATTCTCAATCAAAATAATATTTCTGTTGTTGATATTGATGATGACTATAGAGTAGAGTAAGAATGGATGTTTGAAAATGAGAACAATTTTCCAGAATCAAAAATTGAAGCATAACAACCTATAGTTTATGAAAGATCTTAAGCCCTTGTAGGGAATCAACTATTGTAAAAGTTTAAGAAAACAAAAGAAGAGGATCTGTTGAAACAAAATAAAGAAATTTTTTAGGCTAATCAATCCAAAAGCCTTTATCTTAATAAAATATAGTAATTAATTGATAGTCCTGCTGTTGTAAGCAAGCCAAAGCAAACGTATAATTGCTTTATCCACTTAGACGTCAGAAAGTAATTGTGGAAAGCGACTCTTCAGATGGAAAGGGTAGATTAATGAAAAATAGAGAATCAGCTAGGAATTCTAGAAAAAGAAAGAAAATATATGTGGAATTATTGGAAAATAAAGTAAAAGAGTTGACAGATTAAATTAAATAGTATGAATACAATTTGTAATAATACAAAATATAAAATCTATAAGTAAATCTTTGTAAAATATATTATGCAGCTATAAAGTTTTAGAGAAGATTATCATAAATAATTAAATTAATTGAATGGATTATAAAGTATTTAAGTATTACAAGAATAATATGGTGCTTCTTCATAAAGTCGTTGGAGTGTATGTACTGAATTAATTAATTTATTAATTGAGTCTACGATTCCAATAGAAATTAAAAAGCTTATGGAATCAGCAAAAAATGGAACTGATATGTTTATAAGACCACTTTTGAATCATAATTCATGTTTATAATACAAAGAGTATTTTTAATAAGGAATTGTTGATTTAGAGATGTAAGCAATTATTTAAATTGAGAGCAACAAAGAATTTTGGATTGTCATATGATAAAATAAGAGAATAAGTGTTCTATTTAGAGAGATTAAAATTGGAAGTGATAGAAACAATTGGAGCTAATTAATACATTGAATACTTAAATTAATAATTTAATTGATAATTCAATTGAAATTTAAATTAAATAATAAAATATTTTATAAAATCTAAATGTAAAAAATCAACAAATATGAATATTCTCCATAGCTAATTGTTCTTCAGTTTAAATTTATAATTTACTAATATCAATTTTCACTAAAATATTATTGAAATAGGATTTACATTTTATTGCAATTTCTTAGCATAAAGTAAGTTTAGTAAAGAATTTTGTTTCAAATATTCTTTAAACTTATAATTCTAATGAAAAATTATTAGGAATTAAATAGGATTTCATTTTAGAAATGTATTATTTTAAATTTTATGTATCATCATTTTCGATTGTAAGTTATTCAATATCATACATAAGATGTTATTTGTATAACATACAATTAAAGAAGTTTATCAAATAATTAATGTAATTAGGAATATTTAATTTGATACAATTTGTAGCTTTGATAATCATAATGTTAATTATCTCTATAATTAAATTTGTATATTACTATTATTGATAGGTAATTTTTTTTAGATTTCTATTAATAGTTGTTTTACATCATATTAATTTAGATCAAGGATAGATAATCCACAAATTAATTCACTATAAGTTCTTCCCTCATCATATATTCTATTTAAATTATAATTATTACACTTCTTATAGAATGTTAGTGTAATATTAAATAATCTATTCTTAATATTATCCCTATTTAAAATTATTAAAAAGCAAACATAATAAGGTTAATTACTGATTCTTATATAATTATTTAGTATGCTTAGAAATAAATTAGAATGTTAAATTATAATCAGCAATATCATGTAATAAAATATAATAATAAAGTTAAATTATTTGATTAAATTAATCTGGTTCATCTGTAAGAGACACTAAAAAGAATGTTTAGATTTATTAAAAGTCTGCTAAAATTAAATCAGATTTAATTGGTAGAATTGCTGTATATTTTTTTAAAAGTAAACAAAGAACAGATAAACCTTTAGTAAAATGTGTATTCTAAATTAAACAATCTTTAACTATTCTAATTATACCAATAAATATAATATTTAGAAGATTTAATGACCAAATTTCGATAATGAACTCAAAAACATTTAATATCATTCCTAAAATTAAATTTATATATACTTTATCTATATTTATATTGATGTTATTCTTATAATCCTATTTTCCATTCATTTTCAATTAATGAAATAACAGAATAATCTCCTTATTCTAATTATACTATTTCACAAAGAGTCATCAAAATATTTTCTTTATGTATAAGTTTTTATTAGACTAGAAATATATCTTTGAGATCAGTATATGTTTAATGTGTAATTAAATTTTTGGATGGATACAAAGAATGTAAATAAATAAGATTATTTACAATTTTACAAATGTACATAGGATATTGAATTAAATTTGGATTCAATTATTATTATAAAGTATTAATAAAAAAATTAATTTATTTTTCTTAAATGACATTTTTCTATAATAATTTTCTTAATAAATTAAGTATTTGCATTTTTAAAGGTATGTAAATATTATTTGAAGTTTAGATTATAGTTATTATTTCTTAAAAGAATTTCTCATCAAATAAATTCATAGGAATTGAAGAAATATTCTCACATATTACAAAATAATGTGCTTCTAATTTTATGCAATTAAATTCTTCATGTTAATAATCATCATTAATTAAATCTTTTAAACGAAATAGTTATTTAATCATAATATCTTCTGAAATAAATCCAGTCATATGATGAATAAAATGAGCACCAAATCTCCTTATTTTTATTAATAGATAATCTTATTTACTGTCATCTCCAATATTATTAAATTGATTTTCATATTAATCATAATCTAACATAATTAAATTAATCATTGTAAAAAATATAATTGATTCTTATTTCCAATCTTCAATTTTTCTATCAGATAATAATTATTTAAAAACTTTCAATATTTTATATGCTAAATATTTATCAGTTATTCTTTGGTTTTCATTTTACATATAAGTTGACATCAATATATCAAATAACATTGTTTGAATTTCTTATGGAGGTAATCCATTTTTATTTAATTTATTGATAACTTTAGCAAACTTTTTCAATAGATTATATTCAAGACAATGATAAGTCAAGATTTCACAAAATTAATGATTTATTGTACTCTTAATAGTTTCATCAAATTTATATATTGATTATATTAATGATGTGTACAAATCAACAAGAAGATTCAATTTTTGTATATCTATTAAATTATAATAAACTATCATTCTTTTAGTAATTGTTTAATATTCTGTATGTTTTACTTTAACTTTTATGTAAGGATTGTTCATCATTTCTGTAATTATTTTAATATGATAACTATCATATGTAGGTTGATTTATTATTGATTAAATGATATCTAATGAAGGTAAGGATTTTACAATAATAAAATTTAATAAATCGCAATAAAATGCAATAAAAAAAGAATCAAATTTATTTATGAATTCTAAGATAATACTCTAAATTTCTTTTTGAATATAATTAGGAGAGTATTCATAATTCTTCATAATGAAATTCTTCAGAAATATAAAATATTATAATTTTAGATTTTGATTGCTATATGGTAGAAGTAATTACTCAAAACCTTATTTAATATTTCCAACATCTTTAAATATTCTATTGAGTTCAATTTCAGATTGAGTGCGAATAGATTCATTCTGATCAAATAATTATTGAATAAGGACTAATATTTATTCCATTTAATTAATTAATGGAATAAAATACTAAGACTAATTAAGAATATGTAATACTATATTGATTATATAAGTTTAAAAAACTAAAGCTTATACAGAAGAAGATGAATGATGTGAAAGCTGATCAGAGTCCTACTGTGATTAAATATATGGTGAGAAGAAAAAGTGCTGAAGAAATTCAATTACCTTTGCATGATGTTGAATATAATAATCAACCATAAAAGAAATAGTTATTTTTCTTTAAGAACTTCTAAAAAGTGACAATAGATCCTCATATAAAATTGGATGAAATTAATGAAGAAAAATGGACAATTATGACTAATAATTATAAATCACTCATAGAGAAATCTCGTTAAAGTCTAATGAAACATAATGAAAGTGGTGAGACTTAATTCCATAATAAGGAACCACGTAAAATGTAATTCATTACAAGAAGATAGTCTATTGAATATCGATTACGTGAAATTGTTACTGTCCCTAGCAATCATACCTCAGTCTCACCTTTGAAATTAAATACTCAATCAAATATCTAAAACTCAATTGATCCTACATATGCTCGATTCAAAAAATATTATTAAAGAATAGGTATTCCCTCTGAAAGCCCTGTTAAATTGAGACTATAGAAAACAATGTCTACTACTATATCATAATAATAAAAGAAAGACAAGAGTTCACATTTAAATAATTCCCTTAATCATTCTCCTTCTTTACCTCTTTCAAAAGTAACTAATATCAAAAAAACAAATAATCATATTTAATACCTTAAAGAAATTAATGAGATATGTTCTATAGCATCTAATTATCATGCATAAGTTAAATAAGATGAAAAAAATCAAATTTAACATACAAGTTAATAGATTGGATATATTTAAGCTGAATTCAATAAATTTCATAATATGTTGACATCTGATTTAGAAACTGTCAATTTCATTGATGATAAAAAGTGATTATTTTATATAATGAATAAATTACTATATTAATTTTAGACTATTGGATTTGCATGTGATAAAGAATACCATAAGGGAATGAAAGAAGTTAAAAGACGATTTGAAGAAATTAATCAATTTAAAAGAAAGGCATTAAAGGATTTCAATAATGTTGATAATGTAATAAATTCCATTAGTGATATCATTGAAAAAAGGAAAAGAGAACCTCTCAGTAAATCTATTGATTGCTCTTCTTTTTCAAATAATAAATAATAAAGATTATAATCATGTCTCAATAAAATGGGTTAAATAGATTATGATTAATAACAACTAGATAAGGAATCTGGAATTAGAACTGCTAGTATTTTTTCTGATAGAATTGCTGCCATACTACCATAAAAGGAATTAGTAGATAAAGAATTGAACTAAGAATTAGCTATTAATTGTCATTTACATGATACTTCTAAATTCGGATAAATTATGGAATAAGCTTTACTTTTACATTCATTTCATAAAGATTGTAGTGAAAAGCTTAATTAAAATTTAAGTTTATTAGATCCAAATAATTTTAAAACTAGAAGGGAAAGGGCTAAGTTTTAATAAAGGAATGAAATGAATTAAAAGAGTGTGTAAGCTTAAGAATATTATATGAAAAAATTTCAATTAGAACATATGAGATTAAAAGATAAATTAATTGATTCAGATTAAAAAACTCTTATTGATCATAAATATTGTTAAGATAGAAATAAGGGATTAAAGAGTGCCAAAAATAGGAAAAGAATTTAATAAGTAACAGAAAAAATTAATACAAATAAAATACTTGTTATCTAAAATTTATTTAAATCAGGACATGATTAAAAATCTCAAAAAGCAGATGAAGTACTTAGGTTTTTAGAATTATATTCAAAAGTTGATAGAGAAAATAATTAAATATTTAGTTAAATTATCAACATAAATGGTTAATTTTCAATGAAAATTGAATCATATTTAAGAAAGATATTCTTTAAATTCTCTAAAAAAGAATGTGATGATTTAAATGAACTTTACAAGTATATTAATTTATAAGGTTATCTTGAATGTTTTCATTTATCCCATTTAGACATTGAAGATAAGGAATTAATTACTGTTTATTAGAATAATGTTAAAATATAGAATTTAGATTAAGATCGAGGATTGAATTTTAATTTTTTCAGAGATTCTCTTATTGATATTGCAAATTGTATTTCTTTGTTACCAAATAAAGAAGAAAAATTACTTAGGTAATTAATTAATTATAAAAGTAGATTAGTAGAAGAATATCTATTAGAAATTTATGATTAAGTACTTGATTTAAATGAAATTAGAATACTTACAATTAAATCATATTAAGAATTTAATAATTTATTTTTTCCACTCATACAAAAATTATTTCTATTGTATGGTTAATAAATAAAAAATTACAATTTCAATGATTAAAGACTTAATTTAGACAAGATTATATTAGTGTTAATGTAAATTAAAGTGTTTCCACAAAAATTTAGTAAATAATTTATAAGACATCATTATTGTTATAGTGCTGAATAAGATGAAGGGTTAGATCTGAGTCAATTTTAACATTTCCTTAATTTAATGGCTTTGAGTCAAAACAAACGTATTTCTATAAGTAGAGAACTCAATAATATCATTCAATATAATTTATATAAATTATAATCAAAATTTGAAGATATAACTGAATACGAATAAAAGATATTTAGGAAAATAATGATATTTTATTTTCATAGTGAATTCTTAAATTTATAAAATGTTGAATAAGATTGAATTTATTTTAAACATTCTCTTAAATTAATAAGATATAAATATCAATTAAAATCATTATATCACATTATTAGATAGATCTTCTAACATATTTGATCATATAATGATATTCAAGAATTTTAAATATGTATTTATATAATTCATAAGGAATTTGATTAGAATTCAAAGCAGTTTTAAAATTAATAAATAAAATTATTGAATACCAATCATGGCTACCCTCAATGTGCATATCAACTTAAATCAATACCAGCTAATCTTACAGTAGGAGAAAGCCAAAAATACTTATTAACTATAAAAAAAAGAGTTTCCTCATGGCCCCATAAACTTTTATGAATAAAGGTTCAACTCAGTCAATTTCTCAAATACAAAAATAAATGAGGTGATTGGATGGATCCTCATTATAGCTGTCATCCTCCTAATGCTCGTGATGGCTATATCTCTTATTCAAGATTCTGTGGTAGGCTTTGCCATACCATTGTTATCAGTTGTTACATTCTTCATAGTATATCTGAATTGGGTGTCTATGAAGTTTTTTGTAAACTCATGAATTTGAACATTCTATTTTGTATTGATTCAAAAAGCTAACTGTCTATTATATATAATATCAGTGGATAGATGTTAATTATTTATTAACATTATTGATTCAAATCAAATCTTGGAAATTCCTTCCTTCCTATAAACCTATAATTAAATATATTATAATAATACTTTAATAATACATGTTAAATTCTGTTAATCCAATATCTAAAAAATTACTAAGGTTATTTGATATATGCATTAAATATCCAATCAAATGATTTTATTAAAGTATAATTATTCTTAAGTGAAATGAATATCAAATGGAATATAATATGATTTATTCCATAAATTAATAAAGGTATTTAAATTTCATATGATCATTAGGATTTTTCAATAATAAAATAAAATTAAACAAAGATGATGGGAGGTTGGGCAGTAGTAGAAGTGGAAGAAAGACACCACTAAGTCTTAGCAGTTGTTCATCATGGTATCAATCAACATTTGGGATCCAACCATTAAACCTTCACAATCATTGAAGTACGTCATTAAGTTGTTGCTGGAACAAACTATTAATTCATTGTTCAAACTGAAGATCACAAGAAAATTTAAGTGAAAGTCTTTGAACCATTACCTCATACAAATTAACCAGCTCATGTGACAGCTGCTGTATATTTGTGATTCCATAAATAAATATATACATTCATTGATATTCATATATATTCAATCTTAAGTATTAGTCTTCTCAAAGATTATTTACTAAACTCTTTAAATTTAATTAAAGTCTTCTGAGGCGACAAGAAGTCAATTAAATATTAAGATATTCTTAAATGGCTAATAGTGATTTATAAAATTTTATTAAGAATTTTTAATATCTACAATTCATACGACATCTTGTCCATTAAATCATTTGTCCACAGATTTTATGACTCTTTTGATTATAATCACTAAATTCATTTATTGTGAATTAAAAACACTGCTGTATCTTTTGGGCGTTTCATTCTCATATCATAGTAAAATAATTGCAATAATTCATTAATCAATTAATGAAATTCGATGAACAATTGCAGCTTCAAAGGAATTACCTACTACTCTAATTATCTTATTAAAATTAACATTATTAATATACATAATCTAATTGTAACTAAAATTTATTGATTCTGTCATTTAATTATTGATATTTAATATATACATTTTGTTTAAAATCTATCACCAAAATGAATTCTCTAAAAAGATTTATCATATTTTATATTAATGAATCTCTTTCTCATTTAAATTTATATTTACTATTGAATATACAATTAGATCTATTGTATTTTAATATATCATAGTATAATTCAATATATTATACATTAATTCATATCCATTATTTGCCCATTCCTTATAATATAAATAAATTCCTAATCATCTGAAAATAAAATCGTTTGCAATTTTGGTGAATCGACTTCTATATCCTCCACTCTTACTTTGTTAAAGAATCCCAACATCCAATAAATAAACATCATAAGTAATCTTTGATCCATTATATACTAAAAGTCATTATATACTCTATATTTCTATAAGCATTGATTGATCTAAATTTAGATATTTATAGAGTTATATGAAAACTGAATATTAATTCTTTATTTTCATTACTTTAAATCACACCTTATACTCACCTATTAGTATAGGATATTTATATTTTGGCAGTATAATTGCTAAACTAACACATCCAATTTAAAAATATTAAGTCTAAAAAAAACTATAATGGTGTATGAAAGTAATATTATGATTTTATTAATGTGATGCAAGCAAGTATAGTTAATATTGATAATATATATCTTTATTCATAGATATATTGTAATTTCTCATTTTTTTGTATTTAATCATAAATAGGATTATGATAAGATCATTTATGATTTCTCAAGAAAATCAATTTAGTGATTATCAATAAAAATAAGTAGCATATCATTTATGAAACTACTTAATATTAATTCAATGTGAATTCAAATAGTTGGAATTGATTGATATGGATATTTAATAATTCTTTGTTCTTATAATATTGAATTATAATTTATATTACATAAATTTTATTTATCTGTCCATTTGTATGTTTATTCATATTATGTACTCTTGATTTGAATTCATTTTGATTTATTAATAAATGAATTCAATTCCTAAATAAATTAAGAATATCCTAAGAGTAGAAATTATACTCATTTCTGTCTTGATTATGTTGAACATCACTTTATATTTCTTAAATATAGCTGAGAACAAATTAAAAACTTGTTAATTGTCATTCAATGCTATAGAACGATGTTATAATTTAGATCAATAATTGATATACAAACAAAGAATGACTAAGAATTAATGTGATTATTGCACTGTGTTATTATGGTTAATGCCATCTAATATTGTAATGTTATTTATGATGACTCTGATAATAATTAATAAAGGTAGATATTACATTAAAAATTTTATGAATAAATTACATTTAGTGGAAATAATCTATTTTGGCTTGTAATTTGTATATAATCTTTTTATACTATTCTATATTTTTAAAATGCCAATAAATTAAAATTATAGAACTAAATTATCACCCTTAATAATCTTATTTATTGAATCATTAATCAATTGTTTCATTTGTATATTAATAAGAATAGATTAAATCTATACAATTAATTATTTACGTGAAACAAATAAGAAAGAAACCCAAATGTAAATTTAGCTATTAGTGTGATAATATATAAAAGTATTAATATATATAAATTACTTTATTAAATATTTACAATATATTAATAATAATTTTGAAAAAGAACAAGAGAATGAAGAATTGGAAATTCGTTTTTTTATAAGAAAATATTAAATTATATTAATGAAATATTTGTTAATTCCTGCTACAATTTATTTTTTAGTCACAGGATGGTACTTGTTTATTGAAGCTAAATTACCCTATTATCCTTTTTAGCATCTGCTTGAATTCACTCCAAATGTATAATCAATAAATCTATTAATTAAGCATGCTATTTAAGCATTATTCACAGTTGCATTAGGCTTATGTATTGTCATTGATAATAAAAAACTACTTATGACTTTCTTATTTATAGGTGTAGCAGATCTCTCATTAATTGTTAGACACTGTTTTAAATTGGAAATGCAGGAACTTAGTGAAGCATTATAGCAGTATATTAATATCTTTAATATTTCAAAGTGTTGGATATAAGACAATAATATTAGGAATGATAATTGAAGCTATGAGAAATCAGATTATTTATGAATAGCCAGAAAAAAAATAAAAGAAGAAGAAGAAAGTGAAGAAGATGGTTGAAGTAGAAGTAGAAGAAGAAGTTGATGAAGATGAAGATGTAGTACCTGTAACTTAAAAACTTAATCCTAAATAATAAGAAGAAGCTAAAACATCATCTTCAAAAAAGAAAGAAAAAAAAGACAAGAAATGATTTATATTAAAATGCAAAAAATGTGTGGATAGATTTCATATTTTTGCTTATTTTTGTTTAGTTTAAAAATGATTGGATACAGTGAATTCTCTCTTCATTTAATTTAATTATGGAATATCTTCATCACTACTTTCATTTTCATTATGTTTTTTCTTAAATATTTAGAAAACATCTTTAGTCATCTAAATTATTTTATCTTTATAATTAATGCAATTTGCTGTTGAATCTACTGATGTTAATCCAACAACATTAACACTAGATCTTCTCAAAAAAGATTAGGGTCTTAATTTTGAATCTTATATTGAAAATTCAAATAAATCTTTTCTCTCAGATACAGATTCCTATAACTTTTTATTGCTCAAACTTTTATTGAAAATATCAACATAATCCTTATTCTATATATAGAATTATTTATAAATATTATATTTTTTATTGATACTCTACCATTTCTCTTCATAATTTTAATTTGCTCTAATTAAAGTAGCATTAATTGATAATGTTTCATTATAATTTCTTTGTAAATCTTCATATTAAATCTTCAATTAATCATACAATATTTTAGAAGCATCATAATTATTTTTCAAATATTTATATTCTGTTATCCATTTAGATAATTCTTCTTAATGATTTAAATCTTGAATCTTTTATTATTTCATAGTAATTTATTATAAAGTATATGCTTATATTTATTGGGCTCTCTTCAAATCTAATTTTGGCATATTGTGCTAAGTGAAAATGGTCTCTCGATATTGATTAATTAATACGTTTATTCTAGCAAAAGTGAATTCTATCTTCCATTGGTGATGTGCAATCCTTATCTGATTCATCATCATCAATCTAAATCATTTTCTTTTACACTTCAATTAATTAAGAGATATATTTATCTACATTTTTTACTCCTTAATTTGGTTACATCTTTAATCTACATATTTCATTTGAGAGAGCCTAAAATTTATTATATTTCTGTTTTACAAAGTTTAACTAAATTAAATCATATTTTGACTCTTTTAATTTGCTTATTTTCATATGAGATAAAGCCAATTGAACCTTATAACTCTCTATCTCCTATTATAATCTCAATGTAGCTTCATTTACATTCACTATCTAAAGAATATATAATATTGATACTTATTTATACTTTATTAAATATCCTTGATTTTGAGGATCATTTTCATAAAGGTTTAAATTATATTATGATTATTCATAGTATTTTATTTGATCTTACAGTTGTTTAATTCTTTGTTCTGATTCTTAGAGAATGAAATCATTTTCTTATTGTGTTGCTTAAAGTATTTATTCTAGAATTAGAACCTGAATTTAAATATCATAATACTTTTGATACAGCTTCATTTCTCTCGTTAAGTAATTTTGTTATTTATTATTTCAAAAGTTCTTATTCTGATTGCATAACACTCAATAGCATTTTCATATCAGTTCGTCCATTAATTAGACTTTAATACTATTAGTTGATGTTAATTTATTCATCCAATCTTTAACTAAGATTTGAGATTTCCTAACTTAAATAATCTATTTTCAATTTTGAAGAATCACATTGATCCATTTTATGATATATATATATATATATATTAAATTTAATAATCTAATCATTCCAATAAAAATTGTATTCTTCAATTAAATAATTTAAAAATCATATACTAAGTAACAATCTATTATCAGATATTATTTTAATTAGTTTTATATACATTATATATATTATTAATATAACACAATTCATTTAGATTTCTTTAAATAGAATACCCATATATAATTTAATTAGATTTATAAAATTAGCCTAAATTTTATTTTTATAATATTAAATTTACTCAATTTATATCAGAGAAGCAACTAAATGTCTAAATCAATGAGAATAATAGCATATAGAAATTTTTTATTAGATAAAAGAAAATTCCAATCATTTTTATTTCATTGCAAAAATTTAATCTTAACTTATAATGAAGAAAGAAATTAAATATTAATTGTTATTTATAAATTGAATTCAATTCTATCAATTTTTTTCTGTTTAAGTTAAATTAATTGATATATATATACATTAATAGATAATAAAAAACAATAAAGATTTATTTAATGAAATAGGATAGTTAAAATTATATTAAAAATAACATTAGAAATATCATATCTTAGGTAATAAAATTTATCATATAATGGATAAAAGTGAAAAAATTAGATCTAGAGAATTACATAAAATTAATAATGATTATTTGTTTATTAGAATTAAATATCTTAGATAACATAAATTAAAAAAAATTTGATAAAAAAGTAATTACTATAATCATAGATATTTATATGATAGATTTTAATATTTGAAATCTAAAATATAATTAAGATTAATCTAATCAAATTCATATGTAAATTGAAATAATGTATGTTCAAACGATTAGTATTTTATGAATCTATTCAATTATATTCATTAATTATTTATTAGACATTTTCACATATTAAGTTTATTTTAATTTTGTTCAAGATTTGAATCAAGAAGAGATTGTTTTTGATTAGTTTTGATATAGAAAGGAGAATTAGGATATGAATATAATATAGTAATTATTATAATATATTTGTATATAAAATGTCGTAACTTCTAATGGTGTGGTTAAATGATGAAGTGCAGTTGAGTAAGAAGGTGACATCATTTGAGAAAGATTTTAATAATGGATATCTCTTTGGTGAATTATTGAGTAAGTTCAATTAACAACTGAATTTTGAAGAATTCTCTAATAAGTGATTATTGTTTTCTATATTTAGAGATATAAGAGAAGCCAAGATGAAGAATTTTACTTTGTTGGAACCAACATTTAAAACTTTGCATATTCCATTCAATTTTCAAATTGCTGATCAAGTAATTAAAGGTAAAAAAGGAGTTGCTATGTAATTACTTTATCAATTACAGATGGTATTTAGTGTATTCATAATCATAGTAATTGTAAAAAGTAAATGATCCTCATGATGTTATGATGCATGCAAAAACTGGTAAATATAATGTAATATAACCATTGATGGTTATCAGATAACCAAAAGAATAATTTGATAAAATGGAATAAGAGTTTTTTGTATCTAAACTTAATGAGAAAAATAAAGCATAGAAGGATGTTAATTTAGATAAACATTTAGGAAAATTTACATCTTTTGCAATTTAATAAGCAGAAAAAGAACGTAGATTGAAAATAAAAGAAGAAACAGAGGAAAGAAATCTAAAAGAAGAAATGCGTAAAATTTAGTTGAATAAGTTATAAAGAAATATGGCATTTATGGAGGATTGGAATTAAAAAGGAATTGAAAATTGGAAGAAAAATTAATAAATTAGACATAAAAATAAAGTAGCTGATGAAAAATTCAAATCTACAATATAAAAGGTTACTGAAGAAAGATTGGTTTAAACATAATAAATGATGAGAAGTGAAATGGAAGATTAAATTGAATAATTTGATAATAGAACTACACAAGAACCAGTTTCTTTAGGTTTAAGAAATAAAATGATGAGTGAATTTTTGAGAAAGGAGAGAGATAAAAGAAGAAGAAAGATGATTGTAGATTAAGAAAAATAAACAGATGAATTATAAAGAAGAGAATATACTGTTTTAGAAAAACTTAAATAATAAAGTAAATAAGAAAAAGAAATTATGTATGAAATATGGAGAGCATATTAATGCAAAGAGGTTATATTTGAAAATAGATAATTAAGAGATGAAAATTATAGAAATAAATAAGAACTTAATGTTATTAATTAAAAATTCAAAGAAGAAGAAATGTTAAGAGCATTATAATAAGAATTTAATGAAGAAATTGAATTACAATAAAAAAGATAATTAGAAATTAATGTTGAATATAAATTAAAAATTAGATAAACTAATTATGAAAAATGTAAATAATTAGTTGAAATCCTTTTTGAAATTGAAGAATAACTCTATGAACATTTATAAAATAATGATTCTAATGAATTTAATAAATAATTTACAAGGGAAAATCATCATCTATTTAAATAAGGTATGGAACTAATTCCATATAAAAGATTTAGAACTTATGATCCTATAAAAGAGATGAAAAAATAAGAAAGTCTTAATTATAAACAAAAGATGTTCCTTGCTAAAATGGAAATGTAAGATTATTTAGATGGAAAAGGTGCTTGGGATATTTATTAAGCTTAAAATAATTATACTTTAGGAAATCTAGTTAGATATCTCATAGAAAGTTAATTCTAAAATAATACACTTCAAATATAAGAATAAACTGATATTCCTTATGTACCTTTTAGAGGAAGTTTAATTGGATTCTCATTTAGTGGCAAAAAAACAATAAGTGAATTATTAGCTAAGAAATATGGAATCCAATTATTATCAATTGATGTTATTATCAATGAATTATTAGAATATATTAAAAAATATGAATAAGGTGAAGAACATTCATAAATTTGGGATTAATAACAAATTGAATTAGGATAATAAATATCAGATTATCTTTGTTAAGGATTAGAAATACCTGAAGAACTTTATATCAAAGCAATTGTATAAAAAATTAAAAGATTATTTGATAAATAAGATTTTGAATAAATTTATGAAGAATATAAAGCAAAATATTAATCATTTAATCCTAGATAAAACAGAACTATAGACGAATTTAATGATGATGGAATAAATTGGGAAGATTTTCATAGAAATAATATGATTAATAATAAACCATATTGTAAAGGATGGTTATTAGTTGGATTTCCACATAATTATGATTAAGCAAAATTATTGGAAAAATATTTAACTGGTATTGAACCTTAAGATGAACTTACTCCATTATAAGCTAGATTATAAGAAGCTGCAAGAGTAGTAAAACCAATTGATTATTAAATTATACCAAGAAAGAAATAAGAAAGTGGAGTAGGAGTATGTGTATATTTAGAAATGCCATCAAATGAATAATGTTTGAGAAGAGCCATTGGAAGAAGATATGATAATCATAATCATTCATTATATCATTTAGATTCAAATACTCCTCCTGTTGATAATGCTCCATTAATTGAAAGAATTAAACCATTATATGAAGTAGACAATTTATAATAACTTATATCAGATAAAAATGCATATTTTATGACATAGATATAAGGAATTTAAAATTGGTATAGTAATTTTGAATCTGCTGATAATTCAAATAATTAAAGTGCATTTATAAGTGTAGATGCCTAGAATAATTATGAAAGAGTGTTTTATGATGTTGATAAAATATTTTAAAACTTTCTTTAAATACAAATTAATAAAATACAATAGAAATATGATAAATAATAAAATGATATATTGGAATAAGAGGAATTAATAAAATAATAATAAGAATAAGCTGAATTAGATAAAAAATGTTAATTTAAATAGGTTTAATTAGATACTATACCATAAAAATAACCAAGTTAATAATTTCTACAATATTTACATTCGTTTTGGAATCAAATAGAAAGTAAATATATTTCTCTCCAAAATATTTTCAAAGGATTTAGAGAATAAAGAGAATTTATAACAAATTATTTAATGGATATTTAAAGAAAGTTTATAGATTTAATTAATACTCCAGATGAGAAATTTTATCATGTTAGAAATTTCTAAGAATAATACAATTAATTTGTTTAAGAGAATCCAGATTTGTGTGAAGAGGATGTTTGTAAAGAGGAATTGCACTAAAGAGTAGATGATTTATATGACTAATTAATTGATATAATTGATTAAAAGAAAGATGATTTACAAGTAGAAAAATAATAAATATAAAACTCATAATTCATTGAAAATGAAATTGAACTCTTTTTATTATAAGTGAGACAATTATTAGCAATTGAATTAGATAGAGCATAAAATTCAATTTAATTACTCAATGATTACTATGGAACCTTAGAAGCAATAGAATTATAAGATATTTAACCTAGTGTTGGAGAATTATAATTATAAGATGGAGATGATCCTAATTTAAGATTAGATAAACTCATTGCTGATACTTTAAGAATATTTGCTGGAGAAGAAGAAATTATAGAAGATAAAACAAAAAAGGGAGGTAAACAACCTGCCAAAAAGGATGAAAAAAAAGGAAAGAAAGGAAAAGAAGAAGAAATTGTTAAAAAGGAACTTCAAAATCCAGATGCTATCAATACTATTAATCTAGAAAAATAAATTTTTAAGGATAGAGTAGATGCTATTAAAAGATATGCCTCTTAATAAATTAGAACATATAGATAGGCTGGTGATTAATTATATCTCAAAATAGATGAATGGATTTATTATACCCATCAAACAGAAATTAAAGCTTTAGATGCAATCTCTGGATTATTTAGAGGATATATTGAAAGAGTTGAAAGGATTTAAAAGGAACTTCAATTATAATTTGTTGATGTAATTATTAGTCATGAAGTCTTAAACTTTTTAACTCCAATACCTCCACCATTGACTGCTAGAGAACCATTATCAAAAGAAAGATATTCGATCTCATAACTCTATTATCTGATAGAAGACCTTAGAGCAATTACAAGCACTCACTTACTAATAGATATTAAATAATTAGCCTTACTTTTAGCTAGATCTTCTTATGGAGTCTTAAAATACTCACCCTCTCAATGGATGTAAGCATTATAAATTCTTGATTAAAATGGGTATTTTTTAAATTATATATTTAGTTATGTTAATGTAAGATAAATTTGTACATACTTAATTCTTCTTTCATCTCCTACTCCAAAGGAAGATGAACTATAATAATATTCCAGCAAATTGGGTTAATCTTTAGTAAATAAGGATACATTTGTTAATACTCCAGCTTGGTTTGATGAATACGAGAGGATTTCAGAAGAAGAAAGTATATATAATCATTATCAATCATCTTTTTAGATACTAATTACTTTGATCGTGTAATTTACATTAAGGAGTTGCTATTCTTTGTTCATAAAGACGAAAATGAAATGTTAGCTACTAAATAATACATTGATATCCTAAATGTTGAAGGAGATAGATTTGTAGATTATTTATTGCAAAATATGTAGCATTAATGATATTCTATTATATCATATTACATAAATTTATTTATTATTAATTTATTTTAATTGCAACTAAAAATGTAAATTTTGAATTATTCTGGAAAATTATCTAATTAAATTAAATAAATCAATATGTTTTATATTTATAGGGATAATATTGAGTAACCAAAAAAAATTTAAATTATTATAATTACTATTATTATCAAATCATGAATAGTGTTTAAATATTATTCTATCTGATTCTAATATATATATACATTAATTATTGAAAATATTAAATTATTTTTTAAACATACTTCAATATGAACTAAAACGAAGATGAAGATGAATTAGGATAATTTTAGTAATTAATTAAAAATAAACCTTAGATTTTAAGTTTATTATGGAGTAATTATTTCTTATTTTATACATTTTTCGATTTGCATTGCAATTATTATTATAGCTAGTTTGAGCCTTAAAGAAAATCAGGATTCAAATTAAATCGTATAATGGTGTACAATAGAATTAGCTTTAATTACATATCATCTCTTTTAGTAAATTTATGAGTTGAAAAATTAATTTTACTTCATTGATCTGGTATGTTCCAGCCCCTAATAATCCATAATTTTTGAGGAGAAGAAAGATTTTATTATAGTCCATTATTATACCAGATATTTATCTAGTAATATTTTCTTTTTTCTTAACAATCATTACATATATGGATTACTCTTTAGCACTAATTGGTTTTTTCGAGAATCATATAGAATAATACCAGGAACTGAAAAGTAGAGTACATGTTATGATGATTATGGGCCTTATGATTGCTATATATATGATATTGAAACAATAGCACCTTAATATCATGGTCCTTATTTAACTCAACTAGCCAATATGAATGTAACTTTATTTGCATTTTCTTGTCTGTACTTGTTCTACCGTATAAGCTTTTTTTTTTNATCAATCATCTTTTTAGATACTAATTACTTTGATCGTGTAATTTACATTAAGGAGTTGCTATTCTTTGTTCATAAAGACGAAAATGAAATGTTAGCTACTAAATAATACATTGATATCCTAAATGTTGAAGGAGATAGATTTGTAGATTATTTATTGCAAAATATGTAGCATTAATGATATTCTATTATATCATATTACATAAATTTATTTATTATTAATTTATTTTAATTGCAACTAAAAATGTAAATTTTGAATTATTCTGGAAAATTATCTAATTAAATTAAATAAATCAATATGTTTTATATTTATAGGGATAATATTGAGTAACCAAAAAAAATTTAAATTATTATAATTACTATTATTATCAAATCATGAATAGTGTTTAAATATTATTCTATCTGATTCTAATATATATATACATTAATTATTGAAAATATTAAATTATTTTTTAAACATACTTCAATATGAACTAAAACGAAGATGAAGATGAATTAGGATAATTTTAGTAATTAATTAAAAATAAACCTTAGATTTTAAGTTTATTATGGAGTAATTATTTCTTATTTTATACATTTTTCGATTTGCATTGCAATTATTATTATAGCTAGTTTGAGCCTTAAAGAAAATCAGGATTCAAATTAAATCGTATAATGGTGTACAATAGAATTAGCTTTAATTACATATCATCTCTTTTAGTAAATTTATGAGTTGAAAAATTAATTTTACTTCATTGATCTGGTATGTTCCAGCCCCTAATAATCCATAATTTTTGAGGAGAAGAAAGATTTTATTATAGTCCATTATTATACCAGATATTTATCTAGTAATATTTTCTTTTTTCTTAACAATCATTACATATATGGATTACTCTTTAGCACTAATTGGTTTTTTCGAGAATCATATAGAATAATACCAGGAACTGAAAAGTAGAGTACATGTTATGATGATTATGGGCCTTATGATTGCTATATATATGATATTGAAACAATAGCACCTTAATATCATGGTCCTTATTTAACTCAACTAGCCAATATGAATGTAACTTTATTTGCATTTTCTTGTCTGTACTTGTTCTACCGTATAAGCTTTTTTTTTTCAATTAATGAATAAAATGAAAAAATTTAAAGATGTCATTTTTAAATTAGTACTCATATATATATAAAAATAGATTAATAGTCAATCAAAAAGAAAAGCTAGATCGCTTGTATGATACTAATTATTTATTATATATGCAGAGCAACTCATAGTTTTATCATATACTTTCAAGTTTAAAATGAAACTTTACTTTACTCTATAGGAGCATACATCTTTTATTCATTAATGATGATAAGCGTTCTTGTTTCAATAATAATACTAATATAATTGAGTATAAATTATTTCTTATTTAGAATTTACCAAATAGAAAAATTATAATTATAACTTTGTTAGTGTTTTTACCTTAATAGATTAAATTATTTATTAAAATAAACCTCTAAATTATTATTTTTGGATTATGTTAATTGTATCATCTGCATTAACATGTTTTGGGATTAATAAATATAGAAAGGATGAAAATGTATAAGATATAGTTAATTATCAAAATTATGTTTTTGCAGATCTAATAGTTGCATAATTGGTATTAATTTTTTTTTTGTTGATTAAATATGCTCCAATTTTAATACGATCTTTCAAATTGTTGATATACATTTAAAACAATCAATCTAATATAAATTTTAGTTAAGTTGCCCAATAAAATAATGTTATTACTATTATATCACAAAAAGATTAAATAAATTAAAATTAAAAAAAATAAGTAAATGTAATTAAATAAAATAAAAAAAATAATGTAAATAATTGGGATCATCAATTCAAGCAATTTTAAAAATTCTTATAAAAGAAATCAATATTTTCAAAATCCTTCATTCAAATTAAAATATAGAATAAAAACTTAGATTAAAAAAATTCAAATCGTAAATTAAAAAATCTTATAAATATTGATTACACTATTTTTAATGCAAAAATAATAAAATTTTGGAAATAGAAAACAAAAATTCAAAAGGATCTTAAGAAAAGAAGAATAAATTTGATTTAAAGTATGAGGAAATCCAATAAAAAATAAGAAGATATTATAACTTATGAAAAATAAATATAATTTATTGATCAAAAGTATTTGGGAGAATGTACTATTTGTTTAGAATAATTTGAAATCATAAATAGAACCAAAAATATAATTAGATTAAATTGTTTTGGTCATCATATTTTCCATGCTGATTGTATCCAAAATTGGTTCTAAAATAATAAAAAAAAATGTCCAATATGTAATACCAATCAAATTAAAATCTCTTTTAATTGATTATTGTAACCATATTATTCTATTTATTAATATATTTCATTATAAATATCTCTCGAAAATTAGATCTAAAATCTAAAATAAATATATATATATATATTTTGTTATAAAAATATAATAATTCTTAATATCACTATTAATAAATTAGATTAAATTTTTTTATTAAATATAATCTCTTTCTGCCTTTGTTAATAACAAAACTAGTAAATTAAAATTTATTATGAATTTCCAATTTCTATAAGTAAAAGATAATTCATAGAAATAAATAATATGATAATAAACTCATAATTTTTATTCCTTTAACTCAACAAAATTAATTTATGCAATTTATGTGGGTTATTCATTATTCTCTGGAATCTAATTTTATGTGTTATTCCTCAAACAATTTTGAGATTATTAATAGATAACTCTTAATCTTTTAGCTGTTTTATTTTTTGCATAAAAATATAGGCCTGCATAAACCCCTATTATAGCACACCATATAGCTATAATTATTCCCAAAAAAGTATAACAATATTGATAAGTCTCACAATGCCAATCACCTTCATACCAAAAGCAACACTCTTCACAATAATACTCTGTTCCATATTATATAAAGTCTAAAATAATTGATAATTATCTTACAGCAATAGCTTCTTACAGCAACTAAAAATGAAAACAGCAGCAATGGTTTCATTAAGAATAAATTCTAAAATTATAAATACCTTAAAAAGATTGAATTGTGGAAATATAGAATTATATTAATAGTGTATTCATTTATTAATTAAAGATTTCTAAATTAATACAATTATATGATAATAATATATCTCGATTATAACTTAAGTAAATATACAATAAATAAAAGGCATCAAATTTATTAATTATAATAAACTGAATAATAATGGTTTATCTATTTATCTTCAGATAATTTAAATTTAGAATTATTAGTATGAGGTTCATGAGAATTTACATTGAATTATAAATCCTATACATATTTATTTAATAAATAAAAGTTGTATGTGTCTTTAAAAATAGATAATAAAAATAAATATTGCTTTAATGTTGATTACTATATATTAGTAGGATAGTTCTTTTAATTAAATGCTCAAAATTTTAATATTTTAAGATTTTTAATACAAATAAGAATTTGATACACAATAGATATCATTTTAGGTTAAAAACCTCATAATCTAACTAAGTATCTATTAGAAAATTTAATTAAAATTAATGTTATTATTATTATATTAAAAAATAAAATTAATTCAATTTTTATTTATACCAATTATTTTATTTAAATGTGCTTGTTTGTTTAAATTTATCTTTATTTCATTTTCTATATTTTCTTATTGAATTATGAGCTAACAACAATTATTCGCTTTAATAATTTATTAAATAACTAAACAAATAATCCCAGCAGCTGAAGATATATTATTAGCCTATTCAGCTGAAATCTCTAATATAGGTATAAGTTTTTTTAATTAAGACTAAGTTATTTTACGAATTGTAATTTATTCTAACTTATCAACTACATTAAAAGGCTTTGATAAGAATTCTCTTATTTGTTTCCAAATATTTTCTTAGATCTTAATTTGAAAATTTAATAATATCATTAAATATCCAAAGATCTTTTATATTATTTAAGGTGGATTATTATATGCTCTTACTTCTAACATAGATGCTTTATTGAGAGTACTAATTTATTATTTTATTTTTTATTCTATACTCTTAAATTCATATTCTTAATTTTAATAATTTTCATTACTTTTTACTTACTCATACAATTATTTTTCAAAATATTATATTTTTTAATTCATTGATTAAAGTTTTAATGTTGAAATATATTAAATTCTTTGATTCATAAAACTATTTACTAATCGCAATTACAAATATTATTCATATGTTAAAAATTCACTAATTTGATAGATAATCTCAGGTTAAAGTCTTTCAAATTTAGAAATTGAGTTCTTATAAAAATTATTAATACATGATTTTATTTTTGATTTACTTAATGAATAATACTATTAGTTTCTTTATGTTTAGGATTTGATTGAACTGTTTTAAGAAAAGTTTAGACTTAAAATTACTTTTTGTCTTTGCTATACATTTTTAAATAATAATATAATTATGTTTCATTATATTATCACTTGAATTATTATTTATTGAATATTCTCAAAAATAAGATGGAGCATATAATAATAAAGGCTGAAGGTTCTGAAAACTATGGTTCAATGGATATGTCACCTGAGTGCAGACCAAGACCTTTAAATGATAAAATTTCATTTGGAGAATATAGGATCATAGCGAAAACGATATTTTTGGGGCCTCATTGTAAAAATATGTTGGATTTTATATAAAAGGGCCTTTATTTGCTATTACGTTGATTGGATTCAATATATTTGCCTATATAATGATGAAACAATAAAAAGCTTTGGGTCATGATATAACCTTTGGAATAATTATAACAATAGCATAATCAATATTTTATATGGGTGTTGGATTGGCTAATCCTGGAATTTCAAATGATTCATCTTTGAATTAAAAATATCTTGGATAGTTGTACTCTTTATCAAATAGGACCTAATAAAGAAATGTATGGTATTGTGAAAAATGTTAAAAAATATAACCTCCTCGATCTGATCATTGTCCATTTTGTAAAGTCTGTATTACAAATTATGATCATCATTGTCCTTGGACAGGGAAATGCATTGGAGGTGAGAATCTATTTCATTTCTGGGCTTTTCTTATCTCAACAATTGTTTTCTTCACTTATTTTATAACAATATTGCTGAATCAAAGAGAGGAAGCCCAAAAATAATGAATTAGTTTATTATTAAAAATCAAAGACCTTTGATTTTTTAATTAGATTATTATTAACTCTAATAAAAATACCTATATTAACATGAATTTTATTTTAGCAATGATAACTGTATTAGCATCATGGTTTTTCTAATCATTTCTATTAGTGTTAGAAAGAACGTACCTTGAGCTATAAAAAAGAATAAATTTTCATTTTTTTTTATTTTATATCGTTATTCACTAATGAATATGATGAAATTAATTGTTATATTACTTTTATTATTCACTTAGTAATTAAATATGTATTTAGATTAAAGTAAATTACTAAATGTGATTTTTAGATTGAATCTAAATTTAGAATTTTTCTTCACTTTCAAAAATAATATTTGGAGTACCACAAAAATGTATTTAAAATATTGAAGAGAATTTAGAGTAAAAGAAATTAGTAATATTTTAGGAAATAATGGAATATTAATTTTTTAACAGGACTAAAATATTTTGGTTTATCTATATAAAATATAATGACTACATAATGTTATCTATAAATAGAAATGCTATTATGTATTTAATAGGATATTTGTCTAAATAAGAATACAATATTTAATTGTATTTTTATCTATATAAAACCATGATAAAAAAGTCCTGAATTACAAAAAGGATTTTTATTGATAATCTTTTTTAAAACTCAAGATTTAACTTCTTTGATAATTCTAATTAGAAAGTAGTTAAATTATGAGATAAAAATATCACTGTTGATATTATCTTTAGATAATACATGCTCAGTAACATATATGGATGTTAGAATTAATTATGAAGTTTTACAATATTAAATAAAGTAATTGATATTCTTTGAATGCAATACTTTAAAATGATTTGAAAAATATGAGTAAAAATTAATAGAGATTAGTGAAACATGGAGAAATGCATGAGTTTTACACTGAATAAAGTGGAAAGGAAGCAAAATTATTGATGTTAGTTTAATGTGTTATAATTATTATGAATTTTAAAATGTGTTATCAAATTATATATTCAACATAGGAATCCTAATGAAAATGGATTTTTCATTGAATTTGTGATTGATTTTAAGGGACTAATTGATATTCTACATTTGAAATTATATCATTCGAGGCTGTTGAAATAACTCTCAGCTTTGAAATCATACCTGATTGCAGTTCAGTATATGAGCACATCTTCGATCCTACCTAAATAATTTACTTCTTTTCCTCTCTTAGATGAAATATTATAGTTTTAGCAGTGGCATACTTGATTGAAAGTTTCTTAGCGGCCTATTAAATTCATTATGCAGTATCATACTTCTTTAATTTTAAACCCTTCCTTGAGTACAAGTCTAGACAATTAATCCTTAGAAACTGGAGGCACTTTTACGTATGTTCTTTTATATTCTTAGAATATCCCAGGGACTATATTAGAACGGGGCCTAAGTTCTTTTTTTTAGGCTTATTTATTTTGTTGAACACTCTTTGAAGATTTTTATTCGCTCTCTTCAATGATATTCATCTAATTCAATATTAATATTTAAAAATCTTTATAAATATCCAAATTCGAGCAAATCAGCCCTTAGTGCGTCATAATTTAGAAGTATTCAATATTTTTACTGATAATGATTTTATAATACCTCTTAAAATCGAAATCCATTCAAATAGGAATGCCTTGTTCAATCATAGGTTATGGATTAATGACGAACATTAAACCAAGAGGTGAATCAACTCAAAATTTAATATTTTAATATTAATATAAAAATATTAAACGAAATTTGAATCTTATATTATTTATGAATTAATGAAGGTTGATCTTGCTCCTTAATAAATTTTCTTCTACATTCCTAAAATCAATTAATTTTGTAAATTTAAATTAAAAACTTGAGTTGTTTTTCCCTGCTTGAAATTTAAAAAATAAACAATATATTTTTAATTTAATAGTTCAGAATCATAAACATTTACATTATTTTATAATAATGTAATAATTTAACCAACATAACTAGTTAAATTTAATGCTCAATTAATGAAAAAATCTAATCAAAATAGTAATTTAAACTACTAAAGTAAACCGGTATTTATGATTTAAAGACAACATTCTTGTAGATAGTACTTTTAGATTATAATAAACAAGACTCTTAAGACTCTAAATTTATATAGGATACTTGAGGATTTCTGTTTAAAAAATGAAGACCTGATCTGCTTATTTTTTAGTTTATATAAAATATTAAGTGTTATTAATGGAGTATAAGTGTAATCAGTAAAAATTTGGATTATGATGAGTTGTTTAAAATAAAGAACTTTTTCTTATTAATATTATAATAACTGAAACTAATTATATAAAAATAAAAATGAAGAGGATTAAGAATAAATTTTGTTAGAATGATTAGAATGAAAGTGATTTTTAAAGTTTATTAGGGGATATGAACAAATATCAAAGGGAAAATATTGAAATGATTTTATCAATTTAAAAAGATTCAATTAGAATTTATGCATTTGATTTATATAATGAAATAGTATATAGAAGTTGGTTATGCTCTTTCAAATAGAGTTAAATGTTAGAATTGTCTTTAGAACATAATTAAAGATGATATCAGGATAGGTCATGTATTAACTAGACCTCCTGGATTAGGTTTTGATAAGAAAATATGGTATCATTTAAATTGTCTTACATCAATAAAGGGAGATCGAAATCAAGATTTAGATATAGTTAATATACATGGATTGAAAGAAGAGGATTAAAAGAAGGTAAGATAGAAAGTTGAATAGATAAAGAAGAGTAGTTACTAAAAAAGTATAAATTATATATAAATATTTTTGTAGAGGATTAAAAGGAAGTGAAATATTTGTCAAAACAAGAACATTTTTAAAATTATGTTAAAATTTAAAGGGATTTACATTTTAATTAAAAACTACGTTAATAGGCAATGTTTTTTGAGAAAATAGATTAACCTGAGGAATAATGGTGAATATTATATAATTACCAATTATAAATTAAAAGATTATATATTCAGAATTGATATTTTTGATTAATTCCGAATCCTAAGAACTTACCAATTTTAGGAGCAGCTAAACATTAATGCAATTTCATATTGCTAATTACTTCAGGCATGGATCTATCTCTAGTTAATTTAGATGTAACAGATCCAGTAACACTATTATTATCTATTCTTGATAGACTAGTTGGTTATTATTTTGAGAGATATTTATAGAATTATGTGGCAGGAATAGATGGAAGTTCTGATTTTATAGGAGTCTTGAATTCCTATATACTAATACTATCTTATTTATCTATTAAAATTGGTGGGAATTCAGTATGAGTATTCTCCTCTATAATCTCTGAGTCTTTAATTAATAAATCATAAAATTTGCCTATATCATTGACTTTCACAATCCCATTTTTAGGTATAATATCTTCATAATCACTTTATTTAGTTTTTTGAGTTGTATTTTATCGAATGCCTGATTTCTTCTTTAAATAAGATTTTTCATAGGATCCTCTCAAAATACTATTATTGATTGTAATACTTGAATATTCTTCTTTTGATAAACGTATAGATTATGATTATTCAGATGCTAAATATTGATCCATTTTATTTTAGATTTTATATGGTAAATCTTATGCTTAAGTATGTTTATTCCGTTATCCTTTTTCATACTGTTCAATTTCAAGAAAAACTCCTGGTTTTAATTCTAAAACATCCATGAATTCCTGCAAGGGATTTCTTTCTTATTATGCTATAATCTTTTGAGCTTCTCCATTTTCATTTATTGGTTATACTTTAAATACTTTTAATTTAGGTTTTGGGAATGTTGGTCGTCTTGGTTTGATAACTGCCAATTCATTTGTTTGAGATGGAGCTGATTCTTTCATTTATTAACCTTCAATCTTTTTAACAGGAGCCAATTGCACTCTCTTAGCTTTAAGTATTATTTTACCATCAATATCATAAGTTACTTTTTCTGGTTAACCATCTACTAAAACTCTTATTTTTCTTCGTTCTTCCTATTTCTCCTTTTCAATTTGAGCTTGATTTTCTTCAAATTCTTTTCTCATTTTTTCTCTATATGATAACTGACTTCTCAATTAATCATCATATAAATCGCTTTCAGGCTCCTATTATGTTTATACTATTTCAGGTTAAAATTCTTCCCAAGAAGGAGGCTTTTCTTCAAACTATTCTTCAACTAATTCTTCAATCTTATTATCAGGTTTTCTTATGTATTCCTTCATTAATTATGCATTTTATCTCCTCCATTAATCATTCATAGGTTTTTCAGGTTCACCTTCTTCATCTAAATCTGATTTGATTTTGTCATATTCAAATTACTTTACTATAGATTCTACTAATTCTAAAGTTTTAATAGATGTAAAAGATGGCATATTTCTTAATACATCACTTATATTCAGACCATTATTTAGAGAATTCATGATATGTTTTATGCTATCTTAGACGATAACATGAACTTCTATTAGTGATTGATATGCATTTTCAGGCTCAAAGGTCAGAATAGAAGAACGATGCAAAGCTATAGGTGTTGAAATTTGTAAATTATTCATTTTTTTTTAGGTTTAGAATCATCTTTTTTTGGAACCTCCTTCTAAGGCTATTTCTATGGCTTTTATGGACTAGCATTTTTTTATGTTTTGGCTCCTTTTTTATCTTAATCTGCTGGTGATTTCATTTCGATCACAGGAAAAGTTAAAGAACTTTTAATTTCTTCCCTTTTTTATTCAACCATAATTTTTCTCTTTTCATTTAGTTCTTTTCTCTATTATTAATTATTATATTATTATTACCCTTTAGTCTTCTTCTAAATACTCTTATTATTTATAAGTTGCAGGACTAAATTGTTTAGCTGATAATAAACCTAATTATGCTCTTTATGCTTATAAAAATCTTTCCTTTTCTTTTTAGAATAGTTTAACTAATAAATATATATATAATAGAAATACTTTTCTATTCTTCATAAATAGAAACATCCAATTTTGGTTAAGATTTAACTAATTCTAGATGTTTAGGATGATTTTTTTTAAAAGGATATGTTATTTTTCTATAATCAACAGGAACTCTTTATTTATCTTTTTCCTCTAACATTTTTTATTTCTTCAATTTCTTTTTTGTTGAAATATCTAATTCTTTTTATTTGATGTTCAATCCTATTGCAACTAAGTATCTTTCAGATGGATTTTATGATTCTAATTACTATATATATATATATTTACCTGATGTATAATCTAATATTCCATTAAATCCTAGAATTTCTCTATCTTTAATTTCAATTCTAAAATCTTTAGTTTAATTATCTTTATATTTCATATTTCCAACTTAAATAATTCTCTTTTTATTTGTTTCGAATTTTAAGAAGATAATTTACTCCTAATTATAAAATCCAGAAATATAACTTAATTTTTCTTCCGAATTAATATTAATCTATACCTTATCAATATTACCTTCCTATAATCCAATATGTTTTGTTGTTTTATTATCTTTATTTTCTGATTCTCCATAAGTTAATTCCAAACCTATGATTAAATTATTCTAACTATTCTAACATACAACAATCTAATTAATAGGCATATTTGATGTCCAATCTAAATTCTTGGAATCATCAAATGGTAAACAAGTTTCTGTTTTTTTGTCTATTCCAAACATTATACTTTCTGGTTTATGTTGTGTACTTTATATTGGATCAGAGAATTATTTCTTTTCCAACAATTATGCTTATCTTTGAAGATCATTTAATTTTGTAACTGATGATTTAGTTTAAACTTCTTTTTCTTTTAATTATTTTGCTAACTATACTACATCTTCACTTAATTTAGCATATTCTTCAATTTATCTTCTTTTTTCTTTTTATGCTTCTTTCTCTTTTTTCTCAAGTTCTTCTTATAATGTTTTAACATCTTCTTTAAGTTATTTAAATATTGTGTCCTTATCTTTCTTAAATTCATTCAATGCTTTTTTAAGTTCATCTTTCTCTTCTGGTTCTTCTTATTTATCTTTTATTTATAAGAATCTTTTTTAATTCTAATCTTGACTTTTTTGTGCAAATTCTTATACTTTTTTTTATTTTTCATTAGTATTATCTTATTCCTTTTATTTTTCTTATTTAAAATGTTATTTCTCTTCACATGGTTTATTTAATTAAGTACACATTTAACGATAACTAATAAAATAATAATAGAGTATTACATTTTTTAAATTTCAGCAAAATAATTATTCAACTCAACTTCTTTTCTAGTTTCATGTAATTCTTCCTTTTAAGCTTCCTTGATATTATCTTTTAATTTTTTAATTTATTCTTTGAGACTATTTAATCTACTTTCATAATCACAATCAAATTATTATTATTTAAGTTCAGCTTCTTATTCTTTAATTATTAATTAAATCTTCTTTCTTAATCTATCTTCATCTCCAATTTATTTTTCAATTAAAATAATTTCATTACTAAGTTTATTTACATCTTCAGTTTATTCTAAATTTTTATTTCTATCTCTTAATGCCTTAATTTATTCTCTCATCAAACTATTGGACTGTTCCATTTTATCAATATTAATCAACAAATCCACTTAAGAATATTATAAAAGAGTTACAAATTCTAGGATCAATCTTATTAGCAAAGTCTTATTTAGATTTGCCATTCTTAATTTCATATAAAATCTTCTTTTCAGCAAGATTATAATGTTTAGGGTCCAATTTTTATTCCAATAGTTTTTATTTTCTAACATTAGATTAGACTAATTTTTCTGCTTTGTCTCCTAGTTTTTTAAGATGACCTCTTAAATTATTATTTCTCCCTCTTAATTTTTAGACTTATTAAACATGTTCAGCCAATAAGTCCTTCCATTTTCTTAATTTCTGATTCTCATCTAATCCTTACTCATCTATAGTAAGTTTCAAATTATCTGATATATCATTATTCTTTATACTAAAGATATATATAAATTTAAATATTTTACTCTTCATCTTCTTTTGGATTGTCACCATCTTCAAAAGGATCTCCGTCTTCATAATTATTTTCATCATTTGGATCATCTTATGGATAATCTTGGTTGTCTTCATCAGGATTATCTCCTTAATCTTGATTATCATCTTTAAATGGTTCTTCGTCTGACATAAGTTATATTTTTAATATAAAAATTAATTAAAATCTTCAATTCCTTTTAGCTGCCACAATTTTTTATGATCTCTTATTGAGAGATGGCTATTATTTAAAGAATAATTACACACATTAAAACTATATTGAGGAATATCTGTTTTTCTGCCTGGTCTTTTTAATAAATCATGTTTATCACATGGAGACAATATAGCAACTAATCTTTCAGCAGATTCAATAAATTCTTTCTTATTCAAAGTATGATTTCCAGATTCCATTTCCAATAGCAAAGGTGATAAAATCTTAATAACATTATCATTCAAATCACCAACATCACAATTCTCAGAATTAATAAATCCATCTTTATCACTATCTAAAGAATCAAAGATTTTCATTAATGAATACTAAATTTATTATTGTATCATTTAATTTGATCTTTCACTTGCTCTTACTTAAGATGAACTTATTTATTATTATTGTATTTAGATAATTTAATTCTATCTTTTTTATTCTTATATCTTTGCTTGATTATATAAATTCTAAAATAAATCTCTTGGTCTATTTTCAGGAGGTCTGCCTGTTTTTGGTTTAAATAACTAATTCTCATCATCACAAATTGATAGATTTTATCTTGATGTTGATCTATTCTTCTATCTCTATTCAAAACTACTTCCCTATACAATCTTCTCTGATATCATATCTATTTTAGGATGAAATGTATAATTTGATGAAAAATACTATTTTTCCAATTACTCCAACTTTTACCTCTTAGAATCATAATCAGAATATAATGATTAATACCATGGTTAATTACTTCTATCATTTCTTTCTTCTACTATATATCTTGATCTATTAAGATAAGTATATTTTAAATACATTCTATTAATTTAAGGTTTGAATGAACAACTTTATACTTCTGTCTATAAATGTTATTGACTTGCATTTTCTCTTTTTATTTTTTATTCTTAAGCCAATCTATTCAAATGTTCACTCACACATTCCCCTTTACGTTTTGCTAATTATCTTGATACATTATTTATTCTTGGATGATGTGTACATTCAATTAATTATGAATTCTACAAATCTTTTTTAGCACTCTCTGCTCTCTATTATTTTTCTTCATTCTTTTTTAAACCCTTCTAATATAGAAATAACCCATAATTTATTTCAGGCTCCTAAATTTTGATTTTCTTTGATCTACTATCTGATATATTTAATTTTTATTTCAATCTCTTATTTTTTGCATCTTCATATAATCTTTCATGAACTGATGAATGAGTAGAGTAATAATTGTTTGTTGATAATTACTGTAATGGTTCATTAAAAGGAGTTTCCATCAATTTTGAATTACATGTTTCTGTTGAATATTGCATGGTATCTTAACCAGACTATACATTAATCTCTTTTTCTTACATTAACTTTCTATAATTCAGCTACTTCCAAATTTTTATTTATATTCTCTATTAATAAGGGAACCAATTTCTAATTCACATTGTATTGAATACAGAAATCTCTAGCTAACACTTCAGGATCATCTCCCAAATGTACATTTATTGTACCCTCTCTTCCTTCATCTATTCTAACATTCATAATCAACAGAAGTTCACTCATTTAATTTGAAATATAAGTTAGATAATTTATTATATAATTTACTCTATTATTTTCTCATTCATTATTATTACATAAATATTAATTCTTCAATCAAAAATAGAAACATTTTCATAATCTAACAAAAATCATTAAATATTAAATTTTCCCAATTCATTAATGAGAATATAATAAAATTCAAACTCAACTCAGTTAATTAATTGTCTATTTTTAGATTAATATGTTGCAAATTTAATATTCCATTATTAATTAATTGAACCCTTAAAATAGTTTCACATAATTAATTTGGTTATAAAACTCCTAAATTTTTCTCTCTTGACAATGTGATACCTAAAACAACCAAAGGTTAATCCTTTTTTTGATTAAGTTTCTTTCCAAATATTTAAGAAGGTGGACAGAATATAATTTCATGTTCTTTGCCTGAATAAATTATTAATACTATTTTTAATGCTAAATACTCTTCATTTTAAGAATCCTTATATTTAACCTCTAATTGTTTATATTGGTTTAATCTTCCATAGTATAGAATTGCATTTAATATACTTTTATTATCCCCATCTAATATATAGAGGTGTCTTTATTTCTAATACAGGATTAACTTGTATAAGACTTAATCTTCTTGATGGAAGATCTGGTTATAATTATTCATTTTATAACATTGCTGGCCAATCTAAGAGAACTTCAATATATCCTTCTTCATTATTAAGATATAATTTGTTAATGGATATATTTTATAACATACATTTAGGTACAATTCTATTAATTCCAACATTCTTCCAGATCATTTAACTTTCACTCTAAAGGAAATCCATTTCAATATCTTCTATTTGGAAATGAGTTTTAATATGAAAAACAATATTCATTTTAACTGTATTACCAAAATATTTATATTCCAAATCAAATGGATTATTTACTTAGACTATGATTGAATGTTGATATTACAATTATTTATATTATTCTTTAGGTATTTCATTTCTCAAAATCTATTTGATTCCATTAAAACAATACTTCTGTTCATAAATTCCAATAATGATCAATTCTAAATCTTAATCAATATATTCTTCATTAACATTGATTTCTAGTATTTTACAATATATAATTCTGTTGTCTTGTAATATTTATTTTTTAGTTTCTATATAGTTATTATTGAAATAAAGATTAGTTTAATAATATGATGGATAAGATCAAATGAGTTATTGATCTTTTTTAAATTAGAATTGATGGATAAGGTCTATATCATGTTAATAAATAATGAAGATTGGAATTAATTCACAATTAATGAAACAGGGATTTAATTGTGTTTCATTGATAAATTATGAGAAATTTGGATTCTAAGTATAATATTCTTGTAAAATAGTTTAATGTAGTTTTCTTGGAGGGATAATTATATTTTTCTATAATGAATTGAATTGTGACTCATCCATAAATATAATAATAATTTATATTTATCATTTTTTTTATTATAGATTTTCCATCAATTTAGGATCTTGAAAGATGGGAACTTATACATTTGGTTTAACAATATCAGGAGTAATTTCAAATTCATGATTATTAATAAGTTCTTGGTTATTGATTGGAGCATTCTGATTTGGATGATGTTAATCTTATGATTTTTATCGTTTTTGTTATGCTTTTTATTGAAACCTATTGTTTGAAATTCCAAGATTATTCATTTAGATAATTAATAATCTTAAGAATAAAATAATAATAATCTAATTCAAATCTTAATTTGTCTTTAATTCATATATATTTTGAATTAGTTAATTATATAATAATAATTTATAATGGGTACAGCACCATGTTACAAAAGGAAAAATGAAGAAGTAAAAGTAGCTCATCGTGGACATTTAAGTGATAAGAGTATGAAAGTATAGCATATTCAAATATGAGAGTCTAACAATGAGGACTTTCCAGAGTAATAATGTGAAGAATAAGAAGAAGAGGAAGAAGAAGAAGTAAGATCTGTAATAATGAACTCTAGAACATAGTTTATGATTACATTTAAGGTGAGTTGATTTAAGAGGGATGTAATGTATACTCTGCATTGAATACTTTAAATGGGTAACTTTTAGCATTAAAAATTGTATTAATTTCTATAATGATAGTTCAAATTAAGTTAAGAAGATGATTTTGATAAAGTAATTAATATTGTAGATATACTTAAACGATTAGAATTCAAGAATATCCATCAAATTATAGGTTGGGATTACTCAGTATTTTAAAATGAAGTAATCTAAAATGAAATTAAAATACTGATGCCTTATGAGAGTGGAGGTTCAATCAGTTGGTTATTGTAGAAATTCAGTTCCTTTTCTCCTTAACTTGCTATTATGTTTATGAAACAAATATTGTAAGGATTAGAATATCTTCATAGTTAAGGTATATTACATAGGTATCATTGATTTTAAATAAGGAATCTAAAAACATCAAATGTTTTAGTAGATGGTGAAGCCAATGCTAAATTAAGTGATATTTACATTCTAAATAAATACAAATTATCAATTTATAGTGCACCTGAATGTTTTAATGGATAGGAATACTCATAATTTTCAGATGTATGGAGTGCAGGTTGTATATTTGTAGAAATGCTAACTAAAATGCCACCTTGGCATCATTTATCTTCTGACATAACACTAGACTAAATAAGAAACTCTATTAATAAAGGATGTATGATTATGATATTAAAATCAAATTAGAAATATTTCAATTCAAACGTATAACTAAATCAGAGGATATATTGTAAATCTTTAATCAAATTTTTAAATTGAATCCAAAAGAACGATCTACACCTAATTAATTACTTACTCATTCTACTTTTCGAAGTATTAATATATATATAATTTGAGATCTTGAAACTGAACCATTGAAATCTGTAGTAATCTCAACAAGAAGACAATATCATACAAAACATGATGATAAAAAATCCTTTAAATTATACAATAGTAATATGTCTGGTTCCAGTATGCATGGTGGTTTATCAGTTTCAATAAGAAGGAGCAATAATCCTGATTAAAGTAAATATCAATAAGTACTATAATAATTAAAGTCTATTCATCAAGACTTCAATAGAACAGAGAATATGTAGGAAACATAACTACTATCACATAATGATTTATGTAATGTTGTAACAAGAAAAATACAAATAGAAGCTAAAATTAAGGAAATAGGAATTCATCATATAAATAAAGATAAAAATGCTTTAGTTGAAAATGGATTAATTAGACCAAAAGAAGGACCAACTTAAATTGCTAAAATCTCTGTTAATGGTGTACCAGATTAAGGAAATAAGAATTAAGTTCATAAACCTCCTATTAATTAAATAAGTCAGTAATATAAATCAATCATGTAAAGTGGAAGTCTAGAAAAAATACAAACAATTAGATCAAGTGAATTTGTCAAAAGTAATGAATAAAGTATTGAAAGATTACCTGTTGTAAAAAATAAATAAATGAGTGAATCATAATAATTAGAAGAATTAATGGCTTAATAATTCTATTAGAATTAGAATTATAATAATTAAAAAGAAGATATTAAACCAAAAATTAATCTTATTGATATTGAAAAAATGATGATGGATTAATTTTCATCTTCTATGTTTAAATCCAATTAAAATAATGAAGATGATTAATAAATTGAAAAAAATGAATAATAATAATAATAGGAATATTAGTAAGAAACTAAATATATTAAGTCTGAAATATTACTTATAAATAATAATAACATCCAAGATCCAAATTATTTTGAGAATCTTATGTAATAATAATATTTGTAGGATGATGAACAAGATATAGATGAATTATAAAAACTTGAAGAACTTATTTAATAATAATATTATAATAATAATCAAAAAAATGATATTAATTTGGATTAATTAATTTAAAAATAGTTATCTAATCATGATAAATCAATTTAACCTTTAGAAGATAAACAAGATGAAATCATTTAAGAAAACTTATCCATTATTGGTAATCATTCACATTTATATTTTATATAGCTTTTGATAAACTATCACAATCTCCTAAAAATGACAATGAATTGTTAATAGAGGATGATTTTATATATATGTTATGAATTTTGCATATAGAAATGTCAAATCTCATTCTACTTTTCAAATATTAAAATAGGTCTTCTAAATGTACTTTTAGATTTCTTTATTGCATTCTCATCATCTGGATTTATCTATTAAATTAATTTTAAATTATATTCTTTCTCTAAAATCTTTGAAAAATCTTATGGTTTTAATTATATTTCCTTATAATTTTATTTAAATTCAAAACTATGATATTTCTTTTTTTTATAGCTCTTCCATTCTTGAGGTTCCAATATTAAATGACCACCTACATTCAAAAAATTAGAAATTGTCTTGAATAATCTCTTAATACCTATATCTCCAAAATTCAAATGAATCCATTTAGTAATTGATAAACATAATACTGTATCATATTTTTCATCATATTTTTTATTACCAATAATATTTTATACTCTAAAATAAACATTATGTGGAAATGTATTGTCCTTTGCTATCTAATTAAATTAAATACTGTTATGCTCTTTCTATATATTCATGTCTTCTATTGTCTAATTAATGTATTATTATTCAATTGCTTTAGATACTAATATTATAATTAATATTAACTAGGTTATTCCATATATTTCTCAAAACTCACAGGTAAATCCTCAATAATTGGTTTGAATTCCTATTTCTAAATTTTCTTCTATTAATCATCTAAATGAACCATTTATTCAATAGCCTTGTTAATTAAAGTATAATCAATATCTATTCCTCTAATCAATTTAGGGTAATGTCTTATAAAATTAAAGAATAATAAACTTAAGTGCAATTAATAAAGTCAATGTTCCATCATTGCAACCAATATCAAGAATTTATTTATCTGTAAAATAGCAACTATCTAATATTGTTAATCTTGGATCTTCCCACTTTTATTATAATCTTAAATGGTAATATTTTTTATAATTGCCATAAGAGTATTATTTAGTACATTTTACTAAATCAATTGGATTCATCTACAATTTTTCCATAAGATTATGTTGCTTCTTTTCATTTTATTCATCTGGTTTCACCTTCTTTTAAACAAATGTTTCTTAACCCAAATCTACATTAGTCTTTCTTTTAGATTATGTTTTCAATCTAATTGGAGGTGCATTTTCTGACTTTTTTTATTAAACTTCATTCTTCTCTTGATTTAATAGAAACTTTCTAAATTGTTCATTCATTTATTATAATAATTAATAATATAATATCAAATCAATTAACAACTTGATTTCTTAGGTTTTTTTGTTTTAACTTATTCTTGTCTTTATGTAATTAAACTTTATATTGAAAATGAAAAGGCTTCTTTTAATCCTTCTTAAGTCATAGCACTTGTCTCTCTTAATTGATAACCTAATTTCTTAATAGTTGTTTCTGCAACTTAGGTTTATATATGATTTGGATTTTTGGGATCTCTTAAATCTTTTTTTAATCCTAAGAACATAATGTATCCATTTTTATTATATAATGTGATTTCTGGAAGCCACTTAAGTTGATAAAATTGATTACTTTCTTAATAGCATTTTCAAAACTAACATCACTCACTAAAGAGAAGCAAACTAAAAAGATGTCTGTTCCTTAATAACATACTTATCTTAAGTGTTCATAACCTTCTTGTCCAGCAGTATCCCTAATAAAATGTTTTATATATTAAATACCATAATGACAAATCATAAAATTCTCCATTAATTTAAACTTGAGTTACTGTATTATCGAAAACTGTAGGCACATATTCAGTAGGAAATTTATCATTAACATAACTATACAAAGCACAAGTCTTGCCAATAGCTCCATCTCCAACTATAATTAATTTAAGCTCTTTCTTTCCTTCTTACATTATATAAATATATTATTATTATTATTATTATAATTAAAGAGAAACTATAAAATAATTACATTAATCATCCCCACCATATTGGTTTTGGTGCTTCTATATATTATTTTGAAGTATCTCTTGTATTATGTTACTTATTAACATATAAGTTTTATATTTAAGAAGATGAACTATTAATATATGGAATAGCATTTTAATGAATTATACTAATCTTTAAATTTTACTGTTTTTCCAATAATCTTTTTTATCTAACTCTCTCTATTTCTAATAATTAAACTGAATTAACAATTGATTTAGATCGTTCTTCATGTAAGGAATTCTGTTATAGTAATTATTATTGATTTCTATCACTCTTGATAGGTGGAACTGAAAAATTAGGTCTGATTTCTTTAGTGTTATTAATCTTTGGTAGAAATGAATTATTTGCTTATGTTTCATCGTAAGATTTATTAACACTTTCAATAAAGTATTTTGATTTTGGTAATTTCTCTTTTAAATGTTTTAAATTCTTTGGTAATTTTATAGTTTATAATAGTATATTTGAACCAGCTTAAGATGATTATGTCTATTATGAAACTCTACTTTCTATAATAAATTATCTAGCATTTCTTAATAAAATAGGATTATTAAGTAATTAAGAACATGTAGGTCTTTATTTACTTTGTACCTATAAACACAATCCTATTACAGCCATTAATTCACCACTAAATTTAGGTGGTATACGTTCATATAATCCTCTTTATACTTTTTTATATAATCCTTCCATATTTTAAGCTCTAAATGGTGGTTTAAGAGCAGCCATTTCATATGCAACACAACCCAAACTCCAAATATCACTTTTAGCATCATAAGGTTAATCTCTCCATACTTCAGGACTTGCATAATAAGGTGTTCCTGTTTAAGTATAAACCAAATCCTTTTTAGCTACTTTTGATACATTCATATCTCCTAATTTATAATTTCCTTAATGTAGAAATACATTAGCTGATTTTAAATCTCTATGTAAAATTTTCATTTGATGTAACGTTCTCAAAGCTATCAAATAAATCAAATAATATATACCAATAGCCATTTAATAAATCATTTTCCATATTTCAATTTCCTAGATATATTATTTTTAGTGAATATGTTACTGGATCAACTATTACAAATCACCTTAATCAGCATATTCCATTACTATGCATAAACTTTAAGATTGCTCATCATAGAATGCTTCCTTATAAGCAATTATATTAGGATGCGAAATGCTAGCAAGAATACGAATCTCATTAAGTGAATTCTCTTTCTCTTTCTCCTTTAATTATCCCATCCTCACTTTTTTCATCGCATATTCTTATTGATCAGATTACCGTTTTACTCTTAACACTGTTGAGAATGACCCTAAATTAATTGACATTTATCGAATTAAAAGTACCTTCTCCCAATTTTTCAAAAACAGTAAAGTTTTTCATCTTAATAATTATAATAACTATTCAAATTAATTACTCTAAATTATAAATTATTATATTATAAATGTCAATTAATAGATCTAATATAAAAAGAATCAAATATTTTATTTAAAACCATATAGTTATTAATTAATATAATATGCTTCTTCATTATATATATAATTATATATTCAAATTAATAATATACCTTAGATATATCAATTACTAATGATATTCATATTTTATTATTATTATAATTTAATATAAACTATTAGGTTGTATAAAAAGGTCAATATATATTTAATAAATGATAATTATATTTTAAAAATAGTAAAATTCTTTTTATCTAACACAAATTTTAAAAAGAAAAATAAATTAATGATATTAGCATCAATTTGAAGAGATCTATCTATTCTATTAAGTCTCATTGTTTAATTCAAAGATAAATTAGGATTTTTATTATATCTAAAGTGTAATTACAGTGTAATCTCATTTTATATTATTAACGTAGAAGTTAAATTTAAAGTAATTGCCAGTTCAATTAAAAATATCTTACTAAGGATAAATATAAAGTAACTAAATTGATTTAACCATATTCTGTTAAATACTTATTCATATATTAATACTTCCTTATTGAACGTTAATTATATCTTTAATTTATAATATAATTAACAAGTATTTAGCCAAATAAAGATTATTTATGATTAGATATTAGAAAATTTAGATATATAAGTGATTAAATCCAGGTCTAATAATCGAAATTTTAAATAATTAAAAAAAAATTCAATATTAATTCAACAACTATTTAAGGGAAAATGGGACTTGAGAATAATAGTGTTGATACATTACTGTATTTGTCAAAAAATTTAACAAAGAATAAGAAGAGATCAATCAAAATAATTAGCCTTTTAGGTGTTATGCTTTTGTTTGTATCATGTGAACTTATAATTAATGGAGAATGCTTTATAACTTAGAGTGATAATTTGGAATTTTTAGTTATTGATAGCATCATGTATTTTGGAATTTTTGCGATTTGTTTCTTTGAATTAAGAATTTAGATAAAAAAAATGAAAAAGAAATATATAAATTAAATTAGAATGAGGGCAATAATATATGGACTTAGTATCTACATAATTTTTGTAATCATAATTATATGTCTAAGTCTTTATCATATTTTAGTGTAAGCATTTTTTTTTTTCTTTGATTTTGATGAAGAATGTTTTTATCTAAAAGATAAAACTTAATATTTTGTACCTCTCAAAATAACGATATTTTGTATATTCATTATAGTAGAAATTGTTATTATATTCTTTTTAAAATGGGTTTTTTAGTAAAGTTTTAAAGCTTTTATGTTTCCTCATAAACTTAGAGGAGTTATTTAAGAAATTAGTTTTGAAAGTCACAATATTGTACCAATATTTCATTAAATTTAAGCTAGTTCACCTTGATTCTTCTTTAAATATATATTAAAGTGAATTATATTAAATATAAAAAGATAAATTAAATTAATTTGAGAGTAAAAATAAAATAATTGAGGCAATAATGTCAATTATGTTCACTCTTAAATTAAGATTAAAATAGATAGTATTCTAGCTTCGATTATCTCCTATTAATGAGATAATAATTCGAAAACAAATACTATTATACGTTTTATTGTATTATATAAAAAAGTTAAAATGTATGATAAGAAATTCTAAACTTGGGGATATCTGAGAATTCGAATAGATAAGAAGAGTTAATGAGGAAGAGCAGAGAATAGATACAAACAATAAAGATAGAGGAAGAAGATAAGAAATGTAGATTTAAAAATCTGAATAAACAGATGAATGATATTGAATGATTTAGAATACTAATAAAATCTTGGAATATATATTTTATTTAAATATCAAAGTAATGCCATTGAACGATTCAGAAGTAACAAAATCTTAAAGCGATATGCAGGAGAGTTCCAAAAAGATATAAAAGAAAGCAGGCCATTGGAATTAAGAAGAACATGAATCATATCTTCGTTTTTTACAAGAGAATGCGAATCATAGCAAAGGTCAAAGATTATTCAAAAGGATGAGTTAAATAATAGGAACAAGAACACCTAGTTAGTGTAGGTGAGATTTTTATATAATTGAATAGATCTCATCATTAAAAATTTAATCCATTGAAACCAACAATCAATATTACATAAACTAGATTATTAAAAACCAAATAATTGGTTAGATTATATATGTAAAAACATAAAGTAAAAGATGAGGAAGAAGAATGATTGAGATATTTTTTTTATGTAAATATTAATACAATTTTTGTTTTGATTAATATTAGTTTAAAATTTAAATAAAATGAGTAATTCATTAATGGGTAATATGTTGGTTGAATCTGTAATGGAGAGAGCCTTAAAAGATAAAATGAAAGAATAGTAGGCAAAATAATAAGAAGAAGAAAGAAGAAGAGCAGCAAGAAGATAATATGAGGAAGAAGATGAGGATGATTGTGATGATGAAGATTTGAAAGAGATGTTGAAAAAGATGAGAGAACAAAGAGCTAAAGAATTATAAGAGGCTATGCTTAAAAAGAATAAAGGATTTGGAGAATATAGAGAAATAGTTGAAGAAGAATTCTTACCATCTGTTACTAAATCTGAATTCAGTGTTGTTCATTTCTTTCATCGTGATTTTGAAAGATGCAAAATTATGGATAAGCATCTATTAGCTATATCATAATAGTAAATTATACTTATTATATTCATAGACATCCAGAAACCAAATTTTATTGTTTGAATGCAGAAAAGGCACCTTTCTTTGTTGGTAAATTATAAATTCAAGTTCTACCAACTATATGCTTATTTGTCAATGGAGTCTTAAAAAACAGAATTGTAGGATTTGAAGATATGGGTGGTAAAGACACCTTCGAAACTGGTACTTTAGCACATATGTAAATTATAAAAGAAATTATTTTTATAGACTTTTAAGATATGGTATGATCAAAGTTAGAAAAGGTAGTAATGATGAAGACTCATCAGATGAAGATAAGTGACATTTGAAAAATTATATTAATTAAATGAGTGATCAATCTTAATACTTGAATAAAAGTGTCAAAGTCATTTGTTCAGACAACAGAGTCATCTATGGTGTGCTTTCATGTATCTCATCACCATTTTCTATCATACTCTAACACTCTGTTGCCACTCATCCTTCACCATTGGATCTAGATATAGAATTTCATTACACTCCCTAATTTCCAGCCAAATATTTTACAAATGATGAATCAATTAGAGAAGCCTATAACAATTTCAATAAAGCAACTGAAGAAACAAAATAAGAATTATAAAAAAAGGTTGATGAAGCCAAAGCATTCAATGATCAATTTATGAAAGATAAATATTATGTTGGCAGCGTTGTCATACCTGGAGAACATATACAAAATGTCATATTAATTTAATGACCAAAATATATTATTATGCTAAATAATATATATTAATAATAATCATATGCTAAATTTAATTCCACCTCAATAATATATACCCTATAAAAATACTCAAACTAATGCTTAATCAGCAGTTTGCATATTGTTGAGAGGGTAATTTAAACCATAATAAGGTTATTCTTAATTGAATATCAATTATCCTTAATCCACCAAATTTCAACAATAACAAGACATTGAAATACTTTATATTTAAAGATAAAACTCAAAAAGAGATTAATATAGTGGTGAAATAGCATTTCCAGGAGGTAAATGTGACAATGATGAAACTGATTTATAAGCTGCAATAAGAGAAGTATATGAAGAAGTAGGAATTAATTTAAATGATTTAGAATGTTATTATGTTTGTCGACTTTCCAAGAATGCATACATGAAGAAATTGAGAAATAAATAATCTTTATATTGTAGTGCTTTCGTAATAGCAATCAATGATCCTAATAAAAAAACTGATAATATGAGATTGTCTGAAAATGAAATATAATAAGCAAAGTGGATCAAACTTACTTATTTTGATGATCCTATATTTAAAACAAAAAAGAGTTTACATTATTTTGGACCTAGATTGATAGCAAAATATTTTAAGTAATCAGAAACTGCAGCTTTGGATATTGGATTTGAAGAAATGTTATATGGATTTACCTTTTTTATGACAATAGCTTTATTATTTTTAATTTAGAAACACCAAAAAGTTTGGTAACATGCTCATTTTGCAAAGTTCACTTTTACAGGACCTATGAAATATATTTTAGAATATGGAGCTATGATAGTCTATAAAAAAGAGAGAATAAGTCTAATTGAATAATGGAAATGGCCAATATATATATACTTAATTCCATTACTAATATTGATGATAATTTTAATTTGATTTATATTTTTATGATATTAAGATATCAATCATCTTATTAATTGCTTTTGATATTTGTAAATGAATATGCTTTAAACAGATATCCATCAGCTTTATAGAATTTGCTTTAGAATTCAACCCTAATAAATAGTTAGTATAATTTCAATACCATTGTAATCGAAGGGCATGTAAGAAACACTCCATAAGATCCATACACATCAAGACTCCAAAAGTGGCTAGAGCAAATCCTGGAAATTGTACAATAGACTAATATTTAAATATAGATGAATACTCCTATAGTTCCAAAAAATCCTCCTTCACCAATATGACTGGCTAGAGTCATGGAGAAGAAGACTTCGGCCAATTGTGAATGAGCTAAGGATAATGCCCACAATCTTAAATACGATGCTGTATTACTAACACTTCCTAAAACAAATTCAATAGTTTCAATAGCTAAAAATAATGAATATAAATTATACATTAATGGACAATTAATTCACCAATATCATCATGTTGATTATGTTATTAAATACACACTTTACTATGTGGTTATGACTAATCCTTTTACATATCATTTTGTAATTATTCTGGATTAGCATCATCATCAGGTACTTAAGATGGTATTTATTAATATGGATGATTCTTCTTATTTAAATTAAAAATAAGTGGTTTTGTAATAAGCATTATAGGAATACAAAGAATAATGATGGTTAATAATATTAATTGTATGAATCTCTACTATTCTCCAGATTCAAATAATGGTTTTTCAGGTACATCAAATGGTCTTAATACCATATCAATCATAGTTGTGATAACACTAGGAGCATCCTTTGTGTCTTCAAATTTAGTACACCATTTCAAAAACAATAAGAAATCCATGTAACCAAAACTGCATGTTAATAAAAGGAATTATGGAATGAATTCACAAAAGAAATCTGTATAGTTATTGAAGTTTAGAGTATTGAAACCTTTTAAAATAATACCAAAAGTCATGTGAGTGACTCCAATGATGACTGCTAATTTCATTTTAAATGAATTCATGAAAGTTAATTGATTAGTTGAAGAACCCCATGCAGGGTCTATTCCAAATTTATAGACACAATCTTCTTTGATTTAATATTCATCATCCACCAAATTATAGCAACTTCCAAATAAGTTTAAACTTATGGATAGAAAATCATTGTAAATGAGTCCATTATAACAAGCAAAGAATCCAATTAGAAGAATCATATATCTCATAGGAACAAGTCCAGAAAATATAGATTTTTTTGCTTCTTCAGTTGTGAGATACAATCCACAAACAAACAATAACAAACTCTTAATAATTTAATATATTATACCCATGACCAACATCACCAAACATCACACCAACTAAAAATGGAAATGTTATTATAGTAGATAATCCTGGATTGATTTCCTTGTATCTGGGTATACCATAAGTATTGACAATTTCTTAAAAGGGATATGTAAATGAATTTAATTTATAATAAGTAGGAGGAGTTGATTAAATTTACTATTCCTAGATTTAACCACTAGGTAATTATTTATCATTACCATGTAAGTTTCGTAGAGCTTATTAAATTTTTTAATCCTAACCTTATGGTAACCATATCTATCCATGAAATACAGAATTTGTCATATTCAACATATTCAAATTCATGTATAAATACTTTTCTTTTGTTACTAAGATTCTCATTTCTTCAATCCATGAACAGTTATGTTTAATTTCTGACAAATCTTATAATCTCTTGTTAATTTGAGTAATTGTCAAATGTAACAATTAATCTGCTTCATTTAACTGATTCTCCAACATAGTAATTCTTTAAGCTTGTTATTCACTGGATGTAGGGATATCAAACTTATTATTTGAAAATGACTCAATCACTCTTTGAATTTTTTTCTAAGTCAAATCTCCACATGGATAAAATAACATAAACACACACTTCTATACACTCTTTCTATCTTATTAAATGAATTGTTCTTAAATATCCATAATCTCTACATGAATATTTCCCTTAGTTATTCTAAAGATTATCCTTTTAAATCTCAACTCATCCTCCTTCAATATAACTCCAACCATCTTCTGAAATCCCAATAAACTAGCTTCTTCTGAATCCTCATTTTAAAATGCAACAGCATTTCTCAATACTTCCAAATTCTCTCTTATAGTGTTTTTCTTTTCTTATAAACTAGTTAATGTTTATTATTAATGTTCCAAATCATCGGCTACTTTACATATATCTTATTCTAATTCTTCAAATTATTTATGACTTCCATTTCTCTTTTTTAATAAATCAATGACATCTGGACAATACTTTTTTTCAATCTTAAAATTTCTCATCTCATCATCTATCTACTCAATCTTTTATAGCACATCATCACATCTTAAATCTCTAAATGTAATACCTCTTCACATAATTTGAAAATGGTCTATTTATTTAAGGTAATGTCGCATCATGATCAATTATGTGAACGCTATCAAAATATCCTAATGTGTTCATTACATCCCATGCTGATTCTCTTGGAATCACTAAATTATAGAATTCCATCTACTCTGATCTAAACAAGCTCATATAGATTAATTAATATAATATTTATTACCAAAACGAATCAATAATATTTATGAATTAACAGAAATTTATACCTTAATCAATAACTCTATTTCATTATTATTATTATTATTAAAAATATGTATTAATTTAAACCCAGAGAATCTAGGAATTTTATCAAAAAACCCATCTCTAGAAAATTTTGCTTTTTTGAAATCAAATCAAATTGGAGTATACTAAATTAAATTATGATATCACTCTTTTTATTAACATTTGTCACTTTATTGTTCGTAACCTCATAAGTTATAATTGGTCTATATGTAAGCAAACTTTTTTTCACTAAATTTGCTTAAGCAGCAATCTAGAATTACTCAGAAACTAGGTATACTTATGAAGCCTAATTATTGCAGCCTACAGTTTAAAATTAATCATCATTTGATTCTGCATTAGTTTAAACCTATCCAATAGACACTAATTAATCCATTTATGATGTCTATTCATTTGTACTTCTTACTCTATATTATTAGGCTTTTAAATTGTAGAATAACAATGATGTATGTTAGAAATGTGATAATACGTCTTGTTATCTATTTGGAGATTATTCAAGCTCCTAGAATTCTTATGTCATAGTAACAAATCATCCATAATCAAGCTTTATATAGACGAAATAGATATTTTAAATGAAGCTGATGAGATTTTATCACATTCAGATGTTGAATTCAATGAAAATTTACTTTATACTATTTATTTGATTAGTGGATCATTCTTAATAATCTTATTACTTGGATGGATTTTTGCTTATTATATTGTGCGTCCTCTTAAAAAATTAGCAGAATATGCATAACATATAAATTAGAATACTACTCGTTTATCAACTGGAAAAAGAAGCAAATAAAAACCAATTGAATTAAAAGACATAACAGCATAAGACAAAATAGGAGAATTAGTTGATGAATTTAAAAATCTTATATAAGGATTAGCTGGATTGAAAAAAGGAAATGTATATTTATTTATTAAATTCTAGATTTAAAAAAAATCTCAAGAAATTAAACCATTTTTGGAAGGATATGAAAATTAAAATCAAGATTAATTTTAACAATTATTAGAAGAAATTAACAAAATAGAAGATGAAAAACATATAAATTAATTTAATTATGATTTTCTTTGATTTTTACATAAATAGTTATAATGCATTTTCATTTTATAAAATGTTTGTAAATATCTTCAAAACATTTATTAAATGCATCTTTAATTCTTTAAGATGTATTTGATGTTGATTAAATAATGGATCTAGGTACATTAAATAATAAGGGACATCCTTTAATATTTCTGTCTTGATATTTGGATTTTAATTCATTTCCAATTTTTGAATTTATTTATGATCCAACAGTTAAATAAATTATTTAAAATGAATAATGAAACTTTAAGACTTTAAATGATTTATGTAATTTTTAATAATCAGTTTACCCATCAGTAACTAAACAAATTCTATTTCTTTTATTACATAAATCATATTTTTTATCAAGTTATTTAAATTATTCTAATAAGCTATCAAATTATTATTATTATTATTATTATTATTATTATTATTATTATTATTATTATTATTATTATTATTATTATTATTATTATTATTATTATTATTATTATTATTATTATTATTATTATTATTATTATTATTATTATTATTATTATTATTATTATTATTATTATTATTATTATTATTATTATTATTATTATTATTATTATTATTATTATTATTATTATTATTATTATTATTATTATTATTATTATTATTATTATTATTATTATTATTATTATTATTATTATTATTATTATTATTATTATTATTATTATTATTATTATTATTATTATTATTATTATTATTATTATTATTATTATTATTATTATTATTATTATTATTATTATTATTATTATTATTATTATTATTATTATTATTATTATTATTATTATTATTATTATTATTATTATTATTATTATTATTATTATTATTATTATTATTATTATTATTATTATTATTATTATTATTATTATTATTATTATTATTATTATTATTATTATTATTATTATTATTATTATTATTATTATTATTATTATTATTATTATTATTATTATTATTATTATTATTATTATTATTATTATTATTATTATTATTATTATTATTGTTATTATTATTATTGTAATGGTTATTATTAAAATTTATCATTTGACCAAACTAATATTACTTTCTTTAGTTCAGGAATATTTTAAAATTATGTCTAAAATAAATCAATAGCAATTTAAGATTCATTTTTCATTGAATCATTTTTATCAACTATAAGAATTATACATTTTTCAGCCTCTTCACATTCCAATCCTTCCTTTAATAAAATTTATAGTTCTTTTGGTAAATATTTATAATCATCATTCGACGAAAATAATGCATTTGAAGCATCTGCATTAATAATAACTTAAGTTTTCTATTAATATTTTTTAACAAGAATTAGAAAATTTGAAATGCTTATTAATTTCTTAATAGTTTAATCTATTAATTAGAATAGAGAGTTCATCTATTTAAAGGATACAATTTACTCATCTTATTCAACTTTAAAATCTGAAGCAGAAAATACTTTTATTAATGATTGTTAAGTGGAAGTAAGAAAATCTGTTAAAAATTAAGTATGATCAGAATTTAGATTCTTTTCAATATAAGAAATGTGATTGTTAAGGGTTTCAATAATAATTAATTCAGTTGACTCAAGTAGAGTTAAATTTTAATTTTTTTAATTAATTGGTTCTTGGAAACTTGATGGATCAATTAATTTTTAATATTATTCTGATAGTCTCTCATTTAAAATGTCAGGTGTAACAACTTTCTTTTTAATATCATGTGAATTAACATTAATAATTTAATTAAGAGACACTTGTTTATCAAATAAACCTCTTTATAATTATGTGATTTAATTTTCACTCATGGCTTACAATTCTAGATTTTAGGAAAGTAATTCATCTAGTAGTTAATAGACTTCTTGACTTTTATTTTGTTCTTCAGGAGTAGATTAAATTGAAGTGATTTATTTTAAAAGTTATGGGGCAGCATCAGAGATACATTTGAATGCTTTAGTGTCTCTTTTTTTGTTGGCAATTTAATCATTAATAGCTTAAGATAAAGAGCCAATAATAAATTAATTAATATCTTTGTCTGTAGTTTTAGGTTATAATTTAATATTTCCTGCAGCAATTTCTTCATTTGTTGTTGCACAAAAGTGACTACCAGCAATTACTTAATTTGTCAATGGTGATACAAGTGTTTACTAGACTTACTTATTAATTATAATTATTCCATCTTGAACTGAAATTTATGGTTTGATTTATAAAAAACATTTAAAAAAATCTTCATAAATAGTCTCTTTTGATTTTGATATTTTTCTCTTAACTTAAAAAAGTGATTATAAGTTAGGATCATGATTGTGAATTTTATTTCTTAAAATGTTACTAATTTCATTAGGAAATTTATCTCCTACTGCAAAACTAATGAATTGAATCATAAATTAATTTTTCATTTATTAAATTTATGGGAGTAGTACTTTAATATCAAAAGTTTCTCTGCCGTCACTTAAAAATAAGATTGTAATATTTTTAGGGATAGAATTTTTTTTACTTAAGAGTATTGTAAATAAATCTCTGAAAGTATTTGTGATATTTCCTCCTCTTCCATTAACTCCAACATATGGTAGGATTGGAAAAAGTTCAGATTGGAATTAATATTCTAATTTCTAATCTCCAAGATAAGAAAAGACATTTTAATAGGCTTTGACAGCTTATTCATATTCTCCACTCATAGATCCAGTACCATCAATAAGTGTGACCAAATAGGAATTAATAATTTAAGATGGTGGTGCTTAATAGACTTTCAAACTCATATTTTATTATTTCTATTAAAGTGAAATAAAAAATTTGTAATTAAATTTATAAAGAATAATAATGGATGTTATTCTTGGCTACGTGGATGAATTTAGACACATGAAAATTAGAAAGGTATAATGAGAAATGATATACATGCAGATAATATTGCAAATAGTTTCATTAGCAATAGTTGTAGGATCAGCATTGTCAATTTGGAAGAGTTTATAAGTCGTGTCATTTTCAGAATCTCCAGTTGTTGTTGTTTTATCTGGTTCAATGGAGCCTGCATATTATAGAGGTGATATACTATTCTTGACCTTCTTAAATAAACCTTTTGAGGTTGGAGATGTGATAGTATACAAGATTAAAGATCAAGACATCCCAATTGTGCATAGAGTATTATAAATTTAATAGAAGTAAGAATACATATAATATAGTAAATAGAAGTGATGATCCTTTAGATTAATTAATATTAACCAAAGGTGATAATAATTAAGTAGATGATAGAGCCTTATATCCAAGAAAATAGATGTGGTTAGAAAGATCAGATATCATGGGGAAAATAGAAGGGTTTCAATTTATTAATTATTTTTTAGAGTATTACCATATGTTGGATATATCACAATCTTATTGAATGACTATCCTTCATTGAAATTTGTAATGATTGGTTTAATGAGTTTATTTGTTTTAACAGCCAAGGATCCATAAAGTTGAGTTATTTATTAATTAAAATAATTTACCATATGCAAAAAGAGTAAAAACGATTATTATTAATATTATTATCATAGAAATGTATAAATCCCTTCTTCTTTGTGCTTTGCTAATAGCAACTCAAGCTGGACATGTTAGAAAAACTCATGGAGCAGTTCATTAGAAGAGAGTCTTCAATAGTGCCTTCATGGAATTTGTCAATATGGGAGATTCTGATTATCACCTTAACCCTAAGGAAGCTTGTAAGATCTCTTCATTTAAATAGAACATTGGGCATAGATAACATCAGAAGAGACCAAACATGATAAAAAAGCCAAGAAACATGCTTCATTAGTCCAAACAAATGAATAATATGTTCCTGGAGTTGCAGGTCAAGTAACTGATTTATCCAATAATGCTGGAGTATATTCTTATACAGTTACTGATTTGAATGGAAATATTCTTGAATAGGATGCAGGTGATCATTTACCAAAGTAATTTTATAATGCTTATTTGTAAATGACCCAAGAAATTGAAAAGGGTCCTGCAATGATCAAATTATAAACTGATTTGGATAACATTATTAGAGAAGATCAATTAGAACAAGAGAATAAATAAGAATAACAATCTTAAGCTCTTGAAGGAACTGCTCTTTCAGAATAAGAATAATGATTAACATATCACACCATATTATCTAATATTTTTTGATATTTTTCTTTTATTTCTTATTATTTTTGATAATTCCCTCCTCTTCATTATTATTTCTATAAATATTGCAATTTATTATTAAAAATGAAGCCTACAGCCAAAGTCTTTGAATATTTGAATTAATACAATTATTATCTCCCTTAAAACCTTGAGCATGTTTAAAAAATGTATCAATCATACAAATTACTAGGTTTTATGAATAAATGGTTTAACATTTGCAATTAGGAGATAGTTTTAAAAATTCCTTTATAAGTCAAATATCACAGATTAATCAAAAAGCATAAAGAGAACATGAATTCAGATAATTGATACGAGATACTTGGTTTGGATTTGTTAATAAAACACCCATTAATATAATATGTCCAATGGTACATTAACAAGAAGTATAGGATGTCTAGGACTTCATTTTAAAAGTCTTATTAGAACCTTAATCATTCGAGATCATTTATGTTGATGATTTATTATCAGTTTATGAGGCTTATTTTTAGACTGTATTAAAATTCTTATATTGTAGAATAAAGGTATAGTAAAAGTATATATCAGGAATAGATTTAGAATGATAATCAGTAGGTTGATATGCAGCAAATTCGTAAAATAATTAGATACTAAATATTAATCAAAGGTTAACTAGTTCTTATTTCAAATTTATCTTAAAAAGATTGAGACACAGGATTAAAATATATTAATTTAAACTGAATTGTTGACAGAATCAAATTTCTATTAGAAAATGTTTGAATAATTATTTGATCCATCAGAATTACAAGGAAATTTTTCCAACATTATAAAGAATGTGATTTAAATTCTTGTTCGTGAAATTGTTAATGTAGCATAATCATTAGAAATTTTAATTCAATTCTATCATTTGTATAATGAAAAAGATAAAATTTTATTTGAAAAATATGATCAAAGACTTAATATTGATCAGAATAAATTAGCAACTGAAATCTTTCTAAAATTCAAAGAAAATTAAGATTTAAGAGAAGCGATTAGGATAGTTTTTCAAAAAATTAACCTGAATCATAGCACAGATTATAAGAAATTGTTGAAAGATTTGGTGTCAAAAGACATATATAATAGAGAGAATGAATAATGGGTTTGCTTAATTTTGAGAGAATATGAGTATTAAATTCAAAGGAATCGAAAATAACCTCCTGTTCAAAATGATTTTTAAACATACTTAAGACATTAAGGATTCATATAGAAAACAGAAAAAAAAGGAGAATAAGAATTTGATAATCCTAAATTTAATTTGATTATTCATGATTAAACCAATTTTACCGTGTATAATAAAATGAACAAGCAGACTAAAAAATTTATGTAAATCAAAGAAGTATATCATTATATACAAAATAGTATCTAGAATTTTAATAATTGAATATATGTATTTATTATAAATAATCATATTTATCAAATCCTATTTTGTTTACAGAGTCATAAATAAAAAAATAAATTAGGAATATAAATTAATTATTCAGATTATTCATTTACATTCTAAATCTATTAAATTATTATATTTTAATGAAATTCAACAACTTTATTTTTATGAACATTATTAATTTAACAAATGAAAAATCTTATTAAATCATACTAGTATAAATAGAATAGATGTAATTAATAAGAATTAGATCATTTAAATTAATAATAGGAATAATTGAATGTAATTTATTTGGTAAAAATTGAAATAGAATAGAATTACTAATATTGAATTATGAAAATAAAATTCAAATTTTTTAATAACTTTATTTTATAATTTAACTATTTATAATAAGATCCAAAAGATAAAAAATGGTTAAATTAATTATCTAATAAATCAAATTGATCTAAAAAACAAGTATCTTAAATTTTTATCCAAAGATTTATTATAGAAATGAGAAATACTATACAAATATTAGTAGATTTATAAATAATAAAGTGTGTTTGAAATAATTGAGATAGGATAACTATAATGTAAATTAATTTATAATCAAAATATGATATAATGAATAATAATAAATCATTCTCTATTGTAATTTTTAATTGTTTAAGCAATTTCATCTAAAATTTTATCTGGAAATTCTTATGCTCTACATATTTCTTTGATGTCTTCTTTTTTATCCAGATTCATATTCCAAGCCTTTTTTTAAACTCTTTGTAGTTTTATCAGCATTTTCCTATATTTTTTATCATCTTATATTTAATTCAAAAGTTCTAGATCATACTCTGCACATTGACGATCAAAGATCCTTAATATTGAATACTATATACTTCTAGATTTAGTTAATACTATAATCTTTCTTTTTAATGATACTGAAGGTGGTCAAATACTTTCTGAAATCAACATCAATTCTATTATGTTATTATCTTGATTCTTATTGATATTAATTTTCCATTTAAGTAAGTCTATAATTCAATTCGCATATAGAGATAGCGGTTTTTTCATATTATCTTGATTTTAGTTCTGATTCATTATATTCCTCTTGTTTTAACATAATTTACTTTAGATTATTAATAATAATGAAGAAATGTGACAATGAAAGAATAGCTTAATAAATATATGCCAGTTAGATGTTAAAATTGTAAGGTAAAATTTTGGAGAAGAAGTTAATTAAAACAGGGTCAAAGAATTAGATTGAAAGTTAATCATAAAACATCTCAAATAACAATAGTCCTGTCGTTGGAAGATAAAAGTCTTATGAGAATCTATAGAAAGTTAATAAGACATTTATTAATCAACCTGTCTCTTAATAAAAATTAAGCAGTATTTTGAATGTGATTAGTGGATAATAACAAAATACTAAATAAAAGTATTCCATTAACAACGAATTGATTGAAACTGTTAAGATTTCACATAAGTTACGAAAGAATCAATCAATGATACATATCGAATAATAATCTCCTGCTCTAACTAAAAATGCATCCTTCCATCATTCAGTTAAAAATAAAATCAATAGTAATAGTGTATCAAGTGATCAATCTTAAATTCAAAAAGTCAAAGAGAAAATCAAATTATTATTATAGGAAAGAGATTAAAATCTACCATAAGATGCAAAAGAATTAGCATTTATGACTAAATTCAATCAAATTCTAAATTAATTAGTGGTAGTGTTATTTCAAGAACCAAATTTATAAGCATCTCAATAACAATTCAATTTGCCATCTTCAACTTAAGATACTTTCTAAGCTATTTAAATAGATCATTTTTTTAAAAGACAGATTCAGATATTGCAATAGTCTTTTTAGTTATAATTAGACAAGAAGAAATTAGAAAATGTGTTATTGTAAATAAAAAAGAAGTAAGAGATTTTGCAATAGGAAAATGATTAATTGTCATAAAATAAATTATAAATGAATGATTAGATAACTTAATTGAAATAATAAATTACAGAATTGTAAAAATAGAACGATAACAATGAAGAAAATATTTAATTAGAATCAGGTAATTATTATATTCAATATTGAAATAGAAACTTAAGAGTTGAAATATCTTGTATAAGGATAATTTGAAGCCATACAAAAATTGTTATAAAGAGAATAATTAATGAAGGTATTTTTAAAAAGGGTGGGTGATAGTTCTATAATAGAGTAAAAAAAATATAATATTTGAAATTGATAGGATGTTTGAATAATTTATCCAGAGTGCAGAGAATGTGAATTAAGATGATACTGAAGGAAATTTGAATATTGATATGTTGCCATAACAGAAACATACCTAAGTTTAAAAGAATAATTAATAATAATAATAATAATAAATTCCAGATAAAATAATTCAATAATATGAAATTAGTTATAAATAATTAGATTTATGTGATTCACTATTAGCTGATGATTCAAGTAGATATTATTTACTAATATTATATAGGAGTGAATGATTCAGAAGAAAGTAGTTTCGGATATTTAGGAAAAGAGTAGGCAACTGAAGTCAGTTGTTATTTCACTTAAGCTTAGTAATTTATTTAATTAGTTATTTATTTTTAGATAATTCTAATAGTAACAAAACCAATAACCATTTTAACAACAACAGAATTTAAAAGTGAAAGGAAAATCTAATATTAAAGATAAGTTAAGAATTAATATGATGGATGTGTAATTAGCATAAGCTGCGTAATTAATATTTTATAATTAATTAAAGTTAGAAACATGAATATCTGAAATAGCAATAATTGCTATAACAATAATAGTAACATCATGATAAGATTTTGCCAGATGATATTAATAGTGAAGATGTAAGTAAAATTTATATTCATAGTTTTGAATAGTTTACAAGATTTGATATTTAAATACTATTATTAAAATAAGATATAAATAATATTTTGTCTCTTAAAATTTATAATAATCTATCATTATTATTATTATTATTATTCTACAGGCATTTCTTCAATATTAGCAGTGGCAGTTTATTAAGATTATTCTTCTCCTGGAGATGCTAAACTTGATTATCCACTTAATATTTCATAAGATCTCTTTGCATCTTCTTCAACCATTTTTTAGTATTGTTCTCTACCTGATAGAATAATAAAATAAAAATTTACTAATCACATTTCCATCATTATCAAAGAATTATATTTTTGGTGTTGATAAATCACCTGAATCTAAAATTGCCTTTTCAGAATCTTTCAATTCACTAAACCAACTACTACCAGTTTCTTAAACTTCTTATAATTATGGTTCTGGTAAATGTAAACCAGATGGAATACAATCATTACTCATTAACATATTGATTTGATTANATGTTTGAATAATTTATCCAGAGTGCAGAGAATGTGAATTAAGATGATACTGAAGGAAATTTGAATATTGATATGTTGCCATAACAGAAACATACCTAAGTTTAAAAGAATAATTAATAATAATAATAATAATAAATTCCAGATAAAATAATTCAATAATATGAAATTAGTTATAAATAATTAGATTTATGTGATTCACTATTAGCTGATGATTCAAGTAGATATTATTTACTAATATTATATAGGAGTGAATGATTCAGAAGAAAGTAGTTTCGGATATTTAGGAAAAGAGTAGGCAACTGAAGTCAGTTGTTATTTCACTTAAGCTTAGTAATTTATTTAATTAGTTATTTATTTTTAGATAATTCTAATAGTAACAAAACCAATAACCATTTTAACAACAACAGAATTTAAAAGTGAAAGGAAAATCTAATATTAAAGATAAGTTAAGAATTAATATGATGGATGTGTAATTAGCATAAGCTGCGTAATTAATATTTTATAATTAATTAAAGTTAGAAACATGAATATCTGAAATAGCAATAATTGCTATAACAATAATAGTAACATCATGATAAGATTTTGCCAGATGATATTAATAGTGAAGATGTAAGTAAAATTTATATTCATAGTTTTGAATAGTTTACAAGATTTGATATTTAAATACTATTATTAAAATAAGATATAAATAATATTTTGTCTCTTAAAATTTATAATAATCTATCATTATTATTATTATTATTATTCTACAGGCATTTCTTCAATATTAGCAGTGGCAGTTTATTAAGATTATTCTTCTCCTGGAGATGCTAAACTTGATTATCCACTTAATATTTCATAAGATCTCTTTGCATCTTCTTCAACCATTTTTTAGTATTGTTCTCTACCTGATAGAATAATAAAATAAAAATTTACTAATCACATTTCCATCATTATCAAAGAATTATATTTTTGGTGTTGATAAATCACCTGAATCTAAAATTGCCTTTTCAGAATCTTTCAATTCACTAAACCAACTACTACCAGTTTCTTAAACTTCTTATAATTATGGTTCTGGTAAATGTAAACCAGATGGAATACAATCATTACTCATTAACATATTGATTTGATTACCTTCTAAGGCATCAGTCATTTAAAATGAGGTTCTAATAGACATATAAATAATACCCAATAGGAACATATACAGATTAAATTGGAAGTTAAAATGATAAAACTTCATCTGGTTAATTGCAATACTTAAATGATGAACCTCTAAAGTTGCATTCAGAATACAATATAATGCAATCACCTGTTGCAGGAAGGTTTTACTCATAATTTCTAGCTATTAAAATTTATTATTCTTTAGCTGATTATAAGACTGACTATGGATCATAAACATATTCTTATTCAGGAGCCATAGCTGTTTCAATGTCTTGTTATTACACATCCTCTTATAGCATGATGGGAGCATATGGTGTTTAATAATATTATGCTGACTCTTCCAAAAAGGATTGAGTATTGACTGCTATTAGAAGAACTAATATTAATTGTATTTTCATTATTTAAATAAAAACGAATAATCTCAAACTATAATATTTAAATACTATTTCATTATTCATCATCTTTGATATTCAAATCTTCTGATACATTAGATATCACTTATTATGGATAGTAATTCAAATTCAACTGAAGTTATTGTGGATGCATAAAATAACAAAATAGATTTTTATCATCCATTTATTATTACATTTATTATTATGCAAGCAAGTATTATTGATAGTACAACTATTATTGATCATATATATTTAATTTATCTTCATCCTTGCCAATCTAATCAAGTATTGGAAACATATATGGCATCTATGGAAATTGAAATTAATAATCCTAAAATCCCTGTTGCTATTAATATAATTGTGGCCCAACCATAAATTACTATAGCAGTCCGTTATCATTATATTTGTCTATTCTATCCTAGTTTCCATTCTCTTTTCTCTTTCTACCAACTCCCTTCTATCTCTTCTTGACCGAATGCACAAAAGGATTGAACTTCTGGTGATGAGACCTAGAAGATAGAGAAAAAACCAATCTCACCGGCATTATGAAGGACTTCTTGTACCAATAGTTTCACTCATTAATTTAAAAATCTTGCTTGTTTTCTTTTAATCTTATGATTCCATAACTGTTCTGTGCATATTCAAGAATTCTATATATGTATTGTGTTCCTATTCACTCCAATGTCCTGTTAATTAATTGGGATTTGTAATTACTCTTTTTTTATTCTTCCTTCTTTACTCACCTTCCTCAGCTTATAAATTTATATCCTCTTATTTAGCCCATATCTCCTCCTAACTCATAATTGCTTCTAATATATATATATATATTTATTATTTAATTAATTAAAATAATCATTCATTTCTCCTCTATTGACTAATCCTTTTGTGATAAAACTGAATTATTGTGTTGTGAATTGGTTCTTTAAGAATATGTTTTATTTACATGTTGCATCAATTTTATTTGAGTATTTAATAATTCTATTCTTATTCATAATTGCATACTTTTCTAAAAATCATCCTATATCTAAGTCAATTCAGTAAAATGTTATTTTATTTAAGTAATCTGATTATTCTACTATTTATTTTGATTATTATTAACATTCTTTAAATTTTCTATTTCTTACATTAAATCCTTCACTAAATTATTATTATTATTATTCTTGTTTGTAAATATTTTCTATATCAAATATAATGTTATTATTGTACAATATATAAATAATAATATGTTTACTTCCATTATTATTATATTATTATTTTAATAATAAATAAAACAGATAATTAATTAATAAAATAATTTATATGTAAACTGCACCTCCATTCTCACATAATCATTCCAATCCTCTCTTAATGAAAGATGATGTTGGAAAACCTAAACCATCTACATACAATCTTCCCAATCAAGATTTTATTTATGGATAACCATTATCAAGAGACAAAGAAGGAGCCAAAGAAGGTATATATCATAATATTTAATACTCTTAAGTTACTATGACATGGAAATTTCATCAAGAATCTCAAGATAGACTACCAAATAGAGACTTTGCTGAACTCAATAAATAATCAATACACAATGGCTCAGTTAAAGCACATGTAACTGATTTATCATTATTTATATAGGATATGTACAAATATAGATAGACTCACGATGCTAGACTTAAATTAAAGAAAGGTACAAATATTCAAGCTATTGAATTACCAGAAGAAGAATTTCGTTATGGTCGTAAAAACAGGTATTTCCAAATCCCTATTTAGACCATCTACCCCTATGAAATTGGTAATGGGCAACTCATATGGTATTGAAGCTGAATCAACTATTCTGGATAAATATCAATAGAGAGCAGGATCTCAAGTATATATAATATACTTAACCAAAGGATTCCAAATTAGCTTCATCCATGGTCAAAAGCAATAAGGCTTCTTAATTATTTCATGATACTAATCATAAAAAATTGGCTGCAATATAAGGAGTAGAAAAGAAGGAACCCTTTAAGATGGAGAAATTTAAATCTGTCACCCCTAAAATTAATACCAATTTATCAACTAAAAAATGATTATTTAAAATATTTTATTGAAATCATTAAATTAATGAAATGTCGATCTTTTCCACTAAATCCTTATCTACATAACAAAACTTATATGAATCAAAATTTCTATTTTTATCTTTATTAGACTCCATAACCAATATTTCCTCATAATATCTATCATATCCACTAAAATACTCTTCATATATTTTAAACTTACCTAAATTTGTTAACTCTCTTTTTAAAAATTAACATAATTGAATTGCATCCTTTCTATGTTTTAATACACTTATAGATGCAAGTATTCTTTTTAATCTTAATAAATTATGAGTATTTTTTAAACAACATAGTTCAAATTAATTCTTATCAATTAATACTAATTCTAATTTATAATTAATTTCAGTTTAATCTGTACTCTTATTATTATTTTTGATTTAAATATTATTCAAAGTATTTGTATCTTTTGATTATTAAAATTATTATTGTAATTATTATAATTAATTAATACCTCTAATATGTTATTAAGATTTTTATTTTAACTATTATTATATCTCAATTTATTCATTAATAGTCTTTTATGGAAATATTTTAGAATTAATCTAATTATTTTTTTCTTAGGTATCTTTAGATTCTTAAATTTTTATATTTTATTTTTATGATTAAGACTACTAATTAATATTATAACACTTAATAGAATCATCATTTTGTGTATCCATAATTACCATTTATTTTAATCCAATACCAAAAAAGCGTAAAATCATTATGTAATTTTTATAATATCTCTTAAGTATTGTTTCTGATTTAATCATTTATTATCTTTCTATGAGTGTTAATTTATAACAATTTGAATTAAATCTACTTGAATAAAAGTTAGGGAACAGCCATTGAATAAAAGAATGATCATACTCTAAATTTTAATAGAATTGTTCAATATTTTGAATTGAGATTTCTTATTATTTTTAAAATTACTCAATAAATGTTCTTATTTATGGTTTTACTTCTTGCCAAGTTGCTTTATTATAAAAATCAAAATTTCTCATAATTTCTGGTTATATTGATTGCATAACTTAAAATATAAAAAATTTAATGATTAAATATGTTAAATCATGAAAAAATTCTTAAATTGTGGAGTTTAGGATATTTAAATTGAAAAGTACCTATCAAATCCTATAATTTTTTTTAACATAAATTAAGCTCGATTTAATCATTTTAAAAGATTTACAATATTTTATTTTACTAAATGGATAGTATAAATAAATTACAAATTAATTAATGATGATTTATTGATTATTTAAATAGTTTTCGTTGACAAAATCAGTGATGGAATAAATAAGTGATGAAGATGCTAAAGTATATAAATTGAAGGATGTCATAGAATAGTCATGTAGACACATTTTCAAAATATAAATACTGGCATCTAAAATATTTTATAAATAAGGACTAAATTTATAATTAATTATAATTACTTATCATTCAAACTAAAACATTAGTAAAAGATATTTTTCAAAAAATCTAATGCTGTTGGAAATGTGATCTCAAAATTCAAAGTTTCTAATATTGTTTATTCCATTTCTTTGATTTTTGATCTAGAAATAAATATAAATTATACATTGAATATTCATTGTGACAAATTCTAGTTACAAAATCTTATAAAGGAATTTGATAAATATCTTCAAGTTTAGTAGCTATAAACATGGAAGTGATACCAATAAGATGAAGTTGATTATCAGTATATTGGAATATGGTTTTTTAGAGGTAATAATCCATAATAGAAATAGATCTGAAGAATGTAGCATCAGAAGTAGTTTCACTATAATTTCCTAAAACTCCAATCATCCAATTAATCATCTTGGCTCTCAATTAATATGAGATCTTTTAGTTTGAAAGACTATTTCCAAGGTAGACATATTCACTTATCATTGATGATGAAAAGTTTTAGTGATAATTTTAGTGATAATGTGATTATCTTCTTAATTCTGAATAATCTTGATCTTCATTAATAAGTACTAAAATAGAACTATAATTAAATACATAATTGTTAGGCATCCTTTAGGTAGAGGTGGATTAATTTCTAATTTATTATCTCCTTTTGTTATTAAACTTCAAGTTCTTTAATGAAATTAAGTATTTTTCTTTCTTTTTCTTTTGGTTAAAGATGTTACTTTTCTTATGATTTTGAGTTAGTTTTGCATGATGATGATTGTGAAAAAAGGTTTTTATTTAACTTTTGAGTCTTTTAGATTTTAAGTTGTGGAGATGTACTTCTTCCAGACATTGAAAAATTCCTATCTTATTTCATTAATAAATCAAAATGATATAATCATTTTTGGTTATCTCGAAATTTAGTTAAGTATTTTTTTACTTGCATTTTCTATTTTCACTTAACTAAAAATAATTAATTAATGTTATTAAATTATATACTAATACCAATTGTAATTGGGTCATAAGAGTCTTGTCAACATTATATGACATCACTTTTGATGAAAGCTGAAATTGAAGGTTATAAGAAGCTTCTTGAAGATATTTGGCCATATGCAAGTTTATCAGGCACTAGGTATTATATGTTATTATAAGGTAGTCTTAATCAATTTGGAATGTTTGAAACTTGTTTAAGAAAGGGATATTATTATTCAAGTCTTAAAATAGATATGGAACCTATGCCAAGTTATTATGGATTATGTCATTCAAGAGATTGTACAACAGATGACTTCAATGATGAATAATTATAGTCTGATTTTAAAGAATTAATCAATTCTACAGGAATTTTAGATAAATATAATGTAAAAATGAAGTTATTCAAGATATCATTAGATGATGCTGATTTTATTTTTTATGATCCTCTAAATTATAAAAAGGATTCAGGTATTATGTTTACATTTACACTTTTTCTTATTGGAATGTTTTTGATTCTTAGTTGTTTTAATCCAATATTTTGTTAATTGATGAATTTTAAGAGACAAGTCAAAGTATCTATAAATACAAGAGATATTGAAAATAATGCAAAACATGATGATGAAAATTAAGGATTGACAAATAATGAGATTACAATAATAAAATAAGTAGAAACAAATAAATCATGTTTCTTAGATTATTCTATTTAGGCAAGTTATAATACATTATTTACATTTAAAGATCATGATACTAATTTAAGTATAATGGAAGGATATAGATCAATAGGATTTTTAATGGTTATTTTTGGTCATTAATTTCTTGATTTAGCTAAATCATCATTTAAATTTGAAATGATAGCTTAATTAAAATCATGGTTATGTCTAAATTTAGTTAATATGTTATATAGTGTAGATATGTTCTTTTGGTTAGGTGGTTTTTTTAGTGCTTATATGTTATTTGAGAAAAGTAAAGTGAAATTAGTTAAAAGAAATGGATTAACAATATTTGGATTCTTATTACATAGAATATTAAGAATTTGGCCATGTTATGTAGTAGCAATTTTGATTAGTTCATAATTAGTACCTTATATAGGAGATGGACCAAGATGGTTTATGGCTTTAGATCGTTTTGAATGTGCAACAGGATGGAGAAATTTAATATTTATAGATAACCTATTTTATGATACTTAATATTGTTTTCCATGGGGTTGGTATTTATCTACAGATATGCAATTATTTATATCTTCTTTGATTCCAATGTTTTTATATGCAAAATTAAATTCAAGAATATCAAAGGCAGTGATAATATCATTATTAGTAATTACTTAAACTATTGGAACAGTGATGTCATTGTAAAATGAATATTTATTACCTCCTTTTGCATTGACATAACAAAATATGCATTAGAATTACTATACAAAACCATTTACAAGAGGTCCTCCATATTATTTAGGATTATTATTGGGAGTTTTATATAGAGAAATAAAAGAAAATAATATGAATGTATTAAATAAATTATAGGAATATTCTTAAAAGAGATAATTTAAATTTAAATTATTTTGTTATATATTAGGATGTTTAATAATTGGAGGTATATGGTTTGGATGGAGACCAGCTCAATTAAATTATTAAAATTAAGATTATTGGAATAAAACAATATAGAGTATTTGGTTTGCATTTTGTAGATTAGGAATAGCTATAGGAATGAGTTTATTATCATTACCATGTTTATTTGGAATGAAAGATATGTAAATAATATATAATTATATATATTAGATTTAATTTGACATTTATGAGAAATAATTATTTTAGATTTATTAACAAGATTTCTTTTTCTGGTTATTTAATTCATTAAATAATAATTTTTGGATTGTTAGGATAATTCTATCAAACACCTAATTTCTCATTTGAAACAATATTCACACTTTATATAGGAAATTTGTTTATCACTTTAATATGTTCAATAATATTTTGTTTATTTATAGAGTAGCCTTTAACAAGAATGGAATATAGTCTAATGAAATATATGTTTAACAAATGATTATCAATATTGAATGTGTGTTAATAAATACTCATTTATAATTAAGTGCAATAAATTTAACTGCTGCTTTCATCATATCTGATTATAATTTTGCATATTGATTAGTTACTGATTAAGGTACATCTCCTCTTGGATCAAAACATTAGATTGCTATGATTTTAGTCATCTAAGATTTAATTAATAAATAATTATACTTAATTTGGCTAAGGTATAATGATCCAACCACTTAAATGCATCTCTGCTCTTTCAATTTTTGGAATTGGAGGTGTTTTCTAATGTATAATTGATTTTGCTAGAATAAATATTAGAAATAGTCATACCACAAACAATTATAATACCATCATTTTATTTATACACTTTTTGAACCATAATTAAATCTCTACTACTCATAAATGGAATAGGTGCTTTCATTCTCACATAAACTAATCTTGTATTTGCATCAATCTATTCTACAACATGAGCCTATGTTAATATATTATAATAATTAATACAGTTTCCACTTTCTCATCATACATAGGTCTCTTATTCACATCACCTATTAAATCAAGTATTTAATCAGGTGTTCTTGCTATTTCTGTTTATGTCCTATTCATAGTTATTCCATTTTCTGGATTCTTTTTTGTATATACAATATATCCATCTTTATTTGAATATAATTCCCACATATTTTGTTCATTGATTTCTTACCATTTCATCATTTTATTCTTTGTTTCTAAGGTTTATTAAATATTTATACCATCAATTAATGCTTCATAATTTACTTACATTTGTCTAAATATATTATTTAAGTTTGTTATTTGATATACTTATCAATTTTATTTTATATAGAACTCAATATTTAATTCTATATATCTAATATATTTTATAATATATTATTACATTTACCCCTTTTTATTTTAATAACTTATACAATGATTATGATAATAATATATATATATATATATATAGTATCAAATTGAAATAATTTTATTACTTATCAAATAAAATGAAATAGAAAAATAATTATTTGATTAAATAGAAATAATTAAATTATATTATTATATTGATTCAATCTTTACATGTTTTTGTAAATTTCTAATTGTAGATTTATTGCTATTATAACATTTCTTATGTTTCTTATTATCTCCATTTGTTTCCTATCAATTAAATTTCTTTTTCATATTATGCTAATGTTGGTGGAGGTTAAACTTATTAAATAATAGATCCTAAGTTATATTTATATATATGATTACCTAATTCTTCATGATAAACTAACATTGAAAATTAAGAAATATCTTTAACATTCGATGAACTTAATGTAGCATAATCAAATCTTCCTCTTAAATCTGTATATCCATCTTTATGGAAATTTTCTTAATCAGATTTATTCTTAGAATATACTTTCACATAAACTTTAGATAAGTATTATCCTTATTAATTAAATACTCTAATTTATCCAGAATCTAACATTGTTTATACAAATAAAGATGTTGGTTAATATTTACAAGTAACTGATTTCTATTAACCTTTTATAGTAACAAACAAATTCTCTTTAGATATTTCACTAGGAATTTTAATTTTCTCTTAAAACAAACTTAATTTATTATAATAAATATTTACTTCTTTTGTATTTCTTAACCAACTAATTTTTGTGTTAAACATACATTTGGTAATACAATTGAAAAATCTTGAATTACATTTTTCATAAATGGATTATTAGAAAATAGAATTTCAATATCTAATTTATAATATTCTATTTTCACTTCACATAAATTTGAAAATGTAATATTTATAGAGTCTCCTTCAATTATACATGTTAATGTTTCTTCTTTCTTAATTAAATCTTGTTATTTTTATTATTATGTTATTTCTAATTTAGAAAATTAATTATCTTCTTCTCCATCATATTCAATAAATAAATTAATTATTTCATAAAACATATTCCTCCAATGTATAACAGGATAACTCAAATATTTTTGGCATATTTCTCTTGCTTTCTAAAAGTTTGGATATCCAGTATAGAAATCTAAATATGCTGATAAATAATCAAATTATAATTGCTATTCTTTTTGTTCTTCTTCACTAATCTATTAATAAACTGAAACAGCTTCATTGACTCTTTCCTATAATAATAAATAGTATATAAGAACTAATTTATCAACAGTTGAAAATTAAGGTTTTTCCAATAAATAAATTAAATAATTTGTATATTATTATCTAAATTAAACATTTAATATATTATTCTCTCCTTATTTAAGTTTATGTACTCTTTTAATAATTAGTGGATAATATTCTAATACTCTTATAGAATTAATTTCAAATAAAGAACATTTAAAATGTTTAAATTTCTATTTCAATGCAATTTAAGCTTATTCTGTTAAAAATAATTCTTTCAAACATTCTACATTATTGTGTAATAATGAATAACTAAAAGTGTAATAATCATAAAATTTTCTTTATCTATATATTTCCATTACTTAATTATAAAATACTTAATCATTAAATTTATGATATAATAATTTTGGATTAAATAATTTACTATTGAAAATGTTCTTATTCTATATATAATTTAAAATATCTTAATTATTATCTGTTGATAATACTTCGTTAATATTTTCTAGATTTACTTTTGGTTTTTAATCATAAACTTAAAATATTTTCTCTTTTGCAATTTAAATAACTTTACCAAGTTTTGATATATTAGCTGGATATATTGTAAAATTTCCTGATTTTGGAAAATAGAAAAAGTACTTCTATATTTATGTCTAATATGGAGCACAAGTTAATGTAAATGTTTTAGTTGAAAATGTTGTAAAAACTGGAATTGAACCATTTGGAATTTCAACTAATAATTAAAATGTTTATGATATTGCTGAACAATTAGAAATAACAATTTTACAACAATATACTTTTTTAATAAAGAATTCATTTAAATCTTATTCAAATTCATTACCATCTTAATCAACTTAATTCTCTTCATTAATATCAAAAAATGTTTAATTTATTATGATATTTGAATTAAGTTAAACTTCTGCTTCTTTAATTTCTCTTGTAAATATAAGTGCAGAACTTTCATAATTAATTTCCAATCCTTTATTTCCAAATTAAGTCTAATTAAATTAAGCAGTTTAAAATGGTAAACTCATCAATGCTAATACACTTAGAATTTCTGTAAAATTATTATTACAAAATATAAAAGATGAAGGACAGAAATCTTCCTTTAAAAATCCTTTCTATATTGAATGATTCACAAGATCTACATAAAATTCCTATAATTTTACTAAATTTTTAAAATCTTATTAATTAACTCCATTTCTATAATGTTTTTCACAATATTCATTTGTAGTTTCAACATTTTAGAAAGTCTTTATTAATTTATCCCTCATATTATCATATTTTATAGCTACTTCTTAAGGTTTAGATTTAAACTTCATTTAAGGTAATTTATTTATATTTCCTGTAATTGATGCTTATCGTTTAATAGATAGATTTATAGATTCCATACTCATAGATTCATCATCTCCTTTCCTATATTCAATACTATCAAACTGCATTACAGATGATTTCTTTTTAAGTTTAATTGGCATTCTCTAAATCATTTGCTCTTTTGGAGGAACAAAATTAATAAATTCTTATTGTTTATTCTCAAGAACTTCTCCTTTCTCATTTGTAAAATCCTTCTCTATTCCTAAAATAGTATCAAAAAGTGTTTTAAATCTATCATCATCTTATTTAATAAGTTTATTATTATTATTATGATTCATATAAAGTGCAATTGCTTATGCTTCTTCTTTTTTTTCAATAATTTCTTAAAAGTAAATAACTAATAATGCTTATTCTAATGCATTTAATTATTTAAATAAAGTTACTTAAGAGTATTTATTAAGAACTATTTAATCTTAAAGTAGAAAGTAATCTATAAATGATTTTTCTATTTTATTTGATATATATTTAGATATATATGTTTCATAATATGCTGGATCTTTAAAATATAAAAATAGATTGAGTTCATCACATTAATGTTAATTATAAAATTTATGTTGAGATTGAATAGTCTCTTAATTCCATTTTAATAGTTGATTAATGAATTTTTCATCATCAGCAATCAATTTATTATTGCCTATTTTCATTAATTCTTTTTATATTCTAAACAATACATTTAAGTTATCTAAAATAAATATTTCAGTTGAAGATATGTCTTAAATTTAATATGGAATCTTAGGCTTTATATGTGTTGTACTACGAAAAGTGGAATAAAATTTATCTTTTGATAAAGATGACAGATGACATAGATTCTTTGTTTATATTTAACTATTAGATAATGGCAATACTCTAGATATATATGCTTCACTGGTGTAAGCTAAAATAAAAACAGTAGAATATTATTTTGGTACTTCAAATGAGAAATGATTCTTTTCTTAATTGATTTGAGTAATTAATTTTCCAGGAAAAACTAAAAATTCAGTAAAACTATCACATTATTAATTTCCTGCAAATTAATTAGCTGTTTTTCTAAGTTATCTAGGAGATGCACATCTTCTCCTTTCATTTCCTGTTAAATTATGATCTTATTTCAATATTTATTCATCTTATGTTGTAGTCAAGTCAGCAATAAGTCTATTTAATAGAATTTATGGTTTCTCTAGTGTATTTCCTACATATTTAGTTTAATTTTTTCTTTCAATTATATATCTTAATTCTTCTGATTATTATAAATTAGATAAATAGATATTATCTCTTAATTCTATTCGAAGATGATTATCAGGACTATTTTAATAAAATATTGATCCCATTTATTTATTTATTATTGATAATTCTTTTGGAAAGAAGGTTGTTGCCAAAGCTAAAAATCTAACTTAATTTGATGACACATAATCTCCTTCAATAAGAAAATGTTATTCTTTATCAATAATTTTGGTATTTTCTAAAGAGAAATATTTATCATCTAAGTTTTGAGTAATTCTTTTAGTTTATGTATATATTAAATTATCTGAATGTTTTACATTATTTTCAAGAACATTAAATTGATAAATTACTTTTTATTTAACAAATTCCAGTATATATTATCCTTTCTTTTCAAATTGTATAATTATTGAATTATTATCCCTTGAAACTTTTTATAAAAGATTCTTTACAGGTAAAAATACTTATTTCATACATTTTGTTTTATAAAATAACACATCTTATTCATTATATTTAAGTGTTAATTTTTGTCCAACAACAAATGTTTCTTAATAGTTTTCTAAACAAAAATGATTTGGATTGAATATTTCCCATTCCCTTTTTTCAATTTATAAATTTGTAGTAAGTATAGATGAAGATATTTTACTTATATTTTTTAAGAATCCTAATTTAATTTATCCTTACTAATTTGTAATAAGCTTTTCTTAAATTTAATCATCAATTTCTGAATGTTCAAATTATATTTAAATTTAAGTATTACTATTAGGTTCTCCATTTTTTCCTAATAAATAAATTGAGTATCCATCATTTTAATCAAATTTCAATAATTATTTTAAAAATATATGTTAAGATTATCCATGATTAAATTTAACTGAATGAACCTTTTTTAAGATTAAATCTTAATCAAAACGCAATCTTTTAATTTTACCTGAAACTTCAATTTCTATATTTCTTAATTATTAAGTAATTGGAAATTTAATTTCTAATGGAATATTACTTTCAAAAATTAGATCTTTAAATGTAAATGTTTATGGAACTCCTTTATCATTAACACATGTTACTAATATTTATTAATCTTTAAAAAATCCAAAACCAATATCTTAATTATTAAGTAATAATTTTGGTATAATAATTGTAATAAGTTCTTATCCTAATTATATTTATTCTTCAGTTAATATAAATGCACATAATAATTAAAATTATTCAGGTTATAAATTAAGTTATGTTTTTTAATAAAAATCTCCATGTTAAATAATTGCATTATATTTAGTTTCTTATTCTGGAAATGGTAATATAATTTCACCATTTTATTATTTATAAAAAGTTTCATTTATCCATAATCCAATTTAATCATCAATTAATTTTTCAAATTTTTCATCAAATATTTCATATTTATATCCAGCTGATACAATAGTTTCATGTAAACATAATCTTCCTTTTTCTATTATTGCTCTTGATGATAATCCATTACCAATAAATTCAATAATAAATGTACCTCTTTCACTTTTTTATATTGATTCAAATGAAAATTCTTTTATAACTTTTTTAATTGGAGGATAATCATAATTAAAATTTATTTCTTCAGTTGGAATAAATCCATCTAAACATAAATTTGAAGTTAATTATTCACTTTTTGCCATATAAAAATTTTTCATATTAATTTAAAATATTTTGATTGTCAAATTAGATATATTCTTTAATTCTATATAAAGAGTAACTGGATCACCTTTAAAAAAGTATTATTTATTATTATCACATAAATTAAGTATCTTATTATTATTCATTTATTTAATTTATGAATTAGTAAAGTATTCAGTTAAATTAGGTACTTCATCTCCTTTATATAAATTACATTCAGCTTTTAACATTTTTAGATAATTAGCTTCTAAATATAATTCAAATATGCTATAATTATCATGTAATGAAAAATATTTCTCTAAATATTTCTCTATCATTTTATCAACACTCATCCCTATATAATAATTAAATAATAATACATCTCTAATAATTAAATTCATGAAATTCATGCCAAAATGATTAATATTCTCTTCTAATTTTACTTTAATAATCTCTTTATTATTACGTACTATTAGAATAGAAATCTTTTGGATTTTTTAAATATTCTGAAAACAAATCAAAATCAAAATGTTTAAATTCAATCCCTAATTATAATAATTCTAGTAATATTTAATCACTTAATGATCTAAATTTATCTGGTAATGTTTTACTCCATAAATATCCCTTTTTTAATTTAGATAAAAATAAATCTTTATTATCTTAAAAATTTTCATCATTTTTATCATATTTACCTAAATTATACTTTTTAAAATATAAATATCCAACAAATTATTGATTTTCCAAAAATTTAATATTTAAATTTATTATTTTTTTCATTTAATTTAAAGTAAGCTTTTTAAAATGAATTGCATCAAATCTATTTTTATAATCATCTCTTTTTATCAATTCATTATAAAATTCTGGTATATTATTAAATCTAATTATTAAATAAAATTAAATACTCAATTATTAATGAATCAATTTTACTAAAGAATATATCAATTACTTTTATAGTCGATTTTGATAATTATATCAAATCTAATTTACAAAAAAGATTAGTCTTTAATTTTAATATTCCTTTTTCAGAATATGCATTCTTTATATATTCTTCTATTGATAATTTATTATCATCTAATTCTGAAAGTCCTACTTTTACTTATGCATTTCCACTAATTCCTTATTATTTTTATATTAATAATTTTTATTATTCACCATCTAAATTATTTAATGATAATTCATCAAAACTAATTCCAAATAATCTTTTATTAATTTTCTTCAATATCTCTTTCTCCTTCTATATCACTTTTTCACTCTATTACATTTTCATATATTCATCATATTCCATAAATAAAGATCTAAGTCGAATTTTTTAAAAGTTTTCTGTATTCATCTTTTTATATTATTCAAAGTGTTCTTATTATTTAGAATCTAATCTATATCCATTTGTATTTAAGATGTTAAGGAAATATTAATAATAATATTAATCAGATCCCTTAATCAATTTTGTAAGTCCTTCTTGTTTTGAACTCAATATAGCTGACTCTAATTAATTGAAATCTAATTCTGAATCATTTGGATTCTAAACCAAATTTATGTATACACTGTCTAAACTCATACTTACAGATGAGTTTAGTTCCTCAAAAGAGCATTAACTTGACATTTATTAAAAATAAAATGGATATTATATTTATAATTAAAATTAGATTAGATTAGAAGTAAAGAAAGACAAAACATATATCTTAATTTTCATATTTTCTTTAATATGTGCATTTAAATATTTAAGTAATTATATATATATATATAAATATTTAAATAATTATTGTTATTTCTATATTAAATAGAAATATATATTGAAATATAATATATGATTATATTTATGCTATTTAATAAAAAATTAATAGATTCTCTTAATATTATCTATTTCTTATATAATAATTATAATTATTCATTCCTAATATTTTCTCACCTATAATTCTTTTGTAACATAATCCCACGTTACTAAATAATCACCATTATCACATAAAGTACCAAAAATATAATTTGTCTAAAATTCAATACATTATTCAAGTATTAATTAACCACTATCAAGAACTCTTATGATATTAATACATTATCCACTTTTATTAATGATTAATTATTTTTATTTAATGTATTATTAAGGGAAAAAACAATTTTGATCAAAACCTTTTTTAATTTTGATACCTTAAGTTTTAGTGTATAATTAACTTTAAATATCTATTAAATAAACTTCCATTACATCTTAATTAATAGGTTGAAAAGTAAATTGATTATCATTAATGAAACCTAAACGATATCCTCCAGTATTTGTTAAGATCTTTTGAACTTAACTCCAATATTTATTATATTATGAATATTCAAAGATCAAAATAAAATGATCAAATCCACATGATATTAATTTATTTTGAGAATCATTTAAACTTAAACCATAAACTGAAAAAGTGTGATCTTAAATAGATTAAGAGACTTCCCATTATTGATCATTTTTCCAAATTATAATTTACTTATCATCTCCACTTGAGAATAAAGTGTTTTCATCTTAATTTACTAATAAACAATTGATTTAATAAGTATGACCTTTTAATTATTATTAACAAAACCAAAAATTATTTAAATTGTATTACCAAATTAAGATACTTGAATCTGCACTAGCTGATATAAATGAATTATTGATATTCATAAATTATAAAGCAGTAACACAACCAGAATGTCCATATAAGACTTACTGTTATTTCCGAATATAATCTTCAAATACATATACATTAATCTATTCATTACAACCTGCTAACAGAATTGAACAGTCTTTATTAAAAGTAATTGCATGACACCAATTTTAATATTTTATTGATTTATCGCTTTATAATTCATAAGGTAAGTTATTTTATGAATAATTATAAGTAAGATTAATTACTAATGATGGATTATTTGTTTCTATAATATTTTAATAACTTTCATTATCAATATCATCTTAACAAAGTTAAGTGCTCTTTAATTTTTCCAATTCATCAATTCTAAAAGGATTTTATGAGAAATTGATCTTCTTTAATAATATTATTTCGCATTCTTATAGATACAATAAAGTATCTTTAACAGATTTATTGATAAATTTATTTTGTTATTAGAATTATTTAATCAAAGGATCTTAAGTTAATTTACTTTTATTTGGTTTACTTAAATTTTCTGCAATTTCACAAATTTATTCTTTAGAAAGATGACTCCAATTTTATTACAATTTATAATTATTATCTCTTACTTCATTTATATATTCATTAAAATTTTCTTTTATTTTTCTTTTAAGATCTTCAATAATTTTAATGTAATTCTATTTTATCTAATCAAAACAATCTATAATATTATCTACTTTCTACAATAATATTTTAGAATTATTATTCATATTTTCTTATTTTTCTGTTTAAACTTGCTTCCATTTTGCTTAAACAAATTTTATTGATTTATATTGAGTTGATGGAAATTCATCAACACATTAAACACAAGCAATACGTTTCTTTAAAGATCTTACTTCATTTAAATCAAATAATATTATCTTTTCCTTTTAATGATACTCACACTCTATTTATAAATCCTATTATAATAATTATGATCTTTACATTATCATCATCATTAACTTAAAACTCATTCTTTATTGATTCCAAATTTTACAGACTTTAAATACAATTTATTATTAAATTGTTTTGTATTAATGCTTCCAATTTATTCTTTAAATCTAATTTAAATTCTTCATTATATGATAATTTCTAACTACCCAATTCTTAAGCAAACTTAAAAAATTCATCAATATCAATTAATTAATTAGTGTCTATCTTTTCATTAAATTCCTCTTCTTAATTTGAAATCATTTATACCCATTTTTCTAATGTATATGATATTTTTTCAAATTATTAAATGTAAGAGTCTTTAAGATTTTATACTTTATCCATTAATTCCTTAATTATTTAAACATATCTTTCTTTTTAATTATTTCTTTCTTATTTCAAATTAGATGTTATCTCTCTAATCTATTCTAAAGATTCAGTGATCAAAATCACTTTTTTTTTTGAAGTCTCAGCTAAGCATTTTATACATAATTATTTGTTATCAAATTCTTATTTATTCTAATTCAAAGCTATAAATTCTAATCCTTTATGTACTAAACAACTTTATTGCTTGTAATTTTTATTCATAATTTAATTAAAAAAAGTTCTATTAAGCAATAAAAATTATTTTTCATATTTAATTATTTGATAGTTTAATTATTGAAAAAAATAATATATTGATAATTAAAGGTTGGAGTATATGTTCATTAGTATAAGTTGTTATTTTAGAATTTTTAATTCATAAAAACTATGTATAAACAAAAATAAAGATATTTTGTTAACTTTATTTTTCTTTTAGAATATTATATAACTCATATTCTATATTTAATGACCAGATTAAAATTTATATCGAAATCAAACTAAAAAACAATGTGGTGTTATTCTAAGGCATTCCATTTTCATTTGGTGTTTACATCTACTATAATATTTTCATCAACACACACTTACTTTTTATAAAATTGGTAAGAGGATTGTTAATTATCAGTATACTACATTACATAATAATTTAGTTTTTGGGGTACCTAAGAAGTATTGACTCTTTCTTTGCAATATTTCTATTATTTAATAATAGGCATTAATAAGTTTAATAATTTGATAAAAATTTCTATTTTATTTATTAAGATCCACAATTAAGTACTAGATTTATTAAACCTTAGAAATCATTATTTATATATTACAATATTTTTAATACTTAATATTATTTTATATTATATTTCATTTAATGAATTTTATGATGTGTAAATATCATCCTGAAAATCAGGTAATATTTTTACTTTGGAATGATTCTATGTTCTAATTTGCTTGTGAAGAATGCTCTGAAAATTAAAAAAAATAAGAAAATAAATAAATTTTAAAGTAGTTATCAATAAGAAAAGCTTTAAAAGAACCTGATTATTTTTTAGGGGAATTCAATTTAAATAAAGAAAACAGATAATTAATTAAATAAATAGACAATTTACCTATTTAAAAATTGAATTCATTAATGTAAATTATTGATACACATGTTAAAGATATTCAAATTAGTTTGAGTGATTTAATTAATAAAATTAAGGAAAACATTTTAGATATTATTTAAAGAAAAGAGAAGTTAAGAAATAATTTGGAAAAGGTGAATATTAATATAATTATATAGATTTCATATTATGCTTAATTTACAGTTGTATTTTAAGGCTTAAATAGCCAGAAATGTTTAAATGATGATGTACTCAATTAAATTGAAGATAATATCAAATAACTATTTTTAGAGATTGATAAAAATCCAAATTCTTTTAATCAAGAAGTATAAAAATAATTGTTACTACCAAAAATTGATAAAATAAATGATTCACGATAATATTAAACATTTATTAATAGGCTATAAAACTTCAAAGATAGTATTGCTCCTTTTCTAATTTAAAATCCTTAAGATCTAATTTAGGATCAACAAAATTATAAAAAAGATTTAAAATTTTCTAATATCTATAAACAATCACAAATTTAAGTATCTTTAGAAGGAAAGATGGCTTATGCAGCAGAAGATGTTTGGTAAGTGGTTTTATGGAAATAACCAATCCCTCAAAATAGAAAAATATCTTTTTATTTCAATATTTTGCAATTACATCACTTTTATTGTGGAATCTGTTTCAAAAATCTTATTTCTAAAGATTATAGAGGATAAGTTTCTAATAAAGGGCATGGGTATTGTATTTTCTTTAATAAGTTATTACTTAATGTGTAGATACGGAAATATATATTCCCATCATGATAATGAAATAAATGGATAATTAAAAGGATTTCCATCTTGTAAAGGAGATACTATTGAAATAATAGTTGATATGATAGAAAAAACTATTACATGGACAAATAATAGATCGAAACAATCTTTTGTAATTATAAATAATTATTTTTAGAAATTAACAATTCAAACAATTGATACATTATATCCATGTATAAGAATTGCTAAATCAAAAGTTTAGATACTTTAATGTTGATTCTTATTTATATAAACATTACCAAATCTTATTTGTGTTCTCTTTCAATTAGTAACTGTTATTTTTATTTATATACATAATAAAATAAGTAGTTGTATAATACATAATTAAAATTATATTTATATAAATTTTTTTTATAATTTTTGATGAATTATTTTAAGAAAATTCCTTTTTAAATAATTATTAAGATCTATCAAATAATATAAACATAATTTATTATTAAATGATATAAAAAATAGTTTGTTTCTAATTTTTTAAAATATTCAAGAAAGTTCAAAAATTTTGATCATCCAATAACTTAAGGAAAATTCAAAACAAAGCACAATATTCTAATTTGTATTTTATGTTTTGGTTTATTGAATTTGAAAAAAGAAAGAAGTAAGTTTTTTCAAATGTCATTCAAATAGTTTCGAAATTTTATTCTAAAAATTATGAAAAAATTATTAAGTTAAATTATTGAGTAAGAAAATTAATGAATGATTAAATTATCAGGTAAATTAAAATGCTTTGGATCATTTTTCTATTTAATATTACATTTGAGCAAAGTCTTTTCTATTCCGCTTATACTGACTCTACATTGTCAATTTAAGATAGTAATAATACATTTAAATTAGATTGGTAATTTTTTGGAAATACTACTACCAATATAATTTCAACTTGTGGATCTTCTAGTATTATAGGAGGATACAATTTATTCTCTAATGGTGTTGCAGCTACACTTTTTATTGATCTACAACCTCATTATAAAATGAAAATTTCCTTCTCATTATTTATGTATATTCTACTCTTAGTAATAGTATAGATACATGGGATAATGAATATTTCTATTTATATGCAGATTAAGATCTAGTCTTTACTTAAAAATATAGTAATAACAATGGATAAGATGAAATATGTGGATAACCAGGGTCTAATAGAAAGGACTAGATCCATCAAATTGAAATTGAATTTGATCACACAGGATTGACTAGCTTCATCTAATTAACATCAAATTTAAATGATAGTGCTCATGATGTAAAGTATATGTTTTATTTAAGGAATCATGGGGTTTTAGGAATTTCAGAATTTACATTTATGAATGTCCGCCTTAATGTTATGTTTGTTCAAAAGTTGATTAGTAACTTTAGTGCGAAAAATGGATTAGAGCTTATTCAATATTTACATAATTATTAGAAAATGAATTCTAAGAAAATACTCTAATTTCAGTTATTAATGGAGCAACAACTAAATAATTATGTTCTTGTAAAATTTTATTTCAATATAGAAATTCCAATGATGTGTGGTTATGGTGTTTGTGGGAGGGATACTATAATATAAATGAATAATTTATAGCTTCCATTTCATACAAGAATTAAAATTAAACTTAAGTATTTGATAATAGATAGTTGGGAATCCACTGATTATGCTTAAATTCTAGTAGATGGAGTTCTTCGATGGACTTCTGAATTATCATTAACTAATTAAAATCTATATAGAGTTTGTGGAGGAGGTTCTAATGATATTTTTGTAAATTTGGAACTTACATTCCCTCACATATAAACTAGTACAACAATTCAAATTTTAAATACATTGAATTAGGATTTTTCAGATGAATCTTTTGGTATAAGAGATTTAACAATATATACTTGTAATATTTTAATAATTTAAGTAGAATAATCAAATTGTGGGGATTAAATCATATAGGAAAATGAAGAATGTGATGATGGTAATTTGGTTCCGTTTGATGGTTGTTTTAGTTGTTTATATTCTTGTGTTGATGGATGTGAGATATGTGAGAAAGGTAATTGCTTACGTTGTGGTTAAGGTTGGATTCTTTAGAGATAAATATAAAAATGTTAAAGAATTGATAGTAAAAATTTCATTTGATATTAGTTCCAATAATTTAGTTTAAGCTTAAAGAAGATAAATGTAATGATAAATAAAATGATATTTAAATGAATTAAATTAGGAGAGATTGTGAAACAATGGATTATTCAAGTTTAGTTGTCTGTGAAGAAGATATATTAAATAAATGTTAACCATAATGTAAGATTTGTATTTAAAGTGTTTGTTATTAATGTTAAGTAGGATAGAATTTAATAATGGGATAATGTTATGAACTATTAAAAAATTCTATTTAATTAGAAGATTTATCAAAATAAGAGTTTATATGTGATTTTAATTGTGAAGATTGTAGAAATGGTATATGTTATCAATGTTACGAAAAATTTTAAATATTAGATAATCAATGTGTAGGTATTTGTGGAGATTAAATTATACAATTAAATGAAGAATGTGATGATGGTAATAATGTAGAATTTGATGGTTGTTTTTGTTGTAGATATTCATGTCCTTAAGATTGTAGTTTTTGTTAAAATGGAATTTGTATAGATAAATGTTAATAAGGCTATTATTTTATTGATAATTCTTGTTAAACTATATGTGGAGATTCTATCATAGTTGGATTTGAATAATGTGAAGATGAAAATAATATTTAATATGATGGATGTTATCAATGTAGATATTCTTGTCCTTTATTTTGTAATGATTGTTTAAATGGATATTGTTATAATTGTGATTAAGGTTTTATTCTCTCTTCAAATATTTGTATAGGTGTTTGTGGTGATGGATTACTTTCCATTTAAGAGTAATGTGATGATGGTAATCAAATTGATGGTGATGGTTGTTCAAAAAAATGTTAATTAGAAACTAATTGGATTTGTAATAAAAATGGAGATTGTGCATATGTTGAGTATCCAATTCCCATTATTGAATATTATAAATAAGAAAATTAATTTTAATATGTCAAAATGACATTCAGTTAATTAGTTTAATAGAATTTAAATTTGCAGTATAAGGATACAATCTAATTAAGAATTCTTGATTTGAATTAAAATCTTTTTAATATTATTATTTTAGAAACTCAACCTGCATAATTTCAGATTTTATAGAGAGTAGAATATATATTCTAAATTGAAATTATGTCTAATCAATAAAATCATCCAATATTAGAAGTGCTATTAACTGAATAACTATATAATGAGAATCTAGCACCATTACTTTATTTACTAGATAATTTTTAATTAAATTAACCTAATCATATCAGTGAAGAAGAAATAATAACATCAAAAACATTTTAAAACATTAATGAATATTCAGTTAATTCATTATTTGCAATTTAAGGAATCTTATTTCTTCTATTAGGTAATTTTTTTTCTTTTTGGGTTATTTTGGATGCTCTTTAGTAACAATCTTATCTTAAATATATCAATGTATAATATCCTTAAACATTAATAATCTACTTTGAATCAAGTGATGCTGTATCAATGTAATCAATTTTGAACAAACTTCCAAGATTTAAATATAATTCAACTTTACTAAAATTTCCTTTTTAAAAGTCTTATGGAAAATTTGAGTATTACAATATTAATGCTAATATCATGGAAGGCTTAATTCTAGAAGTATTGATCTTTGGTTCATTACTTATTGGTTACTTAAGTACTTTATTTACTATTAACATACTAAAATATCTTGAAATAAATTTATTTCTCTAATAATGGCCAAAATTTATTTTATTTATATAAAAATTAAAAAGAAAACTGCATTCTAAATTGAAACTATTTGATGATAACTCAATTAAAAGAACTTTATTAGCTTGTAGTTGGGATCTTATTTTTATAGCTTTTTTAGAGTTACAAGTCTAACATGATTTTGAATCATCAAGAGCATATATTCGTTTAACAATTGCTCTTGTAATATTAATGATAATAATTTTGGTCATCTTATAATAAATACATGGACTTAGATCTTGGTAAAAATAAAATTTTATTTAATTTTGGGAGCAACAAAAGGAAATGTTTAATCTTATCAAGAAAATTCTTAGTCTTTATATAATAATTTATAATTAATAAAATTAAATACTTTAAACTTTAGTATTAACTTTGATTAACACATTCTACTTGTTCTTTATTATATATTGTTAATCAAAAAATGGATTTTAAGAATATATCAAAAATATAATAACAGAAATTTCACTAATTATTTTTACAGCTTCAACTTCTTTGAATTGGAATATTGTATCTAGTTACTTTTCTTATTAATAAAGAATTACAATTAGTTGGGTTTAGATGTCAGTTTTAGTAAGTGTGCTTGTTATATTTTTATTTATTGAGATCTATAATCTAATATCAATAATAATATAAACAGTTAATAAAATCATCTCTTTCAATAGAAATCAGTCTAACTAAAGTAAACTAAATGAATTGTAAAATTTAAATTAAGTTAAAGTGAATCCCATTAAAAAATAGTCGAATTTAAATAAAGTGTAAAATTAATAACAACCAGTCATCAATTAGAGAATGTTTATTGTCTGTCAATGATATTTGAATTTAATTTGAACAATAATTTAAAATATTTTATTATTTTGTTACTATTTATTATGTATTTGACTTTGCAAAAGCATATTATATAATTCTTTTTTTAATATAATGTATGAAATTTTTAAACTATTTTACCATTACAAAATTTTATTTCAAATTAAAACAATAAATATATATAATTTAATTGAATCATCAATAATTATAAAAAAAATATTATAACAAAAAAGAATAACAAAATAATATTAATGAATACTCTAATATATTATGTATCAGCAGCATCCTGAAGATTACTTATTCTTTTACTTTTAATCTAAAACACTTTCTGTATTTGCAGATAGCTATTTACTTTAGAGACCCTTGTTTTCTTGTTAATTATAGCAATTTTTCATTAATTCAAGTGCCATGAAATCAAAACATTCTATAATATTCTCACTTGTATATGCAGATACAATAAAGTAATTAGCATTAATTTACTTTGCTAATTCTTTTATTTCCTCCTCTGTTACTACTAATTTATCAGTTAAATCGCATTTATTTGCTAAAATTACTTTTTTAACATCATCTCCTCCATGATTTCTTAATTATTTTGCCCAAAATTTGATATTATCAAATGATTGATGTTCCGTCATATCGAAAACAAGAAATGCTCCTTTTGTTTCTCTATAAAATTATATTGTAATTGTTCTATATTTTTCTTGTCCTGCCTAAATTTATTAAAATTTAATTACAGTGTCCCATAATTTTAAAGTTATTTCTTTATCATTAATTTTTAATTTTAAAGTATTCATTTATCCTAATTCTGTATGGGTAGTATGAAATGAAAATTTTTCATAAATTCGTTTATTTAAAATAGATGTTTTGCCAACACCAGAATCTCCAATTAAAACTACTTTGCATAATAATTATGGAGAATCCATGTAATTAATAATAAATATTTATTAAATAAAATAAATTTTTATCTAGTTTCAACCCACTGATACTTAGTCGATATGAATATTGGAATGCTCTTAGTCCTAACTTTTTGATGATTTGATTTCTTACGGAATATTTGGTTATAAATTCTATCCTTCATCTCCTTAATTCATTCTCTAAGAAGGCTAAACAGCTAATCCATTCAACGATTATCTCACTTTTCCCCAGAAACGATTTTATGGTTATAAATGATTAGGTAATTCTGTTCTTTCGACTAAAGGAGGTTCTTTAAAATCAATTTGTCTAACTATTAATTATTTCCAACTTTCTCTTGGATCAACAACAGGATCTATTAATTTTTTTTTTTCTGGTTTTTTAAATATATTTGGTAATTGCTAATAAGGAACTTTTTGTTTCAAATTAGATAACATTATTTCATAATTAACATATCGATAATCTCTATCCTTTGCAAACTAATAATAATCAAAATATTCTAAAGTTTCTTAAAAAAATTCAAATAAAAACAAGGCTGGTCTATAATTACCGTGAACTATTGCATAATCTAATGCAGTATATCCTTCATTTGATTTTATTGTAATCTTAGCACCATATTCAACTAAATTTGATACTAAATAGGCATTATCTCTTCTGCAGGCCCACATTAATGGAGTTATACTTGAAGACCCACCATTATCAACATCAGCCCCATTCTATTATTTAATAAACTATTACTTTAATCAATATATCAACTAAATAGATATCATTTCTCCAAACTGCTCTAGCTAAAGGTGTAGATTAAATTTCTTAACTTAAATCTTCCTACAGTATTTGTGGATATTTCTAATCAAGACATTTAATACTTCAATTATTTCTACAATTTTATCATATCGTTGTTTTTCTATTGAACTTAGCATAATTTTATTTACATTAGTGTTTCCCATTAATATTAATATTAAATTTGTAAATGTTATTTGTATAAATTTATATCTAGCTCTTAAATATGTTTTTAAATTATTATTCATGCTCAAATACTTTGTCTATTATTTAAAACTTTAAAGAACTTAAAACTATCTATACAAAATAATTTTGAATTTTTTTGTTTTAATTATTTTTCTAATTTAGTTATAATCAATTTTTAAATAACTAAGAACTTCATATTGAATCAAATAAATATTAGAGTTATTATTGATTATTTTAAATAACATAATAAATTAAATTTCATAATATTATTTTTTAGCATACTCAGTAACAACATTAGAATAATTTAAAAGCAATATATAAAGGTCACAAGTATCAAGTATGTCGGAATGATGAATTCTTGTAAGGAAACAAAGAGATATAAAATCTAAAAATTAAAGTGTGAGTATCTTATTTAGAGTTATTTAAACTGGATAAATATAGAAACTAGAAATGATAATTTTTTTAAATAGTCAAATAGTATTTGCTTAACTTTATACTTTCAATATCTAAAGATAATGATTAATTTATTTGTTATTATATTTATCAAGTTGCTATTCTGTTTTAAAAAAAATCTTATTATGATTTAGCATAATATTTATGGATATCACTTAGTAAATTAATTTAAATGATTTTTTTAACGAATTTTGCTTATATTCAAGTAGCATTGATGAATCATAAATAAGAATCAGAAGTAATTATGTTGCTCTTTCTAGAATTAATTCTAACAATTTTTGGGTTTTTAACTTTAGATGATAATCTTTAAAAAGGAGTAATATAAATAAATGGAGAATTTTCCATATTACGATTTCAAAATGTTGTTTATATTTATTTTATTTTTTTGTAGATTATTTCTATAATTGATTTTAACTTGCTTAACTTAAATAATTATTTTATATATAAATAAACTTATATGATTTTAGAATGCTTAGTAGAAGAAGGTGAGTCATTCTTTACATTTTTGAATACTAAAAGTTTCGAATTAAAAGGTTTTATCATAGATCCTAATTTTACAATCCAATTTTTTAAATCTTAAATGTAAATAGTACATATTCACTTTTTTTTTGATCTATAAAACATCCATTAAAGCTAAAAGTTATCAATAACTGCAATCTGGAACACATTTGCATATTTTTACTTTTTGAAAAATATTGTAATTTTTTAAGAATCCTTTAATAATTAAATAGTTTCAACATTCATTATCAATGAACTACAGATTTTTATCCTATTGGTAGTCTCTAAGTTACATTAAGAAAGAGTGCCATGAAGTCAAACATTTTTATGTCCCAATTTAATATTCTCAATTTAATCTTGTAATTCTAATTACCATTAAGCGAGTGCTGAAGGAACTAAGTTTGGAGAATATAATATGAATAATGCAATTTATTAAATATGTTCATTTTCAAGAAAATAATAAATTTATTCTACTTAATATTAAAATGATACAATAATGCTAACAATTAATGATGCAGCATATTGATAATTATTGTACCCTATTTGGACTACATTAAATTTGAAGAAGTGAACATGCATCAAAACTGCATCAAATATCAGTGTTCTTATGTAGTTTCATTTGTCCAACAGTTATTATTTATAACCAACTATATTAATGAAATTTCTATTTTAAATCAGTGCTGATATTTTAATAGTAGTCTTGCTTTATACTAATATAGATGGTTAACGAATAGCTACAGATATTATAACAATAATGATTATTTACCATTTCAAATTATAATTTCAATGAGATATATAAATCATTTTGATTTCTCCCATTATTTTTTTATAGATAATTTATTTGAATTGATTATTCTATCGTTTCATGGGGAATAATCCTTTGAATTTATTAATTCTATTCCATACCCTATACAAAATTATACCTGAAATGCAAATTATAACAAGACTACTAATTATAATTAACCACATACAGATACTAATACAATTATACCCGATAATCAAAATTCAACAGACTCTCTGATGCTCAAAAAAATTGGTATCATATAGCTTTAATTATACTCTATTTTTTTTGATTTTTTTGTCATAAATGTAGTTTCAAATCAAAAAAAGCTTAAAAATAATTTTTATAATTTTGAACCAATTAGAAAGTGAACTATAAATCAAAAATAATTATACCAAACAATTACATAAACTATAATAAGCTTCTGGTTGGTAATTATCAAAAATTAAATTTTTTACATTAGAATTTTTTATACTTATTTTGTTAAATGTAAAATTGAAAAAAATGTTTTAATATTTGAATAAAAGATCAGAATTGGTTATGCATTAAACTTATTGAAAATATAAATTCATTAAATATAAATGTCTCAATCAATCGAAAAAATTATATTAATTTAGTCTAACAACATACTTTTTTAATTTAGTTGAGCAAGCAATAAAAGTAAAATAGTTAAAGCACTGAATATGGTATTTGTAATTTTGAAAAAGAAATTTTTAATTTGTGATTGTTGCTTTGATCTCTTATTTAAGAGATGTAAAGAAAAAATTTTAAAAGTCAAAATTTTATTTCTGATATCAAAAGAATAAGATAAGAACCTCTTGAAGTGATCCTCGTACCTCGCAATCAAGATTTCTTTTCAACACACTTTGAAATTATTAGGTTTATAAATGGAAATCCAGGTCTAAAAATCATGAAAAATTGTCACAACTTTGCAAGACAGGAGGGATTGTTTGACTGATCAAAAGAGATCTTTAGATAAAAGATATAATTTTGAATAAAATACTAGTCCACATTTAATTATATAGAAAATAAATTTTAATAGAATATATTATTTCAAATCCTTTTATTGTCATATTAAATAAATAAAATATATTTTTGTAGAACAAATTGTTTTTATTACCTATTATGACTTGGTAATTTATAAAATATATTATTGTAGATTTTATTGTTTTAAATAAATGTTATTAATAAAATAATGCTAAAAATAAAATAAAAATTAACTTTGGCAAATCACTGAAAAAGTCCTCTTCTATACAGTCCCTTAAGGAGACCCATAAAGATATCCTTTAAACTTATAATTGATAAGGACTATCCAAATTAAACAGAACAGAGGCCGTAGCTATCTACTCTCTAAAAATATTTTAATTTCATTCTTTTGTTAAATACCATTATTGGCTCAACTTTAACCATAAACTATTTTTTTTTAGTTTTCACTACTCATCTAAATTGACGATTTTCTCTCATATTACTTTTTTATTTGTTCATGATTTACTTCATCATATGAATTTTAGTTTATCTGCTACAAATTATGTTAGTTCTTTATGTTTGAAATATAACATTCAATTATTTGATATTTAAATGAATTTACAAAAAATGTTAATATTATATGAATTCGCTTTAGAAAACCATAAATATTTCACTAATTCAAAGAAAATAACAGTAAATCTATAAATCAAAAAGTAAAGCATCCAAATTAGATTCTACTAATTCCTATTTGTTGGCTCTTGTGTTTTCGAGATACAATTATGAAATGTAATTGTTAGAAATTTAAATAGGTAATTTCTTCAATTTAAATTGCTCCAAATTAGCATTAGAATAGATGTTATTTAAATAATAATTTATTTTATATTGAATATTTGTTTGTAAGAATTTAGAATTACAATAAAATCTCGTTATTCTCTTAGCCTCCCATTTCTATTTAATTAATTTCGTTCAAAGATGTTTTTAATTATTAGAGCTTTTCTAATATATCTGTTTGCTTTTTGGTTTCTTCACTTATGTATTTTTTGAATTTGATCTTTTATTTATTTTATTTTTTTTCTATGCATTGCTCAAATGGAGTTTTAAAAATATTAAGTCTTTTTGATCTAAACATTTATTTATTTAACCCTTTAATGTATATAAATATACAAATGCTAGATATCTTATTAAGATATTCCTTTTAACTGATTAGTGGTGAGTTATTTGAAATACGAATGATTTGGGGAAACAAAATAGAGCACATTAATCAACCATTCTCTGTCTGGTAGCTTTTGTGATGTTAAACCTAAGTCTATTTCTTTACCAACTAATTAATGAAGCTCCCTATATAAATCTATTTTTGTGGCTTCTTTAATTAGGTATGCTATTTTGATATTTTTAGCTTGACATGTAAATACTCTCATTTAAACAAATCCTAATAAATACTCACTTTTAAAGCTGGCAGATTTGAATTTTGGTAAGTAATACTCTTTCAGAACAAGTCCTGTATATAAAGATTTTAATGATCCAACTAACCGATTGGCCTCTTCAATTGTAATGCCCTAATATTCAATATATAACAAAAATTATACTATTCGTAATATATAGTAATTTGAGAAAAGATAAATATCACCTACGTTTTATGAATCTATTTTACTTTTTATTTAATTTGTTGAAATATATTATTTTGTTTTCAAACTAGAAATTTTACATTCCAAAAATTGAATTACTACGTTATTATATTGAATTAATATTTTACGTCACTTATTTTTGAAATCAATATATAGTTTGAATTCGAAATATCAAGTCCAAAGCAATTCTCTTAATTTAAGCTAATATTGATTCTTCTGTAAAAATATTGAAAATTTAAATCAATGTTAAAGTATAATGAAAGCATAATTATTTAGTCTTCTGAGGAAACGACTTTATTGACAATCATATTGAATAACATTAAAATTTATTTGGATATGTAGATTTTCATTTCAAATTCATCATAGATGCAAACAGGAATATTATTAATTAAATTAATTGAGTATAATAACTCCTGAAAAGAGCAAAAGGCAGCTTTAGCATTTTCTAAGCGAAAATGAAGCAAAATATTATTACAATTAACTCTATGAGAATTAAATTTAATACAAACAATAAGATTAACATCAAAATAATTTTGTGGAATGTAAGTTTAATCAAAACTAAAACCAATTATTATTATTATTTCACTATTTTTTAAGGGAATGATACTAATATAAATATTCAAATTCTCTTCTCTATAAAGTATTATTTTTTATAATTATTCGATTTTGTTCATTATCCTGTCCTTGACATAATCATTTAATCCATTTGATATTAATTATTCTAAGAAAATTTAGTTGGTGAGACCTAAATGATCCTATAATATATGCTTGAAAGTAATTCTTTAATTATTATGAATTGTACAATAACACTATCCAAATTTGAACAAGTATTCTAAATTTTTTGGAAGCGTATTTAATAGTTTGCTTTTTCCTTTTTAGATGATTCTATCTAAATGATCAATTAAGTCTTGTATATTTGACTATAAATTGAAACCTCTGTCTAAAGCTTTTTTGTAAACTCTTTAAATCGATATTTTATTCATTATTTCCATTTTTTATAATAACATTTCCATAAAACTATCTGAAGTTTATTTAGGCAGTCTTAGGATAGTTTTCATTATTTTCTTTCTTATTCTTTGGATGATCTGTTTTTGTGCTTTCTTTTCAAATTAAGATATGATGTAGCAATATGAAAATTAAGATTCTAAGTATATAATATGAATTAATAATCTATGTTTGAATTCCATCTTGTATTTTATTTGTCTAATTTTCTATATTTGATAATTGATATTTTATTTTAATTTCTTTATATGTTCTTTTTAAGTTCCTTTTATAATCCAATGTTATTCCTAAATATTTATATTTATATAAAATAGTTAGATCGTTCATTTCTAGTTATATCATTTTGTATTTGATTGGCATTATATAAAGACTTTTGTTATTCCTGATTTATATAATACCATATTTCATCTACTGCTTAATAATAATATAAGTAAAAATAAATAAACGTGCAATTTTTTGAGTTTAAGAAAAAAGTAATAAACCATTAGAAAGAGATATTGTAATATCCAGTACCACTTCAACCATTTAAAGAATGAAGTAAAAAGTATAAAGTAACATCCAAAAACTTAGAGTTCATTTATAAATTTTTCTGGAAAACTTATGAGATACATAATAATGTAAGGTTTAAAGCGACATTTAATTATAAATCAATAATATTAATAATTAACAATTTTTTTAACTAAGGTTTAGATTACATCTAACTCAAGACTTTTTTTTTTGATTTATTTTTTACGAAAATAAATTTTTTTGGTTTTTCTTTGTTACTCTATCTTATTAAATATTACTGTTCTATTTATTTTTTACTTAATAATTACTAATAGTTTATATTATGTTTTTTTAATTAATTATCTGATTCGTGCATTTCTTAATCAAACTTTTCATAAAGAAATTTAATAATATGTATATTTCATAACTTCTTTTATATTTTTTCAATTAAACCGTTTCAATAATTCATTATTAATTATTTATAATTTAAGTGATAAAGGAAAAATTATTTCTTATAATAAGAAAAGGATTTAAATATAGAAACTTAGTATCAGACATGAAAACTGAATTAATTTTTTTTCTTTATTTAATGAATATAATTTTCCAATCGGGAATTAAACATACATTACTAGAGTAAGCATAAATTGCTAACCTTGACTAATGCAAGCAAGAATTATTGAATCGAGAAAATATTAGGAAAGCTAAATTAGTAAAATTAGCTATTTAAAAAAATTTGAAGAGTAATATAGTGACTATGAAATTGAGAGTAAACGCTATTTCAATAAAATGGATCAAGGTTATGGATCAAAAGCACTAATTTAAGAGCTTCAAAAATCAATAATATTCTATTAAGACATCTTAAACAAATTTTGATTAAATAAGTAAAGCTTTGGGTTTGAGGTAATTCTAATGATAATGAAAAGAGATTGTAAAGCCAGCTATAGATTACAAACTAAAAAAGATCATAGAAACTCATAGGTTAGTTCATTGAATGATAGCAAATCTTGGCAGCAAAGTTAAATGAATATTACTAGAATATAAAATTAATTAATAGAATTTCATTACTTATTAATAAATGTACAAAAATGCATAATTTTGATTTAAAATTTGGGTCAGTGAGAAGAATTAATTCCTTGAAAAGATAATTTAAAACAATTTAAAATTTTACTTTGACATTAAATATTTGCTACATTTATTTAAAACTATTCAATTTCTATTAATAATTTATATATTAAAGTAATATTAATTTAATTTTGCTGCCAAGATTTGCTAGAAAATTTAGAAGAAATTTTTTGTTGCTTGCTCCAATATTTAAATATTTATTATAAAATAATTTAGAAATGGGGTATCAATTAATTGTAAATATACTTTATTTCTAATTAAGTTAAATTTTAAACTTACTAAAAATAAAGTTTTCAATCCTTTATTTTTTTCTACCTCACAACCATTTGGTATATATCTAATATGATTAAGTAGTTTCAAAAAAATATTAGCTATTAACTAATTGAATTTAGCTTACCAAGGGATAAAATAACATAATTTTAGATGGAAGTATTAACATTTGCTAATTTAAGCAATCTTAAATATGTAAGAGTCTAAATAGATGAAATGGACTCTAAATATTAAGAATACAAAAAATATAAGAATAGTTTTAAAATTGTATTTATCCAATTATCATAATGACCAACAATATTTTTAAAAGAAAATTAATTAAATCCAAATATATATATATATTCGTTTTAATAACTGAGGACAACAGTTCAAAAAATAAATTAATTTGATTAAATTGAAAGTAAATGAAAATAACAATAAAATATTAAATCACAAATAGTTGACAAAAATAACACTTCAACTTCGAATACCTTTAAAAATAATAAATTAATTAATTATAATATTAAAATAAGTTTTTTCATAGAGTAATTATTAAATGTGTTTTATATCTGAATATTTTTTAGAATTCCTAACTTATTTCTCATTTATTTGAATCGAAAATCATTCTAATCCTAGATTTACAAATTAAATATAATGTCACATATAATATCATTTGTGAAAATTTTATTTCTAAGATCTATAATATACGAAAATTGTATAACAGACAATGTAGCTGATTGTAGATATACAGATTTTTAAATTGTTGGAATAAGTGGTTCAACATTGGACAGATGTGGTTCACAACCTCGAAATTTACTTATGGGACCTTATGGATTTTCTACTATAGTTTCAAAGACGTTTACAAATGTTCCACCAAATAAGTAATTGGAATTTTAAGTTGGAATATGGAAATTCGACTCTTGGGATGAAGAAGGATTCTAGATATATGCAAATGACGTATAAATAGAAAATTTAGTGTTGGGTAACTATGATGGTACTGGATTATGTAGAAATAATATGTGGGAAGATCTATTAAAGCCTCTCACACTAAAGTTTTAAATAACAGGAACTGATTTAACAATTAAGTTAAAAGACAATTTAAACTCTAATCCTGGGGAAGATCTCATGGATGGTATTATTTGAATGATATCTAGAATCTTGGGGATTTAGAGACTTTATTTTAAGACTTTCTATTCCTTGTGTTAATTTTTATAGTGAATGTAATTACGTTGGAACATTATTTTAAATATGTTAAGGAGAGTAATCAAAATTACAAAACTATATTCCTTTTGAAATCAAATCAATCCTTATGGGTCCTGGCGTCATTGTTAAAATCAAAGACCCTAAATACTTTTCAGGAGTATTATAATAGCTCACTTCCTCGTAGCCTTGTTTAATAAGTTATCAGGTATTCTTGAAATCACCAATTTTTAGTTTCCAAAGGTTGTCTATTAAGAATGATTATTAAATTTTAAAAGTTATACAATTAATTAATCAGTTTATTTGGAAAATTTAATTTTTTTCATAATATATATTTATTATATTAAAGTACATATTTTTTTAATATTTTAAATCTTGATAATATTGATATTACATTTTTCAATTTTAAGCATATTCTTAATATTTTTAGAGTTCTTATTGAAATAAATGGAAATATAAAGTGTTTCAACATATTCATAAATCCAATTAAAATACTTTCTTTTTGGAAACATAAATGATAACAATTAAAAAAAATTTTTAATATTAATTCCTTTTATTTTTTCTAGAATGAAGAATCAGTTTAAAAGTTAAAAATTATTAATTATTAATGAAGACAAGTATGTTGCGAGGTAATTATTTTTATGTTAATACCTTAATATTTATTTTAGAAATAGATAATCAAAAGTTTCAAATAAAACTGTTACAACAAATAATTCATTTAATTGGAAGAAATTTTTTAATCTTATTACAAAGTTGTCTTATTTTGTATGTCATCCTATATAAAATACATAATTTTTAAATGAATGCGAATGATGAATCAGTTGTGAATATAAAAAAAAAGTAAATTTTTAAGTTGTCGAAAAAATGAATGGCCTTGAGGTAATACAATAAAATATAACTTGTGTGGTTATAAAGTGAATACATACAATCTAATATTTATATCTTAGATTATAACAATAATAATAAAATCAATAATTATTTTATAATAACAACATAAAAGAATTAGTATAACATTTGTTACCTCAGAAGATATTCCTTCAAAATGTATCTAGATTAAAAAAAATGATATTAAAGGTGAATTCTTTATCTATTTTTTTCTTTTATTTTCAAAAATTAAAATAGATTTTCACATTTCAAAAATTGAAATAAATTAATAAAAGTCCTCAAAATGGAATTTATTTATAAATACTTTGAGATGGATATAATTAAAAAAATAAAAGTTCCAATAGAAAACTATTTCCATTTTAACCTAAATGGTCTTAATTATGCTTATAATCCTTAATATCATTTCTCCAAATATCGGAAAGTAGATTAAAAATATTACTATTCTTTCATTTCAATTTTTATATAATCTATTACGTCTATAGATTTCTGAATGAGTTTAGACTCATTAACAGATTCATCTAATATCCTAATGAAGGAGTAAAGGATATTTTAGTCAATAATTTTCTGTTTTTCATTTCTTATTCGAAAGATTTAAAGGAACTCTTATCATTTTTATCTAAAATCGAGTTCAGCTTAGTAATCTTTATTCAGATAACAATTTATTAGCTTTATATACTAAAAAGAAAATATTTTTCCATCTCACCTAATTGATTAGATTCAATAACCTCAAGAACTTAATCAAGTAGTGGTTAAAGAAGAAGGAGAAAAAATACATACGAATGTATACAAGATTTCTGGCTTTATTTAATGCTAAAAAAAATTTATATACAAATAGGATTTGAAGTATATTACATCTTTTTTGACTCTTTATAAAATACTCCAGAACCTTCTAAAGGTATTTAATATTTCAAAGAGTTTCGTTTACTCTCTAAATTCATTGTTGGTCAACTATTGAGTCTCCTAATATTCTTATTCCAATAGTGACATATCTACTAAAAGTTCTTTGATGTAGACATATAAGCCTATAATATTTCAATCCTATTTTATTTAATTATATGAGAACATTCTCTAATAAGATTCTTAATTTGATTTTAAAGCTCAAAGGAACAAATAGAATAGCCCAACATAGATAAGCTCTTAATCCCTGATTAAATCAACAATGGAGGAAGAGTCATTCAATTAGCTGCTCTGTTAGTTAAGTTGACTCGAATATAAATTTTTATTAATAAATTCTAAAATTATACTTTGACTATTAATCACAATAATTATTCTTAAAACCAGATTTGATCAATTTTATTTTCAAAGAAAAATAAAATCTCTTAATTAGTGGATTTGGTATGTACTTTACAAGCAAGATTATATTCAGCTTTTAACCAAGATAATCTAAAGATCGATTGAATGAATTAAAGAGAAACCTAACAATTCCAATTTAAGTATTAGGTTAATTGTACTTGAAACTTTGTATCTAAGTATACTATAAGTAATATCATTAGATAAATATTTTCAATCAGACAATTTTAATAATTTTCACTAAAATTTAATCTAATTTTGTTGGGATTCAAAACCATGTTTTTGTTAGTTAACTAATATTAAATTCCATCTTCCTTATATCTAACCATCATATTGAAAGTAATCAATAATGACACAAGTAAACAGCTTTACAAATTTGCCAATATCTGCTTTATTTCCTAATATCTTGATATAAAAAGATATTCTAATTTATTTATCTTCCTAATTCTTGATTTTATATTAATCATCACAACATACCCATTAAATCAAAATTTATTATACTAATGTTCATTTTTTCGTATATATTTGTAATAAATGATAAACCCTTTTAGGTCAATACTAAAATTATGATAATAGTAATTTATTAATTATTTTTTAATATTTAGATCTAGCAAGTAAAACCTTCGATTAATTAAACGTAGCAATTCTAACTTAATTTAAATCAACACATCATTTGTAAAATTATAAGAAATAAGATTAGCCTAATCTGACAAACTTAAGGAATTTGGGAATTCAATTATTTTAATATATAAAAATTTTGATATAAATATTGTTCTAGATTTTATAGTTTAATTTCTCGTCTATGTTTATAATTTTAATATCATTTCTTTTCAAATAGTTATTAATAGTTATTATTGAAATGTTGATTTTATATCTAGAAATTATGTAATTTAATTGAGATAATAAATTTTCCTTAAAATATGTACTTAATTTAGAGATTAATATCTTTTTATATATCCAAAAAGTAAATAAATTTATATATGATTATTTTTCTACATTTAATAATCATATAGGCTTGCTAATAATACCATAATGATTATTATATCTACCCAATTCAAGGTGAAACTATAGAAATGCCTTTGGATGTATTTTTTAATACACAAGATTTAAAATATGATTGCCCTAATTGTCCTGAAAATGTGACGGTGTCCAATGTCTTAAGTTTAATAGGAGAGAATTCAAACAGTAGATATTAATAGTAAATTAGATTATACATTTATTTCTGTTTCATTTTTGAATGATTAGTTTGCAGCTTTAACTTAAAATCACACATTAAATATTTATACGAAAAATATAAATAGAATAGAATTGCAGAGAATAATAAGTATAAATTAGAACTTAAATTGCTTTAATGTCATTTACACATTAGAAAATAAGATACTTTTAGATTGTTATTTAGGATAATAATTGTATCTTTATTATCTTGAAGCTAATACTTTGATTTAAGTATACACATCTCACAGTTTGATACCTCAAAGAACAAAAATAAGTTCATTTGCAAATTAGACAAAAGTATACACTGTATATGGATAATTTATTGAAGATTAAGGATTTTTAACTATTTTTGCTGAAAGAATAAATAATACATTTTACAATATTAGTAAAATAAATGGTGATATTAAAGACTTTCTTATTTCATTTAGAGGATTCACTAATAATTAATTATTTGTTTAATTTGGCAATAAAATTTAAGTTTATATATTGTCCTCTGAAGAGTAATTAAAAAAAGTATATTTTGCACCCATTTAGTATTCTATTTTAAGCATGACTTACTTTTATTCTATTGATACTTATTATTAATTCGATAGATTTATAATGATAACAAGATAAGATGAAGAAATAAGTTTTTAAGAAATATTATATGGTAGTTTTTTTTCCTAAAAATTTACTTCCGAAAATATTCCAATCAATATTAGTTAAGGTATTTAGCTATTTGCAAATAGCTAATTTATTATTTTATATAATAATAATGAACTAACTATCTTTAAGAATTTAAGAGAAAACATTAATATCTTAGCTAAAAATAGAATATTTTCAAACGAGTAATAACCTATTATCTATTTCAATTCAATTCATTAGGAACTATATATATTTGGAAAAAGTATTTAGATATATTAAATTTCATTCCCAACATTAAGCTTCTCATCAAATCTAACTTAAGGCAGTTTTATAATTAAAGCACATAAAATAATCAATTCTATCGTCTTATCTCAATGTATTATTTCAATCCATTTTAATTAAATTAGCTATTAAGATAGAAATATTTATCCAATATATAATAATAAACAATCAACTTATTACAATATTTTATAATCTCAATTTCATTACCCAATTTTAGATGTTTCAGGACCTCTTATAAGACCAATAAGTCATCTTAGTAATTCATCATTAGGCAATTTTTACGATGATACTTTATAATAAACAAGTTTAGAACTCTAGTAAAATTATCAAATGATCAAAATCTTTGGTATTGAACTTATTTAGGGATGTAAGTCAAATCCAGTTGGCTGTTTTTTTATAGTAGCAATATAAAATTAAACTATTGATATTTATGAATAAGAGATAAAATTGATATCTTTATCTATTAATTTAGATGGCTATTCATTTAATAATAGTTAAGTAGAGATAAACTATTTTACTAATGATGGATTGTTTTTTTATTAAATTGGATTAAGCATAAATTCAACATGTATTTAAATTTATAGTTTTTTGAATAAAGTAATAAAAATGTTAATATCATAAAATATTACCCTTCAGATCGAGCCATACAAATAATTTTTACTTCTTGATAATGCAGTTGTATTAATATTAGATTCAAATTAATTGACAATTTGCACATTCGACAACAAATAAATAATTTTACTCAACTCAACCCTTTTAACTAAGTTATTTGGAAGAATAATATCGTTAAATCCAATTAACATATTTATGAACCAATAATATCAATCCAAAATATTATACATCAACAATAATAATAGCTTTTTAATAGGATCCATAACAGATGAATATACTTTTGTATTATTCTCTATAAAAGAAGTAAATGTGTAAATTATAAATCTTTAAGTAATCAAAAATTTTTTAATATTATCATATAATTGTGAAGATCAATATACTTTATGCTTTTAAGTTTGGAATGTAAAGGATTATTATTATCCAAAGTTTCTTAAAAATTTAACATCTATATAAATTAGAAATTAATGTTAATTTTATTCAGATAATCTATTTTTTTATGTCTAAACTGAAAATATAATCAATGTCTATAATCCTGAATAATCTGAGCACTCTAGCTTATATAAATAAATTACTTTTAATGGTTAATATTTTAGCAGTTTAGCTTATGAAAATATTGCATTTCTTAGTTTCAATTAATCTTTATTTTCATTAACAAAAATACTGATATAATCCTTTTTAGATTAAAACATTTAGAGTGAATATTTTTCTGAACTTATCTTTAATTTCGCAATTTCTTCAGAACTTAATCCCTCATATAAACTTAACTAAACTAATAATTCTTTAATAATTATCAATAATTATATAGATATTAATTTAGAAGATAAAAGCTTAAGTGTTGATCATAATTAATCCTCTTTATAAATTTATAGAGATGATATTTCAACATAAGGATAAATTGAATATTTCTAAGTTGAAAACAACAATAATATATTTGTAAATAATTTTATTAATAATTGCAATTTAACAGTATATTTAGAACAATATAATTTAAGTACTACATTAAAAAATCAATTTGTACTTTTGAATAATTAGATATTATTCATTTATAATTCAAATCTATCTTACACTTTTGGTCCATATAATATTTGTATAGCTACTACTACATATTTAGATATCATTTATGTTTTATGTCAAAAGGAAGACTTCTATTAAGTAATAAGTCTAAATATTTTAAATGATACTAATTTAGTATAGACTTAAGTAATAAATTCTATCAAACTTAATTATTCAAATAATATTTGGATGAAAATTTAAGATGACTTGCTTCATATTTGGAATAGAAATAAAACTAAAATGTATCATCTTAATTAAAATTATTATTAGAATGAAACCGAAATTTGTGAATGTACTTAAAATAGTTTCTAAGCAATTACATTATTAAAATAGAAAGATTAACAAGTAATTGTCTATTTTTATTTCAAAGTGTATACTCAATATTAATTGTCTTACAAAATAATAAAAATAATTAAAAATTAGAAAATTCTTTTAGGGGAAGAAAATAACATTAATTTAAATTTATAGCCTTTTTAAATAGTTGAATTTGATACAATAATTGTATTAGATTTAAAATAAAAAGAAATATTTCTTATGATTTCTAATTAAGGCTTTAATTGTATCATCTCAATTTTGTGGATACTTGATGGTCTCGACATTCTCTAAAGCAATATGGTATTTTAAGATATTATCTAAACTTCCCCTCCTTAACCTACAAAATAGTTTAATTTAACTACACAACCTTAAAACAGCTCAGGTTTATTGCTTTTCTTATATTCAAACACTATTAATTCAACAAACCAAAGCTATTTGATAACTTTGTACAATATGTCTGTGCTAGAAAATGATAAAAAGTATACTCCTCTTCTTTATGAAGGTGGGTATAATTTTACTTTAAATTCTGTTAATATCTCATCAATTTCCTTCTATGCTTATAATAAATATTAAGGAGAAATTTTAATTCTATTTGATAATTACACTGCGATGCATTTGGATGTTAATATATTTTCTATACAAGTTAATTTACCTCAAGATTTAAAAAAATAGAATCTGACTTTTTTATTAAAGGCTTTTAATTATTATAATCAATCAGCAGAGGCTACCATTATAATTTACTAAAAATAAGAAAATATTTCGAAAGGATCCTTTTATACTTTAGCTTCTTTAATACTGATAGTCATTCTTACTGCAATTCTGGTATATTATGATAAGACTAGAAACTATAAAGAGGATTAGGATCTTGATTATTTAGAGTTGGAACTTTGATTTAACCATAATTTCATTTTTCATTATTTTTTTTAATAATTAATTTTTTTATTAAAAAATATAAATATTGTTTTTTTAATATGAAAATTTGTTATATTCTCTATAAAATTTCTGAAAAGAAAAAAAATTATTTATACAAATCCAAGTACTTTTGCAATAAGTAGAGAAAAAAATTAAATATATAATTCTAGATTTATTGGAAGAAACTAACCAAACATCACTTATAATTTTTACATTTTACTAATTATTCAAGTCCGTCTTAATTTGATTATTAAAATTATTTTAAATATTGGTGACAGATTTGGTTTTGATAAATTTTTTTGATAACTTTTATTAAATAGGCTTGTTTTTTATAAATTCAAATGAAAGTTGATCTTTATAGTGTTTAGAAAAACCAAATGCGAATGAATATAAAATTATTGTAAACTTTTTTAATGATTAGATGCTATTTTAGTTGTTAAAAAATATTTACTTTGAATGCACACTAATAAAACTTTTTCATTCTAGTTCTCGAGAGTAATAATGATATCTATGTTTATTAAATCTACAAAGTTTGTTTTAGTTCTTTTTTTACTTATAAAATTGAAATAAAATATTAAATAATTCTATGCTAAAATGCTAAAATGTGAATTATTATAATTAAAGAAATATATGGAGAAAAAATGTTTAGAAATCGTATTCTCAATCCAGGACTTAATTGTATATTAAAATACATTCCTGAACTATCTTACTAAGAATCAATTATAGTAATTTCCTTTGATTTTAAATTGCTAAAAACAATCATGATGAGAGGGCTAATTTGCATTATTTTTCCTTAAAATCAAAATAAATCCCTTAAAATAAATTTGTATTTAGGACGTAATTGTTATTTGCAAGAGACGTATAAAATATGTTTAGAATTAGGCTATTGTAAATTGTTCTGATTCATTTGGAATTAGATAAAATTAAATGAAAACTTTTTAAGGAGAAGCTTAAAAATGCTCTATCAATTTATATCAAAAAGTAGTAAATATCCACTTCAGAATGCTAAAAATGAACAAAACAGTCTGAGAGTTGAATTATTTGGGAACTAGACTAATTTCTTAAACTTTATTTTCTTTAAGGGTATTTTTTCATTAAAATACAGACTATATAAATAGCATCATAATTTAGACCTTTAAGAACTTATAAAAATTTATTTATAATTTATTTCTGAAAAATTAAATTATAATCTCTTTTTCAAACATTGAATGTCTATGCATATTAAATCATCACTAAAAAGGTTTCAAAATTGTTAAATTACAATAAATATACATCCTAAAAATATTATATATTTTTATCAATAATTTAAATAACATAACATTAAAATTTACTAGATATTTCAAAAAGAAATTTATTAAAGATTTTAAAAAGAACAGCTAGATTTGCCCTTAGACGATATCATTATACAGTTTTTGCGAAAAATGTTAGAATAATTTTTATATCAAAATGAAAATTAGTAATAGTAAAGAGTTTCAAGAAATGTATTTATTATCCTTGATAATGATAAATTAAAATTATTTAGATGCACATATGAAATTTGATAAATCATTACAAAATCAAATAGAAAATTTAAAAACTTTGTGAGCCAAATAAAATATTTTCGTAGAGAATATTTATACACTTGTTATTCGCTTTAATTATATATCTAGATATTCTTTAGGTAATATTTTCTGCAAGTTATTAGTGATTTTTTGTAAAAACTTAAATAAAATACTTCCTAAATGGATATTAGGAGAGTGAAAAATTTGTTTTAAAAAGACAAAGCACAAGTTTAGATAATAAACAATAATAAATTCATTTAGAATGACATTAACAAAATTTAAAGCATACACAAAAGTTAAAATACTTCAAATAAGTTTCAAAATCATGGATTGTATTTCAACAAAATAGAGATATATTACAATTATTTATTGCTTAATTCTTTCTAATAAAAAAATATGAAACCAAAATTATTGAAAAAAATAAAAAGTAGCCTAAATCGATCTTAATTCAACAATTTATTAGTAATGATTATGAGGTTAAGATTTAAACCGATACTAGAATATTAAATTAAAAAGTCAAACTTAAAAATTTTTATTTGATATTCTACCTTATTTTAAGAGATCCAAAAATATATATTTTTTGGAAATTATCATTATCTCATTCCTAAATGATTCTAAGTTTAACTAGAAGTAACTTTTCTTTTTAATACAATAAATCTACCCTCTGAATTATCATTTAATCTTTAAAAGTAATAGAATTTTAAATGAGGTATATAAATTACATTTCTATTACACTAATTGCATTATATTATTTTACAAAATATGAATTCCAATTATGGTTCAAATATCATCTATAGGGGTGAATTTAAAAATGGTAAAAGAGTAAATAAATGGGATATTTTGTATGAAGAGAAATAGATGCAAGAAATTATAGCTTAGTGGTGGTGGATCCTATGATGAAGCAGGTGATAAGAATGAGAAGTGGATTGATATTAGTGATGTGTTTTTAGCGATTACATTAGTGACTTGTAATGGTGAATATAAAAATGGGAAAAAGATTGGTAGATGGGATACTTGATTTAAAGAATATGAGAAGGATAAATAAAATAATAAAATGTAAATATATCACTTAATTTTGTAGTGGTGGAGGATCATATGATGAAGAAGGTAACGGCAGAAAGGTTGGGAATTGGATTGTATTAAATGAAGCATTTGATAAGAGGCATTAAATTACTTATAAGGATGAATAAAAAATGGACAAAAGGTAGGCTTCTGGAAAACATGTAAAAGAGAAAATAACATATTAAAATTACCGTATTGAAATAATTCATTATAAATAGAGGGTGTGTCAATTCTGATTTCAATGGCTAAGAGATTTTTAGAAGTGGAGAGTATATCTTGTTCTTTTATATCGTAGATATTCGAATTTTATTCATATGGGTAAATTTAATAATGGTAAGAAGGTTGGCACCTGAAAGATTTGGTTTAAGAGAATGAAACATATAAATAGATGTAATACTGTGAACATTAAGTGTAATTAGAGGTGGAGGTTCATATGATTAAGAAGGCCAAGAAATTAAAATTGGCGATGGATTGTATTGGGAGAAAATTTTGAGAAATAGAAATAAGTAACCTTCGTTGGAGAATATGAAAATAGGAAAAAAATTGGTAAATGGGATATTTGGTTTAAATGATATGGATAAAATCCACAAAATAATAAAATGTAATATTAATAATGAGCAAATTATTATAGTGGTGGGGGTTCATTTGATAACGGAGGTAATGAAGTTAAAATCAGTAGATGGAAGGTATTAGATGAAAAGTTTGGTTTTAAGCAAGAAATAACCAATATTGGTGAATATAAAATTGGGAAAAAAGTGGGTAAATGGGATAGCAACCTTCTTGATGAAGTGATGTAAAATCTAATTCAGTTTTCAATTTCATAGCGGTGGTGGATCATATGATGAGAATGGCAATAACAATAAAATCGGTTAGTGGATTGAATAGGATTTTGCATTTAATAATCACAACCTAATATTGTTTAAAGGCGAGTTTTAGAATGGTGAAAAAGTTGGTATATGGAAGGTTTTTTTAAGAGATTTAAATGGAAAAGAATTAAATTATATGTAGTAATCTCTAAATAAGCTACATAATTTTATTAGTTGTATGGGTCATTTGATAAAGGAGGAGATGGTATCTAAATTGTGAAGTGGTATCATATTGAGGATGAATTCAGAATAAGAAATAATTTATCTTATAATTGTACATATAAAAATGAATATTAAGATGAATCATGGATCAAACTAGAAGTAGAGCAGTAAAAAAGATTTTGAAAAAAAAATGAAACAATATAAACATAAAATCAATATTAGAAATTATTCTTCATAACTTTTCATAAATCAAATTTGTAATAATTGTAATTTCTCAGGTTTTGCCGATACTTAATCTACCTATCACCCAATTCGCTAATATCTTATTTTACTTGGTTATTTTACTGACTTTTAGTTTTTAATGATAATATATAATGTGAAAAAAATATTGAGTATCTATATTCTTATCATAAGTTATTCCATATCTTTCAATCTTAGAATGACTGAGTATAAAAAAGACTATTTTTATTTAAATTATGTAAAATAAAAAATTATAAATATAAAAAATTAAGTGTTTAAATGAAGACAAGATTATTTTTACTTGAATTGCATAATGTTAAGTGTGATTATAAGGTTCTCTTCAATGAAGATTTAAAAAAAAAATCCATTTAACAATTAAAAAATATGTGTATTTATATAATGATAATGAATAGAATGAGTAAGATTTAGATCCAAAGCTTAAGAAAATTTTGATAAACATACCTTATATTATTTGAAAGAAGTCAATAATTAATGACCTAAATGTGTATTTATTTCATAAGCTTTTATTCGTCATATATATATTTAATAATTAATAAAAAATCAAAAAAAGATGTATCATGCATTTTGATTGAGAATGAAACATTAGGATTATCATTCGTTAAACATGGAGACTACAGCCAAATATATCACTTTTTGCAATTATGTATTGCCACTTCATGTTGTCTAAGGATATTTGAAAGAATAAAATGTTGAATAAACTAAACAAATTATTCAAGTTTAATCATTCTTATATTATTAATCAATCGATATATATATTATTCCTCATTTACATATTATTCTCCATATTAAATCATATATAATATTTATATGGTATATTGAAGATAAGTCATATAAATTATTATTGATTTATATATTTAGCATCTAAAAATTTTTACGCATTTATTCTGTCTTTGAAATAAAAGGTTTTATTTATTTTTGATTAACTTATAAATGGAGAAATTTTACTATTTACATAGATTGTTTATTAATGGTTATTATATTTTGGTGTTTTTGTAAATAGCATTATAATAATAAACTTATTAAAATTAAGAAGTTTATTTATTCATTATTCAAAAAAATATATTCTTTATCAGATGTTTCAAGTCAGAGAGTAAAAATTAAAAAAATGAATTTTTTATTAGATATTTGTTTTTTAAGATGAATTATTGACTATAAAATTCAATAAAGACCTAAATAATTTTTTATATTAATAAAGAAATTCACATCTTTATTGGGGAAAGTAGGACAAAAATATTGACTTTTATAATTAATTTTGTTCAAATAAACTATTATTTTTATTTTTATTAACTAATTATTATTATAAAAATTAGTATAAAATTAAGTTTATAAATTATATTGAAAACATAAATATAAAATATATGGAATAATTATGCCTAATTAAATAATCTATTCATTTCATTATGTCTATAATGATAAATGCAGGAAAATAGTTAATTATTAGAGTCTATACTATAGTTAAGGAGTTTGATTGCATAAATTGAAAATTGAGTTATATTTTATAAAATATAGATTCTCCACATACATCATAAGGATTCTTATTGAAATTCTTGAAAAGCATTATTTAATATCTTATAATGCAATCCCCTCTTTAAACACTTGACAGTTTAGACTAAACAAAAGCTTACTAAATGCCTGATTATATAGATAGTTAAAAAAATGCAAGTTGTTTGGATATTTTGGGCACTTAGACTGGAGTTTACATTTAATAAAAATTTGAAAAATTCTAGATGGGATTAAATATATTTAAAGTTTACGCATCCAACCAATTAGGAGAAGAAATCAAATTTAAGTAACTATTCAAATGCAAAGAGATATCTTCTAATTGTACAAGATTTTGGTTGGGGTACTTCTTTCAATTTATTTAGTCCAAAAACAAGGCCATTTGAGATGATAGTAGATAACTCTCAAAGTAAAGATTTATAGCCAGACATAAATAAAAAATTGCCTTAAAGTTCTGATCGAACCATTTTTAAGTTCAAAAGAGAGTACCAATGTACTTGTTTCTGTTGTAATAGGTATAAATATTTATAAATATTAATTTTAGACCTCGTCTTGAGGTTTATTATGTAGAAAATGGTTAAAACTAATTTTTAGGATACATTATTGATCCTATTTATTGTTGCAGAATCGGTTGCAATATTTTTGATTCTAATGACAATTTGAAATACATGATAGAGGCGAGCGCTTGCCAAAGTTATTTTTGGTGTAGGTGCCCATGCAGTGTGGAATGTAATAAGGTTGATTTTACAATCAAGCTTCCAACAGGTGAGGTAGGTATTCAATATAATCTTATAATTTAGTTGCCCCTATGTTAAAGTAAATTAAGACATGGTGTAATAGTGATTCGACTTCCTATACTGATAATATAAGTGTTATGTTCCCTTTGAAAGCATCAAAAGAAGATAAAGCTTTAATTCTAGCCGCTACAATTATGATTGAGTTCATGTATTTTGAAAGGGATTAAGATACATGATTTATTCCAAAAAAAAATATAATATCAAATCAAATTAAATTTTATAATTTGATCAATTATTCATAGAGAAGTGAAATTTAAAGGTTTTTAATGAAGAAATTATATTTGAAATAATTCGTTTATTGGGTGAAAAATAGAAACATCAAACTTAAATTTCTCAAGCTATTTCTTTTTTATTTAGATTTATAGATAGGTTTATAGATTAGTGAATATCTAATTACTTATTTACTTGAATAGAGTGATAAGGGTTTGCTTCAAGAATATTCAGTTATATATTAAAACTATCAAGACTTTCTTGGACTGTTTTACTATGAGTCAAAATGAATCCCAAAGAAAATTTTAAGAAGTAACAGAACTGAAAAATAATGGAATATATTCTTCATAAAATTCATTGAAGAAGCCTTTTTCTTTTAAACTAAGCAGATTGAATTAGTTAAATAGATTTTTCCGTATTATATTCTCATTTACACACAATATTATGATAAATAAATTTCTTAATTAATTTATACTTAAAAACAAGAATAAAATTTTTTATTTAATTTATAAATAATTTTTGAAGAACAGTTTTAATTTATGTGTTGATTATTTAAGGGCTTTCCATAAGATTATCTGATTGTCTTTTACAGAGAGCTATAGATATTAAGAAAGTCTTTTCGTTATTTCTTTAGTTATTTCAATACCATTGTAATTCAATCAATTATATGGAGGAAACAGAATAAGAAAAGTAAGAAATATAATTGCTAAGATGAGGTTCTTTTTTAGATTTTATTTATTTTATATTAATTTTTATTTGATTGACAGAAATATCGATATGTACTTATTTAGTGTAATATTATAAATAGAAATTACTTTTGAAAATATATTATTTATTTGAAAAGATATTTTTATGATGGTTTTAATACTTTGATGCCTAAGAAGATTTATATATTGGAGAGCTTGTTAAGGTTATTATTCAATATAATCTATTTGATTTTGGAGACAAAGATAATGTTTTGCATTAAGAAAATAAAATTGTAAGTCCATCACTAATTTCATTTGATTTTCATTGCTTAATGATCTGATAATACCTTTACTTATAATGATTGACTATATTGATAGAACTTTTTGAAGGAATATAAAATGAAAATTATAATTTAAAGATTTTGTTAACCTCCAATCTTATTTGCCTCAATAAAAAAATTAAAAGTCTATTATGGCATAAGCTGAAAGTACATGTTTATAATAAAAATTTCTAAAATAATTTTGCACTTATGTTTTAAATATTAAATAGATTAATCTAATTTTTAACTAATCTTGAAATATAACTAATTTAGCAATCTATTGAGAATTAATTTGATTTTTTATAATAAATTAATACTGCTTTTTATGCTTTTTTAAGCATTGTATTAAAAATAATTTTTTCTGTTAGGATGGTTATTATTACCTTTCTTTTTTAATTCAAATTTTATGTCAAATTATTAATAATAAAAATTATATTCCTTCATTTGATAGCTAAATCTTTTTTATATAAATCCTAGATTTTCACTAACTTGAATCAGCACTTCTTATATTATAGGTTGAATCATTTTCAGTAATCCTTAAATTTCTTTTAGGCATTAATAAACATATTCAAAAGATTCTGGAATATTATCGAATTCTAAGTAGAACTATCTTATTTAATAATGAAATTATTGTTAAAATTTGATTATTAAGGAATACAATATTTATTGAAATTAAAATTATTATAAATTATTAAAGATTTTTAAATCTTAATTGATCGTATTTCCCTATTTTAAGTTGAATCAAATGGAATGAGATTATTGAAGTATTATATACTTATTATAATTTTTTAATCCATTCATCTTTATGAACAATTTTTGATTTATAAACTAATTATGTCGATCTTTACTGAATCCTTTTGATGTTCTTTGTCCATAGATAATAATAAAAAAACATTAAAATTCCTTAGCTTTAAGTCATTCATCTTTATTGTTAATAATTAGGATGAAATGAAAAAAATAATAGTCTAAATAATCACCATAGCTATAATTGTTATACAGTTGTAAATTAAGAAATTGGGTTAATATGCTGGAATTAGGTTCGATAAGTCTTGACCAAATAATACTCAAATAGAAGTTATAAATATATTTGCCTGACTTCATCAATTTAACAATTCTTTGAAATTTTATTCCTTTTCCAAAACTAAGATAAGATTTTGATAAGCATACTTGAAAACAATTTTCAATCCACCTGGAATTCCTGACTCTGCAACTTTGATCAAATTTTCAAATATCTTTCAATAAATAATTTTTAATGTTTTGACTGTTTTATATTTTATTCGTATATATATTATTATGAAATAATAGTTGAGTTACACTCGACCCTAATAATTAAAAAAAAATATATTCAAATAAGAATTTAAAATAAAAAATAAATTCTATTTCAATAAAAAGATTGATATTAATATGCAATACATTTCTTACATAATTTTCATAATCAATCATCATATTTTTTCACGTCTACTTTTCTAAAATCTAAGTGATCTTCACCTCTATTTTTTTGAATCCAGGTACCTACTTTTTAACCATGCCTAAACTCTCCTTCATAAATAGTTTAAAATGTATCTGTAAAAGAATCGTGCAATTCTATCCATTTACCAATCTTAATCGTATCTCCTTCTTCATCATATGATCCACCACCACTAAAATAGTTATACATAATAGGTTTTGTACATTTATTCTTCTTCAAACTATGTCTCCCAGTAACCTATTTTCTTGCCATTCTTGTATTCCCCTAAATAAGTGATTTAGGAAGTATCTCTAAATTTATGATTCAATTCAGTCCATTTCCCAGTCTTGCATTCATTACCTAATTCATCATATGACCCACCACCACTTAAATATTTTAATCCTATTTTACATCTTTTCATTTTTTAGATTATTATAATTTTTCTGATACCAAATATCCCATCTACCAACCTTTTTACCACATCTATAATCCCCATGATAAGTAACTTATGATAAATCATCAAATTCGTCGCTTATCTCAATCCATCTCCCAATCTTACACTCATTACCACTCTCATCATATAATCCACCACCACTAAAATATTTCAAAAAGTTATATTTAAAAAATATTATCTTACATATTTTTATTACTTCTTTAATAATGCCATTAGATATCCCATCTACCAACTTTTTTACCATTTTTATATTAACCATCAAAAGTGATTTAAGAAGTGTTTCTAAATTCGTTACTTAACTCAATCCATCTTCCAATCTTACACTCATTCCCCGCTTCATCATATTATCCACAGCCACTAAATAGAATGATATTTTAATATTCATCCTTACAATACTGTATATTACATCGGCTTCTCTCCTCTCTAAAACACGTTCCAACTACCAACTTTTTTTCCCCCTTTATATTCACCAGCATATATGAATTTCAATTAGCCATAACCATAACCAAAATCGTCACACAAATCAACCCATTTGCCAAACTTTATCCCATCTTCATCATACTATCCACCTCCACTAAAATTTAATAGATATCAAATATTCTAAATTTACATCTATTATTATTTCTATTATAAACTCCATTTAATATCCCATCTACCCACTTTAGTACCATTTTTATAATCACCAAGATAGGTCACATTCGATAAATTATTAAATTCGTCGCTTAATTCTGTCCATCTCCCAATCTTACATCCATTACCACTTTCATCATAATATCCACCACCACTAAATTATTCAATATAATATTTTATGATATCATTACATCTAATCTTAAAAATAAAAAATATCCCATCTACCAACTTTCTTACCATTTTTATATTCACCTCTATACGTGACTTACGAACTTCCTTTAAATAAATCGGATGACTCAATCCAATTTCCAGTTTTACATCCATCACCACTCTAATCATATAATCCGCCACCACTAGAAAAATGAACATAAATATTTAGTAAAATAATTCTACATTTTTTTTCCACGATACAAAACATCCCATCTACCAATCTATTTACCATTTTGATATTCACCATGATACGTGATTTTAGATTCTTCAGTAAACCCTTCTCTCAATTCAATCCATCCATTAATCTTAACTTCATTTCCTGATTGATCATACGATCCACCTCCACTAAAATATTTCATATTTTATTTACATCTTATAATTATTTCCATATTAATTCCAATAAATATCCCATCTACCAACTTTCTTATCATTTATATATTAACCATCAAAAGTGATTTAAGAAGTCCTTCTAAATTCATGACTTAACTCAATCCATCTACCATTTTTATATCCCTGACCAGTTTCATTATATAATCCGCCACCACTAAAATAATCCGCATAATATTTAATAATAATTTTACATTAATTTAGGTTTGTTCTCATAATGGTCTTGAAAATAAATATCCCATTTACCAACTTTTTAACCATTAATATATTCACCATCATAAATGACTTGAGATTTCTCATGAAACCCATCACTTAGGTCTCTCCATTTACCATTTTTTTAACCTTGTTCATTGTATTATCCACCATTTCTATTAATTTATAAAATAAATACAATTTTTTTTTATTGTAAATATACATCCAAACCCCTCTTTTCTAACCATTTATATATTATCCAACTTCAAATACTTATGCTTTGCTATTTATAATTATCATTTAATTAGTATTTACTTCCAATAATTCTAAATTGGTTCTTTCCATAGCCCATACTTTAATCCATTTGAGTAGTACCCACCAACATCTTAAAGAACTTTTCCATTCCATTTAGCTATCCACTTACCTATTTTTTTATTGTTTTGCTCAAATTCACCTTACCATTAAAAGTGTTTGACTTATTCTATATTTGTGAATATTTATTGGACCTTGAAATCTTCTTAAATTGATTCACTTTTTAACGTAATAAATAGTCATTTACATTCTCAATAATCTTCCATTAGAGAAGTACATGATTTAATTATCTTTTGTAATTGTAATCACAATTTCAGTCTTTATCAAT